TTTGGTAGCACACACATTCGACACAGCCGTGCACTTTCTCTTCTAATTATATACATATTCGAAAACCAGACTAGCAAAGGTGGTACTGCATATTTGTATCTAGATTTCAACTCATACCTAAACTTGAATCTCATTATAATCTGTTGACCACAACTACGACCGACCGATTGACTACAACCACAATAAACAACTGGCACTGGGCACCACTCAACGCCGTGATGACACTCATACTGGCACTCGCAACTAATAAGTACAATGACGAGATGGCCATTGACGTGAAACTCTGGCTAAATAACGCCGAAAACAATTCCACGCATGGGCTTGGATAGAAAGGACCAGGCTTTGGAAGTCTCTTTCAATATCCCAACAACCAAGCAAAACAAATTACATTGATCTGCACTGCACGAAGAACAATTTAAACTGTGACAGTTGGATGATTTGCAAGGAGTCCATCTCCACAACATATTCGTGCTTTCTGGTGTACTACGACCTACTACACAGGTTTATAACCTATTATTGCCCAAGACCCTCAATGTGCTGGAGGCGTTTATTGTGCAGTTCAAATATCTCGCTACAGCACTTGGCCACAGGCTCTCTGACAAGCTGGTCATGATGACCTTTATAAAGCTATCAAATGCCCTGAGCCAACAGATAACTAGCAAAACAACTAGCAAGATTCCATATGACATTGACTCATGGGTAATAGTGGCCAGTGCCTTTTTGCACATATTTCAGACACAAGCGACTGTCATACCAAGGACAGAAGACATAGTGACAACCAATGAGAGTGAGTCAATGACTACGTCCTACCCAAATAGACACATGCACAATAGCTACCGCAACCAAAGCAAGCATGTGCCTTTGGTCCTGACAATCTCTAAAGTTGTAGTATATGCGGCTAATGCTCCAAAAAACACAAACTCCGATATCATGCCCAGACCACAGCTAATAGTTGATGTGATCATTGATGCTCAGGAAGTATGCATACTGATTGACAATAGCTCCCAGATTACGATAATCAACGAATTAGCCTGTGGCCAGCTTAAACTAAAACCTAAAGAACAACGCAGCTAGCCAATACAGCTGATGTGATACAAGAAATTGCGGCTTGTCTCTGGCGATTGATTAATGAATCAATCGCCAGTTAATTCCCTACTTGGACATTCGGGAATTCATATGCACATATAAATACTAATGAATATGAACAGTGGAGGCTGTTCATCTCTCAGCTTTCTTTTAGTTCAAATATATATTTTTAACATAACAACAAGGATGCTGTCGAGGCAGAAGATGCATGACTTCCCAAGCAGGTTGCATAGAATGTGGTTCATGACACACTGGAAAACTGGTGGCACATTGGTCAGGCCGAATGGTACCATGGTAAACTTTAAATTCCTGAGCTTTGCATAGAAGACGGTCTTGATGATGTCGGCACCACAAATCCAGACCTAGTGGTATGCTTGCACAAGGTCAATCTTGGAGAATATATTGGTGCTACAGGTGTCATTGAGTAGGTCGGCAATGCACAGTATCAAAAATGCATCTTTGACAGTAATTGTATTCAGGCTGCAGTAGTTAACACATAGGTGCATTGTGTCATCATTTTTCTTGACAAACAGCACTGGTACGCCCCAGGGCAATGATAACAGGTGGATGTACCCCTTGGTGAGCAGATTGGTCACTTGTTGGTCTAGTTTGTCTATTTCGGCATGTGATAGGTGCTATAGTGCTTTTGTAATAAAACTTATTCGTACTAACTAATTTTATTAAAAATCCACTATAAGGGAGCTTAAAGAGCTCCGCTTATCTATTCGAAACTATCGCCCGTGAAAATAGAAATCGCGATCGTAAACAATCACAATTTCAAACAATCGCAAATTCCCAATTGCGATTGTCACGTGGCATCGCAATAATTGATGTCACAGCTTTGGCCACAGGCGCAGTATAATTGTGGACATGTATATCCATCCTGGGGCCACCTGGCAGTAGTTGCTTGAAGGGTGACTAATTGAAAAATTGTGCATATTTTGCACACAGATTTTGCAGCTTATTGTCTTATGCCGCCGTGGTTGCATAAGCACAAATTGCTGCATTGACATCATTGTCAGGGAATGTAACCCAGAGCTATCCCTACTCAATCTATTTTTTGCACATGCAGCCTTCAATGTACCGGCTGTGTTATGTTAAAAATATATATTTGAACTAAAAGAAAGCTGAGATGAACAGCCTCCACTGTTCATATTTATTAGTATTTATGCGTGCATATGAATTCCCGCATGTCCAAGTAGGGAATTAACTGGCGATTGATTCATTAATCAATCGCCAGAGACAAGCCGCAATTTCTTGTATCATACTTGTGTTTTCAAAGAACAAGACCAACCCTGCAAAATACCTCGATGCTGTGATTGTATGCCTGAAGCAGCACAACCTGCACACATAACCCAAAAAATGTACATTCTTCCAAGACACAGTCGACCTTAAGTTTGTTATTTCAGGAAAGGGTATCACTACCAATCCACACAAAGTAGATGTGGTTAAGGAGTGGAAGACTCCCAAAACGATTACTGACGTCCATGCATTTCCCGGACTCAGCAGTTATTACCATGGGTTAATTAAGGATTACTCCAAGGTTGCACTAGCATTGGCCGATTTTCTATGCAATGTCGACTTTTCGTGGAATGACCAGGCCAATGCACCCTTCAATGAGTTAAAGTAGCAACTTTCCACTACACCAATAATCTATCAGTACAATGCAACCTGCAAACTAAGAGTTGGGATGGATGCATCTGGATTTGCAATTGGCAGCATCCTGCACCAATTACACAAGGTGTGGTGCCTGTTGGCATTTTACTTGGCAAAGCTAGGGCTGGAGCAGCACAATTACATCATCCACAAGCAAGAACTGGTTGCAATCATCTGCATGGTTGATCTTTGGTGACCATACCTACATGGAATCAAGTTCAAAATGATTACAGACCACAAATCAATAGAGTTCCTCAAGACACAAAACACATATCTGTGCCATGCCCACTGACTGAATATCTAGCAGGAATTTAACATGAAAATCACTTACTGCAAGGGTGCCCAGAACACAGTTGCTGACAGCCTATCATGCTTGCTTAAACTGCAGCCTAACAGCTTGGTGTATGTGATGCTACAGCTGGGCAGCATGCCTCACCTGGCGCCGATGGCACTGACTGCACCAGCTGCACCGGCCACATCATCAAATGATGCCCTGCCTAACAGCACAAGTAGAAACAATGATGCCACACACCCCTGTACTTATATCTGTGCCCATGCCCATACTTAATACCACAATAACAGCTGCACCAGCTTCACAGACAATGAATTTTCTGCTGATGCTAGCCATGGCCGACAGAATGTATTTGACTGCCAACAAGCACAGAAAACTGAACTGTGCTGAGTATGTGCATAAGTTGCTGTACTACAAGAACTACAAATTCAGCTGCCATGCTGAAGCCAAAACTAATACCAAAAAACGCAGGCAATGGTGGCAGCAAAAACAAGTGCAGACATGGAGACCAACCAGCTAAATGCCAATGTGCACAATGACGACCTGATAGCCCAATTTGATGGTTGGAAACTGTGCATACTTTTTGTGCTGTGTGGAGGTTTATCTGCTACATGACAATGCAAAGATGCCTTGCGAGGCACATCTGGATGGTGCTGAATTTGACATGTTTTGCCCAAATAAGTTTGTGCTTCAAGTTCAAGACCCAATTCCCTGTTTAATTGAGAATTGCCACCAAGGCAACAACAGGCACACATTTGTGCATTGCCCTGCACAGTGGCCTGGCCACCAAAGACGTTGCCATGGTTGGAGGTGTGGTTGCCAGGGGCTACCATAGCAAAAATTATGTACTCCTGTTCAACATGGGTGACACAGAGATTCCATTCACCATCCACAGCTGCATAGCACAGCTGATCCCAACCAAAATCATACACTCATGCATCACTGAGGTCGAGTCCTTCAAGGAGACAGTCTGTGGAGTCAAATCATTTGGCTTTTTAAGTAAATGAGAAAGAATAACAGTCCACATGGTTGCTGTAAAAGGTACTAACATGGAAGATGAGTGCAAACCCTGAAGAATCCTGCAAGGGTGACAGCAAGTTGGAAGAAATTATGGAGATGATTAGTGGTGGTGAAGAACCAACATCCAGAGCCGAGCGCAACATTGCAAACGAATTTTATACACAGGGCAGCGTCTTGTTCAAGAGAGGACACCACTGCATCGGGACAAAGCAAGACATATTTCTACTACTGGCCGAGTTATACAATGCCGCAATGCACCCAGGTATCAAAGCAACATATGACAAGCTGAGCAAGCTATTTCATTGGCCCAGCATGTATGTGGATTGTGAGAAGTACGTTGCAACGTCTAATTTGTGACAGCAAGTCAAGGGCAACAACAGGCCGAGGGACAGGCCACTACAGCTGCTATAGATCCCACGACTCAACTGGTCAAGCATTACCATGGATTTCATTGCCAGTTTACCTAAGACCAAGGATGGTTACAATGCTGTCATGGTTGTTGTGGACTGCCTATTCAAGATGGCGCACTTTGTACTGATGCACAATGCCACGACCGCCAAGATGCTGACCAGCCTGTGCTTTGAGATAATCTACCGCCCACACAACCTCTGCCCAAGTTACAAAAAATAGGCACATTTGGCAAAATAAAATAGGTCCATTGAGCGAGATATTACTCTTAGACGGAGCTAAGCTAAGGTGGTAAACTGCTTTGCGCATATGGTCTCCACAAGTGGTGTTTGCTTGAATTCTAGTTTAATGTTTTTCACTTAATTTGCCTCAATAATATTCGATTTTCATCATCAAATTGCTTTGCCCATATTTTTAATGACCCCACATTATTAATTAGCCTACAGAAAAATTACAGATTGGATAAATATCTACTTTGCATTGCATTGCCCACCTTTTTTTGTGTTTGTATTCCATACCTTGCGTATTATAGTCGGAAATGACGCGACTTTCGTTGCGAAACCCGCTGTTGACTCCGGAGCAGATTTCTGAATCGCCATCGCAAAGGCAAGGCATGCTTCTCGAGTTAGAAACAGATCTTCGCGCATACGGGTGCACCTAATCGATGCTGTAGGGATCATACTCAGGGTCCCACAGGTGGTTATGGCTAGCGCGCAAATTATGTTTCAGCGATTCTATTATCTGGCAGCATTTCAGGACTTTTCCCTGCGCGGCACAGTTCTCGGCACGCTATTTTTGGCGTGCAAGGTGGAGGAAAACCCGCAAACGATCCGTAACATTATCAACTCTTTGGACATAGTCATCAGTCGAGATAGGGGATATCCAGAAGTTGTTGCAGACGGTTACGACGCAGAGTTCTACGACTTGAAGAACGAAATGGTTATCAGCGAGATGCAGATTCTGCGGAAACTGGGGTTTAATGTGCAGGTGGAGCTGCCGTATGGTCTTCTTGTCAACTATTTGCGCAGCTTGGAGCTTACGGAGCACCCAAGCGTGCCGCAATTGGCATGGAACTATCTGAACGATCTTTTACGGACGCCTGTGTACGTGTGTTTTCAGCCAGAGACTATTGCCTGCGGCGCAATATATCTGGCTGCCCATGAAAGTCAAGTTCGGCTGCCCGAATCGCCGCCCTGGTGGGTGATATTTGATGCCAATGGCGAGGATGTCGCCCAGGTGGCCAAAGCAATCCAGGCAATGTATCTGCACGATTTGCCTAGGATAATGCCTCTGGACGGAGCAGAGCTTGCGTTGCACCTTTCGGGCACACTTAGCGAGCACGTCGCAGCATTGCGCAGGAAGAAGCAAGAAAAAGAAGAAATATCTGGGCTCGAAAAAAGCAAACCAGTTGGCGCAAACACATATAGTGAGGGCATGCATGCGGGCGATGTAAAGGCGAGATATACCGATCTGAGACTGAGCAATAAGTCTGAGCCAAGACTCAGTTTGGAACCCAAGTCAGAGAAAGCACGCAAAAGAGCCAGTTCGCCATCATCCTCATTTGCGCAGTCTCACGAGCATGGTCCATATCGACGGGTGGATGTCAGAAGATCAAGAGAATCAGCGGATGAAAACAATAGCAGAGACACTCAGGGCCGTGGACCAAGTGATTCGACATATAAAGACGATAGAGGACAGCAGTATAGATCAAGCTACAGACGGCGCTAATGCCTCGCTGATTTGAATTTCAAGTTGTCAAAAAAGAGATTATAAACATATATTAAAAGTTCAGACTGCTTAGCGCAGAGTCACGCCCAGTTGTGATACGATGCGGTCGCGGACCTTGTCCTGGATGGCGTTGATCTCCTCATGCTTCACGTTGCGGTCCATGGAGCAGTAGTTGATGCGGTAGCAACGGCTGGTCTTACTTGTCTTTGGGTGGGTAAACAAGTCTATCAGTTTGACGCCTTCGACCAGGTCGCCGGCAGTCTCGCGCACCAGGTCCATCAAGTCGTTCTCGTGGAATTCGGTGTCGGCAGGCAGCCAGAAGCTGACGTCTTTGGGGCATGGCGGATGGCGCGAGAAGGGCCTGAATGTGTTGATTTGGCCGGGGGAAAACTGACTGACAAAGCGCGGGTCAGTACTCCAGAACAAGCGTATATCGGGAACACCAAACAAAAGCATAGCCAGGCGCTCGAGCCCAAAGCCAAAGGCCCAGCCGATGCGGTCGGGCATACCGGCGTCGTCAAGAATGGCCTGCTTCATGACGCCGCAGCCGCAAATCTCGAGCCAGTCACCGCGGAACAGCACCTCCATCTCCCAGCTGGGGCTGGTAAACGGGAAGAACGCGTCAATCCAGCGCACAGGAAACTGCGTGGCTATGCCTGAGCTCACCTGTGTGGAATCTGTTGCGGCAGCAGCAGCAGCTGAGGCTTTGGACAGAATGTGTACTACCATGCTGTTCATCGTGCGCTTCATATGGGCCGCGACAAATGCAACCTCCTTGGCCGTGTGCTCGGGCTGCACGGGGTTAGTGTCGCCAATCTGCGTGGTGTCCAGTAGCTGTGCCGCCGACATGTCCAAATTCAGGGCCTCTGTAGTGGCTGCGGTCGCTGAGGCGGCAGCTTCACGGCGCAGTGCTCACGAATCTCAGCGCGCGAGAAAGTGCACACACCTTCCATCTGGTGAAACACCGGGTAGTGGCTGGCGTCGATCTCATCGCGGCGGTACACATCGGCCGCAACGAGGAAGCGCTCGTTGGCTGGTGCTGCTTGCGCATTCCTTGCCTGCGCCAAAATCCCCGCGTTGCTTTGCTTCCCAGCTGCCAAGAGCTCCAGCTGGTGCGCCGACGTGTGCGTGCGCAGCAGTGTATCTGCGTTAATATAGTACGTATCTGAAGCTGCACGGCCCGGGTGGTCCTTGGCAAATCCCAGAGAGTCAAAGTTCTGGTACGTGTTCACTACTGGGCTCAGCGAGTCGTAGTGCGCAAATGTGGGGAACTCGGCGAAGATCATCTCCTTCAAGATCGCAAGTGGGTGCGATGGCTGGTGCAGCAGGTCGCGCCCAGTCTTTGACAGAATCGCCGATGTCGCGTTCGTCCACTTGTCTGTGGTGTATGTACTCCCGAGAACTTCTATTTTGTCGCTGTCTTTGTGCCTGATGCATGATGTCGACAGCGCTGCCGTGCGGTGGGTGACCGCGGATCGCAACAGAAGCCGTGTCGCAAGGCCGGTCGTTTTTCTGACACTTAATAGCAGCATTTGCAAATGACAAACGCCTGTAAATCAGCTAGCGATAAAAGTATGTATAAATTTTCAAAGTTTGAATTTCGACCCAAAAAGATAAAAAGATAAACCTGTGAGTACTGACCGCAAAGGTCTTTTCGGCACAATGCGCTTGGCTGATCGCAGTGGGCCGATCAGCTGAGGATCACGCAAAGACCGACACCAAGGCCGACGGGCCAATTTACAGATACACTGTATCAAATCCCCAACCATTGAGAAAACCTTCAAGATTGACAAAGCCCTGTCCTGTGTTAAACAACCGAAATATAAAGGTAAAGAAAGGTAAGTGCATAAGCACAAAGGAACAAGTGGATCTATGAATACATTTTCTCTGGGTGAAGTGTGGAGGTTTTTTGTCCAGCGCATCAAATTCTAGTTGCTTGCTAATCAGGCATCGTTTTTGTACTTGTATTTATGTTGCTGTGTATTGGTGATCTGTGAGAGCTGAAATAAATAAAAAAAATAGAAAAAAGCTCGACCGCGTGAGAAATGGGGAGCAAATATGCGGAGGCAAATATAAAAATGACCAGTGGTGTCCATCAACTGCATTCTTCATTTTAATTCCAATTAGTTTCTCATTCAAATTCAAACTATTTTATTACTGTTATTTTGTTCGTACTTTTTTGGCAGCCGCAACTTTTCGAAATTCCAAAACCCGACCGGTCAATGACACCTAGCTACCACACGGCGCTTATCGGAGGTCCGCGCAACAATTTTCTGCTGGCTGCGTCGATCAGTGTTGCATCGCTGCTGGCTCTGGGGCTTATGGCCGTCACCATGGGCGGCTCCGGCGGCCCTGGCGCCAAGCCCAGTTCTGGAAGACGCAAGCACAGCAGACGGCGTATTCAAAAGAGTAAGGCCGCAGCTACATCAGCAGACACGCTTGACACAGCCGCACATATGGAGACAATATTAAAAAAACTCTACGCATTTTTCATTCCACCATTTGTAGCCTTTATTCGTGGCCTGTACAATTTGGGCAATACGTGTTTTCTCAACTCGACATTGCAATCGCTGGCATCGCTGCCTGCCTTCAACGAGTACGTAGATGCATGTGCGACACTTCTTATGGACAGCGTGAACCAGGCCAGCGCGAACATTACGGCCGATGCCGCGATAATCTTCCGTCTGAAGGATGTTTTGGGCCAGCTGAAGCCGCAGGGGCGCAGGGTTCCAGCGTACTCGCCCAGCGGTTTGATCGGCAGCTTGAGCAAAAAGGGAAAGTGGATGTCGAGCAGAAACGAGCAGGACGCGCAGGAGCTATTTCAGTTGGTCTCCAGTACACTACAGGCCACACGCCGCGAAATGGGTGCTTCGCTATTCAATTCCGGCTTCTTGTCGCAGGTAAGATAAACAAACGCACACAAACATGTTTCTGATGATGCTATCCCTGCTATCCACAGTCACTGCAACTGACAGACTGCTGATTAACTAGCAAACTGGTTTTTGTGTCACACTGTAGAACGCGCCTATCGAAAGCAGCATCATATCGACTGCCAGCTCTTCGACAAACCATACAAATAACCCGCATATTCCCAACCCGTTGCAAGGAATGGCCGCCAGCCGTATTTCCTGCGTGAAGTGCGGATATACGGCTGCAATTCGGCACTTTACATTTGATAATTTGTCGCTGACTGTTCCCAGGAAGCATAAGACAACCGTTGAAGAGTCTTTATCGGTATACACGGTCATCGACCATCTGGATGACTTTAAGTGCCGGCACTGTACCCTGTCCGCGACACTCGTGCAGATTAAATGGGATATGGCGCAGCATACAGCCGACCTGGACAAGCTCTGGGACTCGCCAAAGCGCGCGAAAAGGTTGGCTGAAACGATCAAAACGCTCACCGAGCAGCAGGATAGGTTAGAACACGCGCTGGCTAACAATCCCGAGGACGACCTGAAGGGGATAGAACTGGTCAGCCCGCAACCAGGAATGTCGACCAAGCAAACCATGATTGCGCGCACACCCAGGGTACTCGCATTGCATTGTCGCGCTCATATTCATGCCGAGCGGCGATGTACTCAAAAACTCGGCCAGTGTCCGTTGCAGCCGCTCCTCGATATCTCGCCATTCACAACAACAGGGCACATAACCACCAGCGCCTCAAAACCTATTTCGGGCCCTGCTGTAGCTATGAGCCAAGATAATTCAGAGTGGCTTGCCTATGCCCAACGCAACAACTGCCTGTATCGCCTGAGTGCTGTTGTTGTACACGCAGGCAATCACAACTCGGGTCATTACAGTGCATACCGGCGAGTTCGGCCGGCTGCGGGCGACGAGAGTGGAGACGAGAAAGCCGATGAAGGCGTGTCGGCGAACGAAAAGAACAACAACAACGTGTCGAAACAGTCGCTGTTGGACGATGGCAGCATATGGTTTATGGCCTCTGACACCCAGACTATCGAGGTCTCTGAAAGCACCGTGATGAGCTCTGGCGACGCGTACTTGCTATTCTACGAGCGGTTGTGAATTTATGCTTGTGTGAAGGATTTGTGGGTGCTGTAATGTATTTAATTTTTTTGAATATCAAATGATGTATATGAATTTTTGTGTGTACTCTGTTAATAATGCTAGCATATTGTGCCGTAGCTGTCCAGTGACGCACTGGATTGCAGCGCTGACGAAATTGGGTGCGTTTTGGTGTTCTCCTTGGTGCGGCCTTTGCTAGGCGCTCGAGACAAATCTTGACCTCTTGACGCCAGTCGACAACAAATAGGACATAAATCTGTTGCGAGAGCGAGTAAAGCGTGACGCCCAGCGCCAGTCCTATCCACAGCCACAGTCTCCATATTTGGCGGCCCTGCACCGAGGAAGTACCCCAATGGCAAGCCGATGATATAGAAGGCGGGTATTGACAAGTACACACTCAAATCCTGCTTGCCCAGCGAGCGCATCAAACTGTCAACCAGGCCATTCAGACCATCGTACGTCTGGACCGCAGCAAAATAGGGCATTAGTGTGCTACACATGTCGACACATCCTGGTCGTTGGTGTAAATGTACCCGATCGAGCGGCGGAAGACAAACAACGCGGTTGAGCAGCAAATACCAAAGCCATAGCCCAGGACAATGGCGATAATGGATGAGTAGCGCGCGCGCCGATGCTTTCCATTGCCCAATGAGTGGCCGATGCGTGTAGCGGCCAAGCTGCCGATGGCTGAAGGTATCTGGTATGTCAGGCACATCAGATTGAAAATGCATGCTTGGGCCGATAGGGCGACGGGTCCAAAAGAGAAGCGCAAAAGGTGACAATCTCGTATGCTGCCCAGCTGCTGGCCATCATGAGGGCGCTCGGAATCGCGTAGCGGTAGAACTCGGTGATTCCATGGATGCAGTCCAGCGAGAACGAGCCCCAAGCGTGCCTCGTTTTACTGCAAGATATGTAGACGACCATACTGAAAAACATTAGCCAGTACGTGATTGCCGAGGCAATTGGCGCGCCGATGACGCCCATGCCTATGGTCGGCGACCACACCAGTGCGTAGCTGTTGTACATGTGGATTGGCACGACCATGACCATGATCAGGTGCCCGCTTGCATGGCGCCCTGTGCAAGAATAAATCGGCGCAAGCAGTCAAACGCCAACTGTGGCCAGCTGCCCAACATCCATATGCGCAAAAACTGGCCACAGATCCGCGCGACCTCCGGCGTCTGCCCCATCATGATCAGCAAGGGGTCAATGTACATAAAGAAAGCCATTATTGGGATTAGCAGTATTGTTATGGTGATTAACCCCCGCCGCGTGTGGAATCCGACTTGCGTTTTGTCCTCATGGCTGTGAATGCCGCATAGCAGAACGAGTCGAGCGTTGTGGCCACTCCAAAGCCGGGCATCAGAACCAGAAAATTCGCCAGCATAATTCCCAGCGATACGCCGGCCAGCTCGTTGACACCCAGTCGACCGACAGTCAGTAGACTGGCAAAGTTGAATGAGCTCAGGCACAGGAATGTGAGCGACATTGGAACGGTTGATGGCAAAATCCATGCAACCTCTTGCTTGATTAGTGTGATTCGGGATATGTTGGGTTCATCGTTTGGCAGGATAGCTGGGATTGTGGTTGGATGCTCCTCTGACAGGGTGATGGCCGAGGTCTGTCTTGGCCGAAGGGGTGCGCTTTCGCGCTGCCAATCGTCTATACCAATTGATGACATTGTAAATAAAAATGTTGGGTGAGAAATGAGGGGGAAATGGAAGCAAAAGATAGCTAGGAATAAAAATACAGCGAAGGTCGGCAACAAGAAATTTATAAAAGAAAAAGGATGATATTCAAGTGGATACAGATTATAAAATACTGGTGCTAATAAAAATAATTAAATAAGCATGCGTATGATGGATGTCTGGACAGAAAGAAATATGTATCTAACTGAATAGTGGTGGCGACGCAAGAGTGCCCTTTATAAAATTCTATTAAAGTGTTATTGGCGTCCGCATGCATGTTGAAACACAAGCGAAAGATCAATGCATCCTGTCAAGGCTTAGCAAAACAACACTTGCATAAAATGTATGTCATGTATTTCAGCTCATATCAGAAGAAAAATGATTGTTTTGTGGAATGGTCATACTAGTTAATAAATATTAAACAAAAAATATAATAAAAATACGCTGGGCAATTAACATCCGAATTCCATGTTTGGAAGTGATGGTGCTCTCCCGCATAGTTGACGCATCAGTCACCTATCTTTCCTTTGTTGCTATACATTTTTTTGGAATATTCGATTATTCTAAGAAATATGTAATTGTACAGAAGAGATGCACATATCTTGGATGGGTGTGCAAAGTGATAATATGATGCACTATATTATCACAAGGGGAACAAAAGCCCAAGCTCAAACAATCTCCCTTTCTTGCGTCTGCTCAAAGTGTATTTCCATAACAGCCCCCAAATATAAATTGTATATTTGAATGCGCCGATCGCCTGCCACCCCCACTGTCCCCAGACCTCGCACTTAATCCCCTGAAGATGTCTGCTGAGCAGACTACAACAGCAGGCTGTTGATAAGTAAGCGCCTCAGTAGTGCCGGTAGCAGCTGAACTAATGATGCGCAATATCTTTATTGTCTTCTTAATAATACAGTATCGCATTGGAAACATTCGGCGCCATCCAAAATATCAGCAACGCAGAAAAAATGCAATCATATGAAATATACACCATGCTTGAAGACGGTTTAGCGCTCCAAAGCATATGAGATTGGTATGGATATAATGCATTTGCGGAAAGACAGTTGCGCTTGGCAATTTATTCCCAGGATCTGTAAATATCCTTTGCTCTTTCTCCACCCCGCAAATAATAACCGATGCAATCATTATGCACGTGTGCAATCTATGCGCAACGTACAAAATGCTATCCGCCTGTGTGTCTATATGTATGTGGTCACAGACTGATTAGCTGCCACAGCTTTTCTTGCGTTTGTATTTGTATATCAATTCCAAATACTTGGTTCACAGTGCCAAATGTAAAAAATTTAAAAATAAAAAAGCCGTCGTACCACGTGATAAATGGGTTTATTGATCATTTAGCTCGACTCACTCATTATAAGTTTGACACGAACCGCGCCGAGCCGGTGGCTTTATATTTTAAATACGTAACCCCTCACAATACCACCCACTGCATTACAGGCTGGTCGCGAAACAACACGGCACAAAAGTCATTCGATTCCTCTGCTCTCTGTAATTCTTGCACATTTCTATTCTATTTAATTTTTTTATTTCGGCAGTCCGCTTGTTCAATTCGACAGAATCGCATTTGCACAGTAAAAAAACACAACAGAGCACAGCAATGGACCGCTACAGCTTTTCACTCACTACATTCGCGCCCAATGGCAAGCTGCTGCAGATTGAGCATGCCCTGGCGGCAGTTGGCAATGGCTCGACCAGCGTGGGCATCAAGGCGGCAAACGGCGTGGTTATTGCTACAGAGAAGAAGACCGGGTCGTCGCTTATCGAGGTGTCCTCGTTGGAGCACATGGCCATGGTCTGCGACAGCATCGGCATGGTGTACTCAGGCATGGGCCCCGACTTCCGCGTGCTCGTTAACAGCGCGCGCAAGATGGCACAGAAGTACAAGCGCATCTACATGGAGGATCCGCCCGTGCGTATCCTGGTTAAGGAGCTTGCCAGTGTGATGCAGGAGTTCACGCAGAGCGGTGGTGTGCGCCCGTTTGGCGTGTCGCTGCTGCTGGCCGGCGTTGACGAGCGGGGCCCCAACTTGTACCAGGTCGACCCGTCGGGCTCGTATTTCCCGTGGAAGGCTACGGCCATTGGCAAGAACATGGTCAACTCGAAGACGTTCCTCGAGAAGCGGTTCAATGGCGACATGGATCTGGAGGATGCCGTGCACACTGCCATTCTCACGCTAAAGGAGGGCTTTGAGGGCCAGATGACGGAGCATGCCATTGACGTGGGCATTGTCAATGTGATCCCGAGCGCTGAGAGCGGAAAGTCGACGCCCACGTTCCAGCGTCTGACACCCGCAGAGATCAAGGACTACTTGGCCAACATCCTCTAGGTTCATCTTTTTCACTACTCTTTTTTTGGCTGCACCAGCCTGCCTGCTTTCATTATATACATCACTCTGCAATTCAGCGATATCTCCTTGTATCCACACCTGCTATTGAAAACACGCTTTCATTGGAAAAGTTTCTTGCAATAATAATTGATTTATTTCCGGGTGATGTAAGAGAAAATTGTATATGTATAAAAGATTGAGCGACCGTCCAGAAGCAGAAAAACGCCCAGCTTGTAATTTTTTTGGAGGGGGGTGCCGCGTGCAATGGCCAAGGGTGCTTAGTTTCCGTTGGGATCGAGCACGACGCCAACCTGGGCGGGCCGCAGGACACGGCCGTTGATGATGTATCCGCGCTTCTCGACATTGAAGACATCGCCAGGGGTCTTTCCGGCCATCGGCGCCTGGTACAGCGCATGGCTGGTGTTGGGGTCGTAGGGCTTATCAATAGGATCAAACGACTCGACGCCATGGCGCTCCAGCGTTTTGAGCAAGTTGCTCTTGGTCATCTCAACACCCTCATGCAAGTCAACCAGCGTCTTGTTCGCGATCTTATCGACCAAATCCCCCTTGGGCACATGCTTCAGTGCGAGCTCCAGAATATCGACGGTGTCGAGCAGATCCTTGGCAAACTTCTGGATTGCAAAGACCTTTGTGTTATCAACCTCGATCTTGGTCCGCGTGCGAATGTTCTCGGCGTCGGCCAGCGAGCGCAAGTAGGCATCCTTGAGCTCCTTGACTTGGCGTCCTTCTCTGTGACGCTCTTTTGCAGCTTCTCAAAAGCCTCGATGTTGACTGTTGCCGGTGTCTCGTCCTCCTTGGTGGCTGCCTCAGTCTTTTCGGCTCTGTGTCTTTGGGCTTGTCGGAGTACATGCGGCGAGCGAATGCAGAGGTTGCGGATCTCGGGCCGGCCATTCGCGAGACGGTGGCGAATGAGGGAGTCCGGTAGACGTTGGCAAGGGCTGAGCGGAACATTTCTATTATTATTTGTATTTATACGATAAGCGTCAATTGCTGGCTGACTTTTTAGAGATGAAATTATAAATTTAACAAAGGGCGAAACAAAGACAAAAAGAGAGAAAAGTTTATTTTATCTTGACCATGTGGGGCAGCCCAGCCTGGCCGGCAGCGTCTTTTTGTACGATTATTTGCCGTCCTAAAAAAGAGATGAGGCACATGCTTACCCTAACACTGAAAAAAATAAGCTGATAACCCAAATACGAAGGGCGTAGAATCTGGGTCTGATTGGCCAACAACAAAAAAAATGACTCGGCCCATACAATTGTGATCAGCCCATTCGCAAATGTTTTATGGCGCCAATGAATGCGCGCTGGGCGAAAAAAGGGAGGGTCCGAGTTTTTTTTTCACAAGTCCCTGTTATATTATATTTGCTCATATATTCTTATTTTTGAATGTCGTCGTCTCAAAGAAATCACAGCCTGTCGCCATCGCCTCCGCAAGCATCAGGCAGGTTTGAGAGCAGACTTGGAGACAGGCTAGGTGATAGGCCCAGTAGCAAGCTCGACGATAGGCTTGCTAACAGACTTGGAGATAAACAAGATGACAGGCAGGAAACTAGGCAGGATAGCAGGCGCTATCCCGCTGCGATGACAGCGAGCGCGACGGCAGACCCGGCGACAGGGCGATGACAGAGAAGGCGAACGGTACAACAGAGCGCGGGAGTACAGACGCGATGAACAGCGCAATGATAGATGTGAATACGATCGTGATGATAGACGCGAATACAGACGCAATGACAGACGCAGTGACAGGTACAGTGATAGACGCGACTACAGGGATGGTGATAGGCGCGGCGACAACCGCGATGACAAATACCGCCGAAGTGAACCGGACGGCAATGCCAGTAGGGGCAACGAAACGCACAACCAAAGCCGCAAGGAGACTGACAGTGATGTCAGACGGCTCTCGCCTGACACTCGCGACCGTGGCGGAGCTCGCAACAGCGGATTCCAACACAGGCGCGAGGCTGAGCCTCGCCAAGATGGCCGAAATAGATTGCCAGTACCCTCACAGAAAAGCTTTGGAGCTGACAGACGCGGCCAGCAATTGCAACAGATAATGGCCGCGGCCGCGGGCGTGGAGGGCAACAGCCAGACCCGGAGTACCTTCCCAGCGAAAGGCACAGCGCGAGACTATCAACGTGTCTATCTGGGCACCGTCGCCCACACAGTCAGAAGACGAGGAGGATCGCTTGCAGGAGGAAACCATTGTTGCACAGATGCAGAAGCGCATCGATGGATTCAAAAACATAAACGCTGTGTCTGCCAGCGAGGCTGACTCCGATTCTGAAACGAGCAGTGCATCTGATTCCGGCGAATCCTCTGGTGACAACCGCCGGTCTCGGAAGAGCTCGAAGAAGCACAAGCGCTCGTCAAAGTCATCGCGCAAATCGAGCTCCAAGAGACACAAATCAGAATATGGCCGTAAGAGCAAGAGCAAGAGCAAGAGCAAAAGTAAGAGCAAGAGCTCGTCGAAACGGAGCGGTAGCATCGGAAGAGCGATAAGAAGCGCCGCAGCAGCAGGTACTTGGACGAAAGCTACCAATCCAGCGGCAGCGACAGCTACGACAGCGCCGCTAGCTACTCTGCTGATGAGAAGTGCGGCCGGCGCTCAGCTTCGCCCCACAGAAACAGTCTTACAAAAGAGCGATAAACGAGATAGGAAAGACCCGCGCAATTCCGACGACGACAATGATTTGTCTGACCAAGAAGTCGGGCCAATGCAGGACTCTGGTGCCAGCCGAATCCCGGAACTGACCGAGCGCAGCTTTGGCGGCTCGCTGCTTCCTGGTGAAGGTCTGCGATGGCTGCTTTTGTTCAGTCGGGCGAACGTATTCCTCGTAGAGGAGAGATTGGAGTCGACCAGGATATGATCGAGCGCCTCGAGAACACAGGCTATGTGATGAGTGGCAACCGCCATCGCCGTATCAACGCTGTGCGTGTGCGCAAGGAGAACCAGGTCATTACCGCTGAGGAGAAGCGCCAGATGCTGCTGACAAACCAGGAGGAGCGCAAAAGCAAGGAGGCCCAGGTCATTGCCGATTTCCGCGAAATGCTGTCAAAGAAAAAGTAGACCCAGCCACAACATTTTTGCGTTGATAAATTCCTTTTTTGCATTTGTGCGCATCATCATTTGTTTATTTTATTCTAAAAATGCAAAAAGTATCTAAATGGGACTGCTAGAAACATATTTGAAACGGGCCAGCATCAGAGCTGGTGATGACGACAGGATAATAAAAAATAGATATTGGTTGGTTTAGGCAGCGATCTCCTTCAGTGAGCCGCGAGGGGACCGCGGGTGTTGAGGTACTTGACATAGCATCCATCGGGCTTGACCATGCCGTTGCTGCGGGCCTCGACGTACTCCTCGCGAGTGAGCTTGGTGAAGCCCCACTTCTTGGAGATAATGATCTTCTGGCGACCGGGGAACTTGTACTTGCAGCGACGCAGAGCCTCAATAACGACAGCCTTGTTGTTGTCCTTGGTGCGGACCGACAGCAGAACCTGGCCAATGTTGACACGGGCGGCAGTGCTGTAGGGCTTACCGTAGGCACCACGCATACCGGTCTGGAGACGATCGGCACCGGCACACGACAGCATCTTGTTGATACGCAGAACGTGGAAGGGGTGAACGCGAATGCGCAAGTGGAAGGAGTCCTTGCCGGAAACCTTGGCCATGTACTTGTTGGCGTTAATGCGGGCAGCCTCAAGAGCCTCGCTCGAGATCTGCTGGTACTCGTCGGAGGTCAGGTGCACGCACAGGGGGAAGTCATCGACGTGAGCCTTCTTGCGGCCAAGATCGAAAATGCGAATCTTGGGGTCGGGGACACCACGGCAGAAACGAGACTTGGGGTAAGGCTTGTTCTTACAGTAGCGGTAGCAGCGAGCAGGACGGCGACCCATGTTTAACAATTACAAATTAACTGAACTGAAGTGAGGTTGAATTGAGTGGTGAAATTGGTACGAATAAATACAATACTTACAAGAAATAAAATATTAAAAAAGACAAAGAGGAAAAGAGAAAGTGTTGAAAATAGGGGGGGTTTGAAACTGCAAATGAAAAAAGCATAAAGGCGTTGTGCTCCATGCCGTATTTGTCAGCCAAAAGGTGACTTTTCTCTTTTTTTTCCTTCCGCTCAGTTAAGACCGCCTTTTGTGTACCCAAAAATAAAAGAACGTACCAGCAAAACAGAAATATACTTTTATTTTTATACTAATAATGCGTAAATTCTGCATAACTTTGAAAAGAAAAAATACTAAACACAACTATAATTCTCTGCCGACAAGTGGTCACAAATAAGCTCTGGATAAATAAAGAGGCACTGGAAGGAAGACAAAGTAGAGGAGAGGGTATGCGAAGGAGCCTAGGGAGGTAGGCACCCGGAGCCGCCTTAGTTGCGCCTGCACGCTTAGAGGCTGGCGCGTTCTCGACCTCATTATCAGAGACGCTCTCGACTTCCTCCTCGACATCGCTTTCGCCAAGCTCAAAGATCGGCGACTCCTCGTCTTCAGAATCCTCACTGTCAATAAAGTACATGTCGGCGTTGGGGAACAGGTCGTTAGCAATAAGGTCGGCTAGATCGGAGCCATTGGCGTCGTTGAACCAGCAGAAGAAACTGGCGTCCTCGTTCTCCGAAAACTCGTCGCCCTCTTCCTCAACGTCAGTCTTTTTGCCAACCGCGGTGAGGTCCATGTTGGCCTTCCAGTCGATCTTGTGGTTGACCACCTTGATGTTGCCCTTGTCGCTAAAGTCGAACTCCTTAATCAGCTTGCTGTTTGTAAAATACGGGTTCTCTTCAAACAGGAACACGATATTGTAGTTGATCGGGTTGTCGGTCGAGCGCTGGATCTCAATGTTTTTCAAGTATGAGATTATCTACGATGATATAACAAATGAAAATGGAGAGCCAATCAGGAAGATGCACAGAGTAGATTAAAAACATGTGCGTTAGTTATTTTTGCGCTTTTATATTTATTTTTTGGACTTATACTCAGAATGAGCCGTACATATATTCATTGCAGCAGGTGCAAGCAAGAAAGCAAAAAAAAGTAAAATCTTACCTCAGCGTCCTCCATCTCGATGAGTGAGGCTACAAATATAAAAGTTAATTTATATTTTGCCGTCCAAAACCGGAAATCGATCATCCCATTCCAAGAAGAAAAGGAAAAAAGGGGGAAACCAAGGACGAAATAGCGGGTTGCGTCGGATTTGCGATTACCGAAATAAAAAAATGCATTTAGAGCTTTTGGTTAGTGATTTACTTGTGGATGGTACTATGTGTAATAAACTCCGTAGTATATATTTTTTGGACAGATTTTGCTCTTGACTAAGCATAAATATAATGGGGTTATTTGCACTTACTTATGACGGATGCTTCTCGAGCTATTGAAATAACAATACAAGCAAGCAAGAAAAAGAGGGAAATATTGATATTGTGTTATAATTTTGATATTAGCACAACTTGCTTGTGGCATTGCGTTGGTGCATGAAACAGCCTGTAATGCACACTTTATTTATGCAATGTAGAGCCATATCAACAATTGTCCCTCCAAAAAAAAGATACTTGCAGCCCAATACGGATGAATCATCATGCATCGTGCGTGGTAAGATACATAATAGTAAGTATGCACAATGAACAACTTACACATGTGAGCCAAAACCTTGGGATATTGGCAATAACATTCTGGCGCTTCTTGTATAACGGAGCCTTCCTCAGCTCGTATTTGGCATGCAGGGCAGCCTCCTCGTCCACAAGCTGGTCGACAATAACGCTAATCTCAATGTTGATATCACTAAGTCCTTGAGGGACCCTCGAGTCCAACGTTTGTTCCGGTTTCAGCTCCCATATTTAAAAAGTATTCTGTATATATTTGAGTGTAAAAATGGGTGTGTATGTGGGAGACGGTATATCTGTTTTTTTTTCTTCTGGGAATATCTCGACTGCTGGTGATGCTGTTCTGCAAATAAAAAAATAGAAGGAAACAAAGAAATATACAAGTTTTATTTTTGTAAGAGTAGAGTAGAACTGTGGTTTATTTATTTTGGTTCTGTCTGTTGAAATAGGAAAGAAATAATAATGCTGTTGTAAAAGACGGTTTTTTTCTTTTGGAGCAACTTGTTTAAAAAAAATTCTGACGATCCAAGAAATTGGCGAATCAATGGATTACTGTGGTAATCAGCTACAGGGCGCAGTAATATTTTAAATTTTGTATACGCATGACGGAAATTAAAAACAAATTAACAAACACGTGTTTGGTTGAATGAAAAAATGAAAAAATGAAATTTGGCGCAGTAATATTGTTGTGACCTTTTGTATATTTGAATAAGATCCTTTTTTATTATCGATGGTGACTATATAGCTGTTTGGTGGTATTTATATTTATTGATAAAGGAAAAATGGTATAAATAAAACAAAACGAGAAAGATAAAAAAAATAGGTTGGCGAGGCAAAAACAAACAACTTAAATAAAACGGAACTCCCGTTCGTTCAAGTTTCCATGAGTGAGAACACACAGCTTCTCGTGTGAAATGTAATATATCTCGTCATCAAATATACCCCAACAGTTTGTGCATTGATAAGAGCACTTTGAAGTTTTAAAAGTGTAAGGCTGGTAGTTGTGGTTGCAGGAATGATTGGCACACATGGTTGTTTTGTTCTTGAGTAAAAAAGCTGATAGAGAAAATATTAGGTCTTGTTGGGTAGGGGGGGAGTATGTAGAAAAAAAAGTTGTGGTTTTAGTAAAGATTATTTATAGGTAGAAAAAAGGTGGGGAGGTGGCGAATTATTGACCTAATCATTATTACTATTGTTATTGTTATTATTATTTTATTTTCCATTTTTTTGGGGGGAAGGTGCTGTCAATATCCGCAAACACACGCATTCACATTGACAAGAAAAAAGAAAAAGAAATACAAAAATAACCTGGTGACTAGAATAAAGAACAAAAAAAATTTATTGTCTTGTGCAAAAAGAAAAATAATGAGGAGGCGCTGCATAATCATGCCACAACAACAAGTTAGATATAAAAAATGTTATTGTTTGAATTGGGATTGTCCAATGTTTGTGTCATAAAGCAGAATTTTTTATTTTCAAAACACCTCTACCTTTTTTTTATTTTTTATTTTGTATTGGCTGTATTGAGAAATAAAATAAAAATAAGGAGTGAAGAGTAATGAGGCTATGTCATATGTCTTTCTACTTTAATTAAAAAGGATTTTTAAAAGTAGAATATATACAATATACAATATTTTGATAACATGATACCTACCTTTTTGCTTTGCTTGTATACATATATTCTGGAGAATGTGAGTTTCTGGCATCGCAGAATATATTTGTCACATTAACATACTCTATTCATTTATTTATCCATCTATCGGATAATAATGTCTTTTTTTAAATAATATTTAATATTTATTCAATTCTAAACTTTCTAGTTAAAAAAAGCCTTACTTTTTCTCAGCCAATTTCTTCTGATGTTCCTTGATCAAGTCCTCCTGCACATTAGGGAGCACCGGCGAGTGTCTCTTATACTCCATGAAAACTCGCCCTTGCCCTGAGTAGCCGACCGCAGCTCCGTCGAGTAACCAAACATATTGTTCAACGGCACCTCTGCCAAAATAACACAGTAATCCTCCTGCGTCTCCGTATCAATAATCAGACCCTTGCGCTTATTAAGCGAGCCCAAAACACTACCTTGGAACTCAATAGGCGCCGAGACCTCAACAGTCATAAGGGGCTCGAGAATCCTCGGGTTGCTGACCTTGAATGACTCGCGGAAAGCGTGGAAAGCAGCCAGACGGAAAGCCAGCTCACTCGAGTCCACGGAGTGCGCCGCTCCATCGAGCAAAACCATACGGACGCCAACAATCGGATGCCCAATCATGAAACCCTCATTCAGTCCATCCATGTATCCCTTTTCGCATGCCGGAATGTAGTTTGTCGGGATGTTTCCGCCAAACACATTATTGACAAACTCAACGGTGTCTCTGCCTGCTGCTCAGGATCAATCGGCTCAATATAACCGATAACGCGACCGAACTGGCCAGACCGCCACTCTGCTTCTTATGCGTGTAAGAGAACTCCGACTTATGCGTTGCTGTCTCCCGGAAGGCCACCTGCGGCTTACCCGTGATACAATCCACCCCGTATTCACGACGCATCCGCTCAACATAGATATCCAGGTGGAGCTCGCCCATGCCCGAGATAATAGTCTGCTTGCTTTCCGAATCAACATGCACGCGGAAAGTCGGGTCTTCGCGCTGGAAACGATTAAGAGCCTTTGAGAAATTCACAGCGTTCTTGTCTTTGGGTGTCAACGACAGGGAGATGACAGAGTCAGGAACGTACATGGTGCTCATGGAGCGATTGATGGTACCGTCGGTGAAAGTGTCTCCAGAGGCGCAGTCGATACCAAAGAGCGCGCAGATTTCGCCCGCACCTACGCTGTCCACGTCCTCCATGGAGTTGGAGTGCATACGGACGAGGCGCGAGATCTTGACCTTTTTACCGGTCTTCACATGGTAGGCAAACTGACCCTTCTCCAGGCGGCCCTGGTAGACGCGGATATACGTGAGCTGGCCGTATTTCCCCTCCTCCAGCTTGAATGCCAGCCCGACAAAGGGCTGGTTGGCATAAGGAATGACATCGAGCACTTTCTCGCCGTTATCAATGTCCAGCATCGTGTTGGTGATATCTGTGGGGGTCGGCAGGTAACACACGACGGCGTCGAGCAGCGTCTGAATGCCCTTATCCTTGATGGCCGAGCCCATAAGCACCGGGTGAATTTACGTGCGATCGTGCGCGACGAATGGCAGCGCGCAGCTGGTCCTCCGAGGGGATCTTTTCCTCAATGAACAGCTCCCCAACCTCATCGTCAACCTCCGCCAGGGTCGCAATGAGCTCCTCCCGCGCGGCCTGCACGGCATCCACAAGGTGCGGGGGGATTTCTCCATAAACAATGTCTTCACCGCGGGTGCCCTTGTTGTAGACAGCCTTCTGGGTGAGCAAATCCACGACACCCTCGAAGGCGTCCTCGGCGCCAATGGGTAGCTGCAGCGCGGCGGCCGGGATCTTCAGCTTGGTGCGGATCTGCTCGATGATCCGGTTTGGGTTGGCGCCAGCGCGATCCATCTTGTTGATGAAGGAAATCCGCGGCACATTGTACCGGCGCATCTGGCGATCCACAGTGATGGTCTGGCTCTGCACACCGCTGACCGAGCACAATACCAGGACAGCGCCATCCAGGACACGCAATGCGCGCTCAACCTCAATAGTGAAGTCAACGTGGCCGGGCGTATCAATGATATTCAGGTTGGTGTCTCCCCATTGGGCGTAGGTGGCGGCAGATTGGATTGTAATGCCCTTTTCGCGCTCTAGCTCCATCCAGTCCATGGTTGCCCGACGTTGTCCTTGCCGCGCACCTCGTGGATCTCCTTGATCCGGCCAGTGTAGTAGAGAATGCGCTCGGTCAGTGTTGTTTTGCCAGAGTCGATGTGGGCGGAAATGCCGATGTTGCGCAGGTGCTTGAGGCGGTTGATGTCGTCGGCAGTTGCTGAAGAGGAGGAGTTCCAGCGCCGCGGGTGGTGGTGGGCAGCGGCGGCGGCCATTAGCGAGGTGGCTAGCAGGCGGGAGCTGGTTGGGTTTGTCAAAAGTCTGCTGGTGCTTCTGGCGGCTAGGCGCGGCAGGAGCATTGAAAAAGCCATCTTTTTAACTTTATATTTTTTATAAAAAAAGGAAGAAATAAAGGTTTAAACCGGGACGAAAAGGTGGTTTGGTTGTTATCTCGTTGATTGCAGATTGCAGTTTGCAGTTTGCAGTTTGCAGTTTGCAGTTTGCAGTTTGCATTAGCGTAAAGGCAAGGAAAAAAATAAAATAAAATAAAATGAGACCATCCAATGCATAACGGATTGATGAATTGATGAATTGATGATTGGTGGATCGATGGATCAGATCAGATCAGAGCAGAGCAGATTACTGATGGAAAATTTTAAATGGTAATTCAACGCGGCGAGGCCCGTGACCACTTTTGACCACTTGACCACTTGACCATTTGGCCATTGCATTGGCCATTTGACATTTCTGGGTGGGGGAAAATACAAAATAAAGGTGTGTGGCACATGGCAGACGGCGGGCATGCAAGTAGTAGCCACGATTAAAAGTGAGAGGGGGGTTGAGTGTTTCTCAAATGAGAGGCTTGGTTTGTGCTCTTGTCGAATTATGAAACTTTTAACTTATTATTTTCTTGCAGCTTCATTGCAACCCACACTCAATTCAACCTCACATTAATTCCAAGTTCAATTCCAACTTTACACACATGGCAGCGATAGTCTCAGGCTCAGGCCAGACCAGCTTCAGGCCAGGCTCAGCCAGGCCAGGCCCAGGCCCAGGCTCGGACATCCACAGCAGCCGCGTGCAGCTGCTCGCATCGGCCGACGCAGACCAGGTGTACCAGGCGCTGCGCGCAATCAAGAACAGCGTCATCGGCAGCAGCTCAAAGAAGGCGCTCTACCTGCAGCTGCAGGTGGTGCCGGCAGTCGGCGCAGTGCTCACATCCAGCGTGGCGAGCGCAGCCAGCCGCGTGCAAGCCACGGCCATCGTCAGCAGCCTTGTGCGCAGCAGCGGCGCCGACGGCGCAGCAGCGGCGTCTGCGCTGGCAGCCGGCGGCGTAGTGGCGGCGCTGGTGCAGCAGCTGGGCGCGCTCGACGCGCCGCCGCAGCAGCCCGGCCTGGCGGGGGCGTCGCCGCAGCAGCTGGGCGCCCTGGTCGAGACGTCCGAGCGCGCACTCAACGCGCTGCTCGCGCACCGGCTGCCGGCGCTCGAGGCCGACGACGCGGCGCTGCACGCGCTGCTCGCGCACCTGCTCGCGCTGGTCGCGGCGCGGACATGGCGGCGGCCGGGCAGCCGCACCGCCACGCGCGCGCCGAGCTGGCGCTGCTGATCGTCGCGCGGCTGTGCGTGTCGCAGGCGCGGCAGTTCATGGTGGCCAACGGCGGCGTCATCCCGGCGCTCGTGCGCGTCCTGCGGCTCGCGCGCGCGGCGCGGCTCCAGGCGGCGGCGCTGGCGGCGCTGGCGGCGCTGGCGTACGAGAACGCCGAGATCTGCCAGGCGCTGGGCGCGCAGCCGGCCGTGGCCGCCGCCATCATGGCGCTGGTGCGCGCGGCCGACGGCGCCGTGCGGCTGCGCGCCTGCGAGGTGGCGGCCAGCCTGGCGCGGATGCGCGGCGTGGCGGCGCGCGACGTGCAGGCGCTCGCCGTGCCGGCGCTCGTGCGGCTGGTCGAGGCCGGCGACGCCGGCGCCGTGCGCGTGCTCGCGTACCTGTGCCACGAGGACGCCGACGCGCAGGCGGCCGCGCGCGGCGCGGGCGGCGTCGCGGCGCTGTGCGCGCGGCTGGCCGCGGCGTGGGCGGCCGGCGACGGCGACTTTGGCGACGCGGCGCGCGCGGCCGCCGATGCGCGCGCCGCGCTGCTCGCGCTCGGCACCTGCGTGTCCGCCAGCGAGGAGAGCCGCCGCGCGGCCGTCGACGCCGGCGTGCTTGCGCACATCGCGCGCGCGCTCGGCCACCCGGCCAGCGGCGTGCGCGCGGCGGCGTGCCTGTGCGCGCGCTACATGGCGCGGTCGGTGGCCGTCTGCCGCACGCACGTGCCGGACAGCGGGCTGCTGCGGCCGCTGGTGCGGCTGCTGCGCGACGCGTGCGCCGACGTGCAGGAGGCGGCGGCCGCGGCGCTGGTCAACCTGCTGACCGACTTTTCGCCGCTGCGCGCCGACGCGCTGAAGCTCGGGCTGCTGCCGGAGCTCGTGCGGCTGCTGGACGCGCCGGCGCCGCCCGTGCGGCGCAACGCGCTGTGGGCCGTGCGCAACCTTCTGGTGGGCATCGACGATGAGACGCGCCGCGAGGTTGTCGCGCAGGTGGGCGCCGCGCGGCTGCTGGCGCTGGCCGCCGCCGACACGTCGGGCGCCGACGCGGCGCTGCGTGAGCACGCGGTCGGCGCGCTGCGCAACGTGGCCGCCGACAGCGCGTGGGGCGTCGACGCCATCTTCGCGGCCGCCGGCGACCGGCTGCCGGCGCTGCTGGCCGCGCTGGCGAGCGAGCGCGGCGACCGCCATGTGCGTGTGCACGCGCTGTACCTGGCGAACAACGTCGCCGTGCGGTCGGCTGCGCGCTGCGCCGTGCTGGCCGCGCATGCGCCGCTGGTGCGCGCCGTGGCCGCGGCCGTTGAGGCGCCGGACGCCGAGGTGGCCGTGGCGGCGCTGTGGTGCGTCAGCAGCATTGCGTCGCACCGCGGCGGCGACGGTGCGGATGGCTCCGGGGGCCGCGCCGTGCACGTGCACGTGCCGGTGCTGCGCGCCCACGGCGTGGCGGAGGCGCTTGACCGGCTGCTGGCCGACAAGGCGCAGCCGCTGGACGTGCGCGACCGGGTGAAGAGCTGCATGGACTATTTCTCGTGAGAGAGAAGGCATGGGGGATGGGCGGGCTGGTGGATGGATCGGATCGGGTCGGATCGGGATCGGATCGGGTCGATCGATCGGTGGGCTAGCGCTGGAAAAGGCATTGCAATGGAATGGATGGATTGGCATTGGAAACGTCATGGGAATGGGATGGATTAACATAGAAACGTTGTGAGAACAGGGTGGATTAATATTAGAAAAGTTGTGAGAACAGGACGAATTGACGTTATGAAAGTTGTGAGAACAGGGTGGATTAACATTAGAAAATTAACATTAGAAAAGCTGTGAGAACAAGATAAACTAACATTAAATAAATGTAAACAAGATAAACTAACATTAAATAAATGTAAAGCAAGATAAACTAACATTAAATAAATGTGAGAACAAGATAAACTAACGTTAGATAGCTAGCAGAACAAGGTAAACTAACGTAGATAGCTAGCAGAACAAGGTAAACTAACGTTAGATAAGCTGTCAGAACAAGATAAACTAACGTTAGATCACTTATGAGAACAGGATAAATTAACATTAGAAGAGATAGCTTATGAGAACACCAGGACGAATTAACGCTGGGAAAGCTGTGCGAACCGCATTCAAATGGGCTAGAGAAGCGCCGCCCCTACAAGCACGACGGCCGCCGTCCCCACGATGAACGCCGTCATCAGCACGCCCAGCACCACGGGCGCGTGCGGCTCGCGCTCGAGCATCGCATACATGAGCCGCTCGAGCCGCTCGCCGAACGCCTCAAGCGCGCAAGTCTTGGCCACGCGCGCGCGCCCCGCCTCGCCCATCTCCCGCCTCCGCGCGCCGTCCATGCCCAGCACCGCAGCCACAGCCTCGGCAAAGGCGTCGGGCGTCGGCTCGCACAGAAACCCAGTCTTCGCATGCACGACGGTTTCGCGTGGGCCGCCCGAGTTGGCGGCGACAACGGGCACGCGCATGTACATGCCTCGAGGGGCACGATGCCCAGGTGCTCGTTGCTCGGCGTGTACACAAGGCACCGGGCAAGCCCGAGGAGGTGTGCGCGCTGGTTGGCCGAGAACGACGGCAGGAAGACCACGTCCACGGAGGACATCTCGTCGCCGGCGGCGGCGGGAAGCACCAGCGGCGCCGACTCCGAGCCCGGCGGCAGCCGTGCTCGCGCGCGCGCGCTGCTGCCCTGGGGAGCAAGCGTGCGCGTGCGCAGGCCCTTCGCGTGCGCGTGCGCGACCAGCTCGACCAGGTGCTCGGCGTTCTCGGCCACGTCGGCGTCCCAGCCGCCGGCCACCACCAGGCAGGCATCCTTGTGGCGGCCCTCGTGCAGCAGGGCGAGCGCATCGATGGCCAGGGCGATGTTTTTCTTGCGCTCAAAGCGGTTGATCGACGCCACCAAGGGCCTCTGCGTGCGCAGCCCCCACAGCCCTGCATCCTGCGCATCCGCCGCTTGGTCGTATGCTGCGAGGTTCAGCGCCGGCTGCAGCACGCGCGGCGCCTGGGTGATGTGCGGGAATGCCCGCTGGAACACCTCCTGTGTGAAGCGGCTGTTGACCACAATCTCGTCTGCTTCGCGCGTCGTAAACTGCTCCAGAAGATCAAACGGCAGCCGATACATCCTGCGCCAAAACCCAACATGCGGCGCCTGGAGATAGTCTGGGAAATGGCAATAAAAGAAAATCCGCGCCTGCGCAAACCGCAGCAACGGAATCGGGGCAGATAGCTGATCGACAAACAGAACATCATACTGCTCTCTGTCGCCTGCCACTTGATTAGCGAGCGCGAGCGAGCGCAGGATTGTGCAGAGTATGTGCATGTGGCCAAAGATGCTGCGCGGGAGAAACCATTGATTACCGCCGGTGTGCACTTGGAGTGTGCCGTCGCGGGTTTCGGCGAAGCAGTGGGAGACGTCGTGGTGGAGCGTGTGGATTATTACCTTGTGCCCGAGGTTTTGCAGACTGAGCGCGGCGTCGACGACTAGGCGCTCGGCACCGCCGATGCCGAGATTCGGATGGACAAACCCAATTGTAAGCCGTCTCATTTCATGAATAAATCAGATTGAATAATGAAATATAAATGAAAATGAAAATAATAATAATAATAATAATAATAATAATATAAAAGAAAAAAATGGGCTTGTTTCTTATGCTCTGGATATTCGCCTCTTTCTCTCTTTGTATTCACATGGACGATCGACAGAACGCCTTCTTTCCTTTTTCTGTTGCTGCTGGCCAGACCGATTGTATATGCACCTTTTTAATCTAAATAAATAAACAAATTAAAAATTAAATTTGCATTTAGCTCATATTCCATTCTATCATATCCCCTGGACTTTTCTGGTCAGCCCTGCAGATGATAGTGTAGATATCTTGCTTTATTTTACTCTCCTATTTTCATCAATATATACCGCCATATGCAAACTGTCACATCATCTTGTGACAGATCAAACTTTTTCTTTTCCTACGCTGATATCAAAACATGCTTTTCTGTAACGACTGAATAATATAAACAATTGCCTAAACATGGGCACCAAAATCCACATATATAAAAAACTTTACCCATCTCCCATTTGAATACATTAAAAGAAATACGCTTATTTTTTTTTTACATTTCTTTCACAAAATCAATGAGCTGCTTTATCCGCAAAGATCGCGCAAGATTCAAAGAGCCCTTTATCATCAGCGACTACGACCCCAACTGGCCCACCCTCTTCTCTGCGAAAAAAGCCTCATTCAAAACCACCTCGCCCCTACTCCTCGGCATCGAGCACATCGGATCCACCAGTGTCCCTGGTCTCGCCGCCAAACCAATAATCGACATTCTCGTTGTACTTCCAAACTTTTCACACATCAAAGAATGTGTCCAAGCCATGCGCTCCCTCCGATACGCCTTTCTGGGCCAATGTGGGGTCCCCGGCAGAGAGTATTTTAAAAAACCTGGCTTCCATGTGCATATGGTGGAAGTCGGGAATGCGGATTATTTAAGGGTTAGAGCTTTTGTGCAATGCTTGAGGGACCAGGAGGAGCTGCGCAAGGAGTATGTTGATTTGAAGAAAAAACTGGTGCAGAAGTGGGAGGGCGTGGATAATTGCCATTACAAGTATGGAAATGACAAGACGGAATTTATTGTAGGTGTTTTGCAGAAAACTGGTTTGCCGCCGCTTGTCAACGGAGCTTGGAGGCAGCGTTAATAATTATAATTTTGTTAGCTTGTATTTTATTTATATCTTGTTTTTTATATTTATTGTTTAATAAATGGTTTGGCTTTTTGTTTTTGTTTTTACCACATGGATGTGAATTAACACGCAAATAACACTACTCTCTGCCTCCATGAAGAAACGTTTGTCTTGATTGTCTGGCTGCACCCCCGATACTTGTTGATACACATCTTTGGTCAATAACTATATATACTTAGGCGACGGATATTGAAGTTGGCAATACGATGCTCGATTATTTTGCATAGTCGTGGGTAATATCTTGCACATAATAAAATTAACAGTCTGACCGTTGTTTTCGTGGTCAAAAAAATAACACATATTGCTCTCTTGGCTAAAAAAAAAATTGTTCTTTGGTCGTGTATCTGACTTTTCAGTTATTCTTGCTCAAGATCTTGTTTTTTATTTTGACACTAGCTATTGCGCTCTCCTTCACTTGCACTAACAAATAACCAAAAGAACAAGTACTCAATTTGATTTTGTTGGATTTATGCGCTTTCGCATTATTATTATTTTTTTTGTAGTCCTATCGCCTCTCAGTCAGGTCCAGGACACATAACCAAGACAAAAAACGAACAAGCCACGAGCAAGAGCAAGCACCGGCACTGGCACCTGTATCAGATTCAGTGCTCAAATGTCCCAAAATTCAGCGCTCTGATTCCCTGCTATTTCCAGCCTGCAATGGTGCTGAGGAATAGGCGTAGGTACTGGGTGCACTGAATAATAGCCATTTAATAGCGATTTTACAATAACTTGATAGTAATTCCATGGTATTTTCCAATACATAAAAACTCTATAAACCCTAACCCAAAATATTAGGGCACCGAAATTTTGTATTGAATTGCTCTGTGGAATTGTTCAATAGATGATTCGTTTTTTAACTACTTTCCAAAAATGGATTCTTTTTATTTTCAAGCAGACAAAATTATTGAGAAATGTATTACTTCATCCCCCTTTTTCATCATGTATAAAAATTTTAACATGCTTTTTCCTCTCCTTTCCTTCTATTCCTCTTATTCATCATCCTATTCTCTTATTTTATTATTATTTACTTTGCCCTTACCCTTACTCTTCCCTTCTGACTCTATTTTATTCCCCAGCTCTGCCTCTGGCTCTGGCTCTGAGGAAATACCTTGAGCCAGGGGAGGGGCAATTTACAGTGCCAGTACTAACTAAATCTGAAACCACAAGAAGAGAAATTGTTGGTCGAGCTCTGCTGGAGATTCTTTTCCAGAAACACACAGTATTGTTGCACTGAAGTGCCACCCAGAACCATGCTTTACTTACATCAGCATCGGCACTCTTGTACCCTTCTTTGTGTCCAACAAACACACGCACGAGTTAATGGAAAAGTATATGGAGAGGATGGCGCAACTGGACGATGGTGCAATGGTCAACATCTTTAGTAGAAAGATCGTCTGATAGTGCATGGTGGGGAGCACCAGAAATGGCAGGAGGACGATTAACATTGGGCTTGTAATCAACAGCTTTGTCCCCCAGGTGGCAAAAAGGGATATCAGCTTTACAATGTTCAACGTTGTTTTGCTCAATCACCCTTCTCACTTGAAATGTTGCGCAACTACATGTTGCAGCCCACGATCCTGTCTGATCACAGCAAGCCAATGGCCACTTATAAATCTATGTGGCCTCTATTCCGGGAGGTCTATTTTCTTTAGCACAATGGTTTGGACTTACCATTGACGGGCAAAAGCAGTTGTACTAATTGTATCTTTTTTTGCCACGGGAGACATTCCAGACATTGCAAAGTTTTCTTGAAGTAAGGGCCACATAAGCAAGTTCCGCTGTTGAGTCTGCACAGCAAGGAAGTCTAAGAAAAGGGGATGCAAAAACGGGTTGGTGCTGTTTAACCAGCCAGAAAATGTGCGACTATGCGAGTACTTAGCCAACAGGTATGATCCAAGTCTTGATGCGAATTTTGAGTGCCATTTGCTTTACTCAATGCGTTTGCCAGGCCCTAGTTTTTCTGCTGCGACGAGATGCAGGCCATGGTGAACGGATTGAGCAATACAAGCAGGAATATCCAGGACTACTAAAAAGTACATCTTACAACAACCCTTGTACTTCCACCAACCCCAGAATAATACACCAAGCACATCCTTTTGGCAATAAGAACACATGCCACAATGGTGACGGTTTTGGCTGATAGAAAAGACTGCTGTAAAAATATATTAAAACTAAGTAATATAATCTAGCCAACGGAAAAGAAGGAATCACAACAACAACTGTTGTGATTTCACGCTTCTCCAATTACTTAGAAAGGCGTGAAGCATTGTTGGCTCACTCACCAACAGCGATTACGCCCATTTAAAGCATTAAAAATAGCATATATTTATGACATTTCATACAAGTAATGCCTAATTCCATATCCTTTGTTAAAGCAGTAGATCACTTGTTTGGGAAATGTCGTGGCCACGCAAATTTGACACTTTGAAAATTTACTTTCCACCAGATATAATTATTTTATTTAAAATGTCATGTCATTTCCTTATATATGCTTTACATGCTCTGCCAGAGCACTGGCTGCGTCAATTCTGCTTCTGAAGCGCCCAGCCTCCCAGCGCCAAAACATGGCTTTTAAGTTGCGATGGCACATCAATAGGCACCAATGCGGCAATCGCGCACAACTCAGTGGATTTTGCATCAAGAATACGACAATCGCTCAACAAGCGGCCATACAAGTCTGTCTGAATAAACTCTATGAGATCAGGATTCCACGCCCCGATTTTTTCCTCTAGCTTGTCTGCTTGTCTGCTGTACACTCCGCGCCACAGATCTATACCACGCTGGCGAACAGTATCATAATCACAGTGCGTTCTTTGGGACTGCTGTGGAAGCAAATCTCTCGTGTTCTTGTCCAGAGTATCCATCAATTGAGCTGTGCCGTTGATAACACGCGGTGCGCCTATGGTGGATATCATTTTGACCAGCGCCTCGCGAGCTTTGGCTGCAAATTCCAGGGTATCGGCTGCGGACATGTTTTGCAATATGTGGCGGATTAGGAGTGGGATAAGGAAGGGCTTGTTGGCTGACGCCATTGCCGTGACTGCCACTGTGTAGCGTAAAACGGGAACCAGGCCCTGCCCGACAGAGTCCAGCTGAACTAAATCAAGTACAATCAATTCGCTATTATCCGACATTATAATATGAAAAAGTAGGTTAATCTTTTTTTTATGAAATAACAATATAACCTTTTTTATTTAACCCAAATAGTTGCTTGGTCAGAAAATTAATGTGCTTGCATTTAATGTTTGTTGCAATTATGGCTAAAACAAAAAAGCTGTCCATACCCTACGTCTACTTTTTAGCAAATACGAATTTAGCTAGTCTCAAAGCACCCTGGACCATTTCCTCCGAAGCACCCAGTCTCGTGGCACCAATACAATGACTCTTCAGCTGCGCGGGCACATCTTGTGGAACCAGTGAGCCGATAGCGCATAATTCGGTATCCCTCCCATTAAGGTAATAGGTTTCACTGAGAAGGCGGCCGTAAGAATCTGCAATAATGACCTCTGCGAGGTCAGGATACAGGGAGTGCAGCATGCCTTCGACTCGGGATGCGTGGCGCCCATATATGCTAGCAAAAAGCTCTTGGCCGCGGGCGCGCGTTTCGGCGTAGTCGGGGGTGGTGCTGGATCGCGGATAAGTCGCAGTTGATAGTTCGTGTGCAATGGCGTCGTTGGGCTTTATCACACTCATGAAAGACGACAATGCATTGATGGCCTACAATTTATATCAACTTGTTCAAAATTGAACATACATTTGTTAGTTAAATCATTCATTTTTACAAAATATTGAACAGTTAAAATATAAGATATGCAAGATGACAAATGTTACCTTTGGAGTTCCCATGATGGATGTCATCTTGAGGATAGACTCGCGCGTTTGATGCACAAAGAAAACTTGCTCAGAAACATTTCCAAGTTGGTTGAGATGTGTCTGGGCTATCGAAGCAATTGTGCTTGGACGATTTGCCGACGCCAACGTCGATATGGCCACCAATGTACGCATATTGGCGTCTAGCTCGGGCGCCTCTTTATTCCAGGCCCTGAATGTCTCGGAATCCATGGTTCTTTGTCTATTTTTGGTACAAAAATATTAAGGAAATGCAATAAAGCAGAGAGGAGCAGAGAAGAGATGGATGGATGGAATGTCGGCTCATACACCAGCAATGCTTCCGAGAGATGGCGATAAGGCCTGTGCATATTGGTTGCATTTTTCGCTTGAAAATCACAAAATATGAATCCCGCAAAAGCACAAAATAATCCCAACCATTCATCACAAATTGGAACACAATAGCAATAACGATACCGCAAAGGGACGACTGCCAATCCATTATCACACTCAACAGCACGAATGCGCCTGGTGAAAGCGTTTTATACGTGCTGCTGGTATTAACCATACAGTTATCATAACAGCGCAGCTGATGATACCCAATCAATTAGCTTATTAGAAATTGGCGTTGCTGAAAAAAAAATGGCACCTAAGAAATGCCCAAGTTAACAATGTTGTTGGCCAGCTCTGGTGCGGACTCGGCTTTTAGCTTATCGAGGGTTCCCCAAAGTTGATCGACAATTTCAATGCGCACTCGCTCGTCCAGCCGCTCCCTCTCCTCCACTGTCAAGAGCTTTTCGCGAGCACACTCCATTCCCTGATCTGCGCAGTGAAATCTACAGCATCGCCGACCCGCAAGAAAAGCTCGCTCTTGAAGGGATTTGGGTGCGGTAGAGGCACCTTTTGGCGCAACGGCATTACTTCCTTCATGCCCCTGAAATACATGGGAATGACCACAGGCGTGCGCTCGGACTCCATAATCAGACGGCCAACGCCCCATTGAAGCGTAGCATGCGGCCGCTCTGGTTTACTATGCCTTCGGGAAAACATGCACCCATTTGTTCTCGCCAGCTTGCGCAGGCCGATCTCCACAGCTAGCTGGTAAATTCCGTCGCCGCGTACTGTCGGAATGGTCTGGCCCAGTGCAAAGAATCCATTCAGCACCGGGTTTTGTACAGCAGCTCGCGCGCGCCTAGTGTCCACCGCGAGTAATCAGGTTCCAGCGCATGCGCATGGGCATCACTCCCCACATAATCGGGTCGTCCAGCGTCGACTCGTGGTTGGCAATGGTTATCACGGGTCGCGACCGCAGCGGATCCTCAATAATGTCTGTCAGTTTGTGCAAGTCCTCGACAACTACCCTCTTGAATCCTAGACTGAGGAGCACGCCCATGGCTGTTGTTGACACGCCCACCACTGCGGAGCTCAGCGGCCGCCACCACCACAGGCCCTGTGGCGCCAGTTGCTTGTCCGCCCAGTACGCGAACGATCGCTCATGCGCGTGCCTCGTGGCAGTACGCTTATGAGCTCTGCCGCTCCCGGCCGGCAGCGATCGATCGACGGCTGCTGGTTACTGTCTGTGGCCATTATTATTTAAACGTGCTACGGAGCGAATAAAATATAGGGGAAATAGGGAGCTCAAATGCTCATTTCAGTAGCTCAGACTAAAATGTAAAAGCAATAGCAAAGGCAAAGGCAAAAGTGTGAAAATGGTGTGAATTGAGTACAAGTGGAGGAAGAAAAAGTGCGGAGAAAAAGATTGAGACAAATAAATGAATAATCGGCTACACCAAAGAAAATAATGTTTTTTATTTGCCAGCCTCCAAACGCTTCTCGCGCTCCATGACCTCCTTGTCAAACTTTAGCAAAATAACAGTGCGCAGCGGCAAGCCATCGGCTGGCACTACATGCGAAGTGACCCTGGCCGGACACAGGCAGCATTCGGCAATGGCCTCGACGATGCCCGAGATAAACGCACCAGGCGAAAACGACGACATCTCTTTGGGCACCGAGATGTACTTTAGGATCGCCGGTTCATTGTCTGTAATCATATACTCGTCCTCGCTCTCCGTGCTGCGCTCCAGCGAGTCCGCCTGCTTGTCAAACAGCGCCCGCCAGACCACCGTGTTGATAAACACCAAGGTTTGGAGCACTCGGCTCTCCCGGTGAACCGTCTTTTCGCGCCACATTGTTAGTTCGAATACTCGCACGCCAACCCGCTTGCCCAGGTCGTTCAGCTTGGATTCCAGGTCCTGAATTCCGAGCACTCGGTTCTGCGAGTATCGGATAATTTCGCCAAATATAAAGGCAAATGCGCTCAGGCTCACTTTGTCCCGCCGAGGCCGCGCTACGCTTTGTTCGAGGAGTGTGTTGGACCGCTTGGACGCCCGTGTATCCAGTCTTAAGAGGCCTTGCACCTGAGACGAAGACGACGACGACAATGACATCTGAGCAATTGTAATTGGAGAAAGGTTGATTGAAATATTTCTGCGCGCAACAAAAAAGAAAAAGAAACGTAAGCAGCAACATGTGCGAGCTGCGCTTCTGAGCTTCAAAGCCTAAAGCAAAAAAGGGGGCAACAGCGAGTGTACACATACACCAAAGAAAAGAATGAGGCTACAAGTATCCTGCAAATCGATATCCTTCCCCCAAATTGAATAGCAACCTAAAAGGCGTTTAGAAACTAGTGGCAATAGACCACTATGGTTGACGATGTTAATCAGTTTACTGCTGCTTCTTTTGGAGAAAAGCAGGGGCAGATGGAGTATTGTACACACGTTTGGGCTTGGGCTTTGGCTTGAGCAAAGTCTCGGGTGTCGCTGTGGGCTCAGTTTCGGCCAGCTCTGACGATGCCTTTTGCGCGAGAAACGGGTTTTGAAAACCCCCCGCTTAATAATCTAGAATTTCGCTGTAAATATCTGGAAATTCCAAAATTCCATTTTCAATAGTTGCATACTTACACGCGATATTGATTAGATTGTGTGTGATTTTGATCGACCAAGCTGATAGCACAAAAATTACGATCCTTTTTCAGAGTGGATTTAACTTTATCCTTCTCCTTTTTTCCTTTCTGCTCCAATCGACTATTACTAATTTTCAAATTCTATTTTATATTTTGCACAATGATGAAGGGCGGTTTGGCGCAAGTGGCGCGCTCACTCAAAGTCACTGAAATCTCGTCAAAGATTTTTGGCAACTCATTCAACCCGACAGGCGCGCGCACAGGAAACTACATTCTCAGACAAAACTTTCGCGGCGAGCACATGGTTCGGTACTACCCGTCACAGCTGGAGCGCGATTTGATTAAGGTGCCCCGTCTCAGCAGACTGGTTGGAGAAAAGATGTATGATCCTGAGGAGATTGATCGCCTCAACGTCAATGATAAGCGGAAGGCTCGCGGAAAGGGCGCCCCCAAGAAGGGTGAAGGCAAGCGTGCTACTCTGGCCAAGAAGAAGAAGAAGTGATCCATTGCTAGGGCGCGTTATGTATTTAGACATAGCTTTGTTGATGTATTCTGGAAACAAGACAATTGATAAATTTATTTAGGGAACTATCCGAGAACAAGTTTAAAGCAATATCAATGCGGCTCTGAGTCATACCGAAATACCCATATACTCTTAAAGTCACGTTAACAATGACAAACACGTTTTAGGGGGGCTTTTTCAAAAATTATTTTTTGCACAGACAACGGCTCAACTGTTGCCATTATCATTGTATTTAACGCAGATATTTATATTTATACAGCCGCACTGCTGGCGAATATGGAGAAAACCGACGACTTTTACATCTACTACTAGTATGTGCCACGCAACAGAGATACATATATGTACAAAAACAATTACTCTGTTATCCTTGACTGAAAAAAAACATCCGACCGCGCACTGTTCTCTTTTTTCTCACTACGACACAAACTTGTAGCTCTGGGCACCAGGTCGATTTGGAAACGAGTTCTTTCGCTTTGAAATTACCAGCAACGGGCACCTGCAGTATGCCAACAACTCCAACTACCGCCGCGATAGCATTATCCGCAAGCAGCTGACACTGAGCCCGGCCCTTTTGAACGAAATAAAGCGGATAATAGCTGACAGCGAGATCATGTATGAAAGCGACAGAAAGTGGCCCAAGAGAGACAACAACGGCAGACAACAGTTGGAAATTACAATGGACGGCAAGAGCATTAATTTTGAAGCGGCTAGAATTGGCTCGCTTGTTGATATTCAGGGCACTGATGATCCTGAGGGTCTTCGCGTGCTGTACTATTTGGTCCAGGACTTCAAGTGCCTGATCTTATCACTCATTTCTCTCCACTTTAAGATCAAGCCGATTGCCTAAGTCGCAAGCGCAACAATAAAATTAAGACTTTCTGTAATATGATATCAAAAATATAGGCAGCGTGGGGTCTTTCACAGGTCTTAATGAAATTTCCGGCTCTAGTGATAGCTTCTAGTGCACAGGGCAGGCTCTCAAACTGGTGGAACACGTGGATCATGTCAGCATAGCATTCATACGTGTATATGTCCTGGCGGTCCGGGTTAGCAGCCAGGATGTTGTGGAAGAGCTCGCTGATTTCGTCGAGAAGGAGCTCCTTGTCTCCAGCCTGTATCAGTGTCGGCGGAAAGTCTGAGAAATCAGCATTGACTGGCGACACCAATGGATGCGCCATTTCGGCCATGAGCTCTGGTGACATTCGACGACCGGGAGCATAGAACAGGCGAGCCCGAGACATGGGCGACGTCATCGGCATGTTGACCAAATAGTCGAAGCGCTTGTTACGCTCAATGCTTGGACGCTGAGATATGATATCGGTCCACGGCGACAAGAGCACCAGGCCGCGCACGTGGGGAATCCCTGTGTGCTTGAGCAAAAGTGTCAGCGCCAGCACCAAATTCCCACCGGCACTGTCGCCCGCCAAAACAATGTTCTCCGCCCTGAACCCCTGCTGCAACAAGAAATGGAAAGATATGTAGGCGTCGTGCAGCTGAGCGGGATACGGATGAAGCGGGGCCAATCTATAGTCGATTGTGAAGCACCGGAGCCCAGCTTGTGCGGCTATGCGCCCAGTGAGCCACGATGTGATGTGGGGGAGCCCAAGCAGTAAGCGCCACCGTGCAAATACAGAATAATGCGCTCGTTGGGCGTCAACGGCTCGCATTTTGCAGCAAGTTCGGCGGAGCCTGGCAGCGGTGTGGGTGCTGTGAGCTCGTAGGGATTACACGCTTGCTGCACGCAATGTCTTGGTCACTCTTGATGAGCGCGATCAGCCCCTTTTCAGCTGGACCTGTGCCGACAAACAGCTCCGGATCAATGGCACTTCAGTCACCTTAAAGCTCGCACTGACGTACGTGCCCAGATGAAATGGTATTTCAGAGTCTGGAAGGTCGTGCTTTTTGTACGAGGCAGCCAATTCTTCAAAGTCGATCAAGTCTATATCGTCGTCTGTCATTGACGCGCCGTTTCCTATTTTGCTTATGCTATAAATGACGTCGCGAAGAACCTGGAGCTTTAGCGGCCACCGCTCGCATCTCGGGCCCTTAACACAGTAGCTTATTGTTGACTTTGCCGCGCTCCTGGCAATGCTGGCCACAAACTTGGCCCTTTTCAGAATCTTCATTTTAAAAAAACAATAAATATTTTTTAGGGGAGGGATAAGGGCGGGAAAAATAACAAGTGTATTATTAAAATAAGAGATTAACTCTACTTTTATTTGCGCACAGGTGTTTTAAAACACGTACACACCCCACCTTTTAAATATTCACTTGCGGGGAGGGGATGAGTGCAATAAAGAAAGCGGGAAATTGAAATTCCACTACTAACCAAAACTACATTCTAAGCGAAAATAAAATCAACAAAAATTACAGAAATGACTAAGCCGCGCCAAGCCTTTAAATTCATTTAATTATTCCAATAAGCACAGCAATATGTCGCAAGAAAAAATAAGACAATACAGCAATAATAGACAAGAGACGAGATGTTCTAGAGATTACACTATAGTTGTATTGAGTAAAAGCTACGCTCGCATAAATATAAGGACAATGGAAGTGGAAGATCAACTCTCTCATATGCATTTCCAACATACAACTTGTATGCAACTGCTTGTGCGCGCATGTCCAAATCGAGATATCAAGAAAAGAGGCTTATGTGATAAGCCGCGTACAGTAAGATATACCGTGTAAAAAATCGCAAATATTAGCTGCAAGATCAAATGTCTTTTTATTTTACGAGCTTTCTCATTGAATTACTTGCAAAATTTTAAATGGCTCAAATTTTCATCTATAAATACAAACATATTGCACAGGAAAAAGTTCAGGAACAATTAAGCACGGATATGCATGACTGTCACGCAAAAGTCTCGTTACCAACTGACACAAGTTTTTTTTGTTGCATAGTACACTGGTGTAAATGGACTTTATAATTTCCAGACATTTATAGCGAAAGTCCAGATTTTTAAGCGGGGGATTTTTAAACCCCCTTTTTCACGCAAAAAGGCATCGTCAGAGCTGGCCGAAACTGAGCCCACAGCGACACCCGAGACTTTGCTCAAGCCAAAGCCCAAGCCCAAACGTGTGTACAATACTCCATCTGCCCCTGCTTTTCTCCAAAAGAAGCAGCAGTAAACTGATTAACATCGTCACCATAGTGGTCTATTGCCACTAGTTTCTAAACGCCTTTTAGGTTGCTATTCAATTTGGGGGAAGAATGTCGATTTGCAGGATGCTTGTAGCCTCATTCTTTTCTTTTAATATAACTTGATACTATCAAAATTCTCAATTAAACAAAATCAATTCATTGGAAGGAAAATTGGGAATGAACGAAATAAAAAACATATAAAAGCAGTTGTAGACAATCTCTTTTTTTCTGAAACAAAAGTTAAAATATTTTAACTTTGTCGAATTAATGGCGCCGGGGTTTGATGCCAGCCAGCACCACGGAATCCTCCTCGGGCTTTGTAAAATCTTGGATTTCTTTTTCCTTTCCTTCCGTCTCCTGGACACCGGCTTTCGTGAAAATCCACTTTGTAATTACCTCAGTGGCCTGTGCGGGATCATCGGGATGTCCTTGAGCATAAGCTTCGGGTGATAAAAGCCATCAGTCTCGAGTTGGAAAAACCGCGGAATAAACCGCTCCTTCGCAGCCTCGCGCCGCTTCGCTTCCTCGCGCTGCTGCTCCTCGATGACGCTCTTTTGCGCGGTGGCCGCATCCAGGTCATTCTCTACAATGGCCTTTGTAACAAACTTCCACAAATTGCGCGACTCGTTGGGCTCCTGCTCAGCCACGCAAGCAACGGTCTGCGGAACGACATTCTCCTTGGTCGAGTCGAAAAGAACCGTGGGCTCGGTCTTTGTCTTCTGTCTGTAATGTATATGGTGGTCTGCCAGTTTCCAGAGATGTCATAAAGGACCTCCTTAGTCGATATGCGCTTGATTTTGCCCGCGATCTGGTTATACGTACCCCAGATCAAGCCCTTGGTCTTAAACTCAACCTCGAACATCAAATCGCTCTTCTCGCACGTCACCGTTGATGTCTCGCCCAACTCTAGAACCATCTTGCCGAAAAGAATGCCACGAGCGTACATGTTGGGGTAAGTCACCAGGTACTCTTCGTTGTTCCGCTTGTTGAAGTGAACCTTGGCGTAGCCCTCGAGGAGCATGCCCACGCTGTTGCCAAAGAAACGGCTTTTTGGCCGCAGATCGCCTTCAATGGAAATGTGGTGTTCGGGGCTATGGTAGAACATGGCGGTAATTGGCGGGTGGTGTGAGACTTGCTCAGAGACAAAGTAGGCGCTGGTGCTGTCGCGGAATGTGCACTGAGAGCGGAAAAACTCGCCCAGAATTGGATTGTAGGGTTTTTTTACTCCCTATATTATTTTGCAAAAGCAAGGACATTTTGAGCAACAAGTGCAGGGTTTGTTAGTAATGATAGTGTTTTGAGCAACAACAAAAAAAGCTTGGCGCTACAGCAATGTTGATTAAAATGAATCACTATTTTTTTACTCTTTTCATACCTTTGGGTGGATGTGCCAGCCCGACATGTAGTACTTTACAACTCCGATAAAGCGGTCAATCGGATCCTCACACTTGCTTGCACTACAAAAAATTAAAAAAGAGAAAGCATAAAGGAACACAATTTAATTGCTATTTATTCGGGCACACAAGCATGCACTCTTCACACACACACATAAGCATAAAGTCAGCCCATACAGCGCAGCCTAACAAACATATCGAGTGTCATACTTTATCAAGAAATCGGGGTGCGACATAAAATCTGTCACCCGCTCGGTGAAGCTTCGCGGCTCTAGCACGAATGTCGGAAAGGTGATGCGTGACAGGTCCATATCCTTGCGAAGCTGGCCAATCATGCTAATAATGATACTCCGGGGCTCCTCGTCCAGCTCCTCCTCGATAACCGAATTCTCGTCGCATTTGCTCATTGCAAGCCTTTTTAATACTAAATAATGAGGATAAAAATAGGATAAAAATGAATGTGTTTATGTGCACGCGCGTATACAGAGCCAAATATTAAAGATAAAAACAGAGAAAGGGAGAGAAAGACAAAGTAAAAAATGTCTTGAAGAAAAGGCGGAATTTCAGCTTTTTCACCTCGAATTCGCAAACAAAAGGAAAGTATCAAAATTGATGAAAAGCAAAAAAATGAACAAAAAAGTGCTTCACTGAAACACAATTGTCCCCCAAACCCCAATGCACAAAGCGCCGACAACAAAAAGGCGACTTTTTTGCTTGCATATTTTCTATATTTTCTATTTTCCGTTCAATATAAAACAGGACCTAGCTCGCAAGGCCAAATTGAATAAAACAAGCAAGTCTGCGAATAAAATAGCACGCATAAAACGCAGGCGTACTGCACAAAAATTTGATACATGATCTAGCCCGAGTCTGTGGCCAAGCGCAATGCCAAGGAGGCACCGCCCTCTGCTGCGGCTACCCATCCCCACAAGCAGCGCACAAATTGGTTTACCCACATACCATGGTGGTTATTGCCGCCAGTTGTTTAACACAGGACGGGTTTCGTCAAATGAGCAAGTGGATCTGTGGATCTATTTTTCTGGGCAAAGTGTGAATGGGTTTTTTTGTCCAGCGCATCAAATTCTAATCGCTCGTTTATCAGGCGTCTTTTTTGTACTCCTATGTTCGTTACTATGAATGGGGGTAGCCACAAAAAAGAAGTGTCGATTGTCCACCAACACCACGTCATCGCCGGGGAACAGCAGAGGAAGAAAGATAAAGGCTAACACAATTATTAATTGAAAAATACAATTTGCATTTAAAACCAAGCGGAAAAAGTAAATACATTAATCAACCATTTCCAGCTCCTCGTTATCCGCAGGCTTCGGTCCACCACTACGGCCAGCAGAAGCGCTGTCCTTGCTGCCCGCAGCAGTGGCAGCAGCATCAGTATCCGCAGGAATATGCGCCATGATGTCAACTGAAGAGCCCAGCGTCTGGTTGGTGGGGACCATCAAAATAAGGTTCTTCGAAGTCACCTCTCTGCGATAATGTGTCAGGGCCTGGGTAAATGAATCGCGATTGCTCACGGTCAGCACAAATTCTGCGGCTGACAACAGGTCCTTCAGCGCCTTGATCAGATCATCGCGGCGTTCGGTCGGCTGATACTGCACAATTTGGCTGGTGTACTGCAGAGCAAACTCGCCATCAAGCACAATGAGACAGAATAATGGGCGCGAGAACGACCAGTCGTTGGGCCGGTCCTCGAACAAAACGACATTGAGCATTGTGCGCAGCAAGTACTTGATAATATCGGAGCGTTTGCGCACGAGCTTGGCCAAGTCTTGGAACTTGCCCGAGTCTGTGCCCTCAATAGCTGCTGTAAGCACGCCGTCGATGACGCTGCACGCGGCAGACGACACGGCTGTCTCGGCGTGGTCGAACGCCTCGACACACAGGCGCATTATCTGCTCGTAAGCGCCCTCGTCCAGACCGACCAGCTCAATGTTGGTCTTGGCCAGCAACACCTCGAGCATGGTCATCGTGGCCTTTCCAAGCTTCGGGTAAGCAATGACATCGGCCACAGGCAGCTGTTTGAGCAGCTCCAGCACAATACGGTATGCGTGCTCCAGAGCAGTGTCGCCGTACAGCGGCATAACTCCAATCGCCACGTACTTGCCCGAAATCAGCCGCATCAGCGTCGTGAAGCACACGGAAACGCCCTTGTATCTGTCCTTGTAGACGTTGTGCACGGGGTAGGAGCCCTTGAGGACCGCGTTGCCGTACTCCCATATGGCGGCGCTGGCCTCGCGGAATATCAGAATGCCGTTGGGGGACGTCACTTCAAAGTTCAGCCGCTGCGTGCGATTGTACACAAACTCGGACATAAACTTGAGCGCGGCGACCTGCACTCGCGAGTCACCGCTGACCTGCAGGCTGCGGTGCGCCAGGCGCATGCGGCCGGCGCTGATCCACTCAAAAAACATTGTGTAGTTGGCCTTGGACGAGATCGCCGACAGGAAGCCCCGCAGGTCGCGCAGGATCCGAACCAGCCCCGGGCGGACAGCGTCCTGCGCGAACTGCGCGTCAGACAAGCCCAGCAGCTCGTCGATGATCTGCGCCCAGGGCCGCATAAACCCGGCAAACTGTGCAGGCGGAGTGTCACCCGTAAACAGAATGCGCGCCAGGCCCGCATAGTACATCGACCGCTGCTTGTACTCGTCGATGCTGCGCAAAAACTGGAACTGGTCGCTGCTGTGGTTGGCGAGCAAGAACTTGATGGTGTCCAGCTTGGCCACCTGGCGCACGCTGACGTAGCCAACTGACATGTCGTGGAACAGCTGCAGAGACCGTTGGATGACCTGCGACTGCGCCTGCCACGTGCGGAAGTTGAACAGAACCTTCTGCAAAATGAGCTCCAGGACGCTGGCGCTGTCGTTGAGGCCGACAAAAGACGAGAGCTTGGCGTACACGGCCGTTGTCTTGTAGTTCTGCTCGCCGATGTAGCTCGTGCGGAAGCACTGGTACAGCTGCAGGAATGCAAGCTCGAGCGCCTCGTTGGGTGGCGCTGCAATGTTGCTCTGGATGCGCTGCTGCACGAGGCGGTCTAGCTCCAGCCCAGTGGCAAACATCTCGGCGTCGTGGCGGTCGTCCTCGGGGAGAGACTTGTACGGCTGCCGGGCATTGATGCACTGCGCAACCGCGTACACCGGCCACGCCAACTGGCTCTCGATCACCACCACGGCCTCCTCGCTGGCTTGACCCGAGTTCAGCAATGCCTGGTACTTGCCAGCCATCTCGCGGAAGATATCGAGCACGACGGGCGCGCAGGTGTCGTACTGCGAGCGTGCGATGTTGGCCACCAATGCCATGCTGTCCACCATAGCGTCAATGTTCTCCAGCGGGCTGTCTGCCATTGACTCGGCTGTCACCACACGCATCGTCACCAGGATCATCGAGCGCAGGTACTCGCGCACGATCTCGGGTAATGTGCTGGAAATCAGATCGCCAGCAATCTCGGCATTGCTGTTGTCGCGCGAGTCGTGGGTGCTCGCCACCTTGGACCAAAAGTCAGCAGCGGCGCAATACTATTTGGAGACCACTCGTACAGGGTCAGCCCGGTCATCGAGAATGAGCGACGCTGGACAGCACTCACGATAGACAGGCGAGTCCTCGATCTCGACCAGCGTGTGGATGCAGCGGAACCGCGCCAAAAGCCGGTACATGTGGTGGTAGTTTTCGACGTCCTCGAGGCCAAGCCCATTGCTCAGGATCTCGACTATGCCCGCAGACATGCGCTTGACAAAGGTCGAGCGTACAGACTCCATGTAGAACGACCGGCGGATCGACGCAATCATCACAAGCACATCGATGAACTGGCTGCTGACCGGTGACGAGCAGTGCTTGTACCCATCAAATACGGGTCCAAGAAGTTGTCCACCTGAATAAGATCCTTCCATGTCGACGGAATCTGAATGGCCACGGCGTCGTCCGAGGATCGTCGGGGGCCAGCCCAATAAAGTCAAACGCCAAGCAGTCCCGCTGCACCAAGAGCGCCTGTGACAAAATCATGGACTTTGTGCCCGCGTTGTCTGGGCTCGATAGGCCACCGATCGCACTGCGCATTGCCTGCAGCGAGTGCTCGAACATGCTCTTGAGCTGCTTGTCGCGGAATGTGACTACGACGCGGCGCTGCTTGGAGATGTACTTTGGCGGCAGCTCGCGGTTGAATTCCTCGACAAAGGCGCGCATCATTTGCAGCGCCAGAATCTGGTGCTTGTCTGAGGCTTTGGCCATCTCAAGCACTGTGTCAATGACCTCTGGCGAGTCGGGCAGGTCGAACCACGTGAACATCACAACCAGCGCCAGTGTGCGCGTGGTGTCGTCGATGAGAAAACCGGGCATCTCGATAAACTTTTCCTGGATGACGCCAAAAAGGCTGTTGCCTACACACAAGCAAAAAAGAAAAATCAGTGACACTGTTTTCCTAAAGGCAGACCTGACCGATACAATGCATCGCGTGCCGCAGATCGTCCACACTCTCCTCTCTTTCTCTCTCTCGCGTGTCGGTGGGCCAATAGAGGAAAAGTTGTTAGCAGCCGGGATGCCCGAACAAGGTGAGAACGAGAGGGGCGCGGCCGTATGACCAGCCCCCTATTATGCGGCCACGCATCATATGACAAGCCAAGACAAAGCAAAGCAAAGCAAAACGAAATGAGATGAAATGGATGGATAGAAATAAAATGGAAACTTACGCAAGTCAATCTTCTGCTCGTTGGCCATGACGCCCAAGTGGTTGAGGATCAGGACACGCAGCCTGCGCACGATATAAGACAGAGAAAAGACATTTGACGACTGGCGCAAGAACATGGTCATCCAATTGGCAGCGTCAGCCGGGCCCTTGATGGCCGGAAAGACCGCCATGACCTGGTTCTGGCCAGATCCAAACCCAAGGCCCCCAGATACCTCTGCCAATGACTCGGAGAACGTTGGAAAATAGTAGCGAAGTCGCCGCTCAGCCTCTTCGCGCTGCTCGGGACTCGGTGAGCTGAGTGCCTGCTCGCACCATGTGTCTAGTTGCTCGAGCGTCGGCTGCTGCTCGTTTGCTGCCAAAACTGAAGACAGATTCATTTGGTAAATAGTGAAAAATGTGTAAACTGAAATTTGTGAGGGCTGCTAAATGAAAATAATGTAAAAAGGTGCTTCTTGTTCAAATGCAAAGCGGAGTCTGAGAATATTATTTTGAAAATAAAAGTGCGAAAGAGAGATTTATACAAGGGCATTGAGAACCGAATGTTTGTTTTGACTCCTTTTTTATTCGACAAGCTCAAGCGTTGAAGCCAAAAACGCCTAAAAGCAAGGGCAAGGGGAGGCGGGTTGGTGGTGATGATAGCCCGTGCGTGATGCGCAGCATGGATTCTTGCTTCAACAAGCTACAACAAAAACAAAAACACCATTGGACCCCATCGTGCTCTGCTGATTTTATGGCTTGCTTGATCAAGGAAGGCAGAGAGGGGAAGGAAGGGGTTTGGGGCAAATGACTGACCGCACGAAGTGTGGGGTGGAAATAAAAAAGTCAATTGAAGCAAGCACACCGTAAAAAAATCCAAAAAAATCCAAAAAAATCCAAAAAAGCTGTGATTTCAAGCATCAACCCAATTCCCTGTGTTCATAAATGTTATATCCCACCACTACCACTACCACCGTCGCCACCGAGCCTGCTCCTTTTATATCTTTTGTTTCAAAAATTCAATTCAACGCTGTTTCAAATAAAATTCCCGACTCTTTTTTATTTTTCATGTTTCTTTATTTTTCCTTTTCTGTCATAATATTTTTTAATTTTTAGACAAAAACATAACAAAACGAAACGAAACGAAACAGAGAAATGCAGTCGCCGGCATCTTCACCTCGTCACACAAATGGCAGCAATGGGCACAGCACTTCAACTATCAGCGAGCAGGACCTTTTGCGACGGACCTCGCGGGTTCTCCGGCAGCTATACCTCCGGGAGCAGCGCTGGATAGAAACACGGACGCCCTCCCAACTATCCGACCTGACGCAGCAGGGTCAGCTGCCGCTCAATGAGCAGCTACACTACGGGGAAATAGCATTTGTGCTTTTGCGCCTCAAACCATGCGCCATAATAGATTTTGCGACGGAAGACAAGCAGCTGTTGAACGACTACGTGCAAAGGGTTATTCAGCCCACAGTAGGCGAGCTCAATGCCTTGGGCTTGCTGGCCAAAAAGATGACCAAGGGACACCAGCAGCGGAGGGCGGAATCTAATTCGGCGTGGTATCCAAGAGAGTTCCGGCTGGCGTGTGCACGGATTGAGGGTCAGTTGGCCAGTCCCGAGGTGCCCAGCTGGACAGGTGCATATGCTTTGTATGACGAAATGTGGGATGAGTCAAGGGATTGGGCAAGGGCCAATTTGTTGGACGCGAAGAAGGGCAGCATTAGTGAGGACGAGTTGGCACGGGGGCTGGACTACCCCGGTTCCATTCCCAAAACTAACGAGGACATGCAGCTGATTGTACCCGTATCGTACTTGGGCCGCATAAAGTAAGTCAAACCGCGTCCCAAATAGGAAAGCAAGAGATAAACGAGACCGTGGGAACGACAGTGTAAATGCAAGCAAACAAGAAGACGGGTGTAGAAATAGATGCAGATAGGCTCGAGCTTACCCAATGTGGAAGGAGGGAGTTTTGATAAACAACCCGAACTCGGCTTATTAACGATTCCAAACTAAACTTTAAAACTTTATATTTTTATTATCGCCTATTTTTCGTAGAAGCGAGAGCGGGGAGTGGCTGTCAGATCGGTGGGAGTGTCTGACCTCGTTCATCGTTTTGCAGCACGAGCTGCCGCAGATGGCTCTGCACCGCATCCGCTACGAGGCAATCCGGATGTTTGACATTGAGATGCAGGTCGCCATGGACACGTCTTTGATCGAGGAGTTTCCAATACATAGCGAGAATTGAGGGGTGCATCACTGAATGCCGCGCTGGTGAGAGGTTTTGCTCTTGCTGATACAAGTACAAATACAAAATACAAAATACGCAGTCCGTTCGGGCATAATCGAGTTAATACGAGACGTAAGAGATTAAAGTTAAAATTGAGAATTATCATCTAAAGCTTGACCTTGAGCCGGCGCAGGGGCCGGTTGCGACGCAGCCACTTGCGCACAGGCCCATTGACCACAGCCAGCTGCCAAAGGCTAGTTACCGCCATGTTGCCCAAGCAATACACCCAAAGCTTGTACCGACTAGCGAGAGGAATGACATTATGGCCCAACGCATTGTTATAGTCTTCAATCTGCCACGTCGGCGTTGTATATCCGATGGACTCGAGAACGCTGGATGTGCCGCAGTTCAGCCGGAACGCGCAGCCCACGCGGTTGGGGTCGGCCAGAAGCATGTACGACACAAACGCCATGAGGAAACCCCAGACAGTTAGCAGTGCGTAGTTCCTGTACCAAGCGGCACGATGCAAATACCCGTAATTGACGATGAACCCGTTGTTGATAAACTGGAACGTGGACACAAAGGACAGGATGGACGACTCATAGTTGTCACCCAGCAACCACCACTTAGTCAGATCAATCTCGGCCGTTGCATGCTCGTTGCACCGGAACCAAGGCTGAGAAAACAGCCACACGTAGGACAAGGCGGAGAAAATCCAGTTAATCAACACGGTACCACCAACAGCCGCCAGCATCTGCGGACCAAGGATGCGCGCGGTCGGGCGGTAGGCAGCCAGCCGTTTTGCCGGGCCTGACATGGAGACGGTCAGGGCCAGGGCCGTAGAAATGGCACCATCAATCAGCATCCACAGGTTCTCTGTCAGACTGATCGAGAAGTAAAAGCTCGCCATCTTGATCATGCCCGACATGACCTGGCCATAGCAGATGAGGGCGGCAAAGTTGGCAAACGAAGTCGCCAGTCCAGCACGGCTCTCGCGCAAGAGCTCAACACAGGACATGATGGACCGCTGGCTGGTCGAAAAGGGGGAGACAATCGAGGCCTCGGCGTCGGACAGAGCCAGGCCGACGTGCGCAGCCCTCAAAGCACCGCAGTCGTTGCCGCCGTCGCCGCACATGGCCGTAATGGCCCGGCGCATGTGCAGTTGCACGCAATCAACCTTGTCCACAGGCCGCATGCGCGCAAACACGCGGATGTTCAGCAGCAGCGCGTCAATGTTTCTGGTTGCAGACAAGTGCTGAAAGGCGGAACCGCCAACGGCCAATTCCGCGCTTGGAAAACCATCGCTGCCAATGGCGCACAATGCCGCAGGCAAGTCGTCTATTGGCTGCTGCGTATCCACATCGGTCCAGTGCACGGGTCCTGCCGGCGACGCGCTCTCACCCAGAATCACACGGCTGTTAGGCGGGATCATCCCGGACTGTCGCGCAATGTAGATGCCTGTCAGAGCCGTGTCGCCTGTGATCATGATTGTGCGTGTCGATCCACCCTTCAGATCGCTGATTGCCTGCTCGCTGTCTGGCTTGAGCATGTTTTTGAACACCAGCAGGCCAATAAAGTCACATCCCGACTCAATGTCCTCCTGCGACATATTGCGGAGCTCGTCCATAGTGCCGCCAAATATTCTGTGCGCAATAGACAAGACATAACACCCTTCACGCGCCAGCTGGCTGCACGCAAGATCGTAGTCCGCAGGAACAGTTGCGACGCTGCTGATCTGCTTAATGCGCTCGAACGAGCCCTTGACGAAAATATGGATCTGGCCGGTGCCCTCATCTTGCGCAACGACAGACATGGAGGCGCGCGTATGCACAAACTCGAATCGGCGCACAACGTGCAGGGTGCTCAGCAGCGAGTTGGCGGGCGGCACAATCTTGTCCAAATACTTGGGCTGTTGGTCCAATGACCATCCCGACGCCTTAAACTGCTCGATGTCGACCGGATTGCCAATGAGCTGACCATTGAGGTCGGTTACTGCATGACAGCTCGCAACACCCATCTGGAATAGCACGTCTACCGAGGGCAAGTCGCCATTGAAGCTGTCAAACGTGGCAGCCCGCGCAGTGCGGACGCCGTAAAAGTTGAGGAACTCGCGTGTCATTGTGCCGGTCTTGTCGAATGCAATGATCTGGACCTTGCCTGCAACCATGATGCGCTGAGGGTCGATGCAATAAATGTGCTTCCGACGCAGGCGCGCGGCAGCCACCGACTGGCCAATAACCATGGCGGCGGGCAGAAGTGGGGAAAGCAGCTGGGCAATAGCAAAAACTCCAAAAAAGGCAATGGCTACGCTGTTGCCCTGGTACAAATACGTGGCCATGGCCATGACAAAGATGGCATAGACAATCAGGATGGCAACGACAATGCGCATCTGCTCGTTGAAGATAAATGACATTGGGCTCGGGAATAGAATCTGTCGCACAAGTTGGCCCTTGTCGGATGCCGTGCCTGTGCGCCAGACCAATGCCAGAACGCGCTCGCCTTGCACTTGCGCGGTGGTGGTCCCAGCAAATACTGTTGACGCCTTGCCACTGACCGAGTCGTAGTGGCCATCACCCGCCTGCAGAGCAAACTTGCGCACGGGTAGGGGCTCTCCCGTCAGCGACGACTCGTCCATGACGGCAGATCCAGACAAAAGAATGCAGTCGCAAGACATGTGCGCGCCGGCAGCCATCTTGATGACATCACCAGGCACCAGATCGGTTGTCGACATACGTACCCAGCTGCCGTTACGCAGCACGGCGACGTCCTCCGCCTGCTCGGCCATACGCTTGAGCCGGCGCTCAGACTGCATGCGCAGGCCCACCTTGATGCCCGCCGACAGCAGGATGACGCCCGTATTGACCAGCCCGACTTGGTAGTAGGCATAAAAGTAAAACGCCCACAGGAAAATAAACTGGTAGATGTAGAAGAACGATACGAATTCGCGCGCAAATGACGCGAAAAGTCCTGGCACGCACACCTCAATAAAGTTTGGCCCGACTAGCTCCAGACGGAACGCTGCCTCATCGACACTTAATCCATTGATTTGCGCGAGCAGCTCGCAATGGCTGGTGCCCAGGTCAAACTCGAAAGGCACAAACTGCTGAAGCTCTAAATCATAGACGTAGCGCGTGCACTGGTACGTAAAAAACTGCCGGCCCTGCGTGGTGCTCTGCACGCGGCAAGTTGTGTACTCGCGGTCGCGGCTCAGGGCCACTACCAGAGCCTTTGTTGCGCGGTTTATTTTCCGCTGCACCCACGACGCATGGTCTGAGAGCATCTTGATCTCACTTACCGCGCGCTCGGTGCACACAAACTGGCCTTGCACAGGCAGGGTCTGCACTCGGAAGTAGTTTCGCAATTGCGGCTTCAGCACGTATAGCGCAATGAGGATCATGAAGCAAATTCCCCAGAGGACCAAAAACGACTGCAGTTCAAGAAAGCTGCTCTCCAGGGCCAGGCTGTAGGCCACGCCCCTGCGTGCGCCAGGTAGTGCGCCATAGTAGTCGGCGGTCCACACTCCGAGGAAGCAGATCCACAGCACAGTGACTGCGGCAATTCCCCACAGACACGCTGTGCCGTAGATGCTACTACAATACCCATACAGCTGGATCTCGCTGTCGGCCGTGCTCGCAAACGACGACATCTGTCCTGCCACGATGCTGACATTCTCGGCAATTGTCGCAGGTTTTTTGAGAAATGGCGCCAGCTTCTTCTCGCCGTTCATGATGCTAGAACTCAGCTTGTATTTCGTTGAGCGCACCAGCCGTTCGGCCCACACTTTGTACATTGCCCACACGGCGATCATCAGTGCCAGCGCACCGTTGACTGCAAATGTGGCCAGCCAGTAGCTCTCATTGAACTTGTAGCTTGGTGCGGGTGCCGGGGGACACTCCGCCCACACTGCCTCAACAACACCGCCAACCCACCCGCTGCCCCAAACAGCAACCGACGAGCTCTGATTGGATATTCCCACAGCGTTGCCGCACGCCTCGCGAATGTCGACTTTGGAGTTCCAAGGATGGAACTCTTGAATTGTCACCTTGGGAGATCCCAAACACGGAATCAAGCCAGTAGCCTGCCCAGGGAGATCCTTGCCCGAGCGCAAGCAATGACAGGGGTTGTTTGCTTGGATTTCGGCCGTACATTCGTCATGACAATTACCGTCAGCACAGAACTTCTGGCTCAGCGGACACTCTGGCCGAAGTGGCTGCGGACAGCTGCCAAGGCTCTGCACGCACAGCTGGCTGCATGCCATGCCGGATATCCCGCGCAGCCTGCACTCGTTTCCATCGGCGTCGTAGCGGTTCACTTGGTGCCAAAGCTGTGTTCCCAGCACCGCGCGCGCAAAGAGGCCCAGTACGACTGGTACGGACCACTTTAGCTGCATTTTACTCAAAAAAATCAAAAAATATTAGGTTGTAAAAATATATCAAGATGGAAGGCTGTTGGGAAGAAGAGAAATGGATAAAAAGTTAAAAGAATAAAAAACAACAATAATGCGTTGAAGAAAGGGCAGAAATGTTGGGCAGTAGAGTGGCTGCAAGGCGGCCGTTGACAATAAGCAGTGTGTTATTTATCTTTGGCAGCTTGCCTGTTCGCGATAATGCGCCTTCGCCTATTTTTATTAGCGTGGCCGATGGAGCGGCAAGTAATTTGATGTTTGATTTTATCGGGCCATCATTGCTTTTGCCTCCGGTATTGTTCTGATTATAATAGAAGATAAGAAATGTGGATAATTGGGCTTCTGTTATAAATGTCAATCAAATGCCAAACTGCAATTCAAAACCCCATTTCTGCCATGTGATGGCGAGCATTTAATTCCTAAATCCGGTCTAAAATTTATGAACCAGAAGAGCGTTTTGTATTTTGACTCTTGCGTCATAGCGTTGAAAACGATTTGCATGCATACATGTGACAAAACCTACAGGAATGCTTAAATTAATTGCAATTTGCAATTTGAGAGTACTGCTTGCATCGGGCCTCCGACATCCGAGCACATAGGCATGCAACATAATTTTATTTGCTTCAACTTTGGCCGTCCCTATATTTAAAATTTTTGCAGATGAATTGAGAAACCACTGCACATATTTACGAGTTTTAAATTATTACAATGTGCAATGCTAATTTGCAATTAATTATTAACTATTAACTATTAATCGGCGATTTGCCAACCAACCACCCTAAGCAAGCCTAAGCAAACGCTCAAACAAAAATAGAAAAATGACCATCTTTGCGCAATACATAGCAAAGCCAGCACATGATAAAATAATTGTTTTTCTGCAAAAAAGATGGTGCTGGCACACGTGTATAGCAGACTCACACCATGCTTTTTGTATAAAGGAGTATCGAAAAATACAATCGAAAGAAACATAAAAATGCAAGGTAGCAAGCACGCTTGCAAAATATACAAGACACAGTATCCAACAAAGGCTCGAGTTAACGCTTCTTTCATTTCCCACTAATCCATAATTTTATTTATTTATTTTGTCCGCATATAAATACTAGCTTTACTTTTCATATACCATTATTAGCTATGAATCTACTAGATTGCTTTAAACAGGCTGTAACGGCAATAAAGAAAAATAAGACAGAGATAAAGCTAAATGAATTCTTGGATGGGCTAAATATGGTAGCACAGAAGGCTGCCAAATCAAGAAGAAATGCTGAGCAGAATAAAAAATCGGTAATGGTGGAGACATTAAAAGCACAGAAAGCTCGAGCAGATAAAGCACTCGCAGAGCTTGCTAAGGATTTGGTTATTAATCTAATTCTAAAATATGACAATGGGGATGTTCCCCATCCAATCGCTGAACGTAATGAGTATATTTTTCACAAGAAAACTACATTTAAAATATTAGAAAAATATTTCAACAGCAAAGGTTGTAAGATTGAAAGCTACATCATATATAGTGATTATGAACATAAAACAGTTTTATTAGAATGCGAGGCTGGAATGAAGGGATTCATCATAAATAATAAGGACATACATAAATTCATCAAAGGAAAAGAGGAAAAAAAAAAAAAAAGAAATTTGGAAAATTAGTAAGAAAAAAATAATAGTTAATACCAAAGATCCAATTATGTACATGTCCGCCAAGGCCTCTAAACTCTTCATAGTTGACTATGCCCCCAAGGCCTCCGGAGCAGAAATATTTTACCCTTCCTCCGTCTCTAGTCGCTAAGCCTCTGTTTACATTACTGGTTTATCATTTGAGCAGGCTCTTTGATTTTACCATTTTAGCTATTCTAGTTATTTTCTGATTCATTCGAGTATTTTTATACCAACTCATCAGTTAATTTTTGCATTTTTTAAACACTTGTCCAAATTTTTTATTGGATAGAGCTGTTTTTTTAAAATAAAAAAGGAATGATAACATTTACCCCCTCTAATTCTAATGAATCGCTTAAATAGCAAAATTATATTGTCTTGAGTCAACCCATACACCAAGAACCACAATTTAAAGTGGCAATCAGGTCGAATACTGCACATTTTGTCTGAAAAACGTCAATTTTATTTTTCAAAGCCTCTATATACCAACAATTATACTGTCTCTTTCTGTTACTTTACTTATTTATTATTTAATGATTAGTAATTTAGCGCCCGTACGTATTTACCCCTTGGCCAGTGTTCGCAGCAATATTTACAAAGCCAGCCGCACTAGAGCTGCTTCAATTTCGACCGCAGAGATTGCGCTGCTGGGAACGCTAAGAGTGGCCCAAAATTCACAGATTTTTTCATATCCACCATACGAAGTTTCTCCAGGATGCGTGGTGTTTGTCGACCGCTGCAATGCAAGCAGTACACAGGAGGAATTCATTCGGTGCCGGCTGTTAAATCCACAAGCGCCATGGTTCGACACACAAGTGTGCGTGCTTATCACTCACTGGCGCTACATTCATCACCCGGCGGCTCTCCACAGCCCAAGGGCCGGTGCGCTGGCGTACATTGAGGTGCTCTCAGCGCCAATCATTTTGCCGCGTTCGGATTATATGCTTCCTGAATATCATTACCCGCTTTCTTGGTGGCTCGACCAGCAAGTACATCCAGAGCTGGACTATGAAAAGCAATTTGTAGCAGTAATAAGGTGTGTGGCTCCTACGAGCGGCAACAAGGCCGCTAAGATACTTGCAAGCGGGGCAAGCGCAGCTGCTGGAAAGGACCGCCGGCGACAGGGTTTAATTTCAATTTCTGGGCGTGTGAGCGCGGTGAGCGCCTTGTCGGCCATTGGTGACGGCAGCGACGCCTTTGGGTTTATAATTGACCTGTCTGTTGATGCCCTGCCGCCGACCAGCATGAGTGACGCCGCGGGCACAGTTTCCATACCGGTTCTTCTCAGCGCACAGCGCTTTCCTGGCATATTTGCAGCATTGTTCATTGGGGACTTGGTGTTTGCCAGCGACCTGCAGCCCTCAACGCTGAGAACTGGCGAAACCGACGGGGTGCCCATTTTTACTGCATCGCCGACATCGCTGGTCTTTAGAATCAACGATTTTGACGCGTTAGAGGATAGCCAAATGTATATTTCCCGACAGTCACAATCTGCATTCACGCAAAGCTCGCAAGAGTCACTGCTATCGCAGATTGCACTTGGCCAGGCTGCACCAATGACCGCGGCAACCACGCCCAAGAGCCAACCCGGTGCTGTGGTACACTTGGACGACAGGCATCTCCTGGCGCACCAGGACAAGCTTGAGAGCTACGAGGGCGAAATCACGAAGATGCTGGATCTGACTTTGGGCATCTACGTCATCGACGGCTGCCACATACTTGTGCTTGCATACTGGCCTCAATTCTCACCGCTGGTAGTTCTTCGGCCAGGCACGCGCGTGCTGTTGGATAACATGCATGTGGTTCTACTTAAAAACAGCAGCAGCTACCGCTGGAGCTGGCTCAAGCACATTTGGCCCGACAGATCAGGGCCCCAGGCCCTGCCAACCGACCAGCAGCAGGCTCTGGTGTTTGGTGCGTGTGCCCGGTCCTCCGTCCACATCACAGACTTTGCGCCCGGCAGTGATCCCGGGTTGGCGCAAATATTCCTCGACAGTGACCTGGCCTTTGCCCTGGCCAAGCGCGCGGGCGGATTGGCGCGGTTTCTTGAAACCGCAGAGGCGTTCTGGAAGCTGAGCAAGAAGTTTCCCAGCGGACCGCTGTCAACCAAAGGAAGCGGTTCCGATGCTGCAAAGCAGATTCTGAGCATGGCCCTGGTTTGGACCGGCGCGACAAGCAGCGCTCGGCGCAATCCCAACACTGAGTTCCTCGCCCATAGCAAGCACTGCCAATCCAGCCGCACGGGCGCCGCAATGAGAGTAGTCACGCTGGGCAACGTTCTCCGCCGACTCGGGCTATTCCGGGATATACAGATGCAAAGCAGGCAACCGGCGAGAGGTGAGGCAAGGCTGTCCCCGGAGGTGCAGGTGCAGGCATCCAGCATTTACCCGGCAGATCTGCTGCTCCAGTCAACGCCCCTGGTTGGGCGCATTGTGCTGGGCGACCGAGGCGAGGTTTTTCTGTGGGACAGCACCGGGTACATGCGCGTTCATCCCAGCTGCATTTCGGGGTCAAGACCATTGCGAGGAGCTGCAGAGCCGCATTCGCCGCTGTTTTCTGGCCAACACCTCATTGGTCATTTGTACTCGTGGAACAACTGGCGCTTTTCTATCGAGACGATTGATGTTGCTGCTATCAACAAGACCAGCGGCGCGGGCATGCAGCAGTTGCCGGATTTCGGGCTTGTCTATGCGGCCATTTCAAGCCCAACAATCATGTACGCCGATCCGAACTTTGGCGGAGCGACCAATTTGCAGCTGCCAATGCAGTCTGTCAGCGAGAGAATCGGTGGCAACGGCGAGCCTGAGAAAACGATCTGCTTTGTGATGTATGTTCACTGGCAGGGCGCAGTGGCACCGGTGCTGGACTCGCCATCAATCGGATCCACAGGGCAGTCTGCTGATAGCCACTCCCCGTGGCCATCGCGGGCTTGCGTCAAGGGCATGGCGCTGAGTATTCGACATGATCATTTCCATCAGCAGCTGAGGAACGCGCCGGACGGGCGGCCGGAAATCGACCTTGCCTTGACGCGCAACGGTGATCCAGGCCAGCACCAGATGGAGCACTGCACCGTGCACTTTTCGCCCAGAAAACTGCCAGTGCAATTCTCTCCCGGGAGCGCATACGTGGTGTGCCTCCATGACCGCTCTTCTATGCGTTACATGCACGGTGGCCAGGCAGGCAGCAGCATGGTTGTAGTTCGAATGGGCCTACTCGACCACATACATCCGGTGCAGCTCTTCTCAAACGGCCAGCGCATTGGTGCCAGCCAGCCGTATATTGCCAAGGCGCTTGCAATCCCCACCGTTCACATTGAGCATGACAGCGCTAGTGGCAGCAGTATTGTCGAGCGATTGCAGGCGCCGCGCGTTTTTTCGGTGCGAGAGGTCAACGAAGCAACAGTTGCTGGCCGAGATTCGGAGTACGCAGCGCCGGGAAGCCTGATATCTGTTTGTGGAATTGTACTCCAGCGAGAGGTCAAACGAGTAGTTTTGTTTTCTAGGCACAAATCCAGCGCCGACAGTAGCAGCAATGTCGGCAGCAACAGTGACGACAATGCCAACAGCGGGGATCCTGTGGCCGGGCTTTTTGAAAACTGCATCACTTTGCGCGACAAGGACGACATTGTATGTACCATCTCTCTGTATATAAAGCTATCGAGTTACACGCACCCCGTCGGACTGCTTCCTGGTGCCGGCGTTATATTTCAAAACGTCACTGTTGGCGCCGCCAAAACCACGGGGCATCGATACTTGTCTTCGACATTTGCGACGAGCATTGTGCCTGTCTCTGCACAGTCGACGCCATCAGCGAATCCAGTCGACATACAGTCCAATGAGCTTGAAGACGGCACACACGCGGTCAGATTGTGCATAGGGCAGCTTACAGGCTGGTCGAGTGGCGACCAGGCACAGCGGCGGTTTGTGCTAAGCTGCAGAGTCACAAATGTCGAGAGCCTGAGCGTTTTTATGGAGTGCACAGCGTGTGGGCAGACGGTCTGCGGCCTAAGCTGCTCGTGCTTCAGCAAGCAGCATCGTATGATTGACAGGCAGTCACCAGACACGGCCTATTTGAGCGACAGCACCACGGCACAGCCCCGAATCGAGTTGGCGTGCCGGGTGTCTGACGGAAGCGGGATAGCGCGGGTGGTCACCAGCAGCGCGCTGAACACGATCAGTATGATTGGGTTGACATCGGGGGACGTGGAGGAGCTGTACCAGACAGCCGCGCAATCGTGGAACGGCCAACTCCTCTGGAATGCGCCGGCACATTCCGCATGGCATTATCAAGATAGCAATGCGCATGGTGGTGACGATAGCAGTGATCCCATTGGTCGGATGCTTGGCCAGGCGGGTGCTGCGGCCATTTGCGTTGAGGGGTTTGTCGCCGGACAGCGCGGACGAAAGCGCCCGGAAGGGCGCCAGATGGTGCGCATTAACGGACACGACATGGTGTTCAAAAAACACGCTGTGCCCAGGATCAGCGCACTCCGTGTAACGCGCTTGGATGTCGCCGAGCAAAGCTGGTTTCTTCTTGATGGCATTTAAACGCCAGCTGAAGAAAAGAAGAAAAATTTAGCAATTGAAAATCAAGAGGGTTATTTTTTCTTCCTTAAATTTTTTCTTTTTCTTTTCATTTTTTTTGCCTTTACTCTTCTTACATTTGAACGTGTTAAATTTACCTTTAATTCATTTCTCTCTTTTTTCATATAATGGCTGGTGGCAAAATTTTCCAACCCTCTGCGAAAATTCGCCTGACCAATGTGTCCGTGGTACGGCTGCGCAGGGACGGCAAGCGGTTCGAGGTCGCGTGCTACAAGAACAAGGTTTCCGAATGGCGCACAAATGTCGAGACAGACCTTGACGAGGTGCTGCAAATCGACCAAGTGTTCACAAACGTGTCCAAGGGCTCGTTGGCCAGCAAAGAGGATCTGAAACTATGCTTCAACACAGAAAACCTCCACGATATAATCAAAGAGATCCTGATGAAGGGCGAGCAGCAGATTTCGGAAAAGGAGAGACAGCTCAGCCTGGACAACATGCTGCGAGACATTGCTACAGTGGTTGCCGAAAAGTGCGTGAACCCGAGCACGCAGCAGCCCTACACGGTGACGATGATTGAGAAGGTCATGGTGGACATTCATTACTCGATTAACCCGAACCGCAGTGCGAAGCAGCAGGCGCTTGATGTTATCAGGCAGATCCAGGAGCAGAATGTGGTGCCGATTGCGAGGGCGCAGATGCGCGTTCGCATTGTCATGCCCGCCAAGGACGCCAAGAGACTGAAGGACCAGATCTTGGAGCTGATTGCTAAGCTCGAGGACGAAGAGAAGGGTGAGGTGTACGAGCTCATTTGCCTTATTGATCCGGGACAGTACCGCGCCATCACCGAGCTGATTGGCAGCGAGGTGAAGGGTGCCGGCGAGGTTGTCATTCTGAACCTGAGCGACGTCAACGAAGAGGACAACACATTTATGTAGAATAAAATAGCACACGGAGCGAGTAAAGTTTAAATAAATAGAAGAAACATGGGATTGAAATTGAGTAAGATACAAATACTGCATTGAATTAGTATGCATCTGTTTCTGCCGCGGGCTCGTCGCCGCTATCAGAGTCGCTGTCGCTGTTGCCATCCTCTTCGAGCGTGGCGTCGTGGGCGCTGCGGAGCTTCTGAATCCGACGCTCGGTCACCTGGCGCTCGTACTCAAGCAGCTCGCCGTCGTCGTCCTCGTCAGCATATCCATAGTAAACGGCGTCCGCGCGCCTGAGCATCTCCGCCCTGGTATTGTTCTTGGGCTTCAACCCTCCCTTCTGCCTCGCAACCAGCTCCTGCACGTCAGGCAAGTCCTTGGCCCGGCCAAAGTACTTGTAGCCGCGGTTCCCAGGCACCTCCTTGCCCTGGTGGTCGAGCATCTTTGGGCCGATCTTCTTATAATCGGGGCCGCCGAGCTCAAGAATCCGCGCATCCCAGTGGTTTTTGACGCGCAGGAGCTTGTTTATTTCGTCGTTGAGGTCGCGAATTTGCGTCTCGGGCAGAGAGAGGTCGTGGATTTTGGATACCAGGCGGGAGACTTCACGGATTACGTCTCGCCGCCATTTTTCGGCCTCGTCGAGGCTGTCTACTTGAGAGGCCAGGTGCGGCCGCCGCCCCTTGGGCTTGTGCTGACCGCTTTCTATGGATTGTGCCTCGCGGAAGCGATATAGCATGGACTGCGCCTTTTCTTGGTTTCGTGCCTATATCGGCATTTGTGGAGACAGGGTGGAACGGGTGGTTTAGCGCTAAAAAAATCGTGGGTGTTTTATTGTTTTGTTTTGCTGGTTAATATTGTTGTTGCTTTTGTGCGTATTTGTGCTCATACCATGACCCGTGTTGTGCTTGTTTTGTGTTTTTCTCGGGTGCTAAAGAGTATATAGAAATGTATTTATAGATTTACAGTGTCTAAACGGCTGCTCCAGCAAATTTTTGCAAAGTGGTTTTTGAAGCAGAATAATTTATAGGCCATATTTTTCCTTGTGGGTAGTTAAAACGTGCCTTTTTTCTTGCAGACTAAACTAAAGGAAAAAAATTAATGCGGGCCTGTGACGTTACATTCTTCGATTGGCAGAAAGATAGGAAATAAAAAAATCCACGCGGAGGAAAATGAAATGGACGAAAGACAAGACTGAGGCAACCGACCTTTCTTTGCTTTGTTTTTATCCAATTTTGTCTTGCCCTTTTTTTCTGTATTTTAAATTTTTGCTTTTCATTCCTCGATTCAATTTGTACTTTTTTATATCACCACTTCTTTTTTATTATCTTGACAGCCAAAACTAACGCTCAGACACACACAAATTATACATTTATCTCGCAATTTTTCTATGAAAATCCACATTTTGTTACGCTCCCCTTCAGTCCCGACGGCCGAAGACTTTGCAGTACACATGCAGTCAGAGCAGAGCATTTGGGATCTCAAGCAGACGATTGAGCGGGAGCATCCTGCGGAGCCACGCGCGCGAGACATGCGTATTGTCTGGAGGGGCCGGGTTCTCAATGACAAGGACTTGGTATGTTGCTTGTGCAAAGAAGAAAGCGATACAACGCCGACTCTGCCGCTACCGCCATCCGATGTTGTTCAAGCAGTAGTGCATTTTGTGCTGAGCACGCCTATGCCGAGCCTGCCCCCACAGAAAGCCTTGAATGCACACAGCAGTCGGGGTAAATCAAAGGCGGATGGTAACCCGGCGCCAGTAGCCACGAATGTGGCTGACTCTAGCAGTAACTTGGCTATACCCACTTTTCAGCACTCACCTTCCGTCATACCGCTGGGAAATGCATTTCAGTATGTATTGGTTGATGGCACGCCATACTTGGTCGAGCTAAAGCAGCAGCGGCAGCAAAATGCAAGCCAGCCGATTGGCAGCAGCACTGTGATACCTGCCTTACAGTCTAACGAGCGTCAGGGTGATTTAATGCAGCAGCTGGAAGCCATGCGCGAGCAACTCCGCAACATTCCCCATGCAAACGACGTTCCTAACAATCGAGCACATAATCAAAATCAACAACAGCAATGGCAACAGGACCAGCAGCCTCGGCAACAGCCGCAACCGCAGCAGCAGCCTCTAGCACAAGTACTCGGCAACCTCGACTTCCACGCTATCTGGAATGCGGCGTGGATTCTGCTGCGAATGCTTTTGTTTGTGGCAGTGATGGCGCATGACGCGAGCATGGGGCGCATGTTGCTATTGCTGGTGATTGTGGCTGGATTTGTTGTGCTTCGAAGTAACTGGGCGCAGCAGCAGCTAATGCGGCTGCGCCAGTATAACCGCCATATTGATGGTCGGCGGCAGAATGTGGATGAAGGCGGCAATGGCGGTGCGCAGAGTGGGCAGCAACAGCACCAGCAGCACCAGCACAGGCAGCGTGAGTTTTCTGCACTGGAGAAGGCAAAAGCCCTGGTCATTGCGCTGTTCACGTCGTTGATTCCTTCAGAGCCATTCTATGTGCCGGCGATGGAGGAGTAATACGAGTAGCAGTATTATCCTGCAGCACCGTCGGCTTCTGGGATGATGGCTTGTCCGAATGGAATGTATTTTTTATTCAAAAACTATTGCTTAAACCTGTTTTTTTCCAGGCATTTGTTCACATGCCTGTAGAGTAAAGAAAAATTATTTAATCGCATGCACAGAGTGCTATTGTCTCATTTTTTGATACCCTTGTCTTTCACCTTTTGTTGTTCATTCGTTCATTCATTGATATTTTTCCCATTCTTTGCTCATCTCTTATTCCTTTTTCAATATTAAAATAACACATTGTGACTATGACAAACAAGTACCAGTACGAGTGCCTCATCGTCAGCATATCAAGCGAAGGCGTCGCCCATGTTGAAATCAACCGCCCCAAGGCGCTTAATGCGGTCAACACGCAGACATGGACAGAAATCGGGCATTGCTTTACACGCTTCCAAAGTGATGGCGACGTGCGCTGCGTGGTTCTTTCGGCCGCCGGGCGCATGTTCACCGCCGGGCTGGATCTCAAGGAGGCAGCCACAGGCCCGCTGGCCCAATCCAACACCAGCGACACCGACCGGGCCCGCAGTGGCTACTATCACCGGCTATTCATCATGAAAATCCAGGACGCTATTTCGGCCATTGAGGCGTGCGACAAGCCGGTTATTGCCGCAATCCATGGCGGCTGCCTCGGTATTGGCATCGACGTGGTATCCGCATGTGATATGCGGGTTGCCACCGAAGACGCGTACTTTGTCGTAAAGGAAGTGGACATTGGTATGGCTGCTGACGTCGGCACGTTGCAGCGGTTACCTAAAATAGTCGGTAATGGCAGCTGGGTGCGCGAAGCATGCTATACTGCACGCACGGTGTCCAGCAAGGAGGCGCTGGCTGTCGGGCTGGTTGGCAGCCTGTATGCGTCCAAGGAGGATATGGTGGCGGCAGCCCTAGAGACTGCGTCGGTGATTGCGTCAAAGTCGCCTGTCGCTGTTGTCAGCACAAAACATCTGCTGAACTACTCGCGCGACCACACTGTCCGGGAGGGCCTCGAGTACACGGCAATTTGGAACGCGCTGGCTCATAACTCGCGAGATATGCCAGTGGCCATTATGGCCAGCTTGCAGAAAACAAAGCCCCTGTTTCCCAAGCTTTAATTTATAAAACATGTGAAAATGTATTTTTCTATGTGCCAGAATACTGAAGAATCAGACTACAAATATCTAAATAAAAAAGCATCCTGAAAATCATCTTTCCTTCCCGTCCTGATTGCACAGCAACCCGGCACGTGCTTAGGAACTAGAGACAGTAAATAGCCACCAGCTATGGTTGAAGATATTAATTATTGCACTGCTTCTTGCAAAGAGAAGCCTTGGGCTTGGACTTTGGCCTGGGCAAAATTGAATGGCAAAATCTCGAGCATCGCTGTAGACTCGGGTTCAGCCGAATTGAACGGTGCCTTTTTGCGCAAAAAATGGGGAGGCCGCTCGCCTGTAAATAGGGCGTTGAGAATGATGCGAAAGCTAAGCACCGCAGCCATGCCACGACTGTTACACTTATGTCTTGCCTGATGGCACATTTTTCGCCATCCTTAATCTGCAATCTCATGGTGTTAACGCACTGCCCCTTTTAACGAAATGTAAACACTTTTCGCCAAAGGTTACCCATGCAGGTTGGAGATTTGTTAGTGGAATTTTTAAGCTTTTATTAACGAAAAAAATTAATGGCTGAATCGGTCATTTTATATCCATCGCCTCGATTAGAGACAATACTGAGAACAGGAGGAGGGGGGTAGATGATAATAACGAACACTGTAACGTAATTATTGTGTCACACGGTGTAGCATCAGCTATCTAAAAAGCTTGTCATATCGATGTTGTGTGGAGCGCCGCGCAATTGTTATAATAAGCGCCGAAAGCGAGAATCTGGGCCATTAATAGAGGGTACAGTGTGTGTTTTTCGCCCCTGAGAGAGAAATAAGGCCCCAGAGAATGCTGCCCCTCGTATTTAAGCAGTGCGTTTTCTATTTTTGCCACTTTTTATTTCTCTCTTAACTATATTGGCTTTGCTTTTAGACCTTTTTCTATCCCTTCTATTATATTACTATTTCATCCAACTATCACATCGGGCTTATATCAAGTTTAACACATTTTTCAATAATGGCCTCCTCGACGTTAAACCTGTGCTGCACCATCGAGGGCGCGTCAGTTGAGCAGCAGACAGCCATGGACTTGCTGGGCAAGCAGTTTTTGCTGCCAGACGAGCGACTCGCCGCAATCACGAAAGAGTTTCGGCGCCGCATGGAAGAGGGCCTGGCAGCAGACGGCAAAGTGCTCAAGATGATTCCTAGCTTTGTCACCTGGCGTCCGAAGGGCAACGAGACTGGCTCCTACTTTGCCATCGATCTTGGCGGCACCAATCTGCGTGTACTCAAGGTAACCCTGAACGGCAAGGGCGGCGTGACTACAGAGCACCAAAAGTTTACGCTGACGCAGGAAGCCAAGTCGCGCACGCTGTTCGACTTTATCGCGCAGTGTGTCGAGACATTCTTGGATGACCGCAATCTGCGCCCGACGGGACGCCAGCCGCCGATCAGCATTGGTTTTACGTTTTCTTATCCCGTGCAACAGACGTCGATCAACAGCGGTATCCTGGTGCAGTGGACCAAGGGTCTGAATGTGCCTGGGTGCGTGGGTCGCGATGTCGTGCGTCTGCTGCAGGACGCGCTGCTGCGTCTTGGGCTGCGCGTCAAGGTCGCCGCCCTGGTCAACGACACCGTCGGCACTCTGCTATCAGCCGCGTACAACGACCCGTCGTCGCAGATTGGCATTATTTTTGGCACAGGTACTAATGCCGCTTACTACGAGAATGTCTCGAATGTGGCCAAGTGGAAGGGCGCTAATCCGGCCAGCGGCGAGATGGTGCTAAACATGGAGTGGGGAGCCTTTGACAGCGACGACTTTGCCTTCCTCCCCTACACCCCGCACGACATCAAGCTGGATCGCAAGTCGATCAATCCGCGCAAGCAGGCTTACGAGAAGATGATTTCGGGCCTATATTTGGGCGAAGTGGCACGTAACATAATTCTGTGGCTGGCCGACCAGCGGCTGCTTTTTGACGGCCGCTCGTCCGAGATCCTCAACGCCATGTGGTCCATCGACACATCCTACCTGTCTTCGGCTGCAATCGACAACACGCCAGATCTTTCCGAGATCCAGCAAATCATTGAAAAGACACTGAATGTGCCTACTTCGACCATGGTTGACCGCCGCATTTTCAAAACCATCGCTGTTTTGGTCGGTGAGCGTGCTGCGCGGCTGAGTGCCGTTGGTGTGGTTGCCACTTTGACCAAGCGCCTGGAGCTGCTGTCAAAGAAAATTAACATTGGTATTGATGGATCCATGTACGAGCACTTCCCTGGGTTTAAAGAGATTCTCGCAGAGACTGTCTCGCACTTCATCCCCGAAGACAAATTCAAGAATATCAACTTTAGCCTCGCGAAGGACGGCTCTGGAATTGGCGCTGCGATTGTTGCCATGTTGGCGACGCAGACTCAATAAGTGCTTGGTTACTTTTTTAATTAGTTTTTCAATATGAAACAATACACCATTTTTTTATTTAATAGTTTGTTAAAAAGGCATTGTGTATAAACAACAAGAAAGAACTAGGAAGATAATACAACCAAATGACTACTAAAATTCCGTGCTAGAAGCAATACACCCAGCAGCAACAATTCAAGTGAACATCTGCTGGCTGCACAAGTAATTTGTATTGGAATACCTTGCTATCCGCACATGGGTTATCTCATTATTACTTGCCGTTGCATTTATTTCGGTGTTCACTAAGTTCGGTAGTTGGAAATGCATTGCCACATTTTCCGCAATTACCCATGTATGGCTTGGGGACAGGCATTGAGGTCTGGGCTGATTGAATTTGTTGGGCCATTGTTGAAGCTGTAGAATTGATATATTTGAGGGCGTTGAGCAGGCAAATGTATTTAAGTGATAGTAAATTATATAGATATTGGAAATAGCAACGCCTTTTATATAAATTTTGTTTAGTTCAACAAGCTTCATTTTTGTAAATAATTGTTGCATTGCCAAAAAAATTTCCAACCAATGGAGCAAGAAAAAGTAAATAAATAACACAATAAAGGGAGTATTGCATTTTAAAATGCCCTAATGTTCATTTATAAAAACACACTGTGCATTAATTTAGTACTATGTACAATTCGTGTTTGAGAATAGATCACTTTATAAATAATCTGCTTTGTTTTTATTATGTAGAATCCGCATTAAAAATAAAGAAGTCTCTACTCAACGTAAATAATTCCCATGTAAATGAAGTATTTTATTTTAAATGGAGTAGCGTATGCAACAAGCGCTCTGGGGCATTCACGGGTGCCTTTTTCAACACATATACCTGGCGCACTTTGCCCGCAGCATAAAATAATTTTTTAATTTGTAACGATCAAGTCATTCAATAATTCATTATTTTATATGAACCTTTATCGCCTTGGTACTGCTATGCCCAGGGCTGCGCTAGCAAATGTTGTTGCCAAAATGGTGCTGCTCATAAAAACTTATATATTAATCTGATCACATGCCAAATCATATTTAACCATAAGCTCTTGGTACGAGTGCATTTGACAGCCGGAAACATCTATGCAAAAAAAGTGAGGGGCTATGCAAATATTTCTTTTTATTTCGGAAAAATTTTCTCTTTCTTTCAAAACACACACAAAATTCACATTTCTATTTACTTGTATATTTCAAATGTCTGACAATGCGGCAGTGCTGACAAGTGGCAGTAAAGTATACGCAAAGAAGCGCAAGACACGCAAGGAGCAGGTAGAGGAAGTTGAGTTTGACCCAAAGGCGCGGCGCACCTTCCTCACCGGGTTCCACAAGCGCAAGGTCGAAAGGCGCGAAACCGCCATCGAACAGGCCAAGCAAAAAGAACGCGAGGAGCTTTTGAAACTGCGCAGGGAGCGGCGCGAGCAGCAGCAGGAGGCGCTGATCGATAAACTGCGTGAAAACAAGTCTGTCTACGGTGGAGCAGACTCTGACAGCGAATCTGGGTCTGACGATGGATCGGGAGCGGTATCCGGAGGCGAGGACGAGGACAAGGATGAAGATGGCGTAGAGACTTCAGTGCTGACTGGAGAAACATCGGTCACAACTGTCAAGGTCGTTCGGGACTTTGATCCGAGGAACCTTGTCGAGGACGAGATCTTGCTCGAGAAACGGCTGACCCCCCAGGGACTAATTGACAAGCTCAAGAAGGATGTTGCTGAGAGAGCCCGTCGCGCTGAGGCCGATGCCATTAGAGAGAAGAAGGAGGCTGAGGCTGCCCGGAAGTCGCAGAAGAAAAAGCCCAAGAAGTTCAGGTACGAGACAAAGGCCAAGCGCGCGGTGAAGAATTCCAAGGACAAGGAGTCGAACTCCAGGCGGCGCACGCAAAGAACCGCTGGATCGGGTACTGGTAAAAAGTAGAAACATAAAAGCAGAAGCGTGCTTTTTGTAGAGAAAATATATCGTTTACATTTATGTATACTCATATTGCAAGCTATGCACTCTGGTTATTCCACGCATTCTGTCATATTTGTATACGCTGCATATAACTAAGCACGCACACCTTGCGTAATCGCTTGTCGAGCAAACATTTATATTTGTAGTCTTTATTTTCACTTTAACCGGGGATCCAATTTCATTACAATATTCAAACAAACAAAAAAAGCAATTTATATTGTCATTTTGCCAACACTGGGCTGCCGCCAATGCCCAGGCCCAAAGTATGTTCTTGATATTAGTATAATACTCACTTGCCGACTGCACCCATCGCTGTCGGGTCTTGGCTAGGGTACTCTGCAGAATCACCAAGGGCGCCAGGCGGCGGCGGGATCTTGGTCTTACCAGAACCAAAAATGGAGTCGTTCGCGCCAGCATCAGTTTGCCGCTTCTGAATATCAGACTGTGGACCTTTAGGCTTGGGCCGACCCCACGCGACTTTAAGCGACTTTTCATTGATAATGCACCCGCCCAGAGCTGCAGCGGCGGCGGCCTCGGCGACAGCACGAGACTTGAAGTTGACAAAAGCACAGTTGCCCTTGGGCGGCACCACGATGGACTTGAGCTCGCCATAGGCGCCAAAACGGTCGCGCAAATCCTGCTGCGTCACAGCCGTATCCATCCCCATAACAAACAGCGACATGATACTCTTGTCCTCGGGCGCAACTGCCAGATTGTCCTTCTTCATTGTCACCGACGAGCGGGCCAGCATGCGACGGGCCACGGGATCGTTGTTTCCGTGGTATCTGTCGATGATGTTCTGCTTGGCCAGCTCCGGATCGCCCTGGGGCATCTCGTGGCGGTACGGGCACTCGTTGCCACGCGTGCATATTCCTTTTACAAAGAAAGAGCAAATGTGGGCGCGGTTGCGCTTGTAGTAGGGTTCCTTGCGGGCCATGTGCTTGAGCATCTCGCGGCCAGCCGGCTGTGCCTTGCCACTAAAGTCTGTCTGCTCACCCAAAACTTCCAGTCCATTGGCCATTTTAGCAAGGTAGTCGCGCCGGTTGGCCTCTTCCCGTGGTACGTTGTCCTGAATGCTTAGCGCGGTGTCGCGTACCTGCACTGGCAGGCCGTGCTCGAGATCCAGGACACACGTCTGGCACACGTTTTTGAGCTTTGCGCATATCGTACAAATCTCTGTTTTTTTGTACCGCATACCGCGTCCTGGAAGCCATCTAAATATAGTGAACGCCTTGTTGCAAACTTTGCACTCCTTGCCGTGCTTCTCCTTTGTCATCCGCACATACGGATTCTCTCCTAGACATGTTTCGCACAGAATGGGAAACTCAACATCTTCTCCACTGGAATCGCCCATGTTGTCAATATTCGGCTATTAAGGTGTTTAAGGTAGTAAGCGTAAAAATATAATAAGGGCAATAATGAAATAAACAACATTATAACTCAAAAAAATTGATTTTAACAAAAAATATAATAAAATATTTATGAGCTTAATATAATTATTACATGTATGGGCAGCCTAACCTTAATCACCTGACAACTTGCTAAAATATCTTTTAAGGACACCTGAGTAGCAGAAGCACGCTCGCTTCAAATTAAAAAATGCAAAGCAAAATAACACAATAGCGTCTTATTGTTACAATATAAAAAACAAGATCCTATAATTGGCGCTTGTCTCTCGTAGCCATGTCATTATGACTAGACAACTGACATCTGCGTATTGCTGACCACATTGCTGTGCATAGTTACAATGCCGCTCTTATAAATTCTTGCTACGCTACTGAATTAGAGCTACCACTGCCGTATATAAACGATAGTACCTGCCCGATAATTATTTTTGCTTCTCTTCATTTAACTTTTAATTTAAGTACGCCATGCCATCAATTCTTTATTTGAAAATGCGCAGTTCTCCAAATTACACCTGTCCTGCCCATCAAGTCCACTTCGACACATACTCACAATTCAGAGAGCACATGATAGCTGAGCACGATTATGACCCAGAAAGAAAATAATATTATCAGACAATCACTGCTTTCATTTCTTTTTTGGTTAAAATTTAATGCGTAAGAAATAAATCAAATTACAATGCTAATTTTAATTTTAATTTTAATCACACAAAAATAATAGTGTCATGCTATAATTTCTCTGGATAAATTGGCGCGCTTTCATTATAAAAGTCTATTTGAAAATTGACAAAAGTAAATATAGAAAAGACGATTTCATACTTACAAAAACTGGAGTATTCTTCCGTATTTGTAAATAACACAAAAATGAAATGTTTTCTCGTGATCGTAGACTGCAAGCAAAAAATACATAACTGAAAACTGGCGGATTATTTCAAGCAATGTTCATTCACCGCGCTATAATAAACCAAAATGAATGAGTTTTTCACTCCAAAAAATTGAGGTACAGATGACTGCAAGTTGGAATAAAACCTCGACAACAGCAGAAATAATTCTGCCTCCCCATTCGTTTTTTATTGGCAAGTATATAATGAGCAACAAATCCATGGTGGCCAGACATACTCCAACATAATTATTATTTTAATTCATCCAACGTTTTTTTAGCTGAACAACATTACTTTATCAATACTTTTATAAGATGAACCAGTACGTCTCGTCATACACTCATGAAAGTTCTTTTAAAACTCAAAACATTGAACCTCAAAGCATTGAACCTCAAAACATTGAACCTCAAAACATTGAAGCATGCTCCTGTTGCCACTTTGAGGCTAAAGACGAGGATGAGATGAAAAATCACAAGTGCTGACAGAGTTAAACAAATACGGACAAGGACAAGAACAATGACATTAAAATATGTACCCTGTATCTATTTTGCATGGAAAATGTGTTTTTATTAATGCTTTTGTTGCTGCATTTGTCAATAAACCTCGTGATATCAATTCAATATGCATACGTTATCTGTAAATGTCGAATTGTTGCTTGTGAAATCGTATGAAACATTGGTAGTGCACCAAGTCACCTTACCAAAGAAACATTTGTATTACGACCGACTCACTTATGCGGTGGTTTTTTATTTAATAATTTAGCTCATTATTTTAGTACCAGGAATGCTTCCAGGCCGGCAAAATTTATAACCCTATTTGCGGCTTCATTTCAAATACGATTGGGTAAATCACAAGCTTGTAGCGGACTTGACACGGTATTTCCGCGCATCATATCACAAGCCGCAGGAAATTGACTCCAAGACTTGTTAAAAAAGGCAATTGCAATTTGGAGGTAGACATCTTTTTTTCTCCGGATTTTCCGAAATGACAATGTTAATAATCACTGATTGCAAGTGCGGTAGAACCACGGAAAAAAAACAAGCTTTTGCTTTTCTTTTTAATCAAGCAAAAATAGAGTAAAACTGGAAATGCATCTGCAATCCAAAATATCCAGTATCTCCGGGAAATGTGTTTTAAAATGCAGTTGCATTACCAAATAATTACAAATGCGCAATTTACCATTGTCGGTAGGTCCAAAACTTTGTCCACTATTTGTTCCGTGCGAGTGAAGTATATCGTCTAATTCTATGGATGGTGTCGGGCGTCGGTGCTTGGGGCAATTACGCTTTTTCCATTCCCACATCCGCTACAAAGAAAAAGCATGCAGACAGCTGAGTCAATACTGTGCGAATGACGAAATGCGACAACCAGACATCTGAGCCGCTCCTTGTTCTGAGTGATTTTATGATCCCTTTTTGCGCTGATTTCCACCCCCAAGCAAAAAAAGCGCATATATTTTCAGCAGAATATTCTCCAAATTTGGCACCACGCATTCACAGTATGCACATGCGTAAGCACTTGCGTGCAGGTCGCCAGAAAGACGAAGCACTAAAAAACATAATAATGTTAGCGCCCATGCATGTTTTTATTTTTGTATCCGCCAATTATATGAACGTGGTCGCCTAGAAAGACCACGCGGCTGCATGTACGCCTTTTTTGGATTTTTTTTGTAAAGCGCCCAGCCCCTTTGTACCCTTTGTACCTCCTTTGCAGGTTTAAATATCTCACAATTTCCTTTGCGGTTGCTATTTAAATCGCTCAGCACGCCTCCAAAAAACTCATCTCTTCTCTTTTTCCATCATCTATTTCATTAGCTTTTTCCAAATAAAATTCAATATTTATTTTTTCTCTACTTGCATCGTAGTTGCATTCCAAGCTTCATTTTAAACAAACATACACGTAGACCGTCGTCTGAATCGCTACACTCCAAGACAATGCTGAACAACATTCTATCACTTATCATCGCTGCGACCGTCGTTGTTGCCGGCACCAGCAAAATGACGCCGGCTACTAGCGATACCAACCCCAGCGACATTGTTTTGGCTAATGCCAATCTTGTGAGCGGAGAATTTAACGCCGCCTTCGAGTTTACCCCTGCCGAAAGCAAGAACGGCCTGCAGCTGGCTGTTACTGCCAGCGGGTTGGACATGGAAACGGCTTACTCGTACCACATCCACGCCAAACTTGTTCCTGCTGACGGAAACTGCACTGAGACTGGCGGCCATCTAGATCCGTTCAAGATCAAGGAGACTGCCGGTACCGCATACAAGTGTGACAAGGACAATGCCCAGACGACCTGTGAACTGGGTGATCTGGCTGGTATGTTTGGCAGCATGACTGCTGACGCTGATGGCAAGTTCACTTTGAATGCACCTGAATCCATTCTCACGTTTGGCGGCGACAACAACATCCTTGGATACTCTGTTGTCATTCACCGCCCAGACAGTACTCGTCTTGCTTGCGCCAACATTGATTCCTTCACTGCTGCTCCTGTCAGCCCGGTGAAGAAGTGCTGAGATATCAATATATTTGTTTATCTATAATTTGTAATTATTTAACCCTTATATTTTTACATATTTATTTTCACAATTCAAGTCTCGTGGATTTTACTCTATTCTTTTCTGGTATTCCGTGGCATTTTACCAACATACACTTAATAACTATGCTAACATCATTGCTTTAATCGGCTTGGAGAGAATCAAATAAACCTTATGAAATAAAGAAACCAAAGTTCATTAATGTAAATATGTTGCAAATGGCTTTGTTGTCTAAGTTAGAGTTGTATGCACACGACATTACTTTTCCCAAACAACAGCAATAAAGAGATTCTATTAATAAGGGATGTGGGCGAGCATCTACAACCTGTAATTTCTTTTTTGGAAGAAACATTTTATTTCAATTTATACTTCAATTTAATACTTAACCATTTTCAACATGTACTAACATATTGCGCTCTAATCAAAATGATAAACACGCGCACGCCGTTGTATTTTTGCTAGCAGAGGAACTGCAATTTTAAACAAATACTTTTTACCGTGTGGAAGCAGCACGGGTGCTGGAATATGAGCAACGGCAGTTTACAAATACATGTTAGATCAATTGTAACGGCAAAATTTTTGTTAAATACTGACCGTTTGAAACATTTAGACTCGAGTTGATTACGATAAATAAAAATTACATCGCATTCTTAACACAGTTTAATAACTAATAACTTAATTTTAATGAAAATGTAGTATTACTTTGTTCACGCGACTAGCGGTTATCTTCACTTCCAGCGCCCATGCTGCAAGCAGTCAACAAAAACATGCTCAATTGTTCATACTTTTTAGCTGACATTACAATTTAGCATACATGGCAAGCTGAATGAATAAAACATTGAGGTACTAAGTTAAAGAATCGAGATACACGAGAAAGAAAATGAGGAGTAATGAAAAATGATATAATAAAATGATGCTGAGCTGATTCCGCCAGCCCAGAGTCGCGTTGGCCGTAATGTGCCAACCGCGGCAATGATTATAGTACACATTCAATATTGTCGATTGAATTGACGGACAGGTACGCGTTTTGAAGCAAGCATCCTGTTCGCTTTAAAACTGGCTGTCTGGGGTGCGGCTGTCGCAGTCACCCGGCTCGCTGAGCAAGTCGGCAATTACCTGCACTAGCACCAAAGTGGCCTCCAGGTCAATATAGCTAGAAATTTTGGTGCGAGAGATGCCCGCCACTTTGGCTAGCAAGGTGCGGATCGTCTTGAAGTGCCCGCGCGGCGCATCACCTGCCAGCAGATGTGACTTGGCGCTTGTTGGGCATCCTCAATTTTTCACGCAGCTCAGCGACAAACTTCCGCTGCGTTTTAGCGCCTGCACAAGCTATCTTTAGCTCGCTCTTGGCCTTGCGAATTTCTGCGCACAGAGCCTTGGCGTTCTGGCACTGGCTATCCAACATGTTCTTAACGCCGCCCAGGTTGGCTTGCGGGATACGCTTGTCGCTCACTGCGAGTCCCGGGTCTACCATGGCGCGCAGCTTGGCAAGGCGTCGCTGGTGAGCAACAAAATTCTTACAACCCATATCCAGCTCGCATTCGACCTTGCAAAGCTCGGCGTCCAAGACATCGGTGCTCTTGTGTCGGTCATGCAGCATGCTATTAGCGGCGGCTGACTCGCTATGGGGGAAATTCTTGCTGTTCTCTGCAGGGGGCAGTTGGACCTTGTCGCACAGCTCAGTGGCAAGCTTCTGCTGGGCTTCATTGTTTGTGTGGACCACATCCAGCTCACCATTGGCCTTGCAAAGCTCAGCACGCAGTCCCTTGAAGTGCTCGCACTGAATATACAGCCTGTCCTCGGCACCATCCAGCTTGGATTTGAGGACGGCCAAGTCGCGGTGCAAGTACAAGTTTTCTTTCACCAACTCACTGTCCTGGGCGGTATGCGCGACCTTGTAGTTGGCGCAGACCTGCTCGGTTGTAGCGGCTGCCTGCTCAGCACTACCCTCGAGCTGTTCAATTCGACTGACGTGGTCAGCACGCTCGGCTTTGGACTCGGCTGCGCAATGGCAGGTCTGCTTAATTGCAGTAGTAATCCGCGTGTTGTCGCCGGCATGGGCTTTCTTGTTTGTAGCGACTGACTGCTCAGCGCCGCGCTCAAGCTGTTCAATCAGTGCCTTGTCGTCATGAAGGCCAGGTACGATCACGGCAGCTGCCTGCTCGAAGCCCTGCTCGAGCTGCTTGATTTTTGCGTCAGTGTTGGCGAGGGTCTGTCCAAACACGCCAGCCGAATGCTCAACGATCCGCTCAAGCTGCCCAATTCCCACATTACTGTTGGCAAGGGTTACCCCAAGCACGGCACCCGACTTCTCAATGATCAACTCGAGCTGCTGGATTCGCGCAACTGCGTCTGCGCGCGCGGCCTCAGCATCGGTGCGCGCCTGCTCCATTGCGGAGGTTGCCTGCACGAGGCCCCGACCAAGTTGTTCGATGCGCGCGTTTTTGTCAGCGAGAGTCTACTCGATCGTCGCCTTGTCGTCTGCGCGGATCTTCTCGAACCGCATGTTGATGCCAGCGAGGGCCTGCTCAGGCCGCACCTTGTCTTCCGCGCGGGTCTTCTCAAACTGCGCGTTATTGCCAGCGAGGTCCTTCTCCAGCTGCTGAATCCTCTCCGCGTTTGTTTTTGTGCTGGTGATACTGGCAGGCTTGCTCTCCACGGGAGCACAAGTGGCGGCAACCGCCAGCCTGATCTCAGTATTGAAGGTGAGAGCCCAGCGAACGCCCTCAATGGCCAGAATAGTCGGGGTCAGACTGAGGTAAAAGCATACCTTGCCGAACTCAGTAACCTGCTTGGCAATCATATTCGATAATAATAAATATAAAAATGAAAGAAAAATAAAAAATAAAACGAAACGAAATTTCGTGAATTCAGAGTTTTTTGTTTTTTTTGAGATAATTGAGAATATTCAAGGGGTATGTAGAGCAAACTTCGTTATGCCCCGTGTGGTGCTAAAGCGGGTAACCATTGAAAGAAAATTCTCTTAATGAAAAATAAAAAGAAGAAAAGAGAAAAGAGGAAAGAGAGAGGGAGAGAAAAGAAGACGACGGGCAAGAATAAATACCTTTTTTACTAAGCCTCTGTTTACATTATCTGATATGTATCCGGATGTGCGGAATTTTTAGGCCATTAATGATTTGATTTGCAATTATCCTACGTGTGATTGGTGTCTTAGCCCACTCCTAAATATCGATTTGTTTGATTAGAAGTTACTAAAAACATTGAGCACTGATATAGACATGCTAACTAGCTCGTATTTAGTTAGACAATATTTACATCGAGTCGCTATGATACACGCTCAAAATTAGGAATAACAATTAATATTACTCTGATCATTGGGAGCTACCATCATTATCCAGAAGTATCAATAATAATTGTTAGGATGAATTATCAAGTTAATACATTTTAATACGAAAAAATACTATTCAGAACTTTATCCGGCTGACAGCATAGTCAAATAAAAAAGCAAAGCGCGCTCCTTATCACTGTAGTACAAAATTGTTGGTGTGAAGAATACCAATGCATCATCAATCATGAAATCCAAAATTTTTGTCATCGCTCACAAAGTCCTCGAGTGACGGAATGCGCGAAATAATATCAACGATTGTAGATAACATCCACGGGACCTCGGACGGATTAACAAAATGCAGGCTCGGCATCAAGATACTTTTGCTAGCCGACCTAAATGTTTTTGTCAAAATCAAGCCTGATCAGCCTGGTGCAAGTCTCCGAAGCGCAGTGTCTGAGGAACGCAGCATTGGCTCTCTGTGTAGCATTAGGTTTTCTTATTTTGTTAGCCCTTACCGCTTTCTTAAACAGCTTGCTGCCCTCTAGATTGCTGGGGCACTATGGCGGGTACTTTTCCAAAAAAGCTGTGAACATGAAGTTCGGAAGGCTTTTGAGAATGGACTCAATGTTGGACCAATTGATCGAAAATACAGCTAAGGGTCACGCAAGTTCTAAATAAATGACTCGTAAAGATAAATATAAGAATTGTTTTTGTTGGTGCCAAATTGTTCGATTCATCATTTGAAGTTGCTTTCAACCGGCTTAATTATCAAATTAAAATTTCATACTTCGAAACTACAACAACTCAGCATTGGCCAATTGATTCTACAAACATGGTTGCGAGGGATACGCTTGAAATGCACCGCCACAACTACAACACAGCAGTGACTGCGATGCTGTTCGCCAGTATATTATTGAGCTGCAATGATAAGCTGGCGCGGATTAAAGTCTATGTACGCATGGGCGCTTCAGAAGCAGAAAGCACCGCAGCCAGTGCTCTGGCAGAGTTTGTAAAGCAGATCTAATATAGTTATTTTATCAAAATCAAAATGAAAGGAATAAAACAAAAAATTGTATCCTAATTACAAGCGACATGGAAAAAAGGCATGAATCAAACTAAGCACCAAGACCACGACGTCCGGCGCGGAACATGACATCGACAGGTGTAGAGCGGCCCTCTTCATTGACCCCGAGTCCCTGTCCAGGCTGCCATCCCATCTGCGCGAGCATCCTATGTCCGACATTGGATGATCCAATGACCGGCGCATCCTCAGCAACAATCTTGCCATGCGGCTGCGCAGGTGCAGCACCGCCTCCACCCGACGCCTTGCCCTTACCATTGCCACCGCCTCTTCCTCTGTTCTTGCCCTTGCCGCGTCCCGAGCCTCTTTCTGCCGACCCACCACCATCACCATGTGGACCGCTATATTGTTCGGGCATTAGACCACCTTCGTCAAACAGCATCACCAGCCGGCTGATGCGGCGACGATTAGTCGGGCGGTTGCTTTTGGCCGTCAGCGTTAGCACAGGCGTGCGTCTGGCACCGTTGCCGTGCGATTTGGATTTAACACTATACTCGCGCGCCAGCATATGGACAACCTGGCGCTCGTACTTGTTCATCGGCTGCAGCCAGATACTGCTCATATCGCTTGTTTGCGTTAGCATGTCCAAACGTTTAATGATTGTGCGCGGATCAAAGCCGGCCGAAGGGCCATCATCGTTGCCACCTGCACTGCCAGCACTATCTTTCTGCTTCTGCTTGGCATGGCTGTTCTTGGCTTTAGCGCGGTCCTGGTCCTTGAATGTTTTGGCATTTTGCACGCTCTGCATGCGGCCCCGATGGTGCTTGTTGGCCTTGGGCAATGGGAACTCATCCGGGCCAGCGAGGCTTTCCAAGTCAAGGTTAACCGGGCACCCGTCGTCTTCGTCGTCATCACTGGTATTGCTGTCAGAGCCATCAAGAAGCATCTCGCCAAGCTCGTCATCGTACTTGAATGGATCGTCAATCTCGACCGGCTCATCATACATACCCTCGAGATCAATCGGCCCGCCAATATCGCGCGCCTGGTATTTCCCGCCTACCGACCCTTGAAGCAACTCCATGATCTCATCCTCGCCCAAGTTCTGCATGTAGTCGTCCATCGCTTCCACGTCATTTTGCTGAGTAGCTGTAACAAGGTGAGCAGCCCGCTTGCTTCTCCTAGCCGCCCTCTTCTTATTCTTCTTCGCACATTGATCAGTAGGAGTATCCGCGCCCGTTGCATCCCGCACCTGGCTTCTTGGTCCATTGAGCAAAACCATGATCTCGTCGTCGCTTCCATCATCCACCATCTGATCAAGCACAATGTCCATCCTGCCATATTGCTGCTGCTGCTGAGCTGCGGCAGCGGTAGATCGTTTGGCCGCAGCATTTTTTTGCCTTCTCGGTTTATTTTTATTTTTGCCCACACCGAGCTTGAGGAACTGCAAGTTGAGACCATTCATAGAGCTTTGGTGCTGTGAGGGGCCGGCCGCGGCTGTTGATGGGCCGGGTGCTGCGGCAACAAGGTCGTCCTCAATTACTCTGATTTGTGCAGTTTTGAATTTGTGTCCGTTACTGCGCGGAGTTGGTGTGTTGGTGCCGGTAACGGTGAATTCACGCTGCTCTGCTGTTGTAGTCACTTTGACTTCTGTTGAGCCCTTTGTGTCGATAACAAACAAGTCGTCCATGATGAGAATATATTTTTTAAAAAAGAGAGAAAAAATTATTTTGTAAAGAGAAAAATAAAGAAAAAATAAAGTCGATTTTTTACTGTAATTGCTCAAAATTGAGAAAATCATCCTTTGATCGTTTCACAAAGTCAACTTGATTACGTGGGCTTTATGCTGATTCGAGACACGCGTAGTGGAAGGCCTTGTTGGGCCCGGTGGACTTGATGTCGATATCACGCCACAGCGGCGGCAGATACTGTGACGTCCTTGGGTCCATCTGCAGATGCTGAGCGCAGACACTGCATGTGGCAGAAAACAAATTGTCAAAAAGCGCAAACCACTGCACAACCTTGGTCAACCGATGCTCGACCGAAAACCCAGCAATCGAAAACCAAATAATGTTCGAGTCGTGCGCAATCCGATTAAACACGCGGAACCTCGAAAACGGGCCCTCTTCGTCGTCGCTAATCACGTGGATGGAATTCACCTCAAACTCGCCACTGCCCTCGACCTGCTTGAGGTTTATTGACATTTGAATGATCGTCGGAATGCGCACAACCAGAAGCCTGGTGCGCTCGGCCACAGTGTGCTTCTCAATGTGCAGTTGCGGATGCCGCTCCTGCAGAACAACAATGTGCCTGTCCAAGGCGTCCTCCGCCAGGGATTCGCCAAAGTCACCGATCTGTAGGCGCATCGCCGACATGTCCAGGTCTCTCACTGCCCCATCAATCGCCTCGTCCGTCGCCCGCACCCCACCCTGTTCAGTCAACAGCCGCACGTACGGCGAGTACTCGGCCAGCAACTGCCGCACATCGTCTGAAATGAGCTTCTCCTGGGGCTTCTTCTCCAGCCGCTCCAGCGTCTCCTGCTGCTGCGAGATCGCGCCCACCATTGTGCGCAACGCGTCCAGGGAGTTGGAAATATCCGTGTGCGTGGCTTCTGCTATCGACTTGTCCTTGCGGATAGAGCTGACGCCAGTGATGTCGCCGAAGATCTTGAAAAGTATCGTGTGCGCTTCGTACGCCTTTTCGACAAGTCGGTCGATATTGGCCACGGCGTCGTATGCGTCGGCGAGCTTTTGCTCGCAAAGTGTGCCCTCTGCTGGCGCCAACGACCCCATTGTATTGTTAAGTGAAAAATAAAGGTGATGAAAAGGGGGGATGAGGATGAGGATGCAGATAATAAGAAAAGTGCAGACCATTCATACCTATTTTGGTGTGGAAAAACTCGCGTGGGCTGTTTGTGCGTGTCTACCAATTGCAAAAAAGTGTGGCAACATACACGTGATAAGCCTCTAGGCTAAACCAATATTTTCAATGATATAATATGTTTATATATTTATTAAATCAGATTGGTTGATTAGCTTGTTTAATCAGTAATTCGTGATTTCTTGGTGTAGTCGGTTATCACGTCTGCCTAACACGCAGACGGTCGCCAGTTCAATCCTGGCAGAAATCACTTTTTGTTGCTTTCCCGTTTTAAAACGGGCGAAACTATTGGTTTTTTTTACTTGCTTTTAATGTATTACAAGCAAGTAGCCCAGTGTATCAAAGCTGGGCAGTGTGGCTTTGATGTAACAACATGGTTGTGTGTTGTGCCATTTATGCAAATTTGATTGTGCTTTTTGAGGCTATTTGGCTAGTAAAGAGAATGTCAATTATTGTAAATGAATACTGCAACCATTATTAAAACTTGTGCGTATTCTGTTTGCCCAGAATTTTTTTCAAAAACACAATTTACAATTGATGGCGACATGTGCAAAAGGCGCACTCATTTTTGCTTCGAATGTTCAGTGCAATGTTTGCAATATGCAAATAATTGACCATATTGAAGCCGCTCACTATGTGTTCCGGTTAAACAATGCCAGCTGGTTGTGCATAAGGTTTTCTTTTTTTCTTTTTACTTACTTTCGGAGGGTAGGCAGCGCGGCCTATTTTGATTATATGCACATATTTATTCACGTGTAAACAATTTTCGCTTGTTGTTTTGTTCTATTTTCTTTTCAAACAAAAACGGGTGTGGGTGAGGGCGAGGGTACAAGTGGGGAGAAATGAATGGAAATAAATAGAATGGAATAAGTGAGGAAAATAGAGGGGAAAGGGAAAGCATTATGTTGGAATACACACCAAGACCACACAAATAAAATGGGACATTTTCCCTTTTAGTTTTAGCTTTACAACATTGTGTTGAGTGTAGGCTACGCTTTTCAGTCGGACATTTTTAATTTAATCGTATTTTCCAGTCTCATAGTTGCTCAGAGTGGCACGACATATGACTCCTGCTTGTGCGTATTTGCACAAAGATATGACGCAATAGGTATTAATTATTGTTTTTAATAAGTGCTCCTCCACATTACCATAAGAAATTATAAAAACTGGGTCGCAAATAAGATTGATAAATTGATTTATATAAAAGATAAAAAATAAGTGAATGAATAAGAAAAAGGAATAGATTGTTTACATGGGGAGGGGAGAGGGGGTGGTTGGAGAATGAGACAATAAAAAGATAATTAAAGATAAGTAAGTATTAGGCAGATGGAGCCAATGGATCAAACAAAGCGACCTGCGAGTTTGCAATAGCTACTGCAACACGGCCCTTCGGCGCCCACTGGACATCATGTATACCGTCATCAGCAACAAACGACTTGAACAGAGTGCCATCCTTAATACTCCACACCCTGACTCTCTTATCAAACGAGCCTGTGGCCAAATACCGGCCATCAGAGCTAAACGCAAGACAATGCACAGCCTCCGTGTGCGCCGCCAACACCCTCAAGCAGGTACCCGCCAGGACATCCCACACCCGCACGGTGCCGTCAAACGACGCCGACGCAACCACAACCTTGTCCGAGCGCGGCATCCACCGAACAGCATACACCTGTTGCGCATGGCCGATAAAATCCTGCAGGGGCGTGTCAGAATTCAACGTCCATATTTTCAATGACCCGTCGTCAGACCCGCTCGCCAGGTATTTTCCAGAGGGATGCCACCGAAGCGCATTGACATCGCCCGTATGCCCGACCAGTGTCCTTGTCGGCGTCGGGGTGCCATCATGCCAAATTGAAATATTGCGGTCCGAAGCGCACGATGCAAAAGTCGTGTTGTCCAGCCAGTCGACGTCCAGGACAGAACCCGTGTGTGCCCGGTACTCATGGCGAAGCAAGCCCGAGTTCGCCACATCCCAGAGCGCCAATGTGCCATCGAGGCATCCGCTGAGCAGCAGCGAGCCTTTGCGGTTCCACCGCAGTGCTATTATCGGCACCTGGCGACTACCCAAGGTCTGCTTGAGCTCACCCTGTGTTGACCAAATACGCAATTGCCCAGCAAAACTCGCCGTGGCCAGCAATGTCCCCTGTGTGTTCCACGCTATGGCTGTCACATCCGTACGTGCCCCCGCACCTGCCGGCCCAGTATCATGTCGCAGCACTATGGCCTCTGCACCTGGTGTCAATGATGTTGTCGTGCGTGTATCCCAGATACGCGCCGTGCCGTCGCCTGCTCCGGTCGCCAGCATGCCGGTGATGTGCGGATTCCAAGCACATAGGAATACGGGGCCCGAATGTCCGCGCAAAAACACCGCCTTTTCCACTCGCTGTTTCTTGCTCGCCCTCTGTTGCGACGACAGTGCTGGTGGCGCCGGCGGCAGCGCGTCTCTTTCGGTATCTGGCACGTCAATGTCCATATCCTCTGACCCCTTCGCCGCATCATGCACCAAAGTATGCCCGCCATGCTCAGCATCGTCCCTTGCAATGCTTGGCTTTACTGTGTCAATACTAGCACCAGCGGCAGTGTTAGCAGTGACCGCGACAGTGACAGCAACAGCAGCAGCAGCAGCAGCGGTGGTGGCTTTAGGACGTGATGACGATGATTGTAGCAGAGACAGCGGCTGTGGTAGCTCATTGTTAGTGTTATTTCCGGGCTGTGCCGAGCATGTATGCTTGCCAACGAGGGAAAAGGGAGCAGTGCAGAGCCTTGCTGTTCCGTCTTCATTCAGATGTGTCTCGACGTCCATATATTGCAGCCCCTTTTGCAGTACGCGTATGAGAGAGCCTGGCTCGACGTTGGGTTGTTCGCGATCTGCTTTGTGGATTTGTGACTCGAATTGGAATATGTACGAGGAGTGTAGGAAGCCGGATTCTTTTAGATAGCGGTAAACAAGGTAGTTTACATCTTCGGTTTTGAGAACCATTCTGCGTTGGATTTTGGACTCGCCCTCTGAATTTTATTTTTAAAAAAGAAAAAGATAATAAATGTAATGAAAAAGAAATGAATGAATGAATGAATGATTTAAAGAATAATTAATTGGTAATGGTGAGAAATAAAAAATAATAGGAAGAAAAATTCAGTTTATTTCAATTCGTTAAAAAAATAAAACAAAAAAAGGCATATTTTGCGACGTGTTTTTTTTCTTATTTTTTTTCGGCGGATTTTTTTATTTTTATTTTTGTTAACTTAGTGCGAAAATTTTATATGCAAAAAAAAACGCGAATGACAAACAAGCCAATCGCCAGCTTAAAATAACAGGATTTTTTTTACACACACGCTTTTATTGAATAAGAAAAAAACAGTAACATTCTATATTTATTCCCCATTTAATCCAGCTCAGCTCAGTTCAGCTCAGTTTAGTTTAGACCAAGGTCAGTTCAGGTCAGGGCGGTTTCCGGTCAGCTTAACGTATGCCTCGATGTACTTCTTCAAAGTGTTGTCAAGCACAGTGGGCGGCAAATCAATAGGCGACTTCATATCAAAGTCAATGCTGGTAAGGTAATCGCGCAAATACTGCTTATCGTAGCTATCCTGGGACTTTCCCACCTTATACCCAGACTTTGGCCAGAACCTCGACGAGTCCGGGGTAAGCACCTCATCAATCAGCATAATCTTGCCCTGAGCATCCACGCCAAACTCAAACTTTGTATCCGCAATAATAATACCCCTCCCAGCAGCATACTCCGCCGCCCGCTCATACAGCTCCAAAGCCACCTTCTGCATCTCCTTGGCGCGCTCCTCCCCGATGATTTCCGCGCACCGGTCTGGGTGAATATTCTCATCATGGTCGCCGTACTCAGCCTTAGTGCTGGGCGTGAAGAGTGCCTCGGGGAGTCGCTGGGATTCACGCAGGTTCTCGGGAAGTTGGATTTCACACACAGAGCCCTTCTTCTGGTACTCCTTCCATCCCGAACCAGTAATGTACCCGCGCACAATAGCCTCGATCGGAAGCACAGTCACTTTCTTGACTAGCAGACTGCGCCCACTAAGCTGCGAGCGGTACTTTTGCACAGACTCGGGCATCTCGTCAATGTTGGCCGTGATCAGGTGGTTGGGCACGATGTCCTTGAGGTAATTGAACCAAAAGACGCTGATTTGAGTCAGGATCTTACCCTTGCCAGCAATGGGCTAAGTGAAAATAACGAAAACAATTTATAAGAAGATGGAGTGAGTTTAGAATGTTTTTTCTTTTCTTTTCAAAGAGCAGTTGTGACGAGAGGTGGTTTTTGTTTGTGTTCTTACCGAGTTCATAATCACATCGTAGGCGCTGATGCGGTCGGTGGCCACGAAGAGGAGAGTATCGGCGTCGACGTCGTACAGGTCGCGAACCTTTCCGCGCGCAATGAGCTTGAGGTCCGGGCAATTACTCTCAAACAAGGCTTCAATCATTATTTAAAAATATATTTGAAAGGAGAGAGGATAGGGTGTGTGTGTAGAGGGGGGGGCTAAAAAAGTGAGGAAAAGAAATATGTGAAGGCAGAAAGGAAAGAAGAGGGAAAATGGGCAGGGCGTGGTTTATTTTTTGTTGCTTGTAAAGTTGCCCAGAAACGAAAAATGGTAAAAAAGCAAATTAATCAAAGTGGGAGGGGGGGGAGGTTTGTGATAAGAAAGTGTGATCATTGCATTGTTGTTGATGATTGTGATTTTGGCGTAACACTGAAGGAAATAATGAGACTGCAAAAATCCAATAGGTAAATAGAGAGAGAGGGGTATCCTCCTGCAAATTGGCATCTTTCCCATCTCCAGATTGCATAGCAACCCGCCGCTGTAGGCTTGGGTTCTGCCGAATCGAACGGTGCCTTTTTGCGCAAGAAAAGGGGAGGCCGCTCGCCTGTAAGCAAGGCGTTGAGGAGATGATGCGAAAGTTCAGCACTGCAGCCATGTCAAGAGTATTATTCCACTTCCGTCTTGCCTGATGCCACTTTTTTGTTTGCCATCCTTCATCCTTTATCTTCAATCTCATGGTGTTTAACGCACTTGCCTTTTGACGAAATGTAAAGGTAAGCGCGTAATCACAATCAGTCTCCAAGGTTTACCCCCCTCCCCCTCCCCACGCAAGGCTGGGAAATTTGTTAAAGTGCAGTTGTACGTGAAATTGCACGAGATTGATTTTTTTATTTGATTTGGCTGACTGGGCTGGTTGGAATCGTGTGGTGAAAAAAAGAATGAAAAAAGCATTTACCCCCCCTACGTGTGCTTTCTTTATGCACTAAGTATATAAATATTTTTTGCTTTTATTTTCAAACTTAATACATACACAACACATACACACAGTCAATTAAGTCCTTGAAATGGGCAATCTACTCGCACATTTGCGCGGACTGCCGCCAGCAACCAAGTGGACAATGACACTAACGACAGTGCTTTCCCTCGGGGCGGTTTTCCTGCGCTACATCGCTGGCGAGCAAACAGTCAAGGACACCAAATACATGGCGAGCCAGGACGCAGCCAACATTGTTCTCCTGCGCCCTGCCATGCTGACCTCCTACCCATGGACGCTCCTCACCACAACGTTTGTCGAGCCCAATTTTTTCTTTCTCCTCTACGGGCTCTTTGCACTGGCCACGGTGGGCAGTTTCCTCGAGCGGCAGTGGGGCACGCGCGGGTACGTCCAGGTGGTCGCAGTGCTGGCGATAGTGCCCGTGGTCGTAGCCACGGTGATTGTAGTGTGCATTGGTGTGGCGCGCGAAGACTCGGTTATCCTGTACGATAACCGGATCGGCGGACTCTCCGCTTTGCTCTCTGGACTCACGGTCGGGCTGAAGCAGCTGGTGCCAGAGCATACCGTGAAGCTCTTCCGCGGCCGACTCGGGTTCCGTATGAACGACCTACCCGGGTTCTACACGCTGATTTTCCCAATCATATATACATTATTGGATGACTTGCCAAGTGTCATCTTGGTGAATGTAGGGTTTCTGGCGGCGTTTGTGTTTTTGAGGTTCTACCGGTATGAAGGTAACGGCGGTGTTAGGGGCGACCGTAGTGAGGCGTTTGCGTTTTGTACGTTTTTCCCAGAGTTTGTGCGGCCGGTTGTGCGCAAGCTGGATGGGGTGGTCTATTGGCTGGCCGTGAAGCTGAGGCTGGTGGCTTCGGAGGATGGGTATCGGCAGGCGGCGGAGGCGGATTTGGACTTGGACCAGTTTTCTCCCAGTGGTGGCCCCCTGGAGGTTGTTGTCACTGGAGGAAGTGATGTGGATGAGTCGGCGGAGGTTGCCGATCGGAGACGTGCGTTGGCGGCGAAAGTCCTGGATATGAGGTTGGGCAGCGGAGGCAACAACACATCATCATCGGTCTCGGCCTCGGCTGGAACCAATTAGGCGAAATAAACACCACCCACTCCCCAACTGTCTTTATCTATTTTTTTTAAAATTAGGTGGTGGGTTTTGCTTTTCTTGTTCTTTTCCTTCGCTTTGGTTAGCAATTTTACATTTACCTATTTAAAAAAGAATTACAATGCACACTTTGTTGAGGGCACGGCCGTCGGCGACAACAATGTGTTTTGCGGCATACACGCGGCGATTTGCCCAAAGCCAAAGCCAAAGCCACAGCCAAGGCCACAGCCAAGGCCACAGCCAAGGCCACAGCCAAGGCCACAGCCAAGGCCACAGCCAAGGAGCAACAAAAACAAACAACAGTCTTCTTCCAGGACAGTTTCTAGTCGGAGCGCCTCACGCAATAAGCAACATCCGCCCGGTCCAATTCTACATCCCTCATGACGAAACCTCGGCCGAAACCCACTACCGCACACTGCGTGAACACGGCCTCCACCAAGACCATTCATTCTGGAAAGACAACAACACGCGGTTCGAGCAAGGTAAACAGCAGTTCGAACAGCAGATGGTTTTAGAAAAAGGCGCCTGTACGCTGGACGATCTGTCGGTGTACTTTAAGCAGTACCAGGTGGAGTCGTATGAGAGGCATTTGAGGTATAATCGGGCGGTGTGGAGGAGAAACTTGGCGATGGTTGTGCCTGGGGTGAGGGCCTGGTGGGCGGAGGTTAGGCGCAGGGAGTGGCGCAGGGGTGAGGCTGTTGCGAGGCATTCGGCGCAGCCTGGGCTCGACGCTAGGGAGGATGGCGTGGGGATGATGGGGGGAGTGGATGCGCCGGTGGAGCGGTGCAAGAAGACGGGCGGTGTCGTGACTGGCCCTGGCCCTGCCTCTAGCTCTGCCGCTGAGTCCGCTGCCGATTCTGCTGCCGCCGCCGCCGCCGCCGACAGGGGTGTTGTTGATCGGAGGGCAGAGAAAATAAAGTCGTACTATTGAGGGGCCTGCTTTTTCTAGATATTCTCTTTTCTTCTAAATTCGAATGTGACTTTCAATTTCAATTTTTGTTTTTCCATGATCGACCACCTCACGTTTTGCATCAGCGACGAGAACGGCGCCTGGGCGCGCATTGAACGGGACTTTTGCGGGCGGCTCCCGCTCCGCAACCTGATCTGGAAGGGCGGGCTCACGCAAGCACCACGGTTCATCGAGCAGCTCAACGTCAAGGTGATCAAAGACACGGGCCTCGGCGAGGGCGAACCCGCCCAAGGCACCGGCGAGTACACAGAGGGCGGCGGCGGCGCCATAGAGCAGCCGCCGCCACTCCTCAACCTGCTGGTCATCGACGCGGACTGCGACAGCGACGCGTACAAGGCGGCAGTGCGGCCGCGCGTCAAGGCGTGGGTGGCGCGGGCGGCCGCCAGGCGCGGGTGCGGGTGGCTGGTCGTCTACGTGCCGGGCGCCAGCGAGGCGCAGCGCATGGACGCGGCGCAGGGCAAGTTCCTCACCGCGCGCGCATCGACGTTCGACCGGCTGCGCAGCGACTTCCAAGCCAAAAAGGAGCCCACGCACGTGCACCTCCTGCGCAGCGACCTCGTCGAAAGCTGGAACGCGCTCTTCCTGGGCATCCGCGACCTGGCCGTGGCGTCGCTGGAGGAGCGCGTGGCGCGGATGTCGGCGGAAATCCGGCGCATGGACGCCAACCGGATGCTGCCCGGGTGGAACTATTGCCGGTTCTTCCTGCTCAAGGAGCCGCTGATCCAGCTGCACCGGCTCCTGGGGCTGCGCGCGGAGGCGCTGGCGCAGTACGACGAGCTGGAGGCGGTGTTTGCGCAGCTGCTGGCGGCGCGCAGCCTCGCGTGGTTCTCGCCGCGGTTCGGCGGCGACCAGCCGCAGGACGACCTCGGCGACCTCCTGCTGGACACAAGCAGGCGCGCGTACCACGCGATGCTCGCGGACAACTCCATCTCGATGTTCGACTTCCGCTCGTACCTGTTCGCCTGCCAGTGCCGGCTGCTCCGCGACGACGCGCGGTATGAGGAGCTGGCCGCGCGCGCGCGCCGCTTCATCCCGGCGTTCGCCGGCGCCATGCGCGAGCCTGGCAGCGGCCGCAGCGCTGCGTTTGTCGCCGCCTGGACCTATGGCGCGTGCCAGAGCATCGTCGGCGTCGTCGAGGGCGCGCTGCCGCAGAGCATCGCCCAGAACCACGCCCTGGCCGCCGCCAAGGCCGAGTTCCTCGCGGACGCCCGCCGCCAGCTGGACGTCCTGGGCGCGATGAGCGGGCGGCTGCCGGCCGAGCTCTGCGGCCCGGCGGCGCCCGACGGCCGCAGCCATGCGCCGCATGAGCCCCTCGCCGTCTCCAACCCTGTGCTGGCCGAGGCGCTTGGCTCTGACGCGCGCTTCGACCAGATCTACGTGCGCACGTGCGAGCAGGCCGCCCAGTACTACGCCGAGTGCGGCCGCCGCCGCTTCGCGCGCCAGATGCACGCCGATGTCGCGCGGCTGCTGGGCGGCCGCGGCCGCTGGGCGGACGCCGCGCGCGTGCTGGAGCCGCTCGTCGAGCCGCGGGCGGACGCCAGCGTGGATGCGCCGCTCGTCGAGCTGCTTGCCCACTGCTTCCGCCACCTGCGCCGCCCGCGCGACTGCCTGCGGCTGCTGCTGCGCCTGCTGCATGGGCCCAGGCTGCCCGAGCCCAAGCGCGCGGAGTACTCGCGGATGCTGGCGGAGACCACGGGCGACGTGTGCGGCGGCACGGACGGCGTGCTTGGTGGCACGGGCGGCGTGCTTGATGGCACGGGCGGCGTGCTTGATGGCACGGGCGGCGTGCTTGATGGCACGGACGGCGTCCCCAATGCCACCAGCGCCGTCCCCAATGCCACCAGCGCCGTCCCCAATGCCACCAGCGCCGTCCCCAATGCCACCAGCGCCGTCCCCAATGCCACCAGCGCCGTCCCCAATGCCACCAATACTGCCACAAATGCCACCAACACTGCCACGAATGCCACCGGCGACGTGCTTGATGCCCGGCACGTGTTCCGCGCCGAAAACCTGTCTGCTGCAGCGTCCACGCTGGGCGCCGGCATCAGCGCCACAATCGTGTCTGCGCTGGCCGCGGACGTCACCGGCGTTGTCGAGGCCACCGCCGAGGCGCGCAGCACAGGCGGGCGCCGGCTGACCGTGCAGCTGCGTTCCGCCGCCGCGCCTGCCATTACGCTGCGGCCGGGGCGCAACACTGTGCGGCTCGCGTGGCCGGCAACGCTGTCGGTCGCCGGCCGCCTGCGCATCACCGCCGTCCACATCATTGTTGCGCGCACGCGGTTCGCTGCCATGGGCCCGCCGGCCCCTGCGGTCGTGCGGCTGCCTGCGGACCCGTGCGCGCCGCTGGTCGCGGTGCTTGCGCATGCGGCGGCGGCCCAGGGCAGCGCGGCACTCAGCCTGTGCGTGCGGGTGCAGAAGTCCGCTGTCCTGGCTGGCTTGCGCGTGCGGCTGTTCGACTCGGCGGGCTGCGCAATGGCGGTTCGCCAGGCGGACTCTGCTGCGGCCGTGGCTGTCGACTCGTCGGGGGCGCTTGTGTTCCGCGGCCCGCTTGGCTGCGACGATGCGCCGGTGCGGGTGCGCGCGGTGCTTGGCGCGGAGCATCCCGCTGGCACTGTGACTGTGTGGACGGAGTACCGTTTGGCCGCAGAGAAGGAGCGCCTGCAGGTGGCTGTCTCCGCTGGCTTCGTTGATCTCCGCCCGCCGTTGCGTTTGGATGCATGCCTGCGTTCTGCCTGTGCGCCTGGGTGCGAGATGCTGCTGGTGCGCGTGCAGTGTTTGGGCGTGTCGCCGGTGCGGATTGGCCGCGTGGCGGGCGTGGCCTGTGCGTGGCGCGGCTTTTTGCGCCCCGGCGAGTGCATCTCGGCTACTGTCGATGCTGATGCGGATGCCCCTGCGGATATTGAGGCTTCGTTCGAGACCCTTACCGATGTGGTCTCGGCCATGGCCAGTGGCCTTTTGGACAGCGGCCTTGCAGACAGCAGGCCTGTAGACAGTGGCCTTGTGGATAGTGGCCTTGTGGATAGTGACCATACGAGCAGTGGCCATACGAGCAGTGACCATACGAGCAGTGGCCATACGAGCAGTGACCATACGGACAGTGCCCATACAAACAGTCTCCTTGCAGACAGAACCCTGTTTTCGCTCTCGGAGCCGTTTGTGCGTGCCATGGTTGCCGACCACATAACAACATCGCTGGACTGGGCCGCGACGCTGGCGGCCGGCCGCCCGGTGCTGCCAGACTTCGACGCGCGGGGTCTCAGCGGACTGCAGCCGCACGACATTCCGCCGCTGCGCCGGCTGCTGGCCGACATCCACGCTGCGCTCACCGCTGCACCGCTGCCAGCAGCTGTGGACAACCCGCGCCGCACGCTGACCATGCCGCTGCCCACCACCGCCACTGCCGCTGCTGATAAGACGGCTGCCGCTGGATTCAAAAGCGAAAACCTTTCTGTGGCACTGGCCGATAATGCACGGTTCTGCCATGTGTTTGAGCCTGTGCGCATGTCTGTGCAGTGCGAATGGAGCGATGGTAATGAGGCGGATGTTGCGGTTGTGTGTGATCCTGACGAGTGGCTGGTCGCTGGGCCTGTGCGCGGAATTGTGCGCGGCATTGCATGGTTTACGCTTGTGCCGCTGAAAGTCGGCTTTATGTTGCTGCCTGAGGTGAAATCGGCTGACACACAGCAACCGCCGTTGCCTGTGGTCTTTGCGTATAGACGCGTGTGTGTTTTCCCCAATCCACGCGTGTCCACCGTGTATACCGTGCCGATTCCTGTGTGAGGGATCCCTTGATAATAAAACTTTTTTGTTCCGCTTTAGTGTGTAATCTATTATCCGGTATGTTTTTCTATTTTTTTCCATGTTGATCATTTTTTCGGGTTTTTCTTTTTTTTTGTGACTTCCTTTTTTTCCTCTTATTCTGAAATGGTTTCTTAATACCTTGATAGGAACAAATAAAAAAAGCTTTTTTATTTTCCTTCTTTTTTTGGTTCCCACCCGAGTTTTGCCTTTTTTGATAGATAAAAGGAGAATATCGGAACGCTGGAAATTATGCAATGTCCAAAAAGGGGAACAATAGGGTGAGAAAAAAATATATAAAAAAAGATGAAGTAAAAAAAAAAATCAATATGACCACATAATAAAAAAATTGATGATCACTTGAGAAAACCACATGTGGTTTTTTTTTGATTATTTTTATTCACTATTAAAAAAAACATGCTAATGGAACCCCTTCCCTACGCTCTCTGCTGTATCTGAGTTCCTTTTTTACCTGTTAAGCTGCAAAAATATATATATATCTGAATTATAAAAGAAAAAAGTATTTGTCATTGCACCCTGCAAATAAATAAACAAGCATATTTCTCCCTTTGTTTTCGTTCTTTCATTTTCATTTTTTTCATTACCAAATAATTATATTTTTCAATCCTCCCAAAACTACACTATCCCCCTTCCATTTTTTTCTTCTTTCATTACCAACAAAACAACATCAATAATTTTTTTTTACCACAATGTCTGAAATCATCTCACCACTTGCCGTCATTGAAAAGCCCATTTTGCCACAGGTCAAGAAACCTCAGCCTCCATTCTACCTCGGCGGATTCGCCGCCTGCGCCGCTAACTTCTTCACCCACCCCTTGGATCTCCTCAAAGTGCGTCTTCAAACCACCAAGGGTGCCACCAGCACCACCCACGTTATCCGCGCAATCTACCAACACCAAGGCATCGTCGGCTTCTACAACGGGATTTCCGCCGCTGTCCTCCGCCAACTAACCTACTCTACAGCACGATTCGGTGCCTACGAAGCAATCAAACTCGAACTAACCAAGCCAGACGGCACTCTTCCCTTCTACCGTATGGCTGCCTCCGGTATTCTTGCCGGAGCTATCGGCGGTGTCTGCGGCACACCTGCGGATATAGTCCTTGTGCGGCTGCAGAATGACGGCGCACTACCGATGGACCAGCGCCGTAATTATAAGAACGCGTTTGATGGGATTTTTAGGATCGCGCGTGAAGATGGTGTGCGCGGGTTATTCAAAGGAACCATACCGAATGTTTCGCGCGCCATCCTAATGACTGGATCCCAGCTCTGCTCCTACGATGCCTTCAAAGACATTCTACTCCCGTATATGAAGGAAGGCCTGATGCTGCATTTCTCCGCATCCTTTTTGGCTGGATTCGTAGCTACCACCTTGACATCTCCGTGCGATGTGGTGAAGACTAGGATTATGAATGCTGGGCCGGGGAATAAAGCTTATACTGGGTTGGTTCAGGCTATGGTCACTATTGTTAGGGAGGAAGGCATTGGTGCGCTTTATAAGGGATGGACCCCGGCTTTTGTGAGAATGGCTCCGCAGACTATTCTGACGTTTGTCTTTTTGGAACAGTTCAGGGCTTTTTACTGGGACAGCTATGCGAAGAAAAACAACGTGTGCTATGACTGATCAATAAAAACATAGATAGAAACATAGATAATTGTGGCAATTATGACAGAATGGGAGGGGAAAGAGAGAATTATAATTGGTTTTCCTTTTTTTCTCGTTCTTCGATTTTTATTTTATATTAATTATAGTTTTTTTTAATCCGCCTGAATCAAAATTCTCTTCATATATTTTTTTATATATATATTTTGAAAAAAAAACCTCCCATTAAAGTTAATGCGGAGAAAAAGGAGTGAGAAGACAAAATATATCAGAATTGGTCGTGCCCTTTTTATTCAATTTAATTTTTTATATTTTATATTTCAAGCTCCACTTTTTTTTACTTTAGCCCTCCCCCCCCCTGATCTTCCCGCTGCTTTCATCGTTATCATTTACTCCTCTTTCATTTGTCTTCTTTATATTTATTTCAACATATGGTCCAAACATCTACTACTCTTACACTCGGTGTTGGGTCAGGCTCGAAAACACACCAACCCAAACCACCCATGGTTCCCTTCTGGTGTGGAGGTAACTAATAAAATAAAAAAATTTTAAAATTCACATAAATTCCATACAAAAAAGTTGAATTTCTCAAAAATAAAACATTCACATATATATAATTGTTTTTCTTAGGCTTTTCGGCCATGGCAGCAGCCTGCTTCACACACCCGATTGACCTCATCAAAGTACACCTGCAAACCTCCACAACCCACCAACGCGCACTGCAAACCACCCATCGGATCATCCAAGAATCCGGCATCCTCGGTCTATACAATGGGCTCTCTGCCGCACTGCTCCGCCAAGGAACATATACAATGACGCGGTTTGCCATATACGATCTGGCCAAAGACCGTATGCGGCATGAGGATGGGAGTCACCTGACCGGGTTAGAAATAACCCTGGCCACAATCCTGTCTGGTGTCGCCGGCGGTATAGTTGGGAATCCTGCGGAAATTCTTAATGTACGTATGCAGAATGACCAGGCGTTGCCGTTGCACGCACGGAGAAATTATAGAAATGCCTTGCATGGGCTCAAGGTCATGGTTGCGGAGGAAGGACTGCGGTCGTTGACTATTGGTTTGGCGCCAAGTCTTTTGCGCGCCACCCTGGCGACTGCCTCGCAGTTCGTATCCTATGATTTGTTCAAGGAGCAGTTGCTTGGTGCTGGGTTGGATGATAATGTCGGGGTGCATTTTACCGCTAGTTTCATGGCTGGGCTGGTTGCCACCACGGTGTGCTCGCCCGCGGATGTCATTAAGAGCCGCATGATGGCCTCGCTCATATCGAACTCTCCCGCCAGTGCCGCGGTGTCCGAAACTGCTCCCGTCGGATCTGCGTCTATGTGGCAGACTTGCTCGCGTATTTATCGCAAGGAGGGATTACGCGCCTTCTTCAAGGGATGGGTCCCATCGTATGTGCGGTTGTGTCCGCAGCTGGTCATCACCTTTGTCATATACGAGAAATTGCGCAAGTCTTACTTTTCTCGCTACGAAAACCGTCTTAAAATCCAAACAAACTCGTTAAAATAAAAATAAGAAAACTTGTAAATGCAAATATTTTTTTACATCATCCTTTTTTTGCACATCCGCGTAATTGATGTATATAAAAATTATGTGTTTAAGAAAGAAATTTTTGAATACGAATAATTCTTTTTTTTTTGAAAGATAAAAACCAAGAACAAAAAAAGATAAGGATGCTACGCCAAAATGAAAAGATAGCAAAATGGTTAGCATCTCATTAACCGCGCACTCCCGTTCAGCTGTCTTCCAAACATGCAGGGCATCAAGCGTTTATTCCATTTACTGCTGCTGCTGCTGCTGGGGGCGGCTGCGTCCGAAACCACCACGGAACTCGGGGCGGAATTCACTGGAGGCACCCTCGGTCTTGCCATCATCGCGGCGACGGTAGTCGTCGTTATCACGGCGGAAACCACCCTCGCGCTCTAACAAAGATACCAAAAAAACAATAGATATATCCGTTTAGTCTAAAGTTCAATCTATACATATTATACACACATACCCTCCTATAACATCCTCTTCTCCAAAGCACTTTCTACAAGAAAACAAAACAATACTTACCAGTACGGCGACCAAAGCTGGGGGCAGCGGTGGGACGGGCAGCCTTCTTGAAGGTAGCGGGGAAAACCTCCTGGGGGATGTTGAGGTACTCACGGAGGTACTCAATACCCTCGTCAGTGAGGGTGTAGTAGTAGTACTGCCACGAGAACTGGGTCTTGACAAAACCACGGGAAGTCAGAGACTGCATGGCCTTGATGACCTCGAGGTTGGGCACCTCGAGCTCGAGGTGACGAGGGGCGTTGTAGTCCTTCTTGGCAACAAGGGCACCGTCCTTGAAGAGGGCCTTGCAGATCGTCTTCCTGTTGGCAGTGGGAATGTACATGGTTCTACTATCACGGATAAAAAGGGTTATAAAATAAAGAAAACCACATAGAGTTAGTATAAGGATCTCTCTCGCGCGAGTCAATTCAAGCGAAACACAAAACGGAAAGTTACACCGGCAGTGGCGGTAGCGGCAGCGGCAACAGCAGCAGCGATAAAACAGCCTGACAATGCAAAGCTAAAGTCCCCTCCCAATTAGAAAAGTATTCCGCCGCTTGTTTTGTTGTCTGTTTGTTTATCTGACTGTCTCTGACCACATCTCTGCTGATTCTGCTGCTGCTGGTGTTTGAAACCACAAAAAGGAAAAGAGAGCCTAAGAGTTGAAAGTCTGAATTTGCAATAACCACGCGCCAATTGTCTCTAATCACGGTTCCTGGATCCAATCTACAACCAAAGCCAGACAAACTTAAGGTTCTGAGACAGCTGGCATAAACTCATGCAAAACAACAGCGTTCAAATATGCAGAAATTGAAGTTTGTGAATTCAAATTTTGAAAATAATTCAAATTCCATCCCCTCAAATTCACATTTTGTGAATTGCCCTGTTTTACAAGGCGTGCGTATCTGGCCACTAGTTGTTGCTGCATCCATCGTTGCAGCTCAGTATTTCAACATGAACTATGGCTGCATCCATCGTTCCAATTCCCTCTTTTCCTCAATCCATAACAAGATCGTTGGATTCGCGCTAAACGGCTCTCTTTCTCCCTTCTATCGTCCGCTGCTGCTGGTTATAACACAAAAAATGAGTATGGATATAGTATTTTACACACCTATAAATCAGCTCCTAGCGATGAGAAAGGAGAAATCCAGGCGCAGCTGCCTTCAACACAAGCGTTTTGTTAGTATGCACATTTTGCAGTGCTGCTCTCTCTTTAATTTACTGCCACCACTGGGCTTATTTCAACTGCCCGCTTGCCTTCACCACGTTAAGCGTGATACAATGCTAACTTGGCTTGTTCTGAAGGGGCTCAATCAGTGTGTTTAAAGCCACCGCTCTTCTGTAGCTCTATGCGTCTGGATAATTCAGTCAGCTCGAGCCGAGCTGATTGTGAAGCATTGTGGGCAGTTAATGGTATTAGGCTCGTGATCTTTATAATTGTATTCATCCAAGCCTTCGATTTATAGAATTTTTCCATGGTGTGCATACTCGTGCAGCGCGCTCCAAAAAAAACAGAGTTGGAAATGGAAATATTTTTTCTTTAAGCAACTAGCAGCTTATCTTTAAAAAAATACAAATATACACAAGCCAACTAATTACATAATGAACAATGTGCGCAATTTAACGCTTGATTCACACATTGACTGTAAAATAATCAACAAAACACTGAGGATGGCGGCAAACAATATGCGAGATATCAATTCAGAATAAAACAAATCAATTTTGAAATATTTTATGGTAGTATTTTGTACTTGTTTTTAGTGTTTACAACCGATATTGTTGACATGTTTTTCATGTCCCATTGTCGGACATAAAGGCTTAATTCTAAGCCGTGTGGCACACAGCCGCCTAAAATATTTTTTTTACATTTATTCGCATAATTATACACATAAAAATTTTGGCCATTGGAATTTTAGAATAATAATCCAATTGAAATATTCTGAATATTGTTGTTGTGTTTCAATACTGGCCTGAATTTTTTAAAAAAAAAATATATATATATATCCAGTGTTTGCTCTATTTCGATTATGTTTGGCGCTAAATTATGTTCCACGTGTTGATTTGTATTGTTCAAAGTCAAACATTCCCTTGAAAGGGACGCAATAACTATACAGTCAAAAAATTTTAAACAAAAAATTGCTCGCAATTAGCATCATATTCTAAAGTCTATCGCCGGTTTTACATTTAATGTGCCAGTGTATCTTTCTTTTTTGGGCCCCCTGCAAGTCCCTGCACCCGCGGTTTATTTTGTTTTATTTTTAATGATTAGCCGCATTTATGTAATTTATACCTTTTATTATTTTTGACGCCTCTGTTAACTTTTACACTTTTACAGACATAATTTTTCTTTCTAATGTACTATGACATGACCTCGGATGAGAAAAAGTGCATTGAACTGGCAGCCTTCTCGGGTTTGTCTGTCGATCCGGCTGGATACGTCGACTTTGCTGTGGTCCTTTTCTACATAGCCATTCTTTTGATCGGCTTGATTGCCAATATCTACATATGGTTCAATCGCCACTACACGCCACTCAAAGCCAAAAATATTCCTCTGATGACCAGAATTTATCTCCATTGCATATTCTTTTTTCTCGGCGACGTGACCCTATGCGGCCTGGTGCATGTTCGTAGCCCCGTTTTTGGCAACTGCATACTGATACTCGTGTGGTTCAGGTCGATGCTGGGCAATTTTTCTCTGGGTGCCCTGCTTACAATCCGCTCGTACAATTTTTACTGCGTGTTCTGCCGAAACAAGCCAATGCAGGGCTATAGGCGCACGCTTCCTTATCTGGTATACATTCTTATCATTTCAATTGTCGGCACTATATCCACATTAGTGCCACGCAGGATGACCATGGTATTTTTGGATAGCATCGAGTTTTGTTCTGTCAACGAGAATTTGGTTACCACGTACTGCACAATGCTCTGGGCCGTTTGGGTTGCGTATACAGCCATGATGTGGCTGCTGCGAAACGTGCGCAGCTCGTTTAGCGAGGTCAAAGAGATGGCCGTGTCGCTGGGCCTGCTTGTTTTGTGCACTGTTTTCAACCAAGCGCTTCTCTACATGGTTCCCCATTTACCAGTATCTCTTTACTGGCACGTTGTGCTGGTTACCATTGACCAACTGACCGCAAACTATATGTGGTGGCTAATCATGTTCAAGCCGCTGTACAATTGCTTTTTTTACCGTGACACTTGGAAGAGTGGCGACAAAAGATGATTGACGATGGATTGCGCACACAATATGGCATGGGCGCCGCCGAAACAGATATTTCGGTTAAATCGGACATTTCAACAGGCCTCGCTCATAATACATACTTAAAGATAGGCAAAAATAGCACCAGCTCTTCAGAATCTAGACGATTGGCCAATAGCCAGCTTGTGCTGACCGAGTCCCACCATGGCCACATTGACGAACCAGATTTTATGTGGGGCAGCTCTGGGCATGAACGGTATGATCACTGATGACTGCAAGTCCCGTCGAAGCGTTCCAATTACGCCGGATTATGCGCGCAAAAAAAGTGAGCCCTACATCTCGGCAGCAAATCTTATTGAGGACTCGGCCGGCTATGTTTTCCAGCACGACATACGCTCAAAATAATGGATGCCCGCCCAGTGCCTACAGCCATGCCGCAATGGTAGAGTTGGTATAATAGAGAGTGTCGACATGGTCGGATCGTTGCAAAACTTTCATTGTCGGATGGTCCAGCAAAGCAATGCATTGGAATGCAATATAAAACTCGGACCTAAGCCATTTATTGCCGCGTCTGGAGATTACTGCGAGTTTACTTCAGTTGAGTTCCCTGGGCCGCAGCCCACCAGTCCACGCAAAACTGACGAGCGGCAGACGGAGGTATGCGGCTTTGGACGGCTTCACGACAGATGGCATGCACAGAGTTCGGACATGGATTTGTCACTTTTGCCGAGTGGTGACGGTATGAGCAGCAATATGTCGGCGAGCAAACACCTGTTGTAAAAAGGTAGACATTTAAACGGCAGCCTCAACACACATCCAAAAGGCAATTAATCCGATCTGCCCAGCCATTATTATTATTGCTATTGTTATTTAAATATCTACGCCTAGCTTGAATTTGATTTTGTTGGTGCGTCGATGATGATCTCGCTGTGCGGGTTGAGGGCGTACTCTGTCCACGAGCCGTCGAACAGGGTTAGGGCGCTGCGGTCGACGCCGGCGTTAAGCAGGGCAAAGTACAGCACGGCGGCGGTGACGCCGCTGCCGCACGACGCGATGATTGGGCGCTTGAGGTTGACGCCGGCGGCCTCGAAGGCGGCGCGGATGTCAGCGGGGCGCTTGAGCACAGCGGGCGAGGTGTCGGTCGCAACGGTCATCTCGGACGACGGCACGCTGAGAGCCATCGGCATGTGGCCGGACGACAGGCCGGGGCGGAACTCGGGCGCGGCGCCAGTGAAGCGCGCGTGCGGGCGGGCGTCAATGATCTGGCGGCCGTGGGCGCCGGCGCTAGCCTTGAGCTCCTCGATTGCGCCGATGACGTCGGCGTAGTTGCACACGATGCGTTGGTCAGGATGGGCAATGTAGCTCTGGGTGGTGTGAGAAGTTTCGGCAGTCTCAGGCCCAGCCTCTGTCTCGCCGCCCTGGGCGGTCCACGCGGGCAGGCCGCCGTCGAGCACAGACACATTGTCGTGGCCCATTGCATGGAAGGTCCAAAACACGCGGCATGCAGGGCCGACGCCGGCCGAGTCGTAGACGATGACGTGGTCGTGGTTGGCGATGCCAAACTTGTCCATGGCCGAGGCAAAGAAGGCCGGCTGCGGGAGCATGTGCGGCAGGTCGGGACGGGTCAGATCCTTGATTGTGTCGATGTCGAAGAAGTGCGCTCCTGGGATGTGGGCGCGGGCGAACTCGTGCTTGGCGCTACGGTTTGCAGTTGGCAGGTGCCACGAGCAGTCAAGGACTTTGACGCGGCCCAGGTTGTCGCGCAGCCACGGCGCAGTGACTAGAATACTGGTGGAGGAAGCAGGTGAGCCGCTCATCGTTCTGGGCAGCGAGGTGTGAATTGCCTAGGGCGAATTTGTTTTGGGAGGGTTGTGAGAAGCGAGTAAAAACAATGAAAAACAATGGTGAGTAACGATGGGCGAGGCGGCCGATAAAAGAGGTAAAAAAGAAAGAGGGCGAGCCTGCAGTGGTAACTGAATTGAGCGATTGACTACTTACTCTGAGCGGGCTGGATGGCCGAGCGTGAAAAGTAGCAGTGGGAAAGGCAGCGACAGAAGCGGCAGCAGTATAAGAGGCAGCGAGTGAGCGCGCTCTGGCGGCGAAGTGCATATTTACGAGGGCAAGCATGGCGGGCGTTCGAGTAGCAGGGTGTTGTGGACCGTTTTTTCAGACTATATTTTAGACTTTTGGCCAGGCGACAGCAGATGCAATAAAAAAGATGCAATATAAAATACACAGGAAAAACAAGGGTTTGAAACAAAAGAAAGAAAAATAAAGCGATAAACGATAAACGAGCGGGGCCGGCGAGAGGGACATGGCGAACAAGAGGTGACGTGTCAGCAAGCAAAGACAACGCTCTAAAAAAGAGCAAAAAATTTCTCCCGAAGGAGATTCCGTCTCAAGATAAACGTGTCATCCTTGCGCAGGGAAACATGCTAATCTTCTCTGTATCGTAATAATTGTTATCAAGTGTCCCTCAAGGTAGGTTGCCCCACCTTGCGGACAATCTATATTGCGCGGCTTTAGATTTTATACTCTGAACAAATAAGGGTGTCTGTGGGTTATGGAGCAAAACAAGCATTTGACTGTGTGCTGCCCAGCATGTGATCATGTGATTGGTATAAGTATGTTTATTTACGATATTCGTCTCTTGCTCTTGTGGGGCCAGTGGTGATTGAAAAACATGAAAAACATGAAAAACAGCAGCAGCCCTTAAAATTACTATTATTTTCTCTACTTGGCTGCGACACACTTATTTCTGCGTTTGAAGCTTAAACCTAACACCAGTATAATGACCTGTAGTATAATGGCGTATAGTGCGTGGAGCCATTGAGCTGATTTTGGCCTGTGCCAATTGGCCAACAAAGCCTGTATTTGGCTGCGGGTTTTGCACGCCCTGAGTAAGGCACCTTGAAAAAATGATTTTGCACGCCTTGGGGAGCAAGAACAAAATCGCTTGATATGTTACCAACACGCGCCTCTGGCTATGGCATGCATGCTTGGAGGCCTATTCGCAAAGCACTACATGTGCAAATGGCGTAGATTGCGCAATAAAACAAGCAGCACATTTCCATTTTATTTTGCAACTTGGCAGATCGAGCAAACAAGAAATCTAAAATAATTTACAAAGTAGCCTTTGCTCGGACTATACTTTATTTAGTGCAGATGGGAAAAGAGGACGGCCTGTGTACAGCCACATTGATCCAATTTAAGGGAACTCAAAGCATAATAGGCGTCAAATAATAATTGGCAATGGAGCCAGAGAGAGAAAATAGATACATTGAGCGAAATATAAAACAAGTGAAAAAACAAATGATTAAGACTGATTTTTTACTGTGCCACCATGCCTATCATGGGCTCTATTACAGACTTGGCAATGAAGCCAGGGTTAGCAGTGGTGGGAAGTAGCTTTAATTGAGAACTGAGAATCGGCTACGAAAAAATAATATAATATTGTTAGCGTAGGATAAGTACAGCAAGGCCAGCAATAATGCTAGATAGGGGTATGTGCATATTGTTTTGATTTCCCACTCGGGTTGGTTTAGGAATGCGAGTGTTGCCGAATCCTTGCGCTTGGATGTGCATCGTTCCATTTTGCACCCAATACACTCCTCGTGTAAGATGTGGACAGGCGCATGATGATATTTTTTAGGCTAGACAAAAAGTTACATTCGGACTCTGGGGGCCTTACCATTCCGGGTGCCTTGCTCTTGCCAAAAAATAAAAAATGAAAAGTATGTGCATGGCCGCTTGATATAACTGGAATGGCGGTTGGGCATTCGCTTTGAGATACATCAAGCAGATGAGAAGAGTGATTTGCGGTGACAGAAAAATATATAGGATGTGCCGGCTACATGACTATGTTTCCCCCAACCGGATGATCTGGGACCAGAAAGGGGGCGGGCACCCCTGGCAGTGACCCCGGCGACGAAGATGGGAGGGAAAAAACACCAAAAAAGATGGGATCGCGCTGCTGTGCACCCGCGGATAATATTCACGACTGGTATGTGGGCGGTATGAGAACAATATGAGACCAGATGATGGTTTTTTTAGAGTCGGGGGGTCTGGATGATGAGGATGGGTCGTTGGAACAGGGCAGCAATGTGGCACTAAAACTGAAAGGGGACAGATACAGACAGATGCAAGCATGTGTGGCGAATCCAAGTTCAGGGGATAAGCAGCCAGCCAGGGCCGTGCGGTGTGAATTAAAAATAAGGTTTGGCCTAGCCCCAAAATATAATGTGTTTACCAGATCTGCATTATTATGTAATATATGGTATTCAACAAGAGCAATTAGCTCAGAAAATCGGTTCCAAATGGCTCAGATTAACCTTAAAGCCGGGTTAGCTCAATCGGTAGAGCGTAAGACTCTTAATCTTAAGGCTGCGGGTTCGACCCCCGCATTCGGCTCTTCTTTTGAAGTTTTTTTGCTGAGTCTATTTAAATTAAATGTTTTGGCCTTTTCTTTTTATATAACATATACTGCCCCCGCACACAAAACTCATTTTTATATATGTTGTTGCATCTACTGCTACGCTATTCTCTTTTAAAAATGTTTTTTGTCATCCACTCGCTGCACTTGCTCACTACAAGCTATCCAAACCGTGCTATAAAACCAACTAACTATTTTCACTTGACAAAGCTATCTAGTATACTTTTCAAAAAAATCTATAAGGTTTTTTGTTTTAGTTTATTTTAATTTACCTCCTTTTTATTGCTTATTTTTCATTTTTCATTTTTTATAAGTATTTATATAGTCGCGGTTGGCCAATGCCTTTTTCCTGTGTGATACATAATCAAATAAAAATATACTGTTTATTCTAAGTAAAAACCACACATGGGCAACACACCCGGTGTGTCGTTTCCCTTTGCCTTTTAACAAAGCAGATTTTCCAATAAAAACATTGCATTTCCAATCAAACTGAAACATTTGAATTAAATAAGCTTACCAAGGCGTGGTATTATTTATTGTAATTACGGTTGTTTTTATTATAGAGCACACTCCCACTTTGTTTTTTGATGCACGTCTCAGCTTTTATTTTTTTTGTACTTTTTCTAAGCTATGCCTACACCAACAAACACTGTAAGGGGTATTTTCAAAACAAAACACACAGTAGCAGCCCTAAGTAACTTTGCTATGGCCTTCCTTGGGGTATTTTGCCTTGCCAGACAATCATCAATAAAAATAAAGGGTCGTATACTTCCAAGTTATGCCGTAGTTAAAGCCATTTACTTAGATTTTTGGCCCACTGTTGCGCAGCCCGAGGCCATGGAAGTGGGCGTTGAGGTCAAGAATTGAGAAACAGATTCCTGTCTGCATGCTGATAAATCGAATACAAACTAGATCATAGGTAATCGAATTAGGCGCCACTATTGACATCCAGACATATTGTGATACAAGGAATTGCGGCTTGTCTCCGGCGATTGATTCATTAATCAATCGCTAGTTAATTCCCTACTTGGATATGCGGGAATCCATACGCACACATAAATACTAATGAATATGAACAGTGGATGATGTTCATCCCTTAGCTTTCTTTTAGTTCATTTTGTTCAATATATATTTTTAACATAGCACATCCAGACACATTGTCCGTCTTGAAATACGTATGTATGAGCGTACACAAGCAAAGACCACAGCAATGGCATATCAGAGACCCGGGCTACTTTTATAAGAATCAGTTCTTGCCAACGGAGTGCACAACTGGCGGAGTACACAAGGAAGGCAAGCCTACATATATAAGACGAAACTAGCGCTAGTAGCACTTTAGAAACGCTAGTATTAAAAACCAATTATAAAATTACCCCCACTTTTCTAATTCTACTATAGTAGTGCTCACACCCCCTTCTCATCACAATTCTACCTACAAAAAAATTTGGTATTTAGTTTTCTTAACATATGTTACATTATAGAAAATTGTGGATACCCTATTTGTGACATCAATTATTTCAATGTCACGTGACAATCGCAATTGGGAATTTGCGATTGTTTGAAATTGTGATTGTTTACGATCGCGATTTCTATTTTCACGGGCGATGGTTTCGAATAGATAAGCGGAGCTCTTTAAGCTCCCTTATAGTGGATTTTTAATAAAATTAGTTAGTACGAATAAGTTTTATTACACTATTGCACGCAAATTTTATGTAAATAAAATTAAAAAATATTACATCAACATAATGTAAATTACTTACTAACAATGTGTCAATAGAGCATGTGAATTGCTTTTAATTATTTGTTGGTTTAAAAAGCGTATAGCACCGACACACCGCTATCTACATATTTTTAATATCTTTAACCATCTATATTTCCTTTTGTTTCTCGCTTTTAATTAGTTTAAAGTTGTGTTCCTTTTAGACACTGTTGTTTTGCAATTTGGGGTTTTATAAATTTGCCTGTGCATGCAATGTCGAGTTTGTGTTTAAGTAATGGCCTTAGAAAATTGCCAACCCAGTTGCTTGAACAACAGCCCTTAAATGGGCAGACCATTCTATTTATTCAATTCCACCACCAAGATTTATTTAAGGATTCATCCATCACAGGAATAGAGTCGACCTGTATAAAAACGGATACCCCAGCAGAGCAGTTGCAATGCCAAACAGCAAAAAATAATTTTTGTTTGAGAGCTCTTCAATTTTTGAATTAATTGTTTGAAAAAGTGGTTTATTTTGTGAAAAATATACTGCACGCTTGGACTTGATATACATTAATTTGCCAGCAACGGTTTATTGCCAAAAACAATGATTATAACCAACTCATAGCTTGACCACTGCATATACGCTCCTTGATTTTTAATACTGCTGGCCATACAAAATTGATTTTCCTGTTAAATGTATCGCTTTTTGCATCCAGCAGATTATATGCATGCAAATAATAATAAAGCGTATACACTGTGCGTACGCCACCTAACAGAGTATTCAAATGCCATTATTAATGCTAACCGGAATTGTTACAATGCCTGCAGAAATGACAAATACATTTTTTGCATGTTTTATTGCTAATGATTTAATTTAAAACATAAATACGTTTTTGCAATGTTGCATCACGGGGCCGGCGGCCAACGACAGTGTAATGAATGTAAGCAACGACGAGCGTGAGGTTGGCGCATTCACAATCGACGTCCATGGTTAATTGTGAATGCCGCGTACTTACAAAGACAAAATGGGTTGTGACGACATTTGCCATTGGTACAACAGGAATTGTCTCCCCAGCTGCGGCTATTGTCGAAAATTCTATGTTTACGCCGGAAGGAATGGAGAGATGCCAAGAAGGCGTTTTCTTCATAGCAACGCAAACGAGCATACATTTTCAATAGTTTTACAATATCTTTTAAAAGGGGGACAAAGCCGCTTAGTTCGGCAAGGCTATCCTTACTAATAGATACCCTTTTAATTATTTTATAATATTATATTAGATATCTTAACATAAAACCCAATAGTAACTATTTTATTTTAAAGCTTTAGCTTTGTTCTGGCGCACTTGCATTAGTTGCAGCCGAGAAATAATATGGTAGGCTGTGCATTATCTTTGGTCTAACGATTACCGATTAACGTCAATTTTATTGTGGTGCACAGTGGCTTTTTGCCGCAGTGTCTTCATTGTGCGTTGTTTTTTAGAATTGAATTGTTCTTAGTACACGTTGTTTGGTTCCCAACTGTGCGCAGCAGTAATGGGTGTTAGCTTGATTTTAATTTATTTATGCCTACATCCCACCCTGCTTGCCGCTGCAGCCGCGGCCACTTTCTAGCTTGTGGTCCCTTATAGTGCCGTCTCTGCCACTTTTCCCCTTGAAACAACATTGTACCGCTCTGGAATATTATTACTCGTTTATCTCGCTTGCCTTAATTGCTGTTTTTATAGACGTGCAAATAACCTTTATTTGCGCTACTTTCACTCAATAGTATATTTGCTAACGCCGCAGATGGGGCTTGTTTTGCTCTGGTAATCCACATCAAAGAATGGGATTGTCGTGGTATCCACTGGTACTCCTAATCATAACTACGCCCAAAAAGTTTTTGTAAAAATAACCGCTTAAAGGCCAAAAATAAATCAATAATACAAATATATAGATATATAGATATAGATTTCAACTTTTTATACCTTTTATGCTCATTTTCTATTATAATTTTCTTAATTTTATTTTTATTTTCACCATATATTTAACAAATATGACAGGCACATACAACCTTCCATTAGTTATCACAAATCTTATATTGAAATATACGTCAACGGTCAACAAAACAAACTTAACTTTGTCATGGAAGCACTCGCTCAAATTACTCGCCTTTTGTCGGGAGCGGAGAGCTATAGGCAAGCGTGTAGTGTACAGGACGGCGTACCTTATTGAAGAGACGCCAGACAAACCTAAAGACAAAACAGAGATAACAAACATTGATCTTATCAAATCAGTCAACTTTGCGCATCTGGTCTGGACCGTATTTGTCATAGCGACCAACGAGATGTGTCTCGGCATGTTCATCCTTACACACAAATATATTTTCAAATCAGACAAATATGATTGGACTCGTGTCAACTTCCTCGACATGACTGTCAACGAGTATGTGGAGAAACGTAACGCTCTGCTTATCGATGAGCCGTTTTATGAACTGGCGCCAGATAACTCATTTGCTGATTGGTTTGTGGCCACTATGGCCAACGTAGTCAGCGTTAGCTTTAACATAAATCCAGCCACCAACAAAACAACCGCACTGTGCAGCAGAATCATCAGTGAATACGGTAGCCAACTGCGCTCAATATACAATAGTTCCGTTACAAACTTCACAGCGTTTACATCTCAGTCTTTTTTGGCGAATCTGACACATTTGGATATCAGATTGGACTCTGTGGTAGAGAGCATCCTCCCAAAGATCAATCCAGCAGCACTCCTTCATTTAAAGATGAGGAATGTGCTTTTGCATTTCTCATGGGATTATTTTTCTCGGAATCGGTCCTCCAACATTATCATCTTCAACCGATTAAAAGTTTTGTTTTTGTCATTTATTGACGAGACAGTTAGTTCAAATGATATTCACGCAAATATTTAGGCCGGCTCAAATAATAGTATTGGAAGGCATTATGTTCGACTTCCAAAGCTCGATTACCTGACAATTGTTAACAACCCAGGCACTCAGCTTCTCTCGGCACACTACACATTTCCCAAGATGATTTGGTCAGTTACCATTTCAAAATCGCTGAATAAAATAAAATTGGTCAAGGAATTCAACATAAAGGAGATTAAGAGTTTGGTACTCTACGTCGACAATATCGGACAAGAAAGCGAGTCCGAGTTTTACAAGTTGACTAACCATTACTTTAATAGAAAGTCTCGCGTATCCAAAAGCAGAATCTGCCTCGAAAGGACACATTTCCCCTGAACTTCAATATAATCAACTGGACCAATCTTACTCAGATACATTTGAGGGAGGTGATTGATATTCATCACATCGCATCATTATTAGCCAATATGTCTGAATTATCTGAATTGTCGGTTGGTTTTTTCCGCGTGGATTTTTTTTCAGAGTTCATAAGCGACGCAGTGTACAACACAAACCATAGCCGGTCAAAGTTGGCACCGCTCAACGTGAGTATCCAGGTGATTTGGAAACCTGGGCTTACTTTCTGATTCTGCAGCTACCTTCATTGAAGCAGATAAAAATATTTGAAAAATAACTTGTGGACTTGAATAATTTTATTTTACAGTTTAAAGCTTGGTATCCTCATATTAGAAATATAAAAAGCCTGTACTAGACATTTATATAAAAATATCATTCACCCAAATAATTTATTAAAAAACATATTTGTATACATTTTGTATATAAATTTAGTCATGTAAGCTTTTAAAAATAAAAATTGTGGAAATATACACACCTATCACCCAGCAGTCATTCAACATATCCTTTTGCAGTTTTATTTTAATGAACACGAAATTCCGCGGCCGACGACAAGTTTGCCGTGGTCAACAGCATTCCATACACACTGGACTCCATGATTAGCAGCACAGACGCCTTGGCGCCTGCCTCACAGTCACTTGGAGCCGCCCTGTGTGGTCACGAGAGACTATACTTTTGCGTCATTTATCTGGCGCCCGGCGACTTTTCCAGTTGAGCTATAAGGCCTTGAACCCCAGTCTCAATGGCATGCCGCTGAAGAAGCGATAGGAGGTTGGCGGCTTCAAGTTGGGCTCGACCATGGTGCTTGTCTTCTCGGCACCGAACACATTCAACTTCAACGTCAGTGCTAATCAGGCCGTTAAAATGGGCGAAGCGCTGGGCTATGTGGCGCAAACTAACCAATATGCATTTGTTTGTTTTTTTGGATGTTTCAAATATGTTGCAAATGGCCTTGGTGTCCAAGTTAAAGTTGTATGCATATGACAATGCTTTTGCCAAACAACACCAATAAAGATATAAATAAGGGATTGTGGACGAGTATCTACGCCCTGGGATTTCTTTTAATTCATATTCAAAATTTAGCACCTTTCAACAAATACAATTTGATATTTCAAAAATCAATTTATGCAAGCGCGGAGTAGGCTGGCAAAAAAAGAAAGCGAGCGCATACTTCATTTACAGGCACAAAAAATGGCAGCCAGAAATCCGCAGCTTGTGCACGCGCCAAAAAAACAGTGGAAATGAAGAGAGATTGCGTGATCGTCGCAAAGATCGATTGGCCACAGACTTTTCAACATTTCTTACTTCGTCAAGCACGTCAATGCGCACATGCACCGAAAAAAACCCAGGCACAAGACGGCCTGGGTCCATTCGCAATCTCTATATCTTCCTCGAGCAAAACCCAAGATAACAAAAAAACTCGCGTCCTTGTCTCTTCAGCCTCTCAGTCTTTCACAAGTTTTAATCTTATATTTCCATTTTTTGCACGCTTTACACATCACGCCTTTTAGCACATGTCTGACACAACCTTTCGTGATCCCCAGAGCGGCGGCTCGCTCATCCTGGCATGGCAGGTCAAGGCCAAGACCATTCTGATCGTCGGCGGGGGCGCAGTGGCTGCTGGGCGGGTATTCAGCGCGCTCGAAGCCGACGCCCATGTCGCAGTGGTTGCGCCAGAGCTGTGCGCCGAGCTGCAGTGCCGGGCAGACAGCAAGCAGATCCAGTGGCACCAGCGGATGTTCAAAGACAAAGACCTGGCTGGCGCCGACATGGTGCTGACAGCGATCAACGACGGAGACGAGTCGCGGCGGATAGCGACCATATGCCGGGCACAGCGCATTCCGGTCAACGCGGCGGACATCAATGACCTGTGCGACTTTTGGTTCATGTCGACGCACCGCGACCACTCGGTGCAGATCGCCGTGAGCACAAACTCAAAGGCACCACGGCTGGCCAACCGCATCCGGCGGCAGGTCGCATCGGCATTGCCGCGCGGCACGGGGCTGGCGGTCGAGCAGATCGGGCGCTTGCGCCGGCGCATTCGCGAGGTTGATCCCAGCCCGGCCAACGGCAAGCGGCGGATGACATGGCTGACGCAGCTCTGCGACTACTGGCCGATTGAGCAGCTGGCGCGCCTGGACTCGGACAACATCGATGATCTGCTCGACGCATATGTGCAACAGGCCGACCCAAAATCTGTCAAAATCGCACACAACTCGGCGCCAGCGTCGCCGGTGCTGGGCGGGTCGAATGAGCACAGCGCGGCCAGTGGGTCGCTGGTCTTAGTTGGAGCCGGCGTCGGCGACCCCGACTTGCTGACCGTGCGAGCGCACCGGGAGCTGCTGCAGGCGGATATCGTGCTGGCCGACAAGCTGATCCCCGAGCCGGTGCTTAGCATTATCAAGTGCGAGGTGTACACGGCGCGCAAGTTCCCTGGAGCCGCATCCGAGGCGCAGGACGACCTGAACCGTCGCGGGCTGGAAGAACTCGCCAAGGGCAAGCGCGTCGTGCGGCTCAAGCAGGGCGATCCCTTTGTGTACGGCCGCGGCGGCGAGGAGATACTATTCTACCGCAGCCATGGGTACGAGGCCCAGGTTGTTCCAGGGCTGTCCAGCACGATCAACGGGCCGGGGCTGTGTGGAATCCCAGTGACGCACCGCGGCGTGGCCGACCAAGTGCTGATAGTCTCGGGCGCCAACCGCGACGGCGACTTGCCCGTTGTGCCAGAGTATCTCGACACGCGCACCCTGGTTGTGCTGATGGCGGTCAAGCGGCTGCCTGCCATTGTCAGTCTGCTGCGCGAGGCTGCTTACCCAGACAGCCTGCCGGTGGCTATTGTTGAGCGCGCCGGATGCCTTGACCAGCGCACTGTCAGAGCAACCGTGGCATCCATTGTTGAGGTGGTCGAGCGTGTCGGCCACAACGCACCTGGGCTCATTGTCATCGGCCGCTCTGTCAACGTGTTGTCCGATGCTGCTATCCAAGACCGCTTCCTCGATGCATCGACGCTTGGCCTGCACTCGGCAGAATAGAACCGATTTTGAATTTGCTAATGTGATATTATTTTTATTACGCACGTTGTGTGTCTTGTGTAAACCCAAAAGTACTATGTGTGCTTTCTTAAACAACCGTTCCGAATGCCCGGTATTTGGCGATTATAACCACGCGTAATCCAGATAAAGTCCCGGCGCTGTTGCGGTTCGCCTGCGATGACTATATCTGTCTTCTGGTGCCGGCGAGTATTGCTGATCACTTGCAGCTGTGCCGCTGGTTTTCCAGCAATAATGCTGCGCCCCAAGTCATTGAGGATATTGCGGCACGCACTCATGGCAAGATTGCTTCTGAGATATTTTCTATCATAGCGGCCCATACCAGAGTCAAACAGCGACAGCAGCAGACCGCCACCAACAGTGTCACTGATGCTCCCTTGCGGCGTTGGCTGGCAGCGTGCATTGGAGTGATATCGGTGGCTTGGACGACATAATAGACGATTTGAAAGAGTCGATTGTGTGTCCACTTCTCTACTGTGATCAGCTCAAGCGCTTGGGAATCAAGCCGCCACGGGAAGTCTTGCTGCACAGGCCACCCGAAACCGCCAAAATAATGATGGCCAGGGCAGCAGCTACCGATATCTCTGCGAACCTTATAGCCATGGCGATCCTCGATATGATCAAGGGTGAGGTCGGCGAGTCCGGTAAGGCTCTCGCCTCCGCATTTGAGAGCGCCAAGCGTAGCCCGGGCATTGTTTTTCTCGACAAATCAAAGCGATACTTGGTGGCTGCGACTAGGCCGGCGAGGTCGGCAAAAAACTCATTTTGCAACTGTTCCTTGAAATGGACAATATCTCCAAGGACACTAGTGTAGTTATACTGGCTGGCACCAGCGCCCCACATTTGATGGACGAGTCTATTTTGCGCGCGGGCAAGCTGGACAAAATAATGCACATGCCGCGACCCGGGTACGCCAGTCGACTGGATATTTTGAAGCACGCCACCAGGAATTTGGCTGTCGAGGACACGGACACATTGTTCACATGGCTGGTCGAACTGGAGATGAGCAGGGCCGAGCTCAAGGGACTGATTCGTGCTGCGTGCTATGCTGCCATCCAGCGCGTATCCAAAATATTGGATATGTCGGACTTTGAGTGCGCAGTCGCATCAACGACCACTGATAATAATTTTATTTCGATGTTAATGTATTAAAAGTAAATTTAAAATAAAGCTATTTCTACATTTCGCCGCACTCTGAGATGATGACCGGCATTTTGGGCTTGTTATCTGGACCTGTTGGCACGTTCTCAATCTTTCTTAGAGTTAGCAAACCGTCAGTAAGTTTTCCAAATACAACATGCTTGTCATCAAGCCATGGAGTTTCAAGTAATGTCAGGAAGAACTGACATCCGTTGGTGTCAGGGCCGCTGTTGGCCATCGACAAAAGACCTGCACCTGTGTGCCTCAGTTCAAAATTTTCGTCGGCAAACTTGTCGCCGTATATGGACAACCGACCGCTACCATTCCCCTTGACAAAGTCGCCACCTTGCGCCATAAAGCCAGGAATAATGCGATGGAAGCTTGAGTTCTTGTATCCCTGCGGAACATTGTTAATCCTGTATTCGCCCGTGCACAGCTGACGAAAGTTCTCGGCTGTCCTGGGCACCTTATCCGCGAATAATTCCATTACTATACGGCCAGCATCTTCGCCGCCAATTTTAATGTCAAAAAATACGATAGGGTTGGTCATTTATTGATAATAAAAAATGATAGGTTAAATATGATCTGCATTTATTTTCGCTCGCAACAAAACAATTATACTTGGCCAAAGATGGTTAAACCAATCAAGTTATGGGTTTGTATAGCAATATTCACGTGTAACTAATTTAAAATTTTACAGTTGCGGGAGCAGGTGCGGGGATCATTCGGTTTAAGTGACATTTAACTGCTTTGTACATTGTTATAATAACTATTTAATAATTACACTTTCAGCACTGCAGTCGCGCATATACACAGACATTACAGCTTGAATAATGTTTGCCAAATAGTAATTTGGCTACAACCAAAACTAATTATTTCCTGATTGCTTTTTTATATTAAAATTTATACATAAACCAATTTGCAAGCAATCACTCGCCAAAAATTATTATTATAAACAGAAACAGAAACATTTTATGATATTAATATAAGATGGTTACAAGCTGTTTGTGGCGGGATAATAAATTTATTAAAATTCAATAAAATATTTGAAGCTAACAGACCTTGTGCTATGTTAAAAATATATATTGAACAAAATGAACTAAAAGAAAGCTAAGGGATGAACATCATCCACTGTTCATATTCATTAGTATTTATGTGTGCGTATGGATTCCCGCATATCCAAGTAGGGAATTAACTAGCGATTGATTAATGAATCAATCGCCGGAGACAAGCCGCAATTCCTTGTATCACAATATGTCTGGATGTCAATAGTGGCGCCTAATTCGATTACCTATGATCTAGTTTGTATTCGATTTATCAGCATGCAGACAGGAATCTGTTTCTCAATTCTTGACCTCAACGCCCACTTCCATGGCCTCGGGCTGCGCAACAGTGGGCCAAAAATCTAAGTAAATGGCTTTAACTACGGCATAACTTGGAAGTATACGACCCTTTATTTTTATTGATGATTGTCTGGCAAGGCAAAATACCCCAAGGAAGGCCATAGCAAAGTTACTTAGGGCTGCTACTGTGTGTTTTGTTTTGAAAATACCCCTTACAGTGTTTGTTGGTGTAGGCATAGCTTAGAAAAAGTACAAAAAAAATAAAAGCTGAGACGTGCATCAAAAAACAAAGTGGGAGTGTGCTCTATAATAAAAACAACCGTAATTACAATAAATAATACCACGCCTTGGTAAGCTTATTTAATTCAAATGTTTCAGTTTGATTGGAAATGCAATGTTTTTATTGGAAAATCTGCTTTGTTAAAAGGCAAAGGGAAACGACACACCGGGTGTGTTGCCCATGTGTGGTTTTTACTTAGAATAAACAGTATATTTTTATTTGATTATGTATCACACAGGAAAAAGGCATTGGCCAACCGCGACTATATAAATACTTATAAAAAATGAAAAATGAAAAATAAGCAATAAAAAGGAGGTAAATTAAAATAAACTAAAACAAAAAACCTTATAGATTTTTTTGAAAAGTATACTAGATAGCTTTGTCAAGTGAAAATAGTTAGTTGGTTTTATAGCACGGTTTGGATAGCTTGTAGTGAGCAAGTGCAGCGAGTGGATGACAAAAAACATTTTTAAAAGAGAATAGCGTAGCAGTAGATGCAACAACATATATAAAAATGAGTTTTGTGTGCGGGGGGCAGTATATGTTATATAAAAAGAAAAGGCCAAAACATTTAATTTAAATAGACTCAGCAAAAAAACTTCAAAAGAAGAGCCGAATGCGGGGGTCGAACCCGCAGCCTTAAGATTAAGAGTCTTACGCTCTACCGATTGAGCTAACCCGGCTTTAAGGTTAATCTGAGCCATTTGGAACCGATTTTCTGAGCTAATTGCTCTTGTTGAATACCATATATTACATAATAATGCAGATCTGGTAAACACATTATATTTTGGGGCTAGGCCAAACCTTATTTTTAATTCACACCGCACGGCCCTGGCTGGCTGCTTATCCCCTGAACTTGGATTCGCCACACATGCTTGCATCTGTCTGTATCTGTCCCCTTTCAGTTTTAGTGCCACATTGCTGCCCTGTTCCAACGACCCATCCTCATCATCCAGACCCCCCGACTCTAAAAAAACCATCATCTGGTCTCATATTGTTCTCATACCGCCCACATACCAGTCGTGAATATTATCCGCGGGTGCACAGCAGCGCGATCCCATCTTTTTTGGTGTTTTTTCCCTCCCATCTTCGTCGCCGGGGTCACTGCCAGGGGTGCCCGCCCCCTTTCTGGTCCCAGATCATCCGGTTGGGGGAAACATAGTCATGTAGCCGGCACATCCTATATATTTTTCTGTCACCGCAAATCACTCTTCTCATCTGCTTGATGTATCTCAAAGCGAATGCCCAACCGCCATTCCAGTTATATCAAGCGGCCATGCACATACTTTTCATTTTTTATTTTTTGGCAAGAGCAAGGCACCCGGAATGGTAAGGCCCCCAGAGTCCGAATGTAACTTTTTGTCTAGCCTAAAAAATATCATCATGCGCCTGTCCACATCTTACACGAGGAGTGTATTGGGTGCAAAATGGAACGATGCACATCCAAGCGCAAGGATTCGGCAACACTCGCATTCCTAAACCAACCCGAGTGGGAAATCAAAACAATATGCACATACCCCTATCTAGCATTATTGCTGGCCTTGCTGTACTTATCCTACGCTAACAATATTATATTATTTTTTCGTAGCCGATTCTCAGTTCTCAATTAAAGCTACTTCCCACCACTGCTAACCCTGGCTTCATTGCCAAGTCTGTAATAGAGCCCATGATAGGCATGGTGGCACAGTAAAAAATCAGTCTTAATCATTTGTTTTTTCACTTGTTTTATATTTCGCTCAATGTATCTATTTTCTCTCTCTGGCTCCATTGCCAATTATTATTTGACGCCTATTATGCTTTGAGTTCCCTTAAATTGGATCAATGTGGCTGTACACAGGCCGTCCTCTTTTCCCATCTGCACTAAATAAAGTATAGTCCGAGCAAAGGCTACTTTGTAAATTATTTTAGATTTCTTGTTTGCTCGATCTGCCAAGTTGCAAAATAAAATGGAAATGTGCTGCTTGTTTTATTGCGCAATCTACGCCATTTGCACATGTAGTGCTTTGCGAATAGGCCTCCAAGCATGCATGCCATAGCCAGAGGCGCGTGTTGGTAACATATCAAGCGATTTTGTTCTTGCTCCCCAAGGCGTGCAAAATCATTTTTTCAAGGTGCCTTACTCAGGGCGTGCAAAACCCGCAGCCAAATACAGGCTTTGTTGGCCAATTGGCACAGGCCAAAATCAGCTCAATGGCTCCACGCACTATACGCCATTATACTACAGGTCATTATACTGGTGTTAGGTTTAAGCTTCAAACGCAGAAATAAGTGTGTCGCAGCCAAGTAGAGAAAATAATAGTAATTTTAAGGGCTGCTGCTGTTTTTCATGTTTTTCATGTTTTTCAATCACCACTGGCCCCACAAGAGCAAGAGACGAATATCGTAAATAAACATACTTATACCAATCACATGATCACATGCTGGGCAGCACACAGTCAAATGCTTGTTTTGCTCCATAACCCACAGACACCCTTATTTGTTCAGAGTATAAAATCTAAAGCCGCGCAATATAGATTGTCCGCAAGGTGGGGCAACCTACCTTGAGGGACACTTGATAACAATTATTACGATACAGAGAAGATTAGCATGTTTCCCTGCGCAAGGATGACACGTTTATCTTGAGACGGAATCTCCTTCGGGAGAAATTTTTTGCTCTTTTTTAGAGCGTTGTCTTTGCTTGCTGACACGTCACCTCTTGTTCGCCATGTCCCTCTCGCCGGCCCCGCTCGTTTATCGTTTATCGCTTTATTTTTCTTTCTTTTGTTTCAAACCCTTGTTTTTCCTGTGTATTTTATATTGCATCTTTTTTATTGCATCTGCTGTCGCCTGGCCAAAAGTCTAAAATATAGTCTGAAAAAACGGTCCACAACACCCTGCTACTCGAACGCCCGCCATGCTTGCCCTCGTAAATATGCACTTCGCCGCCAGAGCGCGCTCACTCGCTGCCTCTTATACTGCTGCCGCTTCTGTCGCTGCCTTTCCCACTGCTACTTTTCACGCTCGGCCATCCAGCCCGCTCAGAGTAAGTAGTCAATCGCTCAATTCAGTTACCACTGCAGGCTCGCCCTCTTTCTTTTTTACCTCTTTTATCGGCCGCCTCGCCCATCGTTACTCACCATTGTTTTTCATTGTTTTTACTCGCTTCTCACAACCCTCCCAAAACAAATTCGCCCTAGGCAATTCACACCTCGCTGCCCAGAACGATGAGCGGCTCACCTGCTTCCTCCACCAGTATTCTAGTCACTGCGCCGTGGCTGCGCGACAACCTGGGCCGCGTCAAAGTCCTTGACTGCTCGTGGCACCTGCCAACTGCAAACCGTAGCGCCAAGCACGAGTTCGCCCGCGCCCACATCCCAGGAGCGCACTTCTTCGACATCGACACAATCAAGGATCTGACCCGTCCCGACCTGCCGCACATGCTCCCGCAGCCGGCCTTCTTTGCCTCGGCCATGGACAAGTTTGGCATCGCCAACCACGACCACGTCATCGTCTACGACTCGGCCGGCGTCGGCCCTGCATGCCGCGTGTTTTGGACCTTCCATGCAATGGGCCACGACAATGTGTCTGTGCTCGACGGCGGCCTGCCCGCGTGGACCGCCCAGGGCGGCGAGACAGAGGCTGGGCCTGAGACTGCCGAAACTTCTCACACCACCCAGAGCTACATTGCCCATCCTGACCAACGCATCGTGTGCAACTACGCCGACGTCATCGGCGCAATCGAGGAGCTCAAGGCTAGCGCCGGCGCCCACGGCCGCCAGATCATTGACGCCCGCCCGCACGCGCGCTTCACTGGCGCCGCGCCCGAGTTCCGCCCCGGCCTGTCGTCCGGCCACATGCCGATGGCTCTCAGCGTGCCGTCGTCCGAGATGACCGTTGCGACCGACACCTCGCCCGCTGTGCTCAAGCGCCCCGCTGACATCCGCGCCGCCTTCGAGGCCGCCGGCGTCAACCTCAAGCGCCCAATCATCGCGTCGTGCGGCAGCGGCGTCACCGCCGCCGTGCTGTACTTTGCCCTGCTTAACGCCGGCGTCGACCGCAGCGCCCTAACCCTGTTCGACGGCTCGTGGACAGAGTACGCCCTCAACCCGCACAGCGAGATCATCATCGACGCACCAACAAAATCAAATTCAAGCTAGGCGTAGATATTTAAATAACAATAACAATAATAATAATGGCTGGGCAGATCGGATTAATTGCCTTTTGGATGTGTGTTGAGGCTGCCGTTTAAATGTCTACCTTTTTACAACAGGTGTTTGCTCGCCGACATATTGCTGCTCATATTATTTAACGCATAAATTTAAATGTGAATTAATTGGACTGGCCGCCTTGCATTGTCGATTGTCAGTCCATAACTTGTCCCCACCATCATAGCGGGTCAAATGAGCCATGTTTTTTTCGCAATCCCCTTTTTTGCACTTCCAAAATGTCATATCAAATAGCTATTCATACCAACTTTTCTTTCATATTCACATATATTTCAACAGCCTTTACATGACATTGATTAAGCTGATAACCGCCGAAGGAGCGCTTATCGAGGTAGAGCAGGACATCATCGAGCAATCCGGGACCATCCGCAATATTCTTACGGACATCGGCCTAACTGACAAACCCATCCCTCTACCGAACGTCAGCGGGCCAATCCTCACTAAAATAATCGAGTACTGCACGCACCACCGCCACGACACTAGCCGCCGCCGCCAATGCCCCAGCCAGCCTGCGCTGGACACGGAGAGCGATTGCAGGGAGTCGGCGATTGAGGAGGCAATTGCGAAGATGGATGATTTCGATCATGAATTTTGTCGTATTGACCAGGGAACCTTGTTTGACTTGTTGCTGGCGGCGAACTTTTTGGACATCCAGCCGTTATTGGACCTCACCGGATATACGGTGGCTAATATGATGAAGGGCAAGACTGTGCAGGAGATCAGGGATACTTTCCATGTGCGCAGTGACTTTACGCCGGAGGAAGAGGAGCAGGTTATGAAGGAGAACGCATGGTGCGAGAATTAATTAATAACAATACTTTTTTTCGGTCTTGAATAATATTTTTTTACGCCAAACCTTGGTGGTTTCTGGTTGTAATATTTTTGTTACCGCAAAGTGAAATAAAACAGTCCTTTCCCTTCCATTCTTTTTCTTTGTTTTTTTCCCTCTAATTTTACATTTTACATTTTGGTTTTTATATTTATCTTATTTTTTCTTTCTCAATCGAAATGCAGAATCGACACACGGCAACCGATAGATTCGTCGTTTCGCGCGACAAGGAGGCAGCGACGCACCTCTCCCCAGGGCTATTCCCAGCCGGTCGCCAATCCGAGTGGTCAGCTCAAAACCGCACCTTAATATTCTCCATCCACCCGCTCAGCAACAAAACGGCACTCGCAGTGGGCGGCAAAAAAACACGCGAATCGCTGTCAAATGACACGCTTACATTTGACCAAGACCAGCGGGTGCATATTTGCGGCATAAGCACAGAATCCGACTCGCGACTTGCCTTCATCAACGACACACACGCGGTATTTGTCGCACTCCAGCAGCTAATGGAGGAGGCTGGCGCAGATGATTCGACTGCCAGTGCGGTGGGCATCAAGGGATTGGTGAAGATGAGCGTGTTGTATCGCGAGGCAATGCAGAGACAGAGCCGAGTTTTGGCGGATATTGCGGACCCGAATGAATTTATCAAGGAGGAGGCAGAGACTTTCCGCGCCATACACGCCGTATGGCATTTGTTGGAGATAATATACTTGACCACCAACACCCCTGGACTGAGCACGTCGATTGTGCCGCATTTTATGGAGTGGCTTAATGCCAATTTCCTGGCGCCCCTGGCTGAAGACGCACACCGAATTGCCGGGGGCTCGCCAACGGCCGATGATCTGGCTCGCAATGAGCTTCTGTGGCCATACTTAAAGAAACTGGCGCTGCGCGGGCATGTCTCAGTGCTGGGAAATATGCTTGAGCGGCTGGCTCCCTCACAGCTTCTGTCTGCGTCAGCAGCGCGCTGGGCACGTTCGCTCTCGCAGCTGTGCCGAAAGATGCCGCTGAGCTCGTCGGACGAGACCGCAGGGTCATTTAATTCGCGTTGGCGCCAGTGGAACGAGGAGCTGCGCGGACATGCCACGGCCATTGGCTGTCTCTTAGGGGACGCTGGCGAAAAGGATGGGGGCGCTGGTGGTGACAAGGATAAGGCGCTGGAGGCACTGTTTGCCATTAGCGAGGTTATGCGGGGCGACCTCGATGCCATTGCGGCGGAGGGCGAGATGTGGCAGGACATCATGGGGGCTACTCTCCTGTACAGCGAACCCACAGCGCGGGCCGACCGGCTTCCAGCGCTGGTGGGCGCCATTATCGAGCAGTTTGAGGAGTCGGCATTCACGGAACTCGACCGTGCGCTGGTCGCTCTGCTGAATCACGACCTGGCTGAGTTCCTCGTGCATTGCGACCACATCGATCATTGGCTTTCAGCGCACATTTCTGATCTGATGGATCATATCAGCGTGCTAGATATTTGCCGTCGGGTGTTTGTGGTGGATCCTCGCGAGCACTACCTGATGGCCTTGGGCGAGTCGTACTTGGGCCACGAGGACTTGTGGCGGGTGGGCTTGGACTACCTGGGTTTATGCCGGACCGTGGCGGGCGCCCTTGTGATGGAGGAGTACGTCACACGGATTCCCCTGGACTCTGACCGCAAGGCCGAGCAGGTGCTGCGTGTCTGCGAAGTATACACGCTGGAGTGCGCGCGCGACCGCATTCACAGGCAGCTGGGGCGGCAGAAGTGGCAGCGCGGACGGCTGGGGGCAGCCATTGCGCATTTCGCACAGGTGTGCGATCACGACTCGATTGGGTTGATCTGCGACCAAATATGGAACGCGTATATCTCCTCGGGCGAGCTGACCTACGGGCCCACCATTGACGGCGTCATGGCCTCCTCATCTTTGTCCGAGGGCTCGGGCTCGCTGTTGCATCACGAGGGATTGCAATTTTTGAGCAAGTACCGGGATTTCCACGAGTTGTATGCGGCTGGTGCTTTCGTTGAGGCTGGCAAGGTGCTGTTGTCTATTTTGCTGTGTGAGATTGCCCCGGCGTATGCTCTGGGCGATTTGCTCGTGGATTCGATTCCGCTGCTGGAGGGAGACACTTTGGTTTTCAGCTCGGAGGATACCTTTGAGCTGATGCGGGTCGCTGAGTCGCTGGCACAGTCACAGATGAGGCAGTCGCAGCAGGATGGCGCGATTGATTGCAGCGAGATGAACATCTTTAATGTCGCTTGCACGCGCAACCTGGCGCGTTCATTTGTAATGTTCTAAAATAAGTGAAATAATTGAAATTTGATAAAGGAGAGAAAGATGAGGAAAAAAAAGAAAATTGGGTCTTAACCGAGCTCCTTGCGATGGTCAATCAGAGCCTTGACAGCTTCTCTGATCTGATCGTAGAACCACCTGCGGCTCCGAGCATCCGATATCGGAATAAAAGGACCCGGGGGCACGTACCCCTCTGATGTGGCCGGCAGTTTAAGAGAAATCCCAGTGGCCTCGAGCTGAATACTGTGCAGGCTCTTGATCTCCTGCTCCCACTCAACCTGCGCCTTCGACGCATTAGCGGCGCTCACCCCAATAGCGCCCGTAGCATTACCAGTCTCCGCCGACGACCCTGCAGCGCCCACCGCCATCCCAGCCTCATCCGGTTTTGCCCTACGGAACATGACCAACCGCTGGTACGTCAGGAGCACAACCATGTTGGATCCTGGCAGCTCCAAATGTGCCAGGTAGTTGTCATACGCGTACGCACCCTTGTTGAGCTCCCGCATCCACGCCTGGCCCAGAGCCTCACGGCCAGAGTATGCGCAGATAATACCATCGCGGCCAATATACCGGGGCAGTCTCTGGCGGTCCAGATCGCGTTCAAACACTGTCGTGGTATTGCGGATCCCCTCGGTGACATTTGATGCTAGGTCGAACATTCCGATAACCGGCTTAGTTACCACCCCGACAAGCCCCTTGCCCACACCCTTGAAAAACCCGCCGACACCTTCTTGCTCCGCTCCCTCAATCGGCCGCATAACGACGCCAGCGAGTCCCGAGCCAAAACTCTTGGCAAAGGACTCGGCGCCGCGGGCCACACCGTATATTGCATGCTTGGGCTTGTTGCGCACACGGCTCATACTGCGCTCCGACTGGTACTGCGGATCCATCGTTGCGGCGGACAGCCCCTTGGACATGCTGTCGGTGAACTTGCTGAAGCTGTCAGTCATTCCAAACACGGTCTTCTTGAACAGCGATGCTGTGCCGCGCGCCAGTCCAAAACCGAAATCCTGTGGCCGATCACTCATGACAAAACCTTGGTAGGGCTCGTAGAAGAAATCAGAAACGCCAGAGCTAATATTGTTGAAAAGCCCGACGGGGTTGCCGAGGAAGTTGGCGCTGCCGACGACCTTGTACACTTGGTTGAAGACCTCCTGGGAGTAATGCTTGTGCATGCGGTCGACGAGAATCGGCAGGGAGACGCGGACGTTCTGCATTATTAGGGCGTTGAGGAAGATCGGCGCCTCATTGATGTTGCCGATAGCCATTGTCAGAACATTCATCGCATAGGCGACCAGTCCGGAGCTGCTCGCCACGCCCTCGCCGCTCTTCTCGCCGCCAATACCAATGTTGCTATTGCCACCGGGAAGCCCGCCCTGGTTTCCCGGTCTCTGGCCACCGCCACCGCCACTGGCACCAGTGCGGGATGCCGCTGCTGAGGCTACCGCCGGGTACCGTGCGGTCGTAGGATCCCCACCAACATCCAGGCGCTGAGTGCGCATAAAGGACATATTAAGCTTGAAAGGCTGAATATGCAAAAACTCAAAGTACAGCTGCTGGCCCTCCTCAAAAGCCTTGACCTCAGGAATCGCCGAATCCAGCATATCCAGCGCCGTAACATCATCCTCCTTCTCGGAACCGCCCCACCCGGGGACATCGAACTTGACAAAGTCCAATAGCGCATACAAAAAGTCCTCGTCCAATTCCACAGACATCTCCTGGGCCAGGACTGAGGCGTATTTGAAGTACTCGACACCATAGGACTTGTCCTTGGCGCGGACGGCAACAGCCTGGAGGGCGGGTGGGGAGGAGACCCCGGCCATGGTGACACCCAGGGTGGTCGGGTAGAGGACAATTGGGTAGAGGGCGCCGTAGATCTGATTGTCGATCTGAATCCACTTCACAGTTAGCTTGAAGGTCTGGTTCGACGTCGAGTCCGTGTACTTGAGCTCAACATCCGCGAGCGTCACAAAGAGAATCTCGCTCGAGTACTTATTGATCAGGGACACGCCAATGCCACCCTCGAGCGCAAAGCGGAAAACAAGGCTGGTCTTTTCATCGCCGTCAATCACCTCGAACTTGTCGCTGCCGCTGCCGCTGCCCGCTGTGAGCCGCGACCCGACACTCACCGCGGTCTGCTGCGTAGACGAACGCGCTAAGCGCGGGGCTACGGCTGCCGCCTGGAGGGCGTTGGGCGAGGATGCGAACTGAAGTGGTGTGTATAGGCTGGTTTCGGGTGTATACCCGGTGAGTCTAAGCACCTGACGCGGGCCAGCGGCTACCACTTCGATGTTCATCGTGTAATCTGCCAGGGACCGCCCAGAAGCGGCGAAAGCGCTCGTTGGCGCAATGGCGCTGGGCCGGCGTGGCGGTAGGGGCGGCTTGCCAAAAATAAACGGCCGCTGCTCGCCGATCTCCTGCAGGCTGATGCGGCGCGTGTTGCCCTGGGCGCTAATGACCAGGAGCTTTGTGCCAGCGGTGGGCACGTCCCAGGCGTAGTCCAGCGTCGATCCAGCGGGGATCACGTACTGCCGCTCGCTGCTGGCTCCCGCCTGGCCCGTCGATGCGCGGCTGGGAATCATGGGCATTGCAGGCGGCGGCGACGGCGAAGGCGACGTGTTGGTGATTGAGGACCGACGCGGCAACTGCGACCCAGCATCGGGCAAAGTGCCACTGGTTCCACCGGCGTCTGCGTGCTGGTGGCGCTCGGGGTACTGCCAGACGACAATGTCTGTAGCTGTGCGGTTCTCGATCAGGTAGGGCCAGTACTGGTCCTCGCGCTGCATAATGACAAATAAGCAGGCGCCCTCCAGGACAATATCTACCTTGACCAGTACCTCCAGCCAATCGCCGGCAGTGTGGCCCTCCAGGGGCATCCTGATGAACACCCTCCCAACATCATCGATGCTGAAGGGCGCCGACCACCGGGCGCCGCGCACATCCGCCACCGCGTGGCCCTCAGGGTCCTTTGCTGCTGTCGCAATGGTCAGCAGCCGGCGGCGGGCGCGGTGCAGCGTGTGCAGTGGCCGGCGCTCACCATCCGCCAGTACTTCAGCGTCCGCCGTGTTGTACACCGTGCGGTACTGCAGCGGCATCCCCGTGATGTTCTTGACAACATAGCGCGATGTGAAGGTCACCACGCGCGTGTGCGAGTAGCGGCCGCGGCCCGGTTCAATCTCCATGCCCAGGTGCGTGTCCGCCACCCGGCTGCTCGACCCGATGGTTACTTCGGTCGAGCTGCCCAGGGCGTCAAAGCTCAACGGCCGGCTCCACTCTGACCCAGCGACACGCACCAGCGCGCGGTTGCGCAGGTCGTAGGACCCAAACGAGAACATCAGCGGCCGGCTGCTCTGCCCGCCGATATTTGGTGCCTCACTGCTGCCGTCGCCCTGCTGGCCGGCCACAGCCGAGCGGCCCTTGAAAAAGCCCTTGCTGGAGTAGAACAGCCGCAGGCCAGTGCGGTTGACCATAACATAGGGTGCGTAGATGCTGATGCGGCGGCACTGGCCGCCGGACCGCGGAATGTCCATGCGGTGCAGCCTCAGTCCTAGCTTCACGCCTTGGCGGTCGGTCATTACCAGCTCGTCGTCCGTCGGGTACTCGTCCTCATCGCTGGTTTCAATGATCGTACCTTCACAGCGGTCGAAGCCGGCGTCGGGGATGCGGATGCTCAGGAGAACCAGGTGGCCGGGCTGCACGGCATGCACCGGCGCGGTGCCGCCGCGGTCCAGCGACCCGGCCCAGCGGCGCCCAGCGGTCTTGTCGATAACTAGAAGGTCGATGGCGTACGGCAGGAGATTCTCGATCTCCATCGGCGGCGTCATCACAAGGCGCATGAATGGGTACTTGTACAGCGCCGGGTTGCGCGTGTCACACTCGGCACTAAAGTGCACAAAGAACGGCGCCGTGTCACTCTGTTGGTTTTGGTTCTGGCTCTGGCTCTGGCTCTGGTGCTGCGGCAGGCAGCAAAGCTCGGGGCGCGCGTCGGCTGCCAGAAAGTCGCGCCAAAAAACGTACTGACTGCTCCATGCGTAGCCAAAGCCGGGCTCGGGACGTACGCGCACAGCATACTGGTGGCAGAACATAATGGGCAGCGGCAGCTCGTCACCCGGCTGAATAATAGCCGAGTCAGTGCGCAGCTCGCCGCGGTAGTCGCACATGGCAACCTCCATGGCAACGCGTGTCTGGTTTTCAACCACCAGCGGGCTGCGCAACACCACGCGCTTGACCAAGTTAACGGCATCCAACCGCACATCGACAGCCACACGGTGTTGAATACCGTCGAGCGCCGGTGTTAGCATGTAGTAGCGCGTGCCCTCGCGATCAACCTGGACACGCCGCAACCACTCCCACTGGCCGTTGGCGAACTGCACGCCCAGATGGTGCGACCCAGCTTCCAGCTGCTCGCGTCGCCGCCGCCAGTCCTCAAAGCGCCACGGCAGGCTGGCGCCGTCGCGCAGCAGCACTGGTGTCGTGTCAATGCGCTCGCCGCGCGCCGTCGCGCCCTCGGCCAGATCCACCCACACATGACAGTCAACTCCCGTGCGGTTGACCAGCACGTACGGCATGCGTTCACCGACCGGCGCCGCGCCCTGCTTCTGTCGCGCCTCGTGCCGCGCCATCTCGTCGCCCCACTGTGCCGCCAGCCCCAAGGTCTCCTCGACAAACGCGTGCGACGCGTTAACTAGCAGTCGGTCTGTTGCGCCAACATCAATACGCTGCGCCCCGTCGCTGCCCTGCGCCAGCGCTACGCGGAACCCCCATGGCTCAACAAACGGCTCCCAGTGCGTATTGCGCCGGTTGAAGTACGACGCCTCCAGCACCAGGCTGCTCTGCACGCGCAGCCCCACTGACCAGTCGCTGACATCCACATGGAACTCCTTTGCCGTGCACGCGTACACTGGTAGTCCGAACATGTCACGGATAACGACGATGCGCAGGGACGCGACTGTCGCGCGCATTGTCTCCTTGACTATGCGCGCGCCGTCACGCTGTGGAGCACCAGCGGTGCTGCGCAGCACGGCGGGTGCTGATGTGGCCGACACGCCGCTGCCGCTCTGGGCACCTGGCGAGCCCTGCTGCTGCGGCAGTGTGCAGCTGCGCATGTGCCTGGCGTCAGGCTGTTCCGGGCTGGGCACAATCTTGCTGGCGGCCTCGTCCTTCTTGTACATCAGCTCCATAGCAGTGTTGAATATGTCGAGCATCAGGATGATGTCGTTGATCCCCAGGCGCAAAAGCAGATTTCCAACATCTACAGACACGTCTGCAATCTGTGTATGCTGCGTGCCGCGCCTCGGGTCCGCTGGAACCTCCCGACTGTCCATTGTGGTGATGACTGTAAACGGATCCATAACATTGCGGCTGGTCTCCTGGCGCCGGTCGATTGTGCACAGGGAAACGCCAATTTCGTCCAGGGTTGCGCAGAACATGCCCTCTTGGGCCAGGATGATCTGGTTGATCGAGAGGATGAGCGCCTCGGACGAGCGGCTCTGCGGATTAGCCAGGAGAATGATCTCGGGGTGTAACACGTCGATCTTGTAGATCAGTCCGCCGGAGCTTCCGGGCTCTGGACTGCTGCCGATGGTGTCCTTCTGCTGCTTCTGCTGCTGCTGAGTTGGTGTGGGAGAGGCAGGCTGTACCGGTGGAAAGACGCTCATGGCAAAGGCCAGCAGGAGGAACGCGTGGTCCAGGACCAGGATGATGCGTGGGCTGTCCAGTGTCAGCAGAACAACCATATCCTGGTTCGGCCGCATGTCAATATGGCACACAAGCTGTGGGCTGGTGGCATCCTCCTCAATCGGCGTGTCCTGCGCAATCGCGTGCATGCTCGCGTGGCTAATCTGCTGCAAACCACTGGCAGCACCATCAGCAGCAGCAGCGACCGAGGTGGAGGTCTCCATCTGTGTAGTGCCCTTGGTTCCCTTGGTGTCCTTGTTGCCGCCAGAGGTAATCGTCGGGCTGATTATCTGCGTGAACTGGTTCTCGGTTCCTGGGCGCGTATCGTAGGCGCGGACGGCCACGATGGCCATCTCTGCTTTGCTGTCGCCGTTGGCCTTGGACCGGTACTTGATCGAAAAGTCGTTAATGTCCATGCGCGTGAACGACGCACTTTGGATGCTGTCCAGGTTGAACCCGCTGCCGCGGAACAGCTCCAGCTGAATCGTCGCCAGGGTTACGTACAGATCAATTGTGGCAAACTGCCCGCTGACCTCTTCCAATTCCGCCTGCTTTGATTGTTGCTTTGGCTGCTGATGGAATTCCGCGTGGCAGCTCTGCCCGAGATTCGCCAGCGCCTGACGGGTGTTCTGCGCCTGCTTTGTCGCCGGATTCTCGCGCAGAATATCCAAATCCAGCAGCTGATCGCCAGTCAGGGGGTCGGGGATATCCGGCGCCCCCGGGTCCGTCACGAACACCCTGCCAATGACACCCAACAGATCATAGACCATCTTGTACTGATACTCTGTCAGCTTCATCTTGATCGGACTCAGCATGCCAATGAGCTCTGTGACTGGCCGCGGGCATCCCGGAATATGGCCCTGCATTAACATATGCATGTCCATCTTGTAGTCGACGTCCTCGAGGATCTGCAGCACCTGCTGTCTGCGCTGACCAAAGCTGCCGTGCTCGCTGGGGTCTTCTTCCTCGTCCAGCATAAACACTGTCTTTATGCCTATGCGGCGCAGACCGAGTGATATATGGTTGACGTCCCAGTCCTTTCCCATTTCGCGCACGGTCGTGAACTCGTTTGAAATAGTCAGCTCACCAGGCTGGGCTACAAGCATGTCAACCCCCAGAGCACCCGCGTTGTTGGCGTCGGACACCGTGTCATCATAGGGGACGAAGCCGTCGCGCGGGAAGCTAATGACGGGCGCGGACATGGCCACGTCGAAATGATACTTTTGCGCTCCGCCCATCATCTCCTCCGTCAGCTGGGTTGTGCCATTGGCCGCCGCCTGCCTGGCAGCCTCGAACAGCCCGTGCATAGCAGAAAATCTCGACCCAAAAAGCATCAGCTCGCGAATCGGTCGCTCGATAAAGGCCAGGTGGGCGGCGCCCAGGCGCAGTTTAACCGCAGCGTTGTGCCCCGGGTAGCTAAGCGACTTTGGATCAAATGTTTCGTATCGCAGGTCCGCCAGCTCATCGCCCTTGATGTACATGAGCAGACGCTGGGGGTCTAGGTGGCCCTGTGGGTAGTGATTATGCGTATGCGTGGGTATGAGGTCGAGTTGGTCGGTCAGCTGGATGTTGCCTACTTTGGCTTCGAGAAGGATCTCGCTGGTCACTAGGACGCGCATTGTCGCTGCTGTCACAGAGAGAAGGGCGATGGGTGTGCCGTCATCGTGGCAGAGGCTAAAGTCCGTTCCCTTGAATCGAATGTCCACCCGGATAGTGTCCAGTGCCTGCTGAATCAGCGACTTGACGTTCTCTGACGACGACGACGATGGTGATATTGACGATGCCGGATCAGATGGCTCTGGGTCTGCGTCTGCGTCTGCGCCGTTTTTCGACTTATCCGACTGCTTCTCGCTGCTCTGCGACGACAACTGCTGCGAGCTGCCGCCCTCGTCGGTGAACGTCTTGAGGATATAGTCGTACGATGTGAGAATGGTCTTGCGCACTACCATCAGGTTCAGGTACGAAATGTCAACGCTGACAGTCTGCCCGATGGACTCATACGTGGTCGTAAACTCAGGGTGGTCGGCCTGGCACCTGTGGTACTTGACAGCAATCAGATTCTTGTCGGTCTCGCCATTAGCGTCGGCCTGCGCAATATCCGAGGTCAGCGCAAACACGTGTTGGTCACCACCACTACCGCCACCACTACTGTTGCTGCCGGTGTTGCGCATCAAATGGTCTTCCAGCGTGACTTGGTGAATAGTGACATTGGCGAAAAGGTCGAATGGCCGGTTGATGCACTCGATAGCCAGCCCGGTCACGGCAATATCGGCTATATGTAGATCCTCGCGGCCATCCGTGTGCGTGCGCCAAATAAACCCTACCAGATTGTCCACGGCAAAGTTGACCTTGACCAGGGTGCGCTCGGGCTCCTTGCCAATATCCGTCCGCGTCTCGCGCGTCTTGCGCCGCAGCCGGCCTGCGGAAAGCCCGCCGCGTGGATCGCTGGCCTGCTCGTTGGTCTCATAGAACTCATCGGCCGACCCGGCATCCGATTTGGCGTCATCATCGCTGCCATTTCCACTGGTGTCGCCGACAATATCATTGTCGTTGGCAGCCAAAAGAAGCTCGGCGTCGGGTGCCTCGTCGGAGTCAACTGCCTGGTCGGCATTGAGGAAGATGCCGCCTGCACCAAAAGCCGTCGCCAGCTGGCCAGCCTCGTACTGCAGTGTGACATCCACTTGATCGTCTTGCATGGCCTCGAGAATCAGGTCGATGCTGCCCATGATGGCCTTGTACTTGCGGTCCGAAAAGTACACCTGCAGTGACGGCAGGCTGCCATCAATGGTTATCTTGGACATGTGCAGCGGTGGCTCGCTCAAAATACACAGGCCCAAGTCAAAGTTCAGCTCAATGCGGTCGACCACATGGATGCTGGTGTTAGAAACGCCGTCCTTCAGCGCCTGCATGCAGCTGGCGAGATCCGAGCCAACAAGCAACTGCGTACTGTGCAGTTTCATGTCGAAATGGTCATACATGAGGCTCTCCAAATCGCGCATTTCCTCAGGCGACAAAACCTGGTGCTGCTTCTGCCGAATGCGCTCAGACGTTGCGCTATCGACCAGCTGCGACTCAATAGTCAGGTACCCGGTATCCAACACCACCACCTGGCTGTGTGGATCAAGCATGTCCTGCGGAATGACAAACACGGGCGCGTCAAAATCAACCTTGACATCGACTGTCTTGTGCTTGTACAGGGCGTACTCGAGTCCCGCGCGGGTCTGGTCGCGCAGCCCAGCGACGGATTTGGACGCTGCGGCGATAAGCGCGTGCACGGATTCGGCGGACGCGCTGGAGGGCGGCTCGAGGAAATCAATGATGGCGCGGGCGGCGGTCGGATGGTAAATGACATTGAGCGATTTGACCTTGACGTTGACCACCGAGTCGGCGTGTCCGTCGAGCGGGTCCTTCTCGAAATGAATCTGCATAAACGGGTCCTGGGTGACATTTACAGATCCGCTCTTCTGACTGGAATTGTCGCCGGCAACTGCACCTGCAAGCCCGCCGGGAGCATCAGCCACGGCATCCATTACACCCATGCCCGTACTTGTGTCCGGCTGGGCAACAACCTCGTGCTCGTCGCTCTGGACGTAGATGATCCGCGGGTATTGCGTGTCCGGCAGTGTGCCGTCGACAACCTCAAAGCCGTGCATGGACACATCAGCCACGAGGTTTTGTGGCCGCTGCAGAATGTCAATCTTGAGACTGTCGAATAGAAATCCCATCAACGTGTGGTCTCGCGTCTTGCGGTCAACTTTAAGCCGGAGTGACCCCGAGCGCAGAATGGCGGTGGCCGCCAGTTTGATGGTTTCCTGCGGCAGGTCGTATTCGGCATCGTTGACGTCGTCCTCGTTGAACTCAATGGTATCGTAGAGCTCCTGCATCTGCTCCTCACTTAGCTGCATCTGCTCCTCCATTGTCTCGTCGTCGTCAATCCCAGAGGCTGTGGCGGTTGCGGAGTCAGACTTGGTTGGCTGGCTGGGCTGCGAAGGGGTGCCCGTCACCCAGCTGCTGACCCAGCCGCCAACCCATCCTGTGATTCCGGCATTGCCGCCCACACCGCTGCCCGCGCCGCCAGCGCCACTACCACTAGCACCAACGCCACCCTTTCCACCTGCAGCCTTGTTGAGCTCACTCTCGCGCTTGCGAATCAAGTACTGCTGCTTGCGAATCGCCGGTTCTGCGCGCGCCCTATAGAAGCGAATATCCTGGTACGACAGCTTTCTGTGCAGTTCGTCCAGCGCCATCCTATCGATCTCAGGCAGCACACCATGGTTGACCTTGAAGGCCGTGTATACGCGGATGTACAGCAGGCGGTCATCCCTACGCTCCCTTTGAAAATCCCACGTTTTGCGGTAATTGTGGTCGTGGACTTCGTCGTAGACGCTGCGCATGGCGAAGAGCAGCCAGGCGCGTGGGTCGTCCTTGGGCCGCACACCGGGGGGTGGCCGGTGCTTGCGGTAGCGGCGCTGGCGCATGGCATAGTCAAACGCTGTGGTAAGCAGAAGGGCGTCTGCGTACTGCTCGTTATCCAGCTCAAAAGCCAGCTGGTCGAACTCGAACTCGGCCTGTGTGCGCACATCCTCGGGCGTCGGCTTTTTGTTCATGGTTAGCTTGCCCATGCCCACAACGGGCTGCAGGATTGGCTGCCGGCTGCCGTCCCTGATGGACTCTGAAAAGCTCCGGATGAACCCCTCGTGGTCCAGCCCCTGCATCGTCCGGCAGTCGGTGTCCCAGTACATGGAGAACTGAGCGAGCTTGAGCATCTTGCGGATGACGTTGCCCGAGTCATTCAGGAACGCCTGCCGCCAGGCCTCGTCGGTCGACACGGCGGAGAGCTCTCCGAGGGTGCCTCCGACGGCGAACATATGCTCTGGGTTGCTGATGTGGTCCTCGTAGCGTACGTGGATGTTTTTGATGACGATCTGCAGGTTGTCGACAATCTTGGCCACCAGCTGCTCGGTGAACGACTGCTGCTTCTTGGTGTCCTCCTCTGCGCCGCCCTTGGCCCCGGTCATCTTCTGCAGCCGCAGAATGTCGTCGTTTTCGAGCTTGTGCATCTTGCGCTTGTACTCGCGCTCGTCTTCGCGCTCCGGGTCAAAGTTTTCCTGAAACTGCGGCGTGGCCAACACATACACGTCATCAATGTGGATTCGCACGGGCTCGCCCTTAAGATTCGACCAGGGGATCGAGATAGTCAGGGTTCCAAGCCAGCCTACATGTGTGTTTGAATTAATGTGGAAGGGGTTGTGGGAGCAGAGTGGGGGTTCTAATTAATATGGATATCGACAAGACAATCTCCGCAAAATAAGTAAATTAAGTGGGGGAGGGAAAAACAACCTCTGTACCTTCTTTGATATCGACAGGCAGCTGAAGCTTGTCCAGAGCGTCTTTCTTTAGACGTAGCTTCTCGAGCTTCACATCACCCTGCCAGATGCCGAGCTTGAGCTGTGCGGTTTCGAGGTTGGTCACGTAGTTTCCGAGAAACCTGTTGAGCAACGTCGCCACAACCCCCTCAAACATTGTAAATTCACGCGAGTATGCGAATGGGGGGAGATAAATATAATAATATTAGGTTGTAAATTGTAGCTCTTTTCTAAGAGAAAAAAGAAAATTTAATATGTTACAAATTGAAAAACCCAGTTAGCAAAGAGAAAAGGAAAACATGAAAAGGTAATGAAAAGGTTTGAAAAGCCGATGACTTGCACATTTTCTCCATACTTTTAGAAAGTTTTTCTTTTTTTTGATGGTTGAAAACTAAGCGGGGGGGGAGCACCTGGGCCTACAAAAACCTAAACCAAAAAAAGAAGTCTCTGCGTCACACCTTGTCTGCTCGAACTGTAGTGATGACGTAAATACATAGAGAAAGCGCTGTTTAATACATTGGATGCCTCTCGCAACTGATGCCAAGCCATGGGTTATATCCATCATGTTCAATGCGTTCAATCTAATGTAAGCAGATTTTAATATGTCATCGTCATTTTCATTAAGATTCAGATCCAGATCCACAACCACCACCAATAAAGATAAAATAAAAATATTCACAATTTCGCATTGTCACATCTTTTGGAAGTTATAAATAGCTTGTTTATTTTTGGGTTTTAGCATTTTTTGGCTCAGTCAACGGATGATGCGTTTTTTTTCCTTGTTTTTTTTTGTGGCAAGGGTGAGTGTTCTAAAGAAGAACTATTGCGTTTTTCTTTATTTTTCCGCAATTGACGCGGATCAAATAGGAACACAAGACGGGTGGAAAAATGTGTATTTTGCGGAGAAAAACACAACAGATTGCAACCAAAGGAAAGGCAACATTGGATAGAAAAATATATATTTTGCTTTCCGTTCCTCAATAATTTTCTATTGTCTATTTATCTGTACTTTTCCTTTTCCTTTGCTATATTTCTATAAATATCATATTTGGATTTTGTGTATCAAGTTTGACAACACACAAGCAGCAAGGCAAACAAGGTAAGCAATGTAAGGCAATATGAGGCAATATAAGTCGATTCGGACTTGATTGTTTTGACTTGTCATAGCGCATAATCGCCTGGGAACATTTTAATAAAAAACATATTCAGGGTTAGACACAACAACTGCTCCTACGGAATTTTTGCCTCGACAGTTTAAAGCAAAGAAATGCACCAAAAGGCGGATAAAGCAGTTTTTTTTCCAGAAAGGCATGGAAAAGAATGTCTATAGAATAAAAATGTTAACAACGCCCTTTTTATTTTATATTCTTTGCGACATTCTTTTCGTATCCTTTTACGTTGCACTGGCATTACTCCAGCATACAAATACTCACCCCTTTTCAACCACGCAAACGCTTTTTTATTTTAAATTTTACACCCATTTTTTATTTATTGCATTATACTTTCTTCCATACAAACATATCCTATTTCTTCAACCATAGATAATGAAAACCAGCGCAGCAATCATACTTTCACTCTACGTTCTGCTTGACGCAGCAACATGCGCCGCCGAGCCAGCAATGGGCTCGTTCCACCCGCCCATGCCAAAGCCAAACACGGACCACAGCGGCGTAATCCGACGGAGCACCCGCCTGTGCAACGGCTACAGCGACCTGTGCGAGCGCAAATTTGACAAAGTATCCTACCCAACCACCCACAACTCGTTCGCGCAGGGCGACAACATCGCAGCGAACCAGAACAAGGACATAAAGACACAGCTGGATAACGGAATTCGCGGCTTCATGCTTGACCTGCACAGTCCCAGCAAAGCCCTGCTGAGACGCGAAAAGCGCGCAGATATCGTGCCTACCCTGTGCCACGCCTCCTGCACTGTGCTTAATGCTGGCCCGCTGGTAGACGAGCTGAAAAACTTTAAAAAGTTCCTGGACAGTAATGCCAACGAGGTTGTGACGGTTTTCCTCGAGAATGCGGACAACTTCTCGCCGCTGGATATGGCGCAGCCGTTTATTGACTCCGGGCTGGACAAGTATGCATTTGAGCCGTCGACCAGCAACGGTACCTTTGTGTGGCCGACGCTTAACGAGATGATTTCCATGAACAAGAGGCTCGTAGTGCTGGGTAGCACCTCAACGGACTCGACGTCCAAGCCGTGGCTGCTCTACGACCGCGACTTTGCCGTCCAGACATCATACTCGGTCAAGGCCGGGTCGCCGTTTGACTGCAACCCACTCACCGCTATCCAACCGCTCCTGGTCATGAACCACTTTGTCTCCGTCGACCGCTCCATTTTCGGGTTGAATGTGGAGATCCCTGACTACAACAGTGCCCTTTCGATTAATACCAGGGAGAGCATCGTTCAGCAGGCTAATGTGTGCGGGGCTGCTGGCCGGTTCCCCACTTTTGTCGCCGTCGACTTTTACGATGCCGGCGGCGTGTTCAAGGCGGTGGCTGATCTGAATAAGGTCAAGTATGTGGAATCCACGGCCACAACCTTTGGCCAGACCTCTTCGTCCAGTACATCTGGTGCCGCTGCTGTTGCATCGGGTATGCTCGTTTCGCGGACAGGTTTGGCCGGCATTTTCTCGGTCGTGGTTGCGTCGCTGTTATCCATGGCGCTGTAGAAATGTACGTATTTGTGACATTCTGCTTCAATATACATAAATTGCCCTTTTTTGTATTGCATTTGGTTGAGTCAAAAGGCTTCTTTCTTTTTCTCCTTTTTTTGGGGTGCGAAAGAAAAATGCGGCTTCCTTTTACTCTTTTTTTGTACTGCCAGCTGGGCAAAGAGAAAGACAAAGGGAAAAAGCGAGTGAATAGAGGATCCAAATCCAAAACCCCCCAGCATTGCACTTTCTTTGTGACAGCAGGCTGCCCAATCGAATTCAATCCAATCCAGCTCAATCCATTTGTGCCAAGCGAGCAAACAAGCAGAAACAAACAAAAGCAGGGCCGATGCTCTTTTTTTTGCGTGAGTATGAGTGAGCATTTTCCCATTTTTTTTATTGCTAAAGGTGGGGGGGGGGGGTGTTGGATTTCTTCCTTCTCGCTCTTTGCTCGGAAAAAAATCGAAAAGGGTGAGAAAAAGAAGGGCGAATGCTTTGAGAAGGAAGAAATAACGAGTGGTGAAACGAGAAAAATAGGAAATTGCAAACATTCACGTCTGTACTTGGCATACACGCATCTTTTTTTGTTCACAATCAAACAAGGCATACAGCTTCTCTTTCTCACCTTTCTTTAATTTTTCTTCACCCACCCACCATCCTCCCCTCTTAGTTTCCTTGCACGTTCATATCTCACAAATCCACTTGACATTATTGGTTTTACTATTTTTCTTTAAGAAACACGAAAGAGCATACAAGCCAAAGATACACATCGATATTGGCACCGATACACACATACATACGAGCACTCAATTTGTACAGAGACAAAAAGAAAAGAGTAAATGCAAAGCATAACACCACCACTGCAGCCTCGGTCACGGTCACTCCATTTCCACCAGCAAGAACAGCATCAGCAAAACCAGCAGCAAACAAGAGGCCAGACGCGCCCTCCCTCTGTATTCCTGACACCAGCGCCAGCCTCAGAAACATTATCGCACCAACCCCCGCTGAGCCTAACAAGCAGCCTCCAAGCGGCGCTAGGCGACTCATCTGAGCGGTCACTGTCATTATCAGCGCCAACGACGCCCTGCATATCGCGAACCCCCAGCAACAACCAACCCCATCCCCACCCTCAGTCTTTGCATCCGCGCAGCATATTCGGCGAAACAAAACCACACACGCTGCCTTTGACATCACCCTCGGCGGAGATTCATTCTTTGCCCAGCACAAGCATAGATGGGACGTTCAGACAGAGGTACCTGCGGCAGTATCCGAGGAGGATGAGCGTGCAGGGGGCGGCTGGCGTGCCTTCGCTGTCGGTTGGGCCGATGGCCGAGGGCGGGTCGGCGAGAATAGAGTCTAGTCGTAGGGGGTCGGTTGCAGCCAACCTCAGTATCACGCAGGGGCTGCCCGTAGATCTTGACCGGATAGACATGGACGACGACGACGATGATTACGATGATGAGGAGAGCGAGCGGCTGGACGCCAGCAGCTTTGACGGCGACATTGACGAGGACTCGATGGCGGCGGACGACAACGAGGGGTCGCTAGGCTACGCAGCCTCGAGCCACGGCGGCTGCCGAGCCAGCGACTGCGACCTGCTGGATCCCAGCGACAGAACAAGGGCACTGCGCAGCGGCCCGTTGGACATGCCTGGGCTGGCTGGCAGGCGGCAGTCGGCGACGGTGCCGCGCAACAAGGCGTTTCTCAGGCTGCTTTCGCTCGTCGAGGATGACCGCCAGCCGCTGGCCTCGGAGATGGAGCACGAGGGCCAAATCACGCGGACAATCCGGCACACCAACGTGCAAGAGTGGCTGCGCTCCTCGTCAGCACACCTCAACCAACCCAAGACACCCGACGATCAAATGGCCCGCTCATCCTCACCCACCGTGGTCGCCACTGCTGGGCTGGCCTCGCCCCTGCGCAACCAGCCTGGTTTTGCCACGGCTCCAGCTGCCATCACAAGCAGCAGTGCGCCGGCGCGCGATATTCTGTTTCCGACCTCTCCTGCGCTCTCATCCGTGTCCAGTCACCAGATGAACACCACCTCGCTGGCCACTTTAGCTGTGTCGACTGCGCGCCCGGCCAAGCGCAAGTCCATTGACGATGGCAATGGCAACGCGTCGCCCGCCGAGTCGTTGCATACCCAGGGCTCATCGAGATCCATGCACCCTTATAAGCGCCTGGCCATGTCCCCATCCGGCCTGCGCGCGCAGATCGCCATTGGCAAAAACGGACGCTCGATTGCTCTACCTGTGTCACGCTCAGGCCCCTCGTCGCCACTACTGGTATCGAGACCCGTTGCCCTGCCTATCACCCTGCCCAGCGCTGCTAGCGTGGTCACCAGCCGTGCTCGCTCGCGGAGCAATGCTGGGATGGGCCCTGGTGGACTGAGCATTCTCCAGGCCAATGGCGGGTTTAGCCGCATGAACCTCGATGACAAAATGTACGAAAACTCCTGTTAAATTTCATCCCTTTTCTCCAGCCTGCCGTTGTATTTTTTTGTTCCTTATTAGTTTTTTTTTATTTATTTGCATTCTTGTTACCATGCTTTTTATAATTTCCTTTTGGTATGTGTTGTTCTCCGTTTCATGTGATGGCAGTAATGTGATCCACAAAGCAAAGCCAAGTTGTACTTGGATCACCTCATGGCACGTGCTGCTTTTAATTGCAATTTCCTCATGTGATTGTGTTAATTTCGCAGATGCCACCTCGAAACCCGTTGCTTTTATTTGCAGGTTGATCAGCCAGACAGCTGATATCTGGTGTAGGCGCTGCCAGGAGCAGAGCCGCCAGGAGTAGGTTCTATGAGCAGGCCGCTAGGAATAGGTAAATATGCAGGTGCAGATATATGTGCGGCAAAATAAGAGCCAATGGAAGCCAGAGCGCTCATTTTTCTGACGATAACCGCCCGGGGCAATCTCTTCGGACAAGCGTCAGCGTGAGGTATGAATGACCTCTGTTTGTGAGAGAAAATAGGCGCATTCGTTGTTTGAATGACCTCTGTTAGTTATGACGGGCCGCGTGTCAGCCGCAACAAACAAACAGGCGCTTGAAGGTATTTGCTCTGGCCCAGGCCAATATGCTTCTTTTTTATTTTGTTGCTGTGATTTCAACAAAAATGGGCAGACAGGGGAGATGTAGAGCAATCTGCTTTCTTCTGTTTACTCCCCCACTCCTGCTTTTTAATTGTGCTTTGTTTTGTTTTGTTTTGTTCTGCTCTGCTCTGCTCTGCTCTGTTGTATTCATTTTTCTCCAAAGCACCCGAGGAGGATCGTTTATTTCTCCCACCCTCCAACTATTCTACTCTCTATCTTTTTTCTTTTTTCCTTTCTTTCTCGCTGCCTGTTACCACTGTCATTACCACTACATACATTACTGCTACTTTTTTTGCTTACCTCGGCCAGATAAACATTTTTTACCAGTCACCAATAATGGCCGACACCAACGACATCAACACGTTCATTGAGCCCTACCTCATTGCCGATGGTAGCGACGAGCTCAATGAAAACCTCAAGACCATGGCAGCGAGCTTTGCAGTTACAGACGACAAGATCCGCGAAATCATTGTCGGGCTACACAAGTCAATGAAAACAGGTCTCGACCACGACGACAAGGACGCCCTTCCCATGATCCCCACGTTCGTCCGCCGGCGTCCATCCGGAAAGGAAACGGGCACGTTCCTGGCGCTGGATCTCGGCGGCACCAACCTGCGAGTCTGCCAAGTGACCCTGAATGGCGACACCACGTATAGCCTGGTGCAGCAAAAGTTCACCATCACGCAGGATGCCAAGGAGAGCAGGCTTTGGGATTTCATTGCCGACTGTGTAGGCATTTTCCTCGAGGAGCATGGCTTGAGCCCGGCACCTGGGAAGAGGACTATTCCTTGTGGGTACACTTTTTCGTTTCCGATTTTCCAGACCGGCATTGCGTCGGGGAACCTTTCAATGTGGAACAAGGGGTTTACTGTGCCCAACTCGGTCGGTCGCGATGTGGTCAACTTGACCCAGTCGGCATTCCAGCGCAACCATGTGCCCGTGGAGGTCGTCGCTGTGCTTAACGACACAGTCGGCACCCTGATGACTTCTGGGTACTCGCACCCTGATACCCAGATGGGTATAATCTTTGGAACTGGTACAAATGCTGCGTACTGGGAGAACATGGAGAACATTCCCAAGTGGACTGGCGCAGATCGCAAGGGCGAGATGGTTGTTAACATGGAGTGGGGAGCCTTTGATAATGCCACAGAGGTTTTGCCATACACGATGCACGACAACAAGCTCAACCGCAAGTCATCTAACCACGGACTGCAGGTCTTTGAGAAGATGATCTCGGGTCTATTCCTCGGCGAAGTGGCACGAAATGCCATTCTGTCGCTTGTCGACCAGCGCTTGCTCTTCGAGGGCCGCTCGTCTGAGATCCTCAACAAGTCCTACACCTTTGATACCGCCTACATGTCGGAGATTGTAGCGGATGACTCTAAGGACCTACGAGGCGTCAAGACTATTTTGGAGTCCACGCTGGATATCCCGCCGACCACTTTTGTCGATCGCCAGGTTGTCAAGAACGTATGCGGCATGATTGGTACCCGAGGAGTGCGTCTGTCGGCTGCCGCCATGTCTGCTGTTTTGCTTTCTCGCCCCGAGTTGATGGAGAATCCCCTTTCGGTGGGTATTGATGGCTCCATGTACCAGTTTTATCCTAATTTCGAGAAGGATCTCTATAATGTTTCGAGAACATTTTTGGGTGACGATTTTGTTAACAATAGGCTCAGGCTGCATTTGGCTAAGGATGGTTCCGGTGTGGGTGCTGCTATTGTTGCGATGACTGTGGAGCACGAGCGCTCGTAGTTTTTATATTAAAAATATATATTCGCTATCTGACTGTTTTTAGAAATTTGATCTGTTTTTTGCAATACGTCGATCTTGTTGTCGCGTGCGTATGCAAAAACTAGCTTCTTTGCGTTTGTTTTTGTAAATCCAAATACAAGCTAATTGGAGTGGGTGATCTAAAAAGAGCCAAATTGATCGTTGTATATAAATGATTTGATTAACCTTACATGTATATGATTAGCTGATCAGGGCTCACAACATAAACGTGTAGGCATGGTCCTATCAAAATAAGAAAAAATGTGCCAGAAAAATGTAGGTAAATATAAGGAATGTCGAGATAATACTTTTATTATCTCACTCACATTATTGACATTACATTTGGTATTCTTTAAAATAATATAAATAGTCCAGCTATTTACATTTGTTCAATTTAATTACTCTTCTCATTCATACACACATTTTCTGTACCCTTCATTTGCTATAAAAACGGTTGCTCTAATATTTTACCTTATTGAATCAAGAAATAAAACTAAAAAAACAGAAAGCTTATAGGCATGAAAGAGACTGAAAGTAAGGATACTGTTATAGTAAGAGGGGGTGTGAGTAGCACTAGGTGTCTAGTGTTAAAAGGCAGGGGTGATTGTATAAAAGGTTTTATTACTGATGTTTCTAAAATACTACTAGGGCCGGCGTCATCTTATATGTGTGCCTTGTCGCTTTTGTTGTGCACATTGTCAATTGTGCGCTCCGTTGGTTAGAACTGGATCTTCTGCAAGCAGACCGGTATCTTGGCAAGTCAATGTTGTGGTTTTCGTGCGTGTACGCTCATGCGTGTGCATTGCAAAATGGGGAGCATGTTTGGACATCAATGTAATGCCTCCCTAATTTACGCCTGCATTATCCAATTAGTGTCCTATCAATCGGCACGCAGGTAGAAACCTGTTTCGCGATTCTCGACCTCAACATCCACTTCCATATCTTCAGCATGTGCAACAATACTCTTCCGTCATTATTTAGAGAATTCCACGCGCAAAACTTTAGCTTGTCAGAAGCAACCACCACTATGATTGAAAAACATTTGAAACAGGCTAAATATATAGATAAAGGCAAGACAATGGAGGATGTAGAAAACAATCTTCAGGCATTCAAGGACTGCGATTTTGAGCGTAGGGGGTATCGTCTAGTAACATTTATTTGCTGGCTAAGAGAACACTTGTGAACCCGTCAAACTTGATCCCAAAAATATTGTCATGACAACTGATATTTTGGAAAACAGATCCACAGAAAATGGTAAAACAATAGGAGTTGCCGAAAAGGTTAATGATGGATATAAACGTTTGAACGAGGAATATGGTAAAGATACCAAATTAAAATTTAAAGAAAGTTGTGTGGTGGTATTCCAATGTTTTAAGATATCTACATTTAGTTTTGAAAATATTGTGGCTACTAAAAAGTAAAACCAGACATGCCTAAGCTGGTTCAAGTTTTTATTGATTGCCTCTTTTTCAATTCCGCTAGCAAATATCTTTCCCGGTAGATCAAATAGATAATATAGCTGTGTTCAATTCAAATAATTAACCGAAATTATATTTCTGCAATGCATACATGTTTTTTTTAGCAAATAGTTACCGTTTTTATATTTAGAGCTGAGTAAAATAAAGAACACTTTTAGACACTGCACTTGTATTCAGCCTCCGCCTGTAATTGCTGCCCTGGTTAGTGATTGCAGAAATGACAAGGCAGGCGTTGGCTTGACCAATTTGGGTTGTGCATAAACCGACTGGATTGTTGAATAAAAGCAACTTGTCCTTTAGGTTAAACATTAAACATTTAACTGCAAACTGCAAGCTGCAAACTGAAAACTGAAAACTGAAAACCATCAGCTATACAGTCAGCTTAACAGTAAATAGAGAGTAAAGCAAACCGCACATTTAGCTATATCAGAGTCCATGTAAGGAGTATCATTTTTGTATTGTACAATTTTTGAATTTATGTGTGGCCAAAAACAAAAGTATGGCGATTGATTTTCAAAGCTGGATTTTTTATTGATGGCCAAGCGAATAACCCTTTTTGGTTTGTTAAAGCGCTCGTATTTGTTTTAATTGTGTTGGCAGTTGAAAAATAAAGTGGTTATTAGCGGATAATTACTTTTCAAATGCCGAGTTTAAAAGAGAAGCACAGTGGTACTGGCGCAGCGAATGCAATTATCAAATAGCGATTTTGGATATATTTATACCTCATGCTGTGGAAATGTCGTCTGGTAATCAAGCTATATAAACCAAGTATTCCTCGACTTTTAATACAAAAGATTGGGTCCAGAAAACTGGTGCAAAAGATAAAGAATGTAATAACAATAAATGGTCTATCAAATACAATCTATCAAAATCCACTATAAGGGAGCTAAGCCGCTTCCCTTAAACAGTCGAAACCCGCAAACAATAAAATACAGCCGCGATTATCAACAATCGCGGGCATCACGTGGCATCGCCCTAATCGACGTCACAAAGAAGAGATTTTGTCAGATGCTGGTATTTTTAGGAATGTGTTCTCTAGCTTGGTGAGTATTTTACATATAAATAAGCAAATACAGTGAAGTGTGCAAGCTATTTGACATTTACTTATATCTCTTGTCGAATGAGCGTCCACTGTTCTCGTTAAAGCTCGTGCTCAGGCTGCTCATCGATTTTAGTTTAAAAATTTACTTGTTTGATATTTTGTTCGATGTATCTGTTATTTCTCTCCTACCCGGGCTGCTGGCAGTATGTAGCCATCGTTGCTAAGCCTGTGACATGAAAGGGCAAGTTTTCTTGCAACTAAAGTAATAGCACATTGTATGTGTGGGCATGTTGGCACGCGAATGATCTTAGCACTTTTAAAACTAACAAGTGCATTGTTTGCATTTTCAAACAAACCACTGTGCGTACAATTTTAACAGAGTAAAAACACTTTGGGCGGCCATGCAAATTTTATTTGTGGCTGTTCGAAACTGTTTTTTTGCGCTCGTGCTAACAGAGCCAATTTGCAGCGCACCCTAATTTGTGCTTGCTGGAATCCAAAGTGCATGGAGGCTTGATGTGATATAAGGAATTTCGGCCTGTCTCCGGCGATTGATTAATGAATCAATCGCTAGTTAATTCCCTACTTGGATATGCAGGAATTTACACGCACACATAAATACTAATGGATATAAACAGTGGAGGCTATTCATCCCTTAGGTTTCTTTTAGTTTATTTTGTTCAATATATATGTCTTTAACATAATAATCGGTGTCATTGATCACTATTGAATGCTGATTGATATCAAAGCACGTTTCTATTGCATGTCACCTTTTTATATTGGTGTCTACAACTAGCAACACAACCGCGCCCACTTGTCTTGAAATGGTTTAAATACCAAGCTGGCAGACCAAGAATTGAGAAGAAGCAGTATTCAGTTTGAGTCTTAATCGTCTTATTAATAAATAATTAATAGCATCGTTTACTACAAAATCAATACTACGCCGTTTTATTGCTGACACTGCCTTTGGTCAGCTGAACCGGATTGAAAATGATTTAAAGGCGTTCGTTTGCTATGATGGGTGCTGCCATATACGGCCAGTGCACGCTATTGGTTGCTCGGGCTGGACCTTACAAAAATGTGGTTTTTCTTGCAATTTTTCAGATTATTTAAGTGCACTCGACTTTCTGGTCGCGAGAGAATAAATTACTATTGTTTGTCTCGCTGGTTTCGCAGCTTGGCAGACCAGGCAATCACAGTCTCTAAACCTGCTTTTGCTTTAGCCGTCGGTTATTTGTTTTATCACGCGCAGATGGAGAAGTCTGCCTGTGTGCAGCCAGGCCAATCCGATCCAAGAGGAGCAGAAATACATGCTGAATCAGCAAGAAAAACACAGGCTAAGATATCTCCAGCTGAGAATAGATAGGTACAGCGGTCCCGGCGATAGTGCCAGGCAGGGGAATCCATACCTTTCTTCTTTTTTCTCTCTCGGCTTTGTCTATACCCAATCGGGCCGTTTTAGGAATGCGAGTGTCGCTGAGTCCTTGCGCTTGGATGTGCATTGTTCCATTTTGCACCCAATACACTCCTCGTGTGAGATGTGGACAGGCGCAAGATGATATTTTTTAGCCCAGACAAAAAGCTGCATTCGGACTCTGGGGGCCTTGCCATTCCGGGTGCCTTGCTCTTGCCAAAAAATAAAAAATGAAAAGTATGTGCATGGCCGCTTGATATAACTGGAATGGCGGTTGGGCATCCGCTTTGAGATACATCAAGCAGATGAGAAGAGTGATTTGCGGTGGCAGAAAAATATATAGGATGTGCCGGCTACATGACTATGTTTCTCCCAACCGGATGATCTGGGACCAGAGAGGGGGCGGCCACCCCTGGCAGTGACCCTGGCGACGAAGATGGGAGGGAAAAAACACCAAAAAAGATGGGATCGCGCTGCTGTGCACCCGCGGATAATATTCACGGCTGGTATGTGGGCGGTATGAGGACAATATGAGACCAGATGATGGTTTTTTTAGAGTCGGCGGGTCTGGATGATGAGGATGGGTCGTTGGAACAGGGCAGTAATGTGGCACTAAAACTGAAAGGGGACAGATACAGACAGATGCAAGCATGTGTGGCGAATCCAAGTTCAGGGGATAAGCAGCCAGCCAGGGCCGTGCGGTGTGAATTAAAAATAAGGTTTGGCCTAGCCCCAAAATATAATGTGTTTACCAGATCTGCATTATTATGTAATATATGGTATTCAACAAGAGCAATTAGCTCAGAAAATCGGTTCCAAATGGCTCAGATTAACCTTAAAGCCGGGTTAGCTCAATCGGTAGAGCGTAAGACTCTTAATCTTAAGGCTGCGGGTTCGACCCCCGCATTCGGCTCTTCTTTTGAAGTTTTTTTGCTGAGTCTATTTAAATTAAATGTTTTGGCCTTTTCTTTTTTATATAACATATACTGCCGCCCGCACACAAAAACCATTTTATATATGTTGTTACATCTACTGCCACGCTATTCTTTTTTAAAAAATATTTTTTTTGTTGTCCGCTCGCTGCACTTATCCTTGGTCTCTTATCTACTTGGCACCGCCGGGATGTAGGCGATTATCTATCTGAACCATATACTTTTCAGCCTGCTCCATTGCTCGTGGCAAATGTAAAAAACTTGATTTTTATTAGTTTGAATAAAACCATGTATTAAACCCACTAACCGAGATATAAATAAAATTAGAAACTAGAAAATAAAAAAAACACTGCATAAATAAATATTTGCTTATTCACTGCCGCTCGTTTCAATTCACCAACAAAAATACACACACATGCGGCTACATGACATTGTAATTAAATTGTTTTGGTTATTCAGGAAACAAATATAATTGTTATTCCTTTTGCACTGCGCCAGCTACCGCTGTGCGTCCTGGCCAGCTCGACCTCATCCTTTAATTGTTGGCTTGGCCTTTCTAATACCTTAGTGTTGCCATTCACTACTACTCATTTTCAATGATTTCTTGTGCTACGCCGCACCATATTATGCCATGCTTCAGATCCCTTGCAATTCTATTTTGTCAGCCACATGCAGTAGCATGCTTTGTCTAATATAAATGCGGAGTCGCTAATTCCCTGGCAAATCTGTACAAATGGCACTGCCTCAAGCTTTGAAACCATTGTGTTGCTCAAAAAACTCTCTTATGCTGCAATTCTTATCATTTCTTTTAAAAGCAGCAGCACTGATGCCGTGGATTTTTCAGAAATTGAACGTGTTGTCGGCCAAATCAAACCACATCTGCATTTGAAGCCACATACATTCAAAACCCAATGAACAATAGTACCGCATCCAAGGCGCTGCGCTAATTCACATTTCCACGCGCGCTTTCGGATTTTCTTGCATGCCCCGTTTACGCATTTTTTATTTCCAAACTCAAGTTCCTCAATGCCATTGCGAATAACCTATCCCAACTTCAATTTTTTTTAAAAAAAAACCCGTATATTGGACAATCATAAGCCCTATATACTTTACCTTTAAATGTGTGTAAATACAAAACAATTAATTTTGCTCGAGCAATTTATTTTATTTTGGTGCTTGCTAGGAGTGCTTATTTTTATTCTCCATCTAGTGTGCTATCATGCCACTAATATTCAGTCTATTATTAATTCATTTTGTTAAATTATTTGCCTTTTCAGATAGATTGTTACACATTTACTTCATATACCTCACCAGGCATTTCGATTAAGCTAGGCTTGCTTTTGTTCATTGCAAGCACACTAATGTCACTTTCAAAGCCTACCCAAACGCATACACCCACATTAAACGTACTGTGCTTGGTTGCATTGCATTGTATTATATCGTATTGTATTAAAGCCCTCACTTTGTTTCCTTTTGGGGCTTTAATACAAAGACTGCTTTGAAGCTGCGGCCCTTTTTGCAAAATGGGCTCAAAGACAATTTGTTTAAGCAACAATGCCTGCTTGCCTAGCCTGATCATGCGCTGCGTTGTTACAGCAGACGCCCTCTTTTCTATCCTGTAAAGCCGCCAGAATACCTCTCCTTGTCTTTCTCCAATCTTCCCCTCACTTACCTCCTTGTTTTATTCATGTTCTTTTACATAATTTGTGCATTGCTATCCACAACTACTCGTGAGCCGCACTCATGGACCTAGACCTGTCGACAGTTTATTTCACCTGCGATATCAACGACTGCGCAAAGGGGACCGCAGGATTCGTTGTTCCCAGCACATATCTAAACGAAGAACAAACAGATTTCAAAGACACGCAGGTGCTAAAGCTTGTCGCCAAACATGTTGGAATCAGGCAAAGCAAGATTGCGTTTAAAATAGGCGAGGTTACGCCCCATGTGCGCAAGACAATGAGCTGCCGCGTGTACTACCACAAAAAAGCAACTTTTATGGAGCGCCTCATTCGCAAGCGCTATCTCAAAATAGCCGCCAAGTTTTGGTGAGTGCCGCCGTCGCCCTTATTGCGACGAGCAACGCTGTGCGTTGAAATTGTCATTGCTTGAAAAAATAATTTGAACTGACAACCTGCCCTATTCAGGGCAAATCCTTGTGTTTGCTGTGGTATTAATCGCTACAATATTACGACGCACTTGTGCTGTGCACATATTAATAGTTTTGTTTTTACAAGTGTGCTGTGCACGCTCAAGTATTCTTGCGCACACATCCTCGCCGGTCAACAAAATGTACACTCTCGCCGCAACAAAATACAAAACTAAACTCGGCTGAATAAAACAGGGTCAGTGCGCTTCTCGTTGCGACAATGCTGCCACTACGCATGCGCACAACCCACCTGCCCAAAGGCCTTGCTGCCGTGCCATGTCCACTGCCCAAAATAAAAAATACAAAGGTGACTTTGTGCTTAATAAAAAGCAGCTATCTTCTTTTGCTTTTCTGCTTGGCCTCCTCTGCCTTTGTTTCTCTCTGCCAGGCTTTTTAATTGCCCGCTCCAATTGATCATGCCCCTCAGATTGAAAATGGGCAATGGTTAAATTGGACACGGCGGTACCCGTAAAATTAAACCTATCTTAATTTTGTTTTCATCTATTCATTCTAATTTTTTAATAATAATTTAAACATACGTATACATATTAAAAACAGAAAATGTACACACCAAAGACAATATTCACATATAAGTATCCAAGCACGACACACCATATCTCTAGATTGTTTTCTGAGCGGCCAGCTGTTTTAAATACACCCTCTATATGGTTGGCAGAGCTGTCCGCCTACTCCCCTCTCCCGCGGCGAACCTCAACTAGGCGTATTTTTTAGGTATTAGCAATGAATATAGCGTAAGTAAATTTCCAATTGCCTTGTCGACTTTTGTTGCTGGCCAATCTATATTACATTCAAGGCTCAGCCAAATCAAAACACAGCGCACTTGTGTATGTGAAGCAAGCATTTACATTCTGCTTTACAAAAATCACATCGTTTGAAATAATACACAATGCAAAGCGCCGCGCTTGCTGTCGTCTGTTTTTTTTGCACAGCACCTAGTTTTCATTTCATTTTCACTTCATTTCTACTCAAAAACTGATCCCTTGGCACTGGTTTTCAACCATGTCCGAGCACATTTACTTGGACCACGCCTTTTATTACGCACGGCACGAATAAAACACAAATTGAAATTCCCGAGGTCTGCATTGATGCAGACAGAAACGAATTTAACAAAAGAGCGTTGTTAGCACGTTTCTGCAAAGATCGAAGAATATCAAGGCGACCAAGTGTTCCAAGAAGTGGTGATTGTCCAGGACCAGATTCGATCAAGGTGTCGGTTTTACATAAAGAGGGACTGGCTCCAGTTAGTGCAGTGCATCATTGACAACCTCAGAAAGGCTCGCCAGTCATAATCCCATGTCTCCAAGCGTCTATAATAGTATGCGCAATGTCTTTAGATTCATAGAAAACACTACAGCCACCACAACCAAAATACAAAGGCAAACAGTGTTATTTAATATAAACTGTATTCATATTGCTTCTTTCAATCAATACACATGGCACACTCATACTCTTTGCAGTTTGCTTAAAGAAAAGGTGCTTGGCCCTTAGACGCCTCACTCTGTTTATTAGTACAACAGTTTACTTGTTTATTTGTTCATGAGCCAAACTGCGTGTGTGCTGCAACAGCGCTAGCAATATCGCTGCCCTCTCCAGACTCTTGAATTCTCTTGCGGATGAGATCAGCAATGGCAGCATCATTCTGGGGTTTGAGCTGATCCAGTTTTTTTTTTCAAGTCGCGCTTGAGATCCCAATTCGGGCGCTTTGGAGCAATCGCCACAATGTCAAGCTCTCCAGTTTCAACCTCCTGCTGCCGCTTGGCAATTGCTTCTTCCACCACGCCGCTGACGGATGCCTCGATTGTATCCAGTGTTATTTCAGTTGCTGGTCGGTCCTTTTCCACTACATTTTTAAAATTGCGCATCGCCATTAGCCGGGCCTTGCGCTTTTTAGATTCTTCCTCCATCGAGCTCATGATTGTGTGTATATGTATGAGTGTGTATATTAATTAACGGCTTAAGAAGTATCGACCAATATAAACTAACCCAGACTTTGGCGCTCGTCCACGCCCAAACTCGAAATGTGACGTGTGATTATTACATTTTACCATAATTCTTATGGGCAAAATTCCACCAGTTTCAGGGACAGAAGACACATCTTCAAGGTGGTATGGTAGACAATGTCTTATTCGTTAAATTTAGTTTTTGTGTGCTCTTTTGTTTTATATCTCGCTCAATGTATTTACTTTCTCTCTAAAAGGGAGGGAAGTACCCTTTTGAGCTTTTCAGCGAGTCGATGGCAACGATGCAGCGGCATTCCCATTTGCTTGCTAACAGCTCGGAGATCGCCGTTATGCCTGTAAATTAACGCTACCATTCTTTCAATTACACCCGTCGCGTGCAGCCTCTGTAGCGATGTGTTTTGACTGAAGGCGCGCGGAATAAACATGGGCCGCCTTTTGAAAGTCGCTCGCCATGGCCATTTGGGCTTACCGGGGAGAATACGGGCCAGCGCCAAGTAAAACGGAGTCAGTGGCGTCTCTGGGGACAAGCCAGTAACCTCGCAGATATTACCATTGGGGTCATACAGACCATCAGGTCCAGTTGGGCGCAGAGCAGTAAGGCCGCCCTGGTACCCGACCAGCATAGTGTCGGGGTCGATGGTGTGCAGGTCGACTTTCAGCCTTCTCGATGCATACTTCCAGCCCCGATACGCTGCCATGAGCTTGTACGCCGAGAGGTGAGCAAAGTAGTGCATTCGAAGAAACTCCCACTTTTTGCCGTGTACTCCCACCAATCGTACCATTTGCTTGAGCTCATCAACGGACATTGTTTGTGGTCCAGCGCCCACACTCTGCACGTTCCATTCTATGCGGCATTGCTGCGCTGTTCGTGTGCCAACAACATTGGCCACTTGTATCCAAAACCCGCGGGGTAAATTTTTATTCGATGCTGCGGATACAACCAGCCATGACTCACTCTTGTTCGCGTGGTCCACTGCTCGAAGTGGGTCGCTCACATGTGTAATCAAATCGACTGCAGCCACTAGTCTCTCCCGCTCTTCTACAGACCATTTGTTCTTTAAAGTCTTCGCCAGAGGATAGTTCCACCGCCAGTAGCAGTCGCGGGCGGATCGGCCAGTGTTCAAAGCCTTGGCTACTACTTCCCAGAAGCCGTAATAGAAGCCTGGCGTCATTCCCCTTTTGCTCAACTGACCTATGACCTGTGCCAATGCGTCGTCGTCGGCCAAGGTCCATGCCCCCTGTTTATTGGTTTGTAGCACCTCCCATCTTCTTTTGTAGTTGCTGGGGTTGAGATCCAGATTCATATGCGCAGCAATTATCGTCCACCGGGCACCGTGTCGCTTAACTAACTCTTTGAGAAGCAAATCGTGCTTCGGCAGCCAGCAGTGCCTACTCTTGAATGTAGTTGCTGCCGTAGCAGCGGCAGTCATGTAAGTAAATTGCGTCACTGTGCGGATCGCTCTGTGAAAGTGCTGCGGTAGCCACATGGCAGTTCTGTAATCCGACACAACCCATGGATGCTCGGGGCAATCCTTGTATGAATAAAATGGTAATTAAAAGGTCGTGCAGTGATTTTTAAAAACGAACAACCAAGCAGAAAATATGAATTTCATCGCTTTCTAATAGTTAATGATGTAAGCAAACGTTGTGGGAGGTGAGTCATTTTTTTTATGCGAACGTGTTCTCTTATTAAATTGACCACATCATCTTTGTTTTCTTGCTTCCTTTCTTTTTCTTCTTCCTTTGTCATGCATTTTAAATCCATTGTCAAAATATCTTTTTTATTTCCGCTTTTTAAATTATATTTCACTCATGTCTTCTGATCTTACCACGCACAGGGGCCACTGCCACTGCAGAACCGTTACTTGGGAAATCCAAGCGCCAGCCAAACTACACATCGACGAGTGCAACTGCTCTATCTGCAACCTCAACGGATTCCAACATATCATTGTGCCGAAATCCAAATTTACGCTGCTTTCAGGAAAAGACAATATAACCACGTACACGTTCAACTCGCACATCGCGCAGCATTATTTTTGCAAAACCTGCGGAATTGAGTCATTCTATGTGCCTCGTAGTAACCCTGACGGATACTCCATTAACTTTAGATGCCTGGAGAGAGATAATGTGGAGGAATACGAGATTGTTCCATTTGATGGACTCAACTGGGATACAAATGCCCAAAAGCTAGCACACCTGTCAAAGGACTAAGAAGTGGTTTTGTCATTTTCAATTTAATAATAGATACCAATGTTGCAGTTTGGACTTGACTTTAAAGGTGAGTAAAAATGAATAAAAATAAAACAGATAATTGCCAGCGTTAGATCCACTTATATTTGGGCTTGGCCTTGAATCTCAAGGATATATATGCCAGCATATTAAAAAGTGCTGTCATGCAGACACAGATTAAGACACACTGGCCGACGTTGAATTGGTCAAGGTTGTAGAGCTTAATAACAGCGTCGCCGCGGGCCATACACAGACCGTTGTTGGCTTGGCAATGGAGCTGAAGACCGCTGAACTCCGTACTGACCATCCCCTGGTAAACGTAGAATGCCGGGGAAATGTATTGCATCCACTTGATGCCGGGCAGTAGGTCACCTGCATTCGCCAAATGGCCGCCAAAAATAACCCAGGTGGTAATCAAAAGGGCACCAATGACAGCGGCCAAGTCGTACGAGGCCACAAACGACCCAACTAGCAGCGTGGCACCCAGCGCCACGACAACCATGATGGTAAACAGCGACAGCGACGTCAAAAATTTTGGCACAGAGCTCTGCAGTCCAGCCATAAAGTAAATACCCATAAAGTATATCCAGCTGGATAACACCGCAATGGGCATGTACACAAGGACCTTGGCAATGTAGAACGTCGACATGCGGTAAGACCCGGAACCGCGCTCGTTGAGCATAATCTCCTTAGCCTTGTAATAGACAAAGAGATACTGTGACATGACGCCGTATGCCGAATTGAGGGTGAGGGAGAAGAAAAGGCCGATGCGGTTTTGGATAGACTCTATCTCGTTGCCCATTCTGAAAAAGAGAAGGCCAAGGAGCATCAACACAGTAATGGCGTTGAGCCCGACAGAGCTGAGGAATGTGTAGTGACGCATGGTGGTGATAATATCGCGCTGGGCCAGGGTCTTGACTTCATAGAACCAGTTTGCACGCCGCGGGGGTGGGGTATCGTCCATTTGTAAAGACCAGTTAAACTCTGGCGCTGAAGTGTCGCCGACCATGCGAATGCCCGCAGCGGCCACAGTCTTTGCAGAGTAAAACGGCTTTTCGTACAGGCCGCCATAGGACATGGATAACTTGGACGTTGGGAGCTTGGATTCGTTATAAGACTGGGCTAAGTACTCGACACGACGCTTGCTCATCTCATGATCGCGCGGCGAACGGTTATTGAGCGACATGATGTCAATGAAGAAGTCGGCAGGGTTCTGGCGCAATGGGCAGGGAAAACCCTTTGATTCAAAGTATTCGATAGCCTGAGTCGCCGAGCCAAAATATACCAAGTGGCCCTGTGTCAAAAGCAGCACACGGTCAAAGCAACTGAGCATGTTGGCGTTGGGCTGATGCACAGTCATCACAGAGGCAATACCACGTGACCTAGTGATATCACGTACCAACTCGACAACCATCTCTGCAGAGTTGCTGTCCAGCCCGGAAGTGGGTTCGTCCAGAACAATCATATCGGGATCAGTGACCAGACCAACCCCAATGCTCACTCTCTTGCGCTCGCCACCGGAAACGCCACGGCTCAGGGCATCGCCTATTTTAGACGACTTTACATGGCTTAGCCTCAATTGTTGCATGACGCTGGCCACTCGCTCAACCTTCTGCAGCTGCGTATAGCTTTTGTCTGTCAGTCGCAATTTGGCTGCAAACATTATGGTCTCCTCGACGGTCAACATAGGGAACATTATATCCTCTTGCTCAACGTAGGCAACACGCCGCTTGAACACCCCCGGGTTGCGCTTCTTGCCTCGAAACAATACCTTACCATTAAGCACGCCGCCTTCAATTCGCCCAGCAAGGATGTTGAGAAGGGTGGTTTTTCCTGCTCCCGAGGGTCCTAAGAGCCCGATTACTTCGCCGGGGTATATTTCGCCAGTGATATTGTGGAGGAGCGTGCGCATAGTCGTTTGAGACTTGTCCTTTATTTTGACACTGTATGAGACGTCCTGCCAGGACAGAAGGGGCGCTTGATTTTGCAAGCGCGAGGGCGTGTCAGGCTCGGGGGTGGTCTGGTAGCCCATGTCTATGGGGCTCAGTGGCTGGTCCAAAAAGTCATGCGTGCTGCCAAAATGCTGCTGCGATGAAGACGCACTGTTGATGCTCATGGTAGCCTATAAAAACGGAGTAAACTATGAAAAGGTGTTTCGGAGTGTATATTTATAAGCTGTTGTGTTGAGTGTGGGGCATAAAAAAGATTGAATAAAAAATGATGCCACGTAAAATGAAAAGGGAGAATAAAATTACAATAAAAAATGTTGGTAGTTTTAAAAAAAATTTACACATGAAGACAAGTCAAATTTTGTATTCCTCTTTCTTTCTCTCTTTATCTGCTTTTTTGTTATACTGTCATTTTGGTTTGTTTTTGTTATTGAATTTTTCTTTAGTGGAATGGATCCAACAATATGAAATTACCAACTTGTCCCCTTTTCGATAAACAGACAGACTACATATTGTCATAAAATAGGGACGACTATAAACAAAGCATAAAATGGCTTATTTGGATGCATTCTTCAGAATGGTCCTCGAAAAGAATGCTACTGCCATCACAACAATAGATATTTTGTATTTTGGAAACCACCTCAAACCCCATATGACATGCGCCACCACAAAAATGGAACAACGCAAACGGGATTTTTCTTCAGCACTGTACCTTTGCTAGAATATATGGATAATAATAACAACAGTGAAACGGACCTTGAATAATAAATTTTGCCAGAAAAAAGTAACAATGATGTAAAGCAACAAAAATACCTCAAGGCAAAAAAGGAAGGGGAAGTGTTGTTTTATATATTGGCTGAAATTGCAGTTATTTGTGTTACAGCGTAATTCTGGTAAAGCAGTAGCGTTGCGGCTGCAAGAAAAATGGTCAGAAGATAATATTACATCACATGAAGGTGCACTTTCTTGCACACACCACCCTCCGCATTGCTCACAAGTCAAGCCACTCAATTAAGACAATATAATTCAGCATAGTCAATCGTAATGTTTACACCAAAATTTTTTTATAAAAATTGCACGAGAAATAAAACCGTGAAACACGCCTCGTTTGCATTTGTAATATATTATAAAATAACAGTGTATAGTCGATCATGTATATATACATATATATTTTTTAATCGAGAATAACTAAATCTTCACTATCAAAGGCATGTTTCTTTGACGGAGACTCAAAAACTTCATTGACATCATCAATGCTGCGTTTACCAAATTCAATCGAATTATTGCCAACCGCGGTGGCTGAGCACTCCTCCTTTAGCGACTGTTGCGAAAGCGGAACAAACTCTGGAATATACTCGAAACCCTCAATTAGTATATCCAAGCCACCATTTTCTTTAGTCAGTGGCCGAGCAATGCTCAGAATAACAGGCACAACGTCGGAATCGTCTTCGTTGGCAAATGTTACCATTTTGCCAGGAACCAAGCACAAATCCTGCATCGACTTTGAACAGTTGCTATCGTAGTCAGGGTCATAAAGCAGGCGCGAGCCCTCAACCACCGAAATATTATCCCTTGACATGCCCAGGCTCATGTCACCTTCCAAGCAACCAATGTAATCCAGCAGATCACCCAACATCGTTTTAGCAGGGTCGGCCAAGCGAAGCGTGAGGTACCGACGATGGCACACAGGGCACAGCAGGCTGGGCTTGGAAAGAGTCTCGCGAATAATGCACCGGGGACGCTTGGTGTTGTAAGAAAGATAGGCCGTATGACATTCATCCAAACGGCCGGCCAAAGCAAGCACGCCCTGGGTAACCATCATTCCGGCGACAATGGCGTTAGTCGTGGCGATTGCCGGGATGATATTGCCAGCCATGGCCTTCACCTCGAAGGGCGATTTCTGGTCAATAAAAAAGGCATAGGAGCGCAAGCTTGCGGTGGCAGTAACAAAGTCCAGGGTGTCCTGGTCATCCTTGTCAAACGCCAAGGGAGAGCCCTCGAGGCGACGCCGAGCGAGCGTGTGGCAGGACTCGCGGAAGAGAATAAATGCCTGAGCCATGGAGAGGTTGGAGTGATCAGCTGGAGGATCACACACTTGATGCTCGAGTTCATCGTAGTCAAGGACACGCGGTGGCTGGCGCTGTGCCCACATGTCAGACATAGACAGGAGACGGCGGATGTCATGGCAGAAAACCTTGTTGAAAATGCGCTGCGCAAAATCATCGCCGCCCATGGCCTCGGAAAGCGCAGCCAGAGCGCCAGACTCCTCCTTCAAAGCCTTGAGCTCCTCCTCCTGTCCTGCTTCAACTTCCTCTACAACTTCCTTTTCCTCCTCTGGCGGCTCGCCAAAGAGCTGAACAAAGAGATAGTTCTTCGCCCACACAATGCAATGGATCGGCGCAGTCGGAGTCGACCGAATGGTGCACACCGGAAAAGACCTCTTTTCGGCAGGCTTTGGATGGCAGTCAAAGCATTCTGTCTCGCCGCCCTTAATAACTGTGACTTGGCCCAGATACCCCGCAGTGCCAGATTCTACCAGCGGGACCCTTGCAGCCAAGCACATTGCGTTGACGTGTCTGCGGGCTTCCAGATTGTCCAGGGCATTAAAGACCAAAGCAAATTGGCCAAACCAGTCAACGTCAAACTGCTCGTCTTTAATGTTGGCCTGCATGGCGCTGGTGTCCAAGGAAGGGTTAAAGGCCTTGATGGCGGCGGTGGCCACGTGTGCCTTGGGCTTCTTTATGTGCTTGCGCTGAAAGAGAAACTGGCGGTTGAGGTTGGAGAGATCAATAGTATCGAGATCAATAGCGTGGATGTGGTGGAAGCCAGATACACTGAGATTTTTCAGCAGCTCGCAGCCGATGCCCCCGGCACCAACAACAAGAACGCGAGCGGTGGCCAAGCGAGTGGCAGCACCAGGACCGAAAAGCGCCGAAATTTGCGAGTTTGTTCTCATTTCAACTAAATAATAATAGGAATTATCGATTGAGGTACAGAAAAATAAATAAAAGGTTAAACAAAAAGAATAAAACAACAAACGCGTTTTTCGAATTTATTTTTCTTCGTGATAGCGTCACTACCGCCAAGACTAATTATTTTCACAAAAGAAATAATAGGCAAAAAAGACCAAACCCACAAGCAAAGATTAAAAAACGTGCAAAGAGAATGCCACAAAATCAAAAATACTACACCCCAAAGATAAGGCGTTGTGCCGACATGTTGAGTATTCCACATTTTTTCATACACTATTAAAACGAGGATGATCGCAGTAGCAGCAACAGCAACAGTAACATCGGTACTTGAGGCAGCGTCACGAAAAACAAGCACACAACTGCAGACACTCAATGGGATATTTGCGGTCAATAAGCCGCCGGGGATCAGCTGTACAGGGCTTCTCGACTACATCAAGCGCAACGCAGGCAAGGGCGTCCACGCTATGCCCTTTGCCGAGCACTTTGAGCGCGAACGCCAACTCCGGGTAACAGGAAAAAAGATTCGCCGCCCGCGTTGCTCCCCGCATCTCCGGGTCGGTCATGGCGGTACCCTGGATGTGGAGGCTGGCGGCGTGCTTGTAGTGGGCCTGGGCAATGGATGCAAGCAGTTGGAAGGATTCTTGAAGGGTGGCAAGTCGTATTTGGCCGAGGCCCGCCTGGGTATTGCCACTGAATCGTTTGATGCCGAGGGTCGGGTCACTGAGATTGTGGATACCAACGTATCTGCCGATGACATTCGCAGGCAGTTGGGTCAGTTTACAGGCAACATCATGCAAATACCACCAAAGTACTCTGCCATCCGTATTGATGGAAAGAGGCTGTATGAGTATGCCCGCGATGGGACAACAGTGCCTGTGCCTGTGGAGGCCAGGCCCGTGCACATCGGGAGCATCGATCTTTTGCATTTCCAGGCGCCTGGTCAAGCAACATTCGGCGTACGAGCGAGATTGCCGCTAGACGTTGAGGCATACTATGCAGAAGGACGGTATCGCTGGGAGGGAGGGAGGGCTCGGCAGGGCGAACCCTTGTTGGCGTGGAGCAATGAGCCAGGCGTGCCGCGGATGCAGATGTTGATTCAGAGCGGCGGCGGCGTTTATATTCGCTCGCTGGTCCATGATCTTGGCCATGCGCTGGGTTCGGCTGCCACTATGATGACGCTGTTGCGCTTGTCCCAAGGGCCCTTGCGGTTGGACAAAGATTCCATTGAGGTTGCCGATCTTCCCTACGATGAGAGGATTATTGCTGCCGTGAGGCATTCGCAGAGTCTGATGTGAGCAAACAAAAACCATATAATGGCATGCGAGTGCTGCGATTGACTGTCACTATTTCAAATTGTCAAGGTGTTGGTTTGGGAATGACTAAAGTCCGCACTGATGTACTCGTACAAAATAATATTTGCTGTACAGAGCCTTCGCTGCCAAGCGAGGCAAAATATCTATGAACAAATGCCCAACACTCACTATCCATTGCCGCTGAAGTTTCAGTGGCTGCAATTTTGCGTATCAGCACAACTCCGAAGAGACACATTAAATGTATAAAGTTTAGAATTATAAATAATAAATTGACATATTTAATCGAGTCCAGAGACAAAAATCCGCACATCGTTCCAGGCGTCTTGGCAGCATACGGTGGCAAAGGGGGCAGCTTGAAATACATGAAAGCCGCCCTCATATACACGCAGCACACAGACTGGTCCTGCCTTCCTTGCAAACTCGCACACATCGTCAAGCATGACCTCTGCCGAACCCACTTGCACTAGCACTCTGGGCAATCCTTCCATGTCAGCGTTGACTGGTGCCAGCAGGGGCACTCCCACGTGTACCCGGTCCTCTGCCTCTAGCAAATGAAACAGCGAAGACTGTGGATTATTGATATCGTAAAGTGGCAAGATGTCCAGTGCAAAGTTGCTTTGCCAGCTAGCACGCTGACTATTTGTGTCTGTGCGTGGACTGAAGAGAATGATGCCAGCGACAGGTGCACGCGTGAGCTGCCAAAGTGCCAGCGCCAGGTTGCCTCCTGCACTGTCACCAGCCAGCAGAATGTCTTCGGCATTGTGATGCTGGAGCATATCCTGATAAGCACAGTATGCGTCGTAGAGCTGCCCTGGGTACTTTGTTTGCGGTGCCAGTCGGTACGAGGGCGTGCACACAAGCATTCCGGTCGTTTGGGTGAGTTTGCTTAGCAAGGTCTGGTAGAGTTGTGGGCTGCCCGAAATATAGGCACCGCCGTGAAAGTACAAAACAACACTGCGCTTTGGCTCTCCTTTAGGCACACTTACTTGCATTGTCTGCTTTCTGTGTGCGTCGCCAAGTGCTCGCCGTGCTTCTGTTTGCAGCTTGTGTGCCCATACTCCAGCGTTGCCCAATTCGCTGCTTCCCAGCTCGCAGGCTCGAATATCACGCCCCTTTTCAACGCAAGCAGCGTAAAAAGAAATTGAATGTCTGAACCCTGCCAGCATTTCAATTCCCAGTCTGCTAGACCCTGCCTTGCCCAAATACGCAAGTATCTCGCGCCCTACCTGCGTCTTCCAATTCCACGCCGAGTGCTGTGGGCCATTCCACAGGTATCGTGCCGTTGCCAGCACTAGAGTTTTAGTAACTCCGCTTATTCCTATCACGACTAATATAGCTTTATTTATAAATTCCATTTACAAAGTACTGTTGAGAGTTTTAATTTCTTGCTGCACCTTCTTGAGCGCCTTCTTATGCGTGGTGAGAAAGAATATTGGTGTCTTTCCCCGCTGCGAATACACTCGTGCTGACGGCTGCAGGCTGCTGAGTTCGCTAGCAAGTATCTCCAAAACTTCAGCCTTTAGTTCTTTGGAATGATTCATTTTTGTGTTGTAATAAAATTAGTATGATATAATACAAGACCAATTTAAATTTCGAGTGCAAAATGAACTAAAAGGTGCTAAAAGTGAACCAGAAAAAACTTGATGGCTACAAAAAATAATGAAAAATATTTCACGTGAACTCAGCCCACACATACTGCAGTAAAACTATGTCCCTCATTATAATTGCGCTGTTTTTTGGGGGGCATAAATTTTTTAAAACATTTGGACGCGCTTCTGTTTCGCATATCTCTTTTCTCTCGTGAAGCAGCAGTTAGCAGATGGAAGCGGCATGTTTCATTTTCAATCCATGCAAGAAAACATTTTGTATCGCGTAAGTAACTTGATTTTTATTGATCTGATTTGATTAACATGATTCTTAACTTTGGACATTTGCTCACTCACACAGCGAAATAAAAGGCGGGGATACTTTTTTTTTTCTTCACGCGTGGTTTTGCCAGTTTGAAAAAAATGACAACACAAAGAAAAAGGGGCCGCGACCAACACGCTTACACAAGAAAAATGAAAAAAAATCTGTCCAATATTTTCTTTATTTTCTTTATTTTTTCAACTCTTTTCTGCCACAATTCTTACAATCTTTTCACTCTCCTGTTTTTCTCTTGGTTTTATTCAATCCGAATCACGACGCCTTACTATTATTTCCCTCCGCACATTCCCCTTTTTTATTTTGTTGAACAACAATGTTGAAGTGTCCCAAATGCACGCGTCAAATCGAAGCCTTTTCCGTAGACACCAACTGTGCGTTCCGCATGTGCACCAACCTTTCGTGCACTTGGCCCTTCGAAGCCCCCGATATGGCGCAGTACTTTGATCATGACGCCACTGTTCCGTCTATGCGCAAAATAGCAAAGAAGCGCAAGGCCCACGGCGCAAAGGACGACCAGCACCGTCTCAAGGCGAAGAAACCCAAGGCCCCCGAAACATTATCGCCGCCGCCCGTGGTGCCTGTGAAGGACAGCCTGATAGAACTTCCTTCGTGGCTCTCTGATCTGTGCGAGCCCAACAATGACCGCGCTACTTTATCCAATAGTAGTTTGCGGGCTTCTGTTGACGCCTCGATGGATATTTTTGATTCAGGTAAATACATTGAGGGTGCCAATACCACAGGTGGGGTGGTAGGTGCCGCGGTTGGCGAGAATTCCGAGAAGCTTCATGGTTCTTCTTCGGGTGATCGCGGAAACCTTGACATTGATGCGAGTGATGCGTGGATCCAGTCTCTGCTTACTACCCCTTTGCCGCCCCCTCCCTCTACTACGCCACACCGGTCTGATGATGGAGAGTCGGGCTCTTTGTTCGCCGATAATGTAGCCGATATTTTTGCTGCCTTCGGACAACAGCAACAGCAACAGCAACACGCGTCGGCGCCGCTGTCTATCGCCGATTCAGTTTTGTCCACGCTAACAGCCTCGGTTTCGGGAACTAACGCAGATGCCGGTGTGCCACGGCATAGTCGTCAGAACAGTCCAAACAGTGAGAGCGGGACGGAAGAGATTGACAGTAGGATGCGGATATCAGAGGATGACTTTGCGATGATCATCGACGAGGTCATGAAACCAAAAGCACCTGCAGGAATGTTGGACACTTTGGCGGTGACATCGGCAGCGTTTGATCCCATCTCAATGCTGTTGTCTCCCCCCAACTCGGCAGCTGTTGTGGGGAGCGGGTCGCTGGATGTCCTGGGACATTATTACTGGCCATCAGTCTCTTCAACTGACGCACTGACACAGACGCCGTTTGGTACAGAGCCTGACGGATTGTCTAAATCAGCAAGCCAGCTGCCCTTTGACTTTGACCTATTCAATGTTGTTCCCGCCACCATGCCTGCACCTACTGCTGTGGCCACCGCCATTACCGCCGCTGGAAATGGCAACCAACACCCTGCGGATGTGTTGACTTTTCAGGACAAGTAGATCAACACGACAAGTATTATAAAACACTGTCAACTGTATAAAAAATCAAATTCTCTCATCTTTTTATTTCCTATTGTTCTTTTTGATCTATTTATTTATATTACAATTTTTAAATTTTGAACATATTATGACCAAACGGTCTAAAGGCAACAGGGGGTAGGTGCATGCAGTTTGGCTCATGAACAAATAAACAAGTAAACTGTTGTACTAATAAACAGAGTGAGGCGTCTAAGGGCCAAGCACCTTTTCTTTAAGCAAACTGCAAAGAGTATGAGCGTGCCATGTGTATTGATTGAAAGAAGCAATATGAATACAGTTTATATTAAATAACACTGTTTGCCTTTGTATTTTGGTTGTGGTGGCTGTAGTGTTTTCTATGAATCTAAAGACATTGCGCATACTATTATAGACGCTTGGAGACATGGGATTATGACTGGCGAGCCTTTCTGAGGTTGTCAATGATGCACTGCACTAACTGGAGCCAGTCCCTCTTTATGTAAAACCGACACCTTGATCGAATCTGGTCCTGGACAATCACCACTTCTTGGAACACTTGGTCGCCTTGATATTCTTCGATCTTTGCAGAAACGTGCTAACAACGCTCTTTTGTTAAATTCGTTTCTGTCTGCATCAATGCAGACCTCGGGAATTTCAATTTGTGTTTTATTCGTGCCGTGCGTAATAAAAGGCGTGGTCCAAGTAAATGTGCTCGGACATGGTTGAAAACCAGTGCCAAGGGATCAGTTTTTGAGTAGAAATGAAGTGAAAATGAAATGAAAACTAGGTGCTGTGCAAAAAAAACAGACGACAGCAAGCGCGGCGCTTTGCATTGTGTATTATTTCAAACGATGTGATTTTTGTAAAGCAGAATGTAAATGCTTGCTTCACATACACAAGTGCGCTGTGTTTTGATTTGGCTGAGCCTTGAATGTAATATAGATTGGCCAGCAACAAAAGTCGACAAGGCAATTGGAAATTTACTTACGCTATATTCATTGCTAATACCTAAAAAATACGCCTAGTTGAGGTTCGCCGCGGGAGAGGGGAGTAGGCGGACAGCTCTGCCAACCATATAGAGGGTGTATTTAAAACAGCTGGCCGCTCAGAAAACAATCTAGAGATATGGTGTGTCGTGCTTGGATACTTATATGTGAATATTGTCTTTGGTGTGTACATTTTCTGTTTTTAATATGTATACGTATGTTTAAATTATTATTAAAAAATTAGAATGAATAGATGAAAACAAAATTAAGATAGGTTTAATTTTACGGGTACCGCCGTGTCCAATTTAACCATTGCCCATTTTCAATCTGAGGGGCATGATCAATTGGAGCGGGCAATTAAAAAGCCTGGCAGAGAGAAACAAAGGCAGAGGAGGCCAAGCAGAAAAGCAAAAGAAGATAGCTGCTTTTTATTAAGCACAAAGTCACCTTTGTATTTTTTATTTTGGGCAGTGGACATGGCACGGCAGCAAGGCCTTTGGGCAGGTGGGTTGTGCGCATGCGTAGTGGCAGCATTGTCGCAACGAGAAGCGCACTGACCCTGTTTTATTCAGCCGAGTTTAGTTTTGTATTTTGTTGCGGCGAGAGTGTACATTTTGTTGACCGGCGAGGATGTGTGCGCAAGAATACTTGAGCGTGCACAGCACACTTGTAAAAACAAAACTATTAATATGTGCACAGCACAAGTGCGTCGTAATATTGTAGCGATTAATACCACAGCAAACACAAGGATTTGCCCTGAATAGGGCAGGTTGTCAGTTCAAATTATTTTTTCAAGCAATGACAATTTCAACGCACAGCGTTGCTCGTCGCAATAAGGGCGACGGCGGCACTCACCAAAACTTGGCGGCTATTTTGAGATAGCGCTTGCGAATGAGGCGCTCCATAAAAGTTGCTTTTTTGTGGTAGTACACGCGGCAGCTCATTGTCTTGCGCACATGGGGCGTAACCTCGCCTATTTTAAACGCAATCTTGCTTTGCCTGATTCCAACATGTTTGGCGACAAGCTTTAGCACCTGCGTGTCTTTGAAATCTGTTTGTTCTTCGTTTAGATATGTGCTGGGAACAACGAATCCTGCGGTCCCCTTTGCGCAGTCGTTGATATCGCAGGTGAAATAAACTGTCGACAGGTCTAGGTCCATGAGTGCGGCTCACGAGTAGTTGTGGATAGCAATGCACAAATTATGTAAAAGAACATGAATAAAACAAGGAGGTAAGTGAGGGGAAGATTGGAGAAAGACAAGGAGAGGTATTCTGGCGGCTTTACAGGATAGAAAAGAGGGCGTCTGCTGTAACAACGCAGCGCATGATCAGGCTAGGCAAGCAGGCATTGTTGCTTAAACAAATTGTCTTTGAGCCCATTTTGCAAAAAGGGCCGCAGCTTCAAAGCAGTCTTTGTATTAAAGCCCCAAAAGGAAACAAAGTGAGGGCTTTAATACAATACGATATAATACAATGCAATGCAACCAAGCACAGTACGTTTAATGTGGGTGTATGCGTTTGGGTAGGCTTTGAAAGTGACATTAGTGTGCTTGCAATGAACAAAAGCAAGCCTAGCTTAATCGAAATGCCTGGTGAGGTATATGAAGTAAATGTGTAACAATCTATCTGAAAAGGCAAATAATTTAACAAAATGAATTAATAATAGACTGAATATTAGTGGCATGATAGCACACTAGATGGAGAATAAAAATAAGCACTCCTAGCAAGCACCAAAATAAAATAAATTGCTCGAGCAAAATTAATTGTTTTGTATTTACACACATTTAAAGGTAAAGTATATAGGGCTTATGATTGTCCAATATACGGGTTTTTTTTTAAAAAAAATTGAAGTTGGGATAGGTTATTCGCAATGGCATTGAGGAACTTGAGTTTGGAAATAAAAAATGCGTAAACGGGGCATGCAAGAAAATCCGAAAGCGCGCGTGGAAATGTGAATTAGCGCAGCGCCTTGGATGCGGTACTATTGTTCATTGGGTTTTGAATGTATGTGGCTTCAAATGCAGATGTGGTTTGATTTGGCCGACAACACGTTCAATTTCTGAAAAATCCACGGCATCAGTGCTGCTGCTTTTAAAAGAAATGATAAGAATTGCAGCATAAGAGAGTTTTTTGAGCAACACAATGGTTTCAAAGCTTGAGGCAGTGCCATTTGTACAGATTTGCCAGGGAATTAGCGACTCCGCATTTATATTAGACAAAGCATGCTACTGCATGTGGCTGACAAAATAGAATTGCAAGGGATCTGAAGCATGGCATAATATGGTGCGGCGTAGCACAAGAAATCATTGAAAATGAGTAGTAGTGAATGGCAACACTAAGGTATTAGAAAGGCCAAGCCAACAATTAAAGGATGAGGTCGAGCTGGCCAGGACGCACAGCGGTAGCTGGCGCAGTGCAAAAGGAATAACAATTATATTTGTTTCCTGAATAACCAAAACAATTTAATTACAATGTCATGTAGCCGCATGTGTGTGTATTTTTGTTGGTGAATTGAAACGAGCGGCAGTGAATAAGCAAATATTTATTTATGCAGTGTTTTTTTTATTTTCTAGTTTCTAATTTTATTTATATCTCGGTTAGTGGGTTTAATACATGGTTTTATTCAAACTAATAAAAATCAAGTTTTTTACATTTGCCACGAGCAATGGAGCAGGCTGAAAAGTATATGGTTCAGATAGATAATCGCCTACATCCCGGCGGTGCCAAGTAGATAAGAGACCAAGGATAAGTGCAGCGAGCGGACAACAAAAAAAATATTTTTTAAAAAAGAATAGCGTGGCAGTAGATGTAACAACATATATAAAATGGTTTTTGTGTGCGGGCGGCAGTATATGTTATATAAAAAAGAAAAGGCCAAAACATTTAATTTAAATAGACTCAGCAAAAAAACTTCAAAAGAAGAGCCGAATGCGGGGGTCGAACCCGCAGCCTTAAGATTAAGAGTCTTACGCTCTACCGATTGAGCTAACCCGGCTTTAAGGTTAATCTGAGCCATTTGGAACCGATTTTCTGAGCTAATTGCTCTTGTTGAATACCATATATTACATAATAATGCAGATCTGGTAAACACATTATATTTTGGGGCTAGGCCAAACCTTATTTTTAATTCACACCGCACGGCCCTGGCTGGCTGCTTATCCCCTGAACTTGGATTCGCCACACATGCTTGCATCTGTCTGTATCTGTCCCCTTTCAGTTTTAGTGCCACATTACTGCCCTGTTCCAACGACCCATCCTCATCATCCAGACCCGCCGACTCTAAAAAAACCATCATCTGGTCTCATATTGTCCTCATACCGCCCACATACCAGCCGTGAATATTATCCGCGGGTGCACAGCAGCGCGATCCCATCTTTTTTGGTGTTTTTTCCCTCCCATCTTCGTCGCCAGGGTCACTGCCAGGGGTGGCCGCCCCCTCTCTGGTCCCAGATCATCCGGTTGGGAGAAACATAGTCATGTAGCCGGCACATCCTATATATTTTTCTGCCACCGCAAATCACTCTTCTCATCTGCTTGATGTATCTCAAAGCGGATGCCCAACCGCCATTCCAGTTATATCAAGCGGCCATGCACATACTTTTCATTTTTTATTTTTTGGCAAGAGCAAGGCACCCGGAATGGCAAGGCCCCCAGAGTCCGAATGCAGCTTTTTGTCTGGGCTAAAAAATATCATCTTGCGCCTGTCCACATCTCACACGAGGAGTGTATTGGGTGCAAAATGGAACAATGCACATCCAAGCGCAAGGACTCAGCGACACTCGCATTCCTAAAACGGCCCGATTGGGTATAGACAAAGCCGAGAGAGAAAAAAGAAGAAAGGTATGGATTCCCCTGCCTGGCACTATCGCCGGGACCGCTGTACCTATCTATTCTCAGCTGGAGATATCTTAGCCTGTGTTTTTCTTGCTGATTCAGCATGTATTTCTGCTCCTCTTGGATCGGATTGGCCTGGCTGCACACAGGCAGACTTCTCCATCTGCGCGTGATAAAACAAATAACCGACGGCTAAAGCAAAAGCAGGTTTAGAGACTGTGATTGCCTGGTCTGCCAAGCTGCGAAACCAGCGAGACAAACAATAGTAATTTATTCTCTCGCGACCAGAAAGTCGAGTGCACTTAAATAATCTGAAAAATTGCAAGAAAAACCACATTTTTGTAAGGTCCAGCCCGAGCAACCAATAGCGTGCACTGGCCGTATATGGCAGCACCCATCATAGCAAACGAACGCCTTTAAATCATTTTCAATCCGGTTCAGCTGACCAAAGGCAGTGTCAGCAATAAAACGGCGTAGTATTGATTTTGTAGTAAACGATGCTATTAATTATTTATTAATAAGACGATTAAGACTCAAACTGAATACTGCTTCTTCTCAATTCTTGGTCTGCCAGCTTGGTATTTAAACCATTTCAAGACAAGTGGGCGCGGTTGTGTTGCTAGTTGTAGACACCAATATAAAAAGGTGACATGCAATAGAAACGTGCTTTGATATCAATCAGCATTCAATAGTGATCAATGACACCGATTATTATGTTAAAGACATATATATTGAACAAAATAAACTAAAAGAAACCTAAGGGATGAATAGCCTCCACTGTTTATATCCATTAGTATTTATGTGTGCGTGTAAATTCCTGCATATCCAAGTAGGGAATTAACTAGCGATTGATTCATTAATCAATCGCCGGAGACAGGCCGAAATTCCTTATATCACATCAAGCCTCCATGCACTTTGGATTCCAGCAAGCACAAATTAGGGTGCGCTGCAAATTGGCTCTGTTAGCACGAGCGCAAAAAAACAGTTTCGAACAGCCACAAATAAAATTTGCATGGCCGCCCAAAGTGTTTTTACTCTGTTAAAATTGTACGCACAGTGGTTTGTTTGAAAATGCAAACAATGCACTTGTTAGTTTTAAAAGTGCTAAGATCATTCGCGTGCCAACATGCCCACACATACAATGTGCTATTACTTTAGTTGCAAGAAAACTTGCCCTTTCATGTCACAGGCTTAGCAACGATGGCTACATACTGCCAGCAGCCCGGGTAGGAGAGAAATAACAGATACATCGAACAAAATATCAAACAAGTAAATTTTTAAACTAAAATCGATGAGCAGCCTGAGCACGAGCTTTAACGAGAACAGTGGACGCTCATTCGACAAGAGATATAAGTAAATGTCAAATAGCTTGCACACTTCACTGTATTTGCTTATTTATATGTAAAATACTCACCAAGCTAGAGAACACATTCCTAAAAATACCAGCATCTGACAAAATCTCTTCTTTGTGACGTCGATTAGGGCGATGCCACGTGATGCCCGCGATTGTTGATAATCGCGGCTGTATTTTATTGTTTGCGGGTTTCGACTGTTTAAGGGAAGCGGCTTAGCTCCCTTATAGTGGATTTTGATAGATTGTATTTGATAGACCATTTATTGTTATTACATTCTTTATCTTTTGCACCAGTTTTCTGGACCCAATCTTTTGTATTAAAAGTCGAGGAATACTTGGTTTATATAGCTTGATTACCAGACGACATTTCCACAGCATGAGGTATAAATATATCCAAAATCGCTATTTGATAATTGCATTCGCTGCGCCAGTACCACTGTGCTTCTCTTTTAAACTCGGCATTTGAAAAGTAATTATCCGCTAATAACCACTTTATTTTTCAACTGCCAACACAATTAAAACAAATACGAGCGCTTTAACAAACCAAAAAGGGTTATTCGCTTGGCCATCAATAAAAAATCCAGCTTTGAAAATCAATCGCCATACTTTTGTTTTTGGCCACACATAAATTCAAAAATTGTACAATACAAAAATGATACTCCTTACATGGACTCTGATATAGCTAAATGTGCGGTTTGCTTTACTCTCTATTTACTGTTAAGCTGACTGTATAGCTGATGGTTTTCAGTTTTCAGTTTTCAGTTTGCAGCTTGCAGTTTGCAGTTAAATGTTTAATGTTTAACCTAAAGGACAAGTTGCTTTTATTCAACAATCCAGTCGGTTTATGCACAACCCAAATTGGTCAAGCCAACGCCTGCCTTGTCATTTCTGCAATCACTAACCAGGGCAGCAATTACAGGCGGAGGCTGAATACAAGTGCAGTGTCTAAAAGTGTTCTTTATTTTACTCAGCTCTAAATATAAAAACGGTAACTATTTGCTAAAAAAAACATGTATGCATTGCAGAAATATAATTTCGGTTAATTATTTGAATTGAACACAGCTATATTATCTATTTGATCTACCGGGAAAGATATTTGCTAGCGGAATTGAAAAAGAGGCAATCAATAAAAACTTGAACCAGCTTAGGCATGTCTGGTTTTACTTTTTAGTAGCCACAATATTTTCAAAACTAAATGTAGATATCTTAAAACATTGGAATACCACCACACAACTTTCTTTAAATTTTAATTTGGTATCTTTACCATATTCCTCGTGTGGTGCCCAACACACATTTCAAGCCACTATCTTCCCTTTTCAAGAATCAAGATTGCCCTCATGGCCACTATATACATTTCTGTTATTGCTGGCTGACATCAAGGAACACCATGATGTTTACAGCGCTGCCCACACAGCGCTGCCCCCTTTTTCAGTTAAGTAAGTAATTTTTAAGACTCGAATATATCGATTTAGACCCACATTTTTATAGAGCACGACAATGAGAGACATTCTGTGAACGTGTAGAGATATAAATACTATATATAAAAGTGTGTTGAATATATGTGCTATGCACTGAAAAAGGTGAAGAACATATATTACTTTGTTCGGGCACCGTATGACATATTGATGATTGTATGTTTGGTTGGAGTAGCCAAGACTGGTTAAACGGTTGATCGCCATCAACCAATAAAAATGCGCCATGCTGTACAAATGATGGCCCCGAGTTAGAAAAGCTGTGGCAGCGTGTTCGTTCCAAAAACGTTTACTGTGCCGTATATTCTGATCATATTGGATACAGGCGGAATAATGTCATTGCGGCCGCTCGTTGCAAAGGTGGAGGATGCCCCATTGTTTAAAGCCATGTCAGGGATATATGTCAGGTTGCAATGGAATAAATAAAGATATGAATGCTAAAATTGAATAAATAAAAATGGGTGAATAGGAAAGCAAAAATATGCTGAGCTGCCTACTTTTTTCAATAAAAATTAGTCTTTTTTGCGGCAAAGTAAACAGCAAGAGGCAAGCAGCAGATGAGTTTTTTTGTTTAATTTTTTGTTTTGTAAAAAGCAAATCCACAAAGCGCACAGGCTTTAATAAAATAAAGCATCCCTTCACTTATTTAAATGAAAGCTTGCCCCCTTTGTAGAAAAGGCTAGGCGCTGGGTGACACATGCAAACATACAAAAAAATTGAACGTTTGGTTTATGTGAACCACAGTATATTAAAGCTGCATACTGATTGAGGTGCATTTACTTTGTTGTATTTATATAGATGTAGGCGAATTTGCATTCTAGCAATCAATAGAGCTAATAACTAAAAATGTATACAAAACTGATAAACTAAAGACATTTTAAAAGTAAAGAAAACAACAAGGCGGGATTGAATCTTTGACTTAATAATTTTAATATTAACTGCGGCATTTACAGACTACTCAAGCTGCTTGGGCTTAAGATTACTAACGGTATTGTATAAAATGCTTATTTATTTTAATAAAGAGTTTATTATATCGACAAAACAGCTTTGTTTCCGAGGCGTATAATCAATAGAAAAAATGCGATACTCTATATTTTTTGTACTGCCAGGAAGCGGCATGTCAATATAAACAAGAGCCCCATTATTAATATTTTTTTTTATTTTTTACATGTTCTAACAATTTTTTTTCATGGAATCCATCTGCTCTACTATTCTTACAATTGTCCGGGACAAATATCTGTTCTAATCTTTTTGTTCCAGGATCGTTATAAAAAACAGATATGGTATACATTTTTGCCGGCATATTTTAGCAATTATTTTGTTAGTAATAATAAAAATTTTAAATGTAATGATAAGTTGGAGCGTTTGTTGAAATGGTGTCCATTTTCATTAGTTTTATACCGGTTGGGTTTACACACATGTATAATTTTGCAACAAAATGGGAGTAGAATGTAGAGGAAGTGTACACTATTACAAACTCAATAATTGGGGGTGGGGGTGGATGCGGTACTCCTAATCAAAATTATTTACAACGTGTCACTTTTTTGTCTTTTAAATGTTCGTTTGTCAGAAAAAAGGGAATCCACACTTTAAATGCATGCTTTTTCTTTCAGTTTACTTCTATTTTATTATTATTATTAATAATAAAGGAGTAGTAAAAGTAAAACAACGTTGTAAAGTATTTCCTACAATCAACAAATACTTATCACTTTTTTTGTTACAATTACCATGTCGCTCAGCATTTCAGCAATTGTTTGTTTAAATGCAAACAATCACAAAACAATAATTGTGATAGTTTAAAAACTTGTATTTAAAAATATCTAACTATTCAACTTGCGAACAACAGATTCTCCCTCCCAAAAATAAAAATACTTGACACAAACTTAATAATTAGGAAGTATAAGTTGTGGTGCCCAACACACATTTCAAGCCACTATCTTCCCTTTTCAAGAATCAAGATTGCCCTCATGGCCACTATACACATTTCTGTTATTGCTGGCTGACATCAAGGAACACCATGATGTTTACAGCGCTGCCCACACAGCGCTGCCCCCTTTTTCAGTTAAGTAAGTAATTTTTAAGACTTGAATATATCGATTTAGACCCACATTTTTATAGAGCACGACATAAATTTTCTAAAAAGCTTGCGAACAAAAATTTCTTTGGCAGACATTCTCTTTTCATAATACACACGACACCGCAGAGAATAGTCTGGTCCGCATTCGTCCTCATAATATGTGAGTTTAGATTCCGGTATGCCAGTATTAAGCCACATAAGCCTTAACAGTGGTTTATCTTTGAACTCCATAGTGATTTTATTTATGCAATCGGAATTTATTTTGTAGGTTTTAAATTCGTCATCATCAATGTAAAAATAAACTTCTTTGGTGTGCATTAGTTTACCCATAGTTTTAGTTTTAGTTTTAGTTTTGATTTATAAAAAAATTGAGTGAGTATTTGTGGAGGTTTGTTTGCTATGTAAGTTTTTTTTTTTTAAAAAAAAGTGTGTTGATGTATTGTTGTGTGTAATATAAAGTTAAATACATTTTTTACCAGCATATCTTGGAAGCCTTTTATACCATTTCAAAAACAATATTTGTTATCTTGTAAAAAAACAAAACAAAAACTTTTACATGTGTATTTCAAGCTGAACAGAAGTACACCCTACAACAATAATTAAAGAAAAAAGTAGAAAGGAATTTGCTTTGTTCTGTTTTGTTTCGTTTGTTAAAAAAGCGAATCTGAGTGGGTTTTTTTAACAAAGGAAAAAAGGAAATACTGTCAATGCTAACATTTATTTTTATTATATATTAAAAGGTGGTTTTCATCTATTCACAATTTTATTTTTAGCCGGGTTAAAAGCCATGATTAAGATTTATAAAAAAAGGTAAAATCATGTTTTAATTAACTATTACCTACCATAAGACAATAAACTTTGAATCGCATATTTATAGCACATCATAATTCAAATCCAATAAAAAGCAAATACTTTTCAATATTATTTTTGTCCGCATTATATTCCTCCCAAATCCTTTTTCTTTTTACTCATCTTTTTCTTTAGCAAAGTATAATTAAAAATGACTTTGTCCGTGTCCAACCCACTAGCAATAAAGTGTCCTAAACCCGACTGCTCCAGCAAGATACTCCGTATCAAAGCCGCCACGCTCGTCCATCGCACGCCACGTCTTCCAATCCCCTCCATCGGCGTTCCACTTCTCTCTGATAATCCCGAAACAATACCCGCAGAAATAGCCCAACTAATCCCCGCACCATCCTCTGATAGCATTGGTGGTTGGTTTTGGCAAGTGAAGGATATGATGGATTTCGAAAACATTGGGTTTACTCATTCTGTCGAGGGAGGACATAAATACCTTTCATGCGCTGATTGTGATCTGGCTCCTCTCGGATACCATGATACGGAGGATAATTCCAAGGAGTATTTAATTGCATTCGATCGAGTTTCATACAAATAATAAATAAAACCCACAATGTTTTTATGGTTCGAGACGCTTAGGGTCGCGGGGGAATAGGGATGTGCGGCGGATATTGCCGACACCCAGGTAGAACATGACAACGCGTTCGAGACCAACGCCGCCACCAGCATGGGGAGGGCAACCGTACTCGAAGCCCCTAATATAATCCTTGAGGTCCTCGGGGTTGACGCCCAAGGCGACAATCCGCTCGCGCAGCAGATCCACATCATGCACGCGCTGGGCGCCCGACATGATCTCCTCGCCTCTCAGGAAAAAGTCATACGAGTTAGAGTACAGGGGGTTCTCAGGGTCGGGCATAGTGTAGAACGGGCGGATGGACAAGGGGAACTTATCCAGCATGTAGAAGTCCGTGTCGTACTCCTGCTTGACCAACTTGCCGAGCAGCTTTTCCTGCGGCGTCGTAAAGTCATCGTAGTCGCCGATTTCCTCGCCGTTCTTGCGCAAAAGCGCCACCGCGTCCTTGTACTCCAGACGCAGGGGCTTCTCGGAAAACTTGATTTTCTCCGACGGGTACTGGCGACGCACAATCTCCAGCTCATGCGCCCATCTGTCCTCGAGGTTCTGGAAGATATACACGAACATGTCGCCGATCATGTTCATGACCTCGTGGTAGTGCTCGCGGAAGGCGCACTCGAGATCAAGACCGATGTACTCGGTCAAGTGACGGTGCGTGTTGGAGTTTTCGGCGCGGAACACTGGTGCAATCTCGTACACTTTGCCGAAATCAGCGGCAATGCACGCCTGCTTGTACAGCTGCGGCGACTGGGCCAGGTACGCGTTGTCCTTGAAGTAGGTGACGCAGAAGACGTTAGAGCCGCCCTCGCTCGCCGTACTGATGATCTTGGGTGAGTGGATTTCGGTGAAGCTTTGTTTGTCCAGGTACTCGCGGAACAGCAGGCATACGGCAGCCTGGATCTTGAAGATGGCGTTGTTGGTGATTGTGCGCAGGTCAATTACGCGGTTGTCCAGGCGCGTGTCGAGGTTGACGCGGTTCAGCGTCGGGTCCTTCTCGTAATCGGTCTCCGAGCGCGATGCGTCGGCCAGCGAGAAGGGAAGCAGGGTCTTCACCTCGCTGATGATGAACAGCTTGGTGATGTGCAGCTCGGCGTTGTGGACGGTGCAGCTCTCGACGGGGCTCTCGGGCTTGGCGACGGTGGCGACAATCGAAACAATGGACTCGTTCGAGATGCTAATGGAAAAAAACAGACCCATTAAGCAGACGGTGTTTTTGGTGTCATCGTTTAGCGCAGAGGAAGAGAGAAAAAGCATGCGAGGTTATGCAAGGCAACCTCGATATCATATAGTTTTTCATACACATTTTCACAGATCTTACCTGTTGGCAAACTTGACCATCTGCTTGCTGACCGAGCTCTCATTGACCATCAGCATACCCTGCACAGTAGACGTAGCCTCCCTCAAGACCAAAAAGCACATCTTACTTCCCTGGGGTCTCGAATGCTGGACTCTCGCCTGAACAAAAACCTCCTGTCCAACCATCTCCTCGGTCAAGTCCTTAACTTCCGTCCACACAGTACCGGTCTGCTGCTGCGACATGTTCAGGGGTGACCTGCCGTAGTTATCTTTGGCGTTATCTACCTCGGAGGACTCACGCAGGGCACGTTCGGCGGCTTCACGTGCCAGGCGTTCTTGCTTCTTTTGCTCCTTCTCGCGCTCCTTTTCGAGCTTCTTCAGGGCCTTCTTGGAGAGTGGGTTGCCGTCGGCGTCCAGGATGACTTGCTCGACTTGGGCGGTGAGGTCGGCGACCTGCTGCTGCTGGGCAGCGGTGTTTTCTTGCTCAGACATTCTAATTGCGTTTAATGAATGATTTAGTTTTTTTGTTTTTGTTTTTAAAAGAGCTGAAGGATAAAGTGAGAAAAAAAGGACGTTTAAATTGTCAACTTTATTTTTTAAAACAGCGGATACAATATGTGTCTTACGTTTATTATTATTATTTCAGTTTTATCGTTTTTTTAATAAAAAAAGTCGAATAAATAACGAATTAGGAATTAAGAAGAAAGAGAGATAGAAATAAAAAGAGTGTTGGTAGGAGGGAAGGTCGCTCGCTCGCATTTGTTCATCAATTGATCTACCCAAGTAGCAGCCGCAGTGATGGGTCATTTACTTGATTTAATTATTTTGGCTGGGTCACAAAAAAATTAAATCAAGTGGTTGTGATTAATACTGTGTTTACTGCCATGGTTGACACATACAGGATAGAATGGTGTTAAAAATAGCGGCAACCTCTCACTCCCCTCCCCGGACGAAGACAAGGCGAGACAAGACAAAGTTCAAGACAGGACAAGACAAGGTTTCGTTTTTATTGTCTCTCTCGCTTGCATTCTTCAGCATACACATTTCCTCTTTCTTTCTCTATTCTCATCTCTTTATTATATAAAAAGTACAGACTGATTCCAAACCAATGACATCAACACCGGACTCGGCAACTAACCACCAAGCGCAGATCGATTTTCTAACAAAGGAGCTACAGTCCAATCCATCCGACCCAGCCACGCTACTGCTCCAACGGTCCGCGCACCACGGGCACTTGGGAGACACAGCTAGCGCACAACGCGACATAGCGCAGGCATCTGCGCTGATCCAAGACCCGCGCTACAGAACAGAAGAAAACGTCGTGAAGGTTGAACAGGCGTTCCGCGAAATCACACTAGGATCAACCCCTCCAATTTCAGCCAATGGCAGGTTTGAGCAGATGACAGATGAGCAGCTTGCCGAGGCAATTTGTGACTCGCAGGTGGCTGGGGCTGGGGCTGGGACTGCGGCGAGGGCGGAGCCGCTGGAGGAGGCTGTTTTGAACAGACTCGTGGACTTTTTTCACGTGACCGGTGCCGAGGCAGAGGCAAGGGCAGAGACAAAGGGAAAAACAAAGGCAGAGGCAAAGACAGAAGCACAGGCAGAAGCACAGGCCAGGGCAGTAGCTGCGTGCATTTCAGAGAGCATAGCGATGATGGAGGCCAGAGCCCACGGGCTGCTGGCACGCGTGTGCGCGCGGATGGAGTGTGCGTGGCGGGCGGCCATGGCCGCGGACGAGCAGCGGGCCGGCGTGCTTGCGGAAATTGGCAGCGGAATGTACGCGACCGCAGCGGCCGCGCTGGCGGATTTGGGTGCGCAAGAGGCCGCGCAGGCGTTCGACTTCTGCATCGACGCGTGGGTGGCCGCCACCAAAGCGGAGGCCGCCGAGGGCCAGGGCGCAGCACGGGCAGTCCTGCGGCTGCTCGCGGCCAACCGCCCGCTGCTCATCCACCGCTTCGCCACGCACCCAGCGGCGCTCTCGCGGCTGCTTGCCATTCTCGGCAGCGCGCCCTTGGGCGGGCGGCGGGCAGGGGGCGTGCTCGTGGCCAGCCAGATCGCCGCCGCAGCCGCCGACCCAGCCAACTCGGCGCTGTTCCCTGACTTCGACGCACAGGCAAAAGGAGGCTCGCCCCCGGCACTCGCGCTGCTGCAGGCCGAGGCTGCGCGCCAGCTGGACGCCTGGGTGCAGTCGACGGCGCAGGCGGAGCGCGCACGCGGGCTGCTCGCGCTGGCTGCACTGCACGAGGCTGGCGGCGGCACGCTGGCCGGCGCGCTGTGGGCGCAGCCGGAGTGGGTCGGCGACCTGTGGGACCAGGCGGAGTTCGACCTGCCGCCGACGCAGCTTGCGCTCCTGCGGCTCGCCGACGCCAGCGCCACGGGCGCGCAGGCGCCTGCGATGAAGCGCGCCGGCAACGCGCTGGTGCAGGCGCTGGCGCGCAGCAGGGCAGAGGGCGCCCAGGCGGCGGAGGGCGCCCAGGCGGCGGAGGCCGCCCAGGTGGCGGATGCTGCCGCGGCTGTGCTGGCCAAGTGGTCGGGCGTCGGGCTGCCCAAGCAGCCGCCGGGCGCGGGCGCCGCTCCCCAGGGCGCGGCCGAGGCGCCTGGCGCCGCGCCGGACGCCGACCCGGCGGCGCTGGCCGACGTGCACATGGCGCGCATCGTGGAGCTCACGCGCAGCGGCGAGGCCACGGCGGCTGGCGCCGAGCCCGTGCAGCGCGCAGCCGAGGCGCTCGGGTTCCTGTGCCTCAAGCCACCAATCAAAGACCGCGTTGCGCGCAACGCGCCGCTGCTCGGCGCGCTTTTCCGCTTCGCGCAGGCGGCGGCGGATGCGCCCGCGCTGCGGTTCGCGGCGATCATGCTTGTGCGCAACCTGGTGCAGCCCCGCGCCGCGCTGACCGAGGAGCAGCGGCGCATGCGCCAGCTGCAGCGGCTCAGCTCGGGCGACGCGCCCGCTGAGGATGGCGCGCAGGAGGACGCTGGCGACTCGGCCGAGAGCGTCGCTGCGCGGTGTGCTCTGGTCTGCCAAGCCGGCGGCTGCCTTGGGCTGCTGGCGGCTGCGGTGCAGCCGGCGGCGCGCCCGTCCGAGGGCCTGCGCGACGCCGTGGCGGACACCTTCCTGGCGCTGGCTGCGGTGCCGGCGCTGCGCGGGCTTTTGGTGCAGCAGGGCGGCGTCCGCTGCCTGCTCCGGCACTTGCTCACCGCGGATGCGCCCAAGGCGCAAGCCGCCAAGGCGCTGCCCAGCGCCTTGCTGCAGGGCCGCGACCGCCGCGTGGCCTTTGCGCTGGCGAAAATCGCCATTTCCGTGCCGCCGCACCTGGCATTCGACGACCCGCGCGAGATCGCGCGTCTGCTCCTGGCGCTGCTCGCGGAGGAGTCCGACGCGCAGGCGCTGCTGATGCGCTTCGAGGCGCTCTTGGCCCTGACCAACCTGGCCAGCGCGCCCCCCGGCTCGTCCCACGACGTGCGTGGGTACCTGGCGAATGACCTCGATGGCATTTCGCTCGTCGAGCTGGTCTTGCTCAGCGACCACGTGCTGGTGCGCCGCGCCGCCACGGAGCTCGTGTGCAACTTGGTCTACAACGAGGCCGTGTTTGAGCGCTTTGCAAAGGGCGCAGACGCGCATGTGCCCGCGGATGAGTTTACGCCGGGCATTGTTGAGCTGCCCAGCGATGCCGAGGGCGAGGGCGATGGCGAGGGCGATGGCGCCAGCAGCGACGGCGCCGGGTACCGGTCGCAGCGGCTGCATCTGCTTGTTGCCCTGGCTGACGTCGATGACGCGGCGACGCGCAGTGCCGCGGCTGGTGCCCTTGCTGTGCTGACGAGCGATCCGAGGTGCTGCCGGTACCTGTTCCTGGTGCACCCGCGGGCTGGCGACGTTGTCCTTGGGCTTTTGGCCGTGGAGGACGGTGTCGGGGACAAGGAGGCGGCGGCCTTTAGGCATCGCGTGGCTGTCATTTGGGCGAATGCCGCGAGCTGCGGTGACCGGAGCGTTGTGGCGAGGCTAGGTGCTGATGATGGCGTTGTGGCCGCCCTGAAGGAGATGACTGCAGATGCGAAGATGCCGTATTACGCTGCCGCGAAGAGCGCGCTGGACCAGCTATTTTGATTGTTTTGGAGCGCCGATTGATGGGTTGATTGGGAGTGTAGAATGAAACCCTTGACTAGTCTTTTTCTTATTTATTCGGCATTAGTAGCCAATGGCGTTACTTTTTCCTCTGGGCTAATGTTAGTTCTATTGGGCTGGGTTGGGTTGGGGGTAACTCGAAATTTTTTGCCGATCACAATCGATACAGCTTCTCCTTTGTCCCTCCCTCCCCAACAAGCTATGTTTCAATGTCGTTACAAAAAACGTGTTGTTTGGTTGGGTGGAAATACTCCGTCCAAGCCCTTCTCTTCCCGGATTTATCCATTTTCCCACAATCGATAGCTGATATTCCGGCGATAGGGAGAATAAAACGCAATAATGTTAAAAACCCAAAAATCCAATTTTTTTTCTCCTGTTGGGTTGTATTTTACTAATACATATATTTCCCCCTCCCCCCCAAGTTTGGAAATTATTTCAACCATCTCTTAAAACTAAAAAAAGGGTAAAACGACAAAGGAAGGGTTAAGAACGCAAGTGATAATAGTAATAGTAAGAAAAATTACAAGACTATAAAGAACAGCAACTCTAACCCTTCCTTTGCTTTGCTATTTCCAACTTTAAATTATTTTAATTTCTATACACACACACACACACTCTCTCATTTAATTGCATTTAAACTTTTATTTCCTATAGTATTTTTCACAACACAAAAAGCAAAAGCAGAAAATGACTTTTACCGAATCCAACCACCACCAGCAACTGGATCAAATGCTTGACCAAATCACCGAATCATTTACAATCAGCGACCAGCAGCTCACCACCCTCGTCTCCAGTCTCCACTCCGAGCTCACCCGCAGTCTCCAGCGCAACCACAAGCACACAGGCGAACTCCACATGCTCCCCTCCTTCATCCACACACAGCCCCCCAGCGGACTCTCCCTCGGCATGTCCATCGATGCATCCGGCAAGCGCGTGCGCATCACCAGCGTAAACTTCTCCCACAACTCACCACCAAGCCCACCAACCACGCAGGTTTTCGTCACCCCGCGGTGCCTGCTAAACTCCCCCCCTCGGGCGTGTTTGATTTCGTCGCCTACTGTATTAGGGAATTCATCCAAAGCAACAACCTCGAAGGTCAGGAGGTTCTGCCCTTGGGCATAACCATTGGGCTCCCACTGAGTAATACCGGTGGTGCTGGGTTTAGCGTATCGGAGACTGCCAAGGAGGATCCCTTGGATCTCACTGGCAGCAATGTCGCCCGGGGGCTCTATGACACAGTACTGCGCAACCACCTCCCCGTACGCATCACATCTGTGACCAACAACACTGTCAGCGCACTAATTGCTGCACGGCACATGGACAAGACCACACGCGTGGCCGCAGCTTTCAACCACGGCGTTAACGCCGCATACTTTGAACAGCTGCACAACATCGAGCAGCAGCAGCCTGCCAAGACTGCAGACAGTAGAAGGTGTACACCGGAGATTGTGGCGATTAATACGGAGGTTGGCCGTTTCGGTTCCCTGCATAATTCCAGCGCACTGCCGCTGACCATGTGGGACCGCCGCGTCGACCGAGAATCGCGCACTCCCGGGGCCCGCACCTTTGAAAAACTAGTCGCCGACAAATATCTCGGCGAAATCACTCGCAACATTCTCCTTGATCTCATGGACTGTCGGCTACTTTTCTCCACAACCACGGATGCTACCAGGATCAGCACCGAATGCACCTTCCACACCGCATACATGGCGCCAATCATGGAGGACTGCACCGCGGATCTGTGTTCCGTCGAGGATATTTTTGCTGCGGAATTCAATATCTCGGGAATCTCGCTGAGAGACCGCAGGACTATCCAGAGGGTCTGTTGTTTGGTCGCACGGAGGGCAGCGAAACTGTCTGGCGCTGTGTTGGCTGCCCTAGTGTTAAAGGCGGGATTGAAGGCGGGGGAACCAGTGTCGGTTGCGTTGAGCGGAGTACTGTTTGATGTTAATTTTGAGATTTACGAGATGGCTGTGGATACCCTCAAGTGTATTCTGATGCGGTTGCAAGGTGATGGCGTGGTTGGCGTACTGTTGCAAAGCAGGGGATCGGATCTTCTTGGTGCTGCTGTTAATGCCGCCAGTTTTTAAAATAAAAAAAAATTCTTTTTCTTATCATTTCACTTGTTTGTGTGCCTCCCATGCAGAGCCTGTCTCACTATTCGACTTGAGCGCGAGGGACACACATACTGTTTTTTTCTTTCTTTCTTATATCCCCCTCCATCAAATACTGTTGTACCCCCCCGCATCCCAGTTTTTGATTTTTTTCTTGGTAATATGACGACGATGATGATGCACGAAGTATTGCGGAGGTTAAGAATGTCTCGACACCCATCGCAATAACGCAATATATATATTATATATATATTTTTTAAAATTTTTTATTGCGCTATTGCAGTCACACAAGCTTCAATAAAAACCCCCTCTCCCCCTGCCCTACTCTTTTTTTTGCATTGCTCGAGTATATAAAACAGAGTTTATACTCTCTATCACTTAACAACCCTTGTTCAACAACCGATCAATTTTTCTTTTCCTATTCCAAAAATTATACAAAAAAACATTAAATATTTTTAAGTATGGCTGTTTCAAACTACAATCCAATCGAGGGCGCTACAGAAGCCCAGAACCGACTCTTAAGCGATATCGCCACAAAGTTCGACATCAGCGACAAACGCCTGCACGAAATAGCGCAGGAAGTACAAGAGTACATTGTCAACGGACTGCAAACAGATGACGACGAGAACAGCCATCCACGCAGCCTCCCCTGCCGAGTATCCTATGTCAAGTCCGAGATCACACAGGACATCAAGGAGGCAGAGAAGGAAGAGCGCCTGGTGCTCGGTCTGACGATTAACACGTCGACTGAGAGGATCAAGATAGCCAGCGTCAAGCTCGTCCATGGCGAACCCGATGCAGTCAACAAGCAGATCTTCTACATGCCCAAAGGAATCAATGACCCAACTAGACTGTTCGAGGCTATTGCCATGCATGTCGCCGAGTTTATAAACTCTCACAATATCGTGCCATCGTCACCCACCGAGCCCCTGTGTCTGGGCGTCACCGTTGACTTGCCGCTAGAGGAGACCAGCAAGATGGGCGGTCGCGTCGCTTGCGGCTCTAACGTCTGTCATTGGTTTGGCAACGTCGACATCGCCTACAACTTGAACTCCGCCCTGCTTAAACTGCACCTGCCGGTTAAGGTCACCTCTACCACCAACTGCGTCATCAGCACGCTGGTCGCCGCCCAGCGGCTATTCAGCCAGACCCGCGTGGCGCTGATCCTCAACCACGGCATCAACGCGTCGTACTACGAGGCGGCTGCAAAGATCCCCAAGATCTCTGGCTCTGAGCTCGCCAATAGCTCGGCGCTAGTGGCTATCAACACGGAGCTTGCGCGGTTCGGCGAAAACTCTAACGCCCTGTACCCAACCATGTGGGATCGCAGAATCGACCGCGAGTCAGCGAACACCGGCAAACATATCTTTGAGAAACTAGTAGCCGACAAGTACCTCGGTGAAATCGTCCGCAACCTGATCACCGACTTTATGGACGCGCAGCTTATTTTCCCTAAAGACGCCGACGTCACAACGTTCAGTGAACCCTACTCGTTCTTCACCTCGTATATGACCATTATGGATGACAAGTCCAATGGCTTGCACGAGATCGGTGAACTGCTCAAGGCTGGGTTTAATATTGAGGCGTCGCGGGTTGATCGCCAGATTGTCCGCGCTCTTTGCAGCATCGTTGCTCTGCGCGCTGCTAGGATGGTTGGCGCTGCGGTGGCTGGTATTTACAAGAAGGCCTTTGAGGCCATGCCTGAGCCCGTCCCGGCTGTGGTCTCCATTAGCGGCCAGTTGACCGATATGAACCACCCCTATGTTCAGTGCACCATAGATACTGCCAACGTACTTTTCAAGAGGTTTGGGATCGAAGAGGTCACTTTCAATGTGCTCGGCGAAGATGGCTACACTGTTGGTGCTGCGCTCACATCTCTCAGCAAGTGACAAAATTTCTTAATATAAAATAGTATTAATTTCTTTTTTAAAATAAAAATAAAACATTATTATTTGTTTATCAAATAGCCCAGGTTATTTATATTCCATTTGAACCCCCTCCCTCTAGATGCTCCACAGCTTGACAATGCCATCAGAGTCGCCACTGACGACAACCGATGACTTGTCTTGGCAATGGATCCGAGTCACCATCGACGTGCCCGAGGACACATTTCCAAGTCGTTCCCTGCTCTGGTTGCTGTTCATCAAACCATAGTCCGACGCGTACCGAACATGCTGCATCGAGTTTGCATTGTAACGATGAAGCGAGCTGTCCGCAGCAGCGACCCAGCACTCAGAAGCATGTGCTGCCTTGCTCTGCTTACCGCTACCACTACTGCGTTGCTCCATGACTAGCTGTGCTGAAGACACAGGCCCGCCGAACGCTACCTTTTGCAGAGCCTGTCCGGTACGAAGATCCCACAGAATCATAAGCCCATCGAGTGACCCAGTCAAAACCGAGCGGTCATCGAAGCGAAGCGATGTAATGGGCTGTGAGTGCCCGAAGAGTTGCCGGTGTGGCTGGGCAGTGCGCAGGTCCCAGAGTCGCAGTGCACCGTCCGCTGATCCCGTCGCCAAGGCGAAATCGTAGAACTGCAGGGCGCCGATAAACCCACCGTTACCGTAGTCGGTGCCGCGCGCAGACGGGCTGGACGATAAATCCCCGGTGGAAAATGACAAAGGCGCTCTACCCCATGGCTTCCGGTGCTGCATTGTCGGCGGGCCGTGGGATCCACCGCCGAGTCTTGCGCTTTGCGCCGAGTCGCGCGTGGCCCAGGTGATGTCGATAGTCTGCCGCAGCATCCCAGTGGTCAGATCCCATTCGCGCACGGTCTTGTCGGCACTACCAGAGATCAGCGTGCCGTTATTTGCTTGGAAGCATGTCACAGCGTCGGTATGACCTATAAACGCGTTCTCACAGCACAGGTCGAGTGGCGGTACGGGCCTGCAAATGGTAGGGGTCATAGGGGGAGTTGTCGACTGCAGAGTCATGGCCATTGTGGGCCCGTTCTCATTTTCATTTTCATTATCGTCCTCATCGTCTGCATTTGACTCATCCGCGGGCCTCCTCGATGAAGGCATGTACTCCTCGCGCATGATCATCGTTGACGGCTGCGGCTGCACTGAGTCCAGCAGCGACAGATCCCACATGCGCACGCGATGGTCGTTGGCTGCCGTCAGCAGGAAGCGGTCGTAAAACTGCACTCCGCGGATAATGTCGTTGTGACCCCTGATCACGTACTTGCACGCGCCAGTGTCCGAGTCCCACACGCGCACCTGAGTGTCCAGCGACCCAGAGGCTATCAGGCCCATGTCCGGATCGCTGTCGAGCGCCGTCACCGCGCCGTAGTGTCCCCGGAACAGGTGATCGAGCTTGCGCAGCCGGGGAACATCGTCTTGCTCGTACACGCCAGCATCATCATCGTCATCACCATCGTCGCTGATGTCCTCGACAAGTGCTGTCATTGTAAGCGAGTTCCCCTGGTCATCGCCGATTGATTTGGAGTTTGATTTGGAGTCAGGGCTGCTGCATCCACTTTTTGGCTTTCCGCCCATGTCCTCTGTGGCTGCCAGCCGGTCTGCAATCTCCTTGCGCTCAGTGACCGCCGACATGATGCGGTCGTCGACCTCCTTGAGCCTTTGCACCAGCTGCCGTCGGGCCGTCTCGAGTCGCCGCAGATACTCGTTGTACTCCTCTTTGCGCTCAGCCAAGACCTCTGCAATCATTTCTGCAGGCGTGCGCGCAAGCATAGCTTCAAACTCGACCACTGACATAATTGGCGGTTTAATATCGCATTCGTCGGCCTGACCTTTCCCGGGCGAACCATCGCTTTGAGCGGGCGAGCCAGAGTGCCCCTTTCTTGGTCCGTGGCTATGCTCGGTTTGTAAAAACGCAGTGAACCCAGAGAGCAACGATGGCGCGGTGCCGATCGCAGGTGCCTCTGACAGCAGGGCATCAGCAGATAATGCCGCCGACTGTCGCTTACTGCTGCGCGATTGTCTGCCGGCACCACCGTCTTTTCCTCCGGTCAACAGCCTGTTTTTAACGTCCACCCCGTCAATGCCCTTGCCAGCGCCACGCAGCAACCGATTCACTATTGAATTTGGCCCATTGCGGAACAGAATCTTGTTGACCATGCGAACAAGAAATCCCTGCGAAGACGTTGCGTCGTATGAATTGTATTGCTCGTTGCTGCCGCTGCCGCCGACACCGGCAGTGACGCTTTTTCTCCGCATCGCTTAGAAATAAGGGGGGACGGTCAGTCAAATTTGGCAGTAGCTGGGGTGGTGCAAATCGGACTGAAGATAAGTGAATAAATGACTAATTTTAAATTAAAATGAAATTACAATTCGAATGACCAAATAAAATGAAAATGAATGAAACAAAAGCACGTACAGTGTTGAACAAGGGACCACGTTTGCTCTTTGTAATCCTTTGCCTGCCATTTTGTTCCATTTGAAAAAGAGGCGAGGAGAGGGGCGATATGATCTGAGGATCTTTGAAATCACGAAACTCGTAACTGGATTACACCGCGCTGTGATCTGTGCACGCCCAACAAAAGAAATGAAGGGAAAGATTAGCAAAATAAAATAAAATAAAAATAAGCAAGCATGCGCCTGCCTGCCTACTTCCTCACCTTTCCCATTTTTAAACAAAAAATTTGCAAACCATCATGGAAAAATATGATGCTGATGTTGTCAAAGCTCCTCGAGCAGCAATTGCCTTCACTGGCGGCAAGGACTCAGTGCTCGCATTGCACCTGGTGTCTGCCAAGTTTCGGGCTTTAGTGACTAATGAGCAAACAAAAGCGCAGCTTCACAACATAGAGCAGCTCAACCCAGTCATACTAGTGTCTTTCCGCCCCGCCGGTCAGCAAGACGAATTTAAGGCACATGGCTACGAATGGACACTAAAGCTTGCATCGTCGCTGGGCATGCCACTGGTCGTCAAGGAAATCAGCAATACCCCTTCGTTTGAGGACAGCTATCGCAGCCGGATCAAGGAGCTTGCAGACGAATACCAAGTGACCCGTCTGGTCACTGGAGATATTGAGGACATTGGTGAGGGGTTCATGGATCGCGCGGTTACACAGACCGGTGTGGAGTTGGCTCGTCCGCTTTGGAAACTCCCCCGCCTTAAAGTACTCGACTTGTTGGCCCATCTGCAGATTGATTACATTGTGACGATGACGCTGCTCGACAAGTTGCCCACTTCGATTTCCGAGCGTCTCGTTGGTCATTTAGTGACGCAACAATATTTGCTAGACCAATTTGATTGGTATGACAGCAACCACCCGCCTCTTGACCTCAGAAATACTGTGGACTTAGCCGGGGAGTATGGCGAGATGCACTCTATGGTCAGAGACTGTCCGCTGTTCAGTTTCCAGGTCGTGCACTTGGGGAAAATCCGCAAAGTTCATCAGACTAAATACGGATCTTACATGTACTTGTGTCCTGACAAAATCCACATTGTGCCCAAGTAACATGTGAATGCAAATTATACATTTGGTGGGAGTTCTTATTTATCGCAAATGGTTGTGTGGTAAAACCTCATAGTGCTCAGACAACAAACATTTTTGTTCTATACATTTTTTATTTTATACGACATTATAAATAAAAGCCACCAATTATGCTGATCACTGCTGCTTGATGCATGGAGGGGGTAGAAAAGAGGACGCATGGGAATAGTCAAGATGATAATTGCATTCAATTTATGTGGATAAGTAATTACACGGTCGACGAAAGATATTACCAATTATATGTCATGAGGCTTGAAACATTTATACAAAATATGTATGGCAACCGCTCAGGGCCAGGGTGCAGTAATACTAACATTCAAACTTCCTCCCCTTTTCTAGTACACAACCTTGGAATTGTAAACAAAATCAGTGTTAACACCAGACTAGTTATTACAACCTAGCGCTCAATTTTCGTGACCAGTATAAAATGGCAAAATTTATTTTTGGTGTACAATTTTTTTGCAGAGTGAAGACTCAGCTGCTCTGGCAGCATCAATGCGTTACCAATTCAGAGTGTGTTACATCGTGTAAACGCCAACAGTGAATAAATAATTGTTACGGGTTGGATATTTAGTCTGGATTGGTTTAATAGTGCTCAACTAAAATTGATATTCATATGATCACACAAAGGGTATTAACAGAATATAGTCAATGAATACACAAAAGCAAATGGGCAGTTATCTCTCCAATTTTTTATAACGATTATATTTGGTTACTACTTATTAATATCTAAAATGCTACTTATTTGTCTCATTTATTGTCAAGGTCGCTGTTTTAATACTTAAAACCTACTGACCAATAAAAAATTACCCGAAAATGCTAGTGCAGGTTCATTTTATAATTATCAAATATAGATGCTCCCCATTTATACCCCCCTCTCACTCGCAAGCAACAGCAGCAGCAGATGAACCGCTTGGATTTTTAGTTTTAAACTTTATTGTTGTAGGAAACCACCAAAAAATTGAATGGGAATTGACTGTTAATATTGAAAATTAATTGTTGAATGGCCATAAATTATTGTTCAAAACGCAGGAAAATACATCAGTCGTACAAGGCAGCAGTCGGAGTTGCACACAATAATTTGTGCATTATATGTACGCTTTTGTAATTCTGCATCCTCTTTTTTCCCTTTTGCCATTTTTATTTTTATTTTGCAATATCGTTGTTGATATGCACATCATTTTTTTTACCTGAAAATTATTTATAAACATTTATTTGTACTAATTGCTCCAGGAATTGTAAACATATACACCACACTACGACGATATTAATAATACTGTTCCAAAAAGCATAAAAATAATCAACTTCAGATATGGTCGATGACAGCCCGAGCAGCAACAATAAGAATATTACGCTGTTCATAATACAGATAGTCTCTGCTGTCTCTGGCTTTGTTATTGCCGCAAGTTGCATGTTTCTGCGAAAATGGCATCCACCAATTGCCTACACAGCCGCATTTCATATCAGCTTTTGGATTGGCGTACAGGCAATCATCACGCACACAGCAGCAGCAATATCGGTGCGACTTCCAGACTCTAGCATCACCTTTCAGCAAAGCAAGCCGCTGGTACGGTTTCTCATTTGGGCACAGTTTGCCATGCCCCTATGGTTTGTGTTTTTGAATTCTGCCATTGCCACAGACTTGTTGCTCTCGCAGCTTTTGCGACTCAACTCGGTCAGGTTGCAATCAATTCACAGGTGGTATCTACCGTTGGCCACTATTATGGCGTTTGTACTGGCACTTCCACTGCTTGTATATCACTCCGAGTACCAGTCAAAGGCAAACGTGTTTTCAGTGCAGTTTCCGAGCGCGCTGTCAGTAACGCTGTATTACATATTGGCCTTTGACTTATGGATAGCCATTGGCATAATCTACTGCTTTGTTGTTTTCAGCCTTGTAGTAAGCATCATTATCATAAAGCTCCGCAAAAAACGCGCCGCGTGGAATCGCCATAACATATTTCAGAACGAAAACACTTGGTTTTCTGGGCTGACAGAAGCAGAGCACAATTACAGTTCTAATCGAATCGGAGAAAGCTTTATTAATGATGCTCCTGTGCAACCGCCTTTAGCAAAAGCAGCATTGATATCAGCAACTGTACCGTTAAACATGCCAGATATAGGCAATGCTAGAGTGCCAGATGGCTATAATATAAATACGCACGCCGATAGCACGAGTAATGTATGTATTGACTACATAAAGACCAACCTTTTTTCCACGCACCATCAATCGCCCAAGGCTATCCAAATAGCAGAACCAACAACAGATTATACATTGCTGGAAACTGTCAAAATTGCAGATAACAAAATTGCGAATAACGACAGCGGTAGCGGCAGAAGCAAGACGAGCAGCAATAACAAAAACAGTAATGATAGCCCTGGTGACACTATTATTTCTGGAATAACAATTATTGGCGATGGCAGAGTTGATTTCAGCATCGATGCCGACAATGCCAAAGCAGGATCCAATATAATAACTGGACCCAATGGTAGCAGTGGCAGCAATGTACATCCAGCAGCAGAACAAGTGCGATTTTCGCTGCCCGGTCGACTAGCACACGACAACAGGGTTGCCAACGTCGCCACAGTTGTACGGAGAATATCCTCAGCTACAAATATTGAAAACAAAGAAGCTATGGGCGCCGGCGCTCGGCTACAACGGCCGCTGTTATCGCTGATAAGCCTCCCAAAGTTTTTGACGCTGCGCAGCAGCAATCGATCGACATTTACTTCACCCTCAGCCAACACGCCGTTTCGCATTCCAACATTGGCATTGGTGCGGTTGCTACTGTACCCATTAATTCCCATTTTGTCATTCACACTTATGTGTGTCGTCCGCTGGGTGTGGTTTAGATCGGCCATGCCGTCGCAATGGGACGTTTTGATCGCGGCCTCGGGAATCTTGCGGGCGCTTGAAGGGTTTTTATGCCTTATTGTGTTCTTGTTAAATCCGGCGCTCAACCGCTCGTTCCGCGAAATTCGCAAGCGCAACACGCCAGTATTTAACTGATAATTTGCATAAATATATTGCGAGCCAAAAGATGTAATGTTAAAAATAATGTATGTTGCAACTTTGTTCAATTATAAATCTTCGTCCTCGTCTTCTTCCCCTTCATCCTCCGAGTTGTCCATGTCATACGGCCACCAGAACTTGCCACGCTGTTCGATCACGGCAACACACCTTCTTCCCTTACGACCATTAGTGGCTAATGCGGTAGGAAACCTTGATGAGGCTGCACTAAGCTCTGACAGCCTTGCAAAAGTCAAAGTCGATTTTGCTATTGCCTACACACATATTTTCAAGTGAAACAACATTGTAATGTCAGTTAATACACGGGCAAAACTAAACAAGTATGTGTGGGCATGTGTGAACACGTCTATTTTATCAAGATAGTTTACCCTTATGTCGCATTCTGTGCCATCAAATGACGCAGTGTGATAATGGACCATTCCAGAGCCAGGTCGGTACTCCATCACGCCAAAGAAGGTCGAATCGTAGCCATCAATCGTGAACGACAATCCGAGGAGATTGTCGTCAAAGAACGATAACCCAGAAACATTGATAGGCGTAGCTAGCTCAGCCAATTCCCCAGTTTTGACCACAAGCTCCACAACTGAAACCTCGGCAGGTCTTGCAAGCATGTTGTCCGCAGGAATCGACACAATTTCCAATATCTGAGTGTGAGCGGCGGAAACAGCAACTGTCGCCATAAAAACCATATTTCCATCAGCACTGGATACCTGGTGGGAATCCGTAATCCGGCCTACAATATCGGCAGTTTGCTCAACAGCAGGTAAATACCTGGCAGCAGGTGCTTCTGCCCACCGCAGACCCTCGCCCAGCATGCGCGATGGCCATTCAAGTGCTTGCGCTATCAAAGATTTTGCAGTCACCAGAGCTTCTTGGCACGTAGGAGCGACACCCGACACTCCACTGCACTCGATGGCTGACTCCAAAAGCTGTTGCGAGTGAAACACATATGCAAACAGATTGTGCCGATTTTCATTCTGCCTTTGTACGCCTGGTTTTTGGCCGGCAATGCGATCAAAATCGAGTCCCTGGATGTGCGCGTTCTCAACCAGCAGGTCAAAGTACGACTGGACAAGCGCGCTGCGCTGGCCCACCTGGCCCTCGCTATCGCAGGTGAGCACAGTTGCTAGCTCGCGCAGTGGCTTCTCCTCAGTTTCAAAATCGCTGGCGGTGCTGTGGCAGCAAAAAGCAGTGCGAATAAAGCGGAGCAGCAGCTTGTAGTCGATTTCAGGTCGAACTGGCCGTGACCCATCATCGGCATCAGCATCCTCGTGGCCAATTCTGCGTGAGCCATCGTTTTGCCAATTTAAATCCTCAATTGAAAACAGCGCCCAATCAACAAATTCCTGGTTTTCGCGCTGCTCGTCATGTACTTTTGCCATGAACTCTTCGAAGCGGCCATAGAGCCAACCAAAAATAACCACTGCGCGCATAATGCAGTCCCTTGTTGTCGCTGCCTGGCCTGCGCTGGGGCAGTTAGACGAGGGCGATTCGGAAAGTGTAAGTTTTAGCAGCTGTGTGGTGGCCAGAAGTGCGCGCTCAACAGCCGGCAGAGCATGCTGATAAACCAACCTGGTGATCATTACAGCGCCCAGTCTGCCGGCACTCTCCCAGTTGGCCAGCTTGGCAGCTTTGAGTTTGGCTAGCAGGAACTGCGCGGTGGATTCACTGGCGCGACCGGTAACTGCCAGCCTTATAAGCTCAGCCGCAGGGTTGGTTGCCTCTTCAACGCCGTGGTCTTGCAGCACACGCTCAAACAATTGCACCAAAGATGCTCGCGACGCGTTTATCTCGCGTGCCTCAAACTCTCTGACCATTGTGGCTCTTGTGTTTTCAAGGTACAAGCATAGACTCGACAGCCGCGCAGAAACTGCCACCAGGTTGTGCAGAAGAGGCGAGGACGAGGGCGAAGATGTCAGAATCGACGTGTCAAGCTTGTGCACAATTATTTCTGAGTTGCTGTCACTAATGCCAGCAGAAGAGAGCATAATAAAGAGCTCAGAGGCACAGGTGCCGAGCTGCGCACTGATTGCTGTGTATGTGCTGCCTCCGCACATCAAAGCTGATAGCTTGGCTGTGGGCAATTGGATAATCGGCAGTGTAAATATGCCGCCAAGGCTTATGCAAACAGCGCCCGTCGACGCCGTAACTACAATGGCCGTCAAGGGCTCAGCTGTCGGGGTGATGTCGCTGGGCACTGACTTACTCTTGTCCAGCTGACTGAGTCGAGGCAAAAAAAACTCTAGCTGCAGGTTAGCCAAGTCCGCCGAAACGCGCTGCTCACCGACATCGTTACAGCTGGTCCATTGCATGCTGGTCACCAGGTCGCCCAGACCAAGTGGAGTAGCTGACTCGTGCACAATATCACCGCACTCAGTATCGCGATGTGCAAGCAGACCGTTAGCGTGCAAAACAGCAATGCGAGATCCGTCCGGATGCCAGGCAATGGCGCGTATGGTTTGGCCGTCGTTCAATTGCTTATCAGAACCTCCGGCCGAGCTTGTCTGAAATTGGTCGCTTAGCGTTCGTCGCCATATGGTTTGCCCGCCACTAAGCCGTACCAGCCTCAGCGTTTTTCCTTCGGGAACTGCGAGCACGTCTATCGTTGGATTCCATTGTGGGGCTATGTATGTTGCGCCATGGGTTTGTTTAGCTGCTGCGAATCCCGTTGTGCGTAGAGTTAATGCCTGCTTGTTTGAAAGCGATAAAAAACCGTTGAGACAGTACGGCTCCCCAGTTGGCAAAATTATTGTTGGTGACATTGAGTGTACTGAGAAATAGGCAATATCATGAATGGTTGATTGATCCATACCCGCAAATAGTTTTGATAATGAGTTGTGAGTTTGAGCACAATCAATGGATATTAATATTATGGCGCCCAAATAATCGGAGCTTGAAGCAAATTAATTACTACAGTATCTATTTTTCTGTCTGAAGCAAGTCGATTACTGGAAACACTGTAAAACATGAGCTACCTATTTTTCTGGTGCCCATGCGTGTGCAGAATAGATGTAGCAATATCAATTTTATGTATTTCGATGCCCATTTTTTATTGAAGATGAAAACGATCGCGTTCTTTATTGTTTTATTTCGAAAGCAAGGCTTTGCAAATCGACAATGAATACAAATCCCTTTTGTATTTTCTAAAGTAAATATATCTTATTTTTCTACGCGATGTACTATATACCCTTAATCCATTTGGGTATTTAGTTAAAAAGAAAAGGAAACTTCATACTTTCTTTTTTTGTGAAAGGAAATAGATACATTAAGCGAAGTACAAAACAAGTAAAAAATAAAAACTATACACTTTCTCTTTTTTGTTTTACATTTATTTATTTGGTCTATACTTAATTATACTACAATCCAGTCTTTTTTGCTTCACTTGTCACTTGAATACATTTTTATTATATAGCCGCCAGCAACAGCAACAGCAACAGCAACTATCTATTCTGATTATGAAGGGAATTTCAAACATAACCAGCGCTGCATTTTATTCAGCAGATGCAGTAGCGGTTCTGGCGTTTGGCTATCAGCTGACCAAAAGTAAGAAGAGCTGGCCGACCAGTATTTTTGGTAACTGCAAAACCCAGTGCGCGTGCCTTGTCCTGGTTGCGCTAGCATCCATGCGTGGTGCGGGATGGCTGCAGCTTCTCAGCATACTCGTCCTACCCATGGTGGCCATGGACCTCGGTCCCTTCCAAACGGTCTTCTACATTGTAAGTGCAGCTGATATGTACAGAGCATATGCTTGTGACACGTATAGCATATTTTACAAGTGCGTTGAAATTATGTTGCATACAACCATTATGTCTAGCCTTGGACTGGAAAATCAAGTCTATTTGAATATTATCCAAGTATTGAATATTTCGCGCTTGCACGAGCTCAACAAAATCATACAAAAGAAAGTAGGCAACGTTACCATTGATGATATAAAACAGCTTCCAGAAAGATATTTATTGGAAAACATTCATAGGGAATTTAAATAGGACACCAACAAGCGCATGTTTCTTTTGCGTGCTATTGTTCGCTTCACCTGGCGCCCTATGCTGCTTGAATCTATTATTGAGACTTTATCTGAGATGTTGAATGTTTTTAAAATTATGTTGAACGAGATGCTTATGTTTCCTCTTGACTCACCTCTTCAGAGCAATTGGTACAATGTTTATGTGACTATATTGCTCATGACTTTAAACACAATGGCTCAAAGTGCCATTGTAATTTTTAGGCATTACATTGTACTGGAAACAACAAAAGTGAGCAAAGCACTGGAACTAGAGTTATTTAGACTCCCACTCATTGGTAATGGCTTACGTAAAGACTACAATGGAAAAATGAAAATCATTCGATATCTGGCGTTATTGATATAAACTCGGTTCAAACTATCTTGGCAAAAATATTCCGCTTCTCAATTATGTCGGGAGTCGTACTTTATCAAATTGGGTTTTTGGCGCTGATTCCGTTTGCTGTCGGTATTCTGACTACTTCTCTAGAATGGCTGGTACAAAAGTGCGCTGGATCAAAAAATATTGGAATACTGGCAGCAACATTGTCAGAAATAAAAATAAGAATAAAATAATAGGCGAAATATTTTTGGGAATAAGATCAATTAAGATGTTTGGATGGGAGCGCAAATTTTTGTTGGATGCCAAGCTTCATGATAGCAAAACAATGCATCCGAGTTTGCCTTGGTACAGACCATTGATTTTGTTTGTATGGTTTATTGTTGATGCTTTCAAGTCTGTCAAAAATGATGTAAGCTTATACCTATCCGTATATGTGCTTGTACTGAGGAATTCTAACACTACCGGGTTTATGATTAGTGGCGTGTTATTTTTCCAGCTCAATGACCGCTTGAAGTCCGTTGATAACTTGATTTACAGTTTGAAAAATATTTTTACTTCAATTTACAAAACAATTGATAGTATGAGTAAGATTAAAAAGCAGCTAATAGGAGATTATGTCAACACACTGCCTCGCACAACTGCTACTAAACTAGCGCCAACTGTTGAAATGAATGGTTGCTACTTTGCATGGAGAACTAAAAATGTGCTGGCAGATATATCACTCAAAGTCAACGATGCAGAGCTTGTAACTGTGGTTGGAAAAACTGGTTCTGGCAAAACTTCTCTACTTTTATCCATGTGCGGCAAGGTAGAAATGACTCAGGGATCAGGTCAAATGGTTGGCACCATCGGCTACCTCGAACAGTCGCCATGGATTATGAACGACACCATGCGCGCAAACATTTTATTTGGCCGCAATTTTGATGAGCAGTTTTACTGGAAGGTCATTCACGCATGCGCGCTCACAGAGGACTTGAAGGCATGGCCTGAAAGTGATTTGACAATAATTGGCGAGCGCAGGATAAACATATCAGGAGGCCAGCGTGCTCGGTTGGCACTGGCCAGAACAATTTATTCGCGAGCAGATATTTACGTTTTGGACGACCCGCTGTCTGCAGTTGATGCTCACGTTAAGCGACATATTATTAACAACGTTTTACTTGGCAAGGGTATTTTGGCGGGCAAGCTGCGCGTTGTTTCTACAAACTCAGAGCACTTGTTGACATATTCTAACCAGATCATTAGCATGGATAATGGAAAGGCCATTGTCAGCCTGCAAATACCCCGAACATATAATGTTTCTTTACCAGAAGTACTGCCAGTAATCGAATGCGCAAATTTGTGCAATGGTGTGAATGATGATTCCAACAATGCCAACACCAAAAGCAACATTGATGACGGCAATATCAGTAACAGTGCGTCTTGCAAACCGGTAAATAAAAGTAATTTGGCTGGAAATAAAACCAACGCCAGCATATCCACTCTAAAGACTCGGTCGTATATTGATAATGCAAAGTATATTGCAAGTCTATACGGAATTACATTTTTGATTAACGTAGTGGCACTAAGGGTTGTACAAAAGATCATTATGTTTGCAGCAGATAGTTTGCAGGTAAATCTGTTAAAGCCCAGCAGTTTGACCAGTACCGCTGGCCATGACGCAGTGCTCTCTTATCTAAAGATAAGTATTATATGCAATTTGTTAGTATTTGCACTTGGCAAAATCAACTTGATGATAAATAATGTTCTATTCAAAGACTATAGCAATGCCAAAGTCAAGCACAGCTTTATTCGTGGATTGATTCACGCACCATTATCATTTTTCGATAGTAACACCAGACAAAAAGTCGAATTTGAATACAACAGTGCATCATTAGGCGTTGGTTGGAGTACCATAGCATTTTTGGAAAAGAGTGTGCCACATGTGGTAAAGATACTGCTGGCATTATACCGAGTGCTCATTACTGCACCGCAATTGTTTTTGGTAATTCCGTTGCTTTTGTGGATGGAGATGAAAACTCATTCATTTGTAGATCATATTAATGAATTTATCGAAAAAATGTACAAGAGTTCAAGTGTAGGACTGACAAAAGTAGAAGACCTCTTAGCAGACGGCAAGCAAATGATTCGCTTGTTTGGGGTAGAGCCGCATTTTACTATACTTTATACAAAAGAGAATAACAACCAATCGTGCGTTGAGATGGCTACAGAATTTTACCTTGGCTTGATTTTTGCAATTGAAAAATTAAGTGCCCACTTTGGAATTTGGGACTGCAAAATTACAGAAATTGTCATGATTAATTTGCCAAAGTACAAGATGTCATCTATGGAATTTATGCTTATTGACAAAATGGTAGACGAACTGGTGGTAGACATCAATTATTTGATACACATTCCCTCATTGATGGGTGGTATATCCAAGAAAGTTGACGTGTTTAGAAAGTACGCAGACATAGAGCCCGAGGCGCCATACATTGTTCAAGATAGTCGGCCCAAGGAAGCGTGGCCGGAAAATGGCCAAATCGAATTCCGCAATTTCAGCATGAAGTACCGCAGCGATCTGGGGCTGGCGCTGAAAAACATTAATTTAACCATTAGGCCTAGTGAAAAGATTGGCATTGTTGGTCGTACAGGCGCAGGCAAGTCTACGCTTGTAAAGTCGCTTTTCAGACTTATGCACGGCAACAACAGCGGCTCGATATTGATCGATGGACATGATATTGCGGCTATTGGTGTCGGTGATCTGCGTCCACGGCTGGGCATTATCCCGCAAGAGTCGACTATGTTCAGTGGCACCTTTGCTGAAAACTTGGATCCACTCATGGAGTTTACCAAGAAAGATATGTGGCTGGCGCTGAAAAAGTGCAGCATGGCAGATATTGTTCAGCCATCATTAAACAAAGTGGATGGTGCTGATGATGACATAAGTTGCGACATGGTAAATTCCGACGCCAGCGACGGGCAAATTCAAGCTTTGCAAGACTGGGAGGAGCGCTGGCAAATCTCGGGCTGGCTAATGCGCTTTGTTAGACTAGCACTCAACAAGAGGCCGCAGCTGGTGGTAAAGCCAGGGTTTATTAAAACACACCCGCTAGACAAGATGGCCAGCGACGGCGACATCGGACTGAGCGGCGGGCAGAGGCAGCTGTTCAGTCTGTGCCGCATGCTTATGCGCAAATGCAAGATTCTTGTTCTCGACGAGGCCACAGCCAACGTAGACCTGGAGACCGACGGAAGCATGCAAGAGCTGATAAAGAAAGAGTTTAACGAATGCATTGTGCTCACTATAGCCCATCGCTTGGAGACAGTGATGAACAGCGACCGCATCATTGTCATGGAGCGTGGCGAGATTGCCGAGATTGGTGCTCCTCAAGATTTGTTGAAAAATGGCGGACTTTTCGCTGACCTTGTACGCACCAACGATTTTGGCCAGTGATTTCAATTTTTCTTTTTTAGTTCATTTTCCGCATGACTAAACAATTGGTGTTTAAAAAGAAAAGTAACATAATGTAAATGCCAGTGAGGCTTTGTATGTTTCCTATGCCAAAACTTGCTGGACGTAAAAAAGATAAATATTTGTTCACTCAAATATTTATTTTCTCTTCCCTATAACTCATTTTTTACTTTCTCTTCCCAATAGCTCATTTTATTGTTCTTAGGATTAAAGTATACTTTCAAGCAGTAACTAACCAAAATTACCATAATGAGTCTGACGTACGCCATACCTGTAAACGTCATGTATTATAATAAATACACGCCCACCGAAAACCATGACGAACGAATATGAGAATTCCTATGCCCGCGCAACAAAATAATGTAATTCATAATTGATAAAGTAAGCGAGTTGCGCAATCCAACATGGGGATATGAATATGCTGTATTCACAGAATTAAACCCAACAAAACGCATAGGAAACTCGGCTTTGATCAAAAGTTGGATTACTGTTTGCAATGAGCTTGTTTTGGGAGAGGTATACAAAAGCAGCCACTGGCATTATGAAGAGAGAATATATTTTACAAAATATTAAAGTTTTGTTTTCTGTGTAGAGCCTAAGCGAGGGTGTGCTTAATAAATTAAATTTTGAAAAGAGTATAAAAATAAAAGTGGTTTTCTTGTAAAAAAAGTCTTGTAAAAATAAAGAAGCAACGCCGTGTAGACGGTATTGTAAAGGTTCTGTTGTGGTTACTTTCTTGTTCCGATTGCCACCATTTTTTGATGGCTAATAGAAATGGATAATGCAGCAATGGTAACCACATTGTCAGCGGTGATGTCAATTGACAATGGCTATAGAAATACAGGAAGTGGTAGGGGCATCACAAATATATCATTAGAGTTGACAAACGTCTATGCATATTGTTTTAAGAAAATCGACTGATTATTTATATGCCTCACAATAATTGCTTTCGAATTCGATAAGGGCATTATTTAAAATTCAATTTTTTATATTAATAATAGTTGATTGAAAAGTTTACATATTTCAATCAGTTGTGATCCATGCAAATGCGCGTTGTAATCTGGTGTTTAATTCAGCGTCAAGCGCAAAAGGACATGGCATGGTAAATACAAAATTATAATAATAATTCCCAAATTATTAGCCTCTACTAAATACTAGTGTATTTTTAATGTAAAACATGTGGTTCGTTATGCTTTTTTAAAATGTTTTAATTTTTAATTTTTAAACAATATTAATAAACATAAAAAAGGAAAATATAGCACACGGGTTAATGCAATTGTGGAGCGCTTTATTTATTATTTGAATATTTGTGTGCGTGTGTTGTTGTACCTTAATTTGCATTGTGCACTGGACTTTGTTTTTATGTAGTTTGTGCAACCGATCCAGTTTTTACGGCTATCCAGACATTCGATGTATTGTAACAGTCGCTCTGTTTTCTCGTCACCCCAGTATTTTGTACTGGCCAAGCAATGGGTTGGATAAAGGCGTTCCAATGGAAAGTGTTGTGGCTGTAGGAATAGACTCAGTGGGTAACATAGTTTTAAATTTAAGAGCGTTGTTATGTATAATAAACTTGATAATTGATTTTTGAATGTCATACTCGAAACAGGGAATGCTTTTTCATAGCAAGTGTCTTGGTAGCAGAGGCACCCAAGAGGCCCTTATTCTTGACGACACCCTCTTTGATAGATGTTAACTCTTCTTGGGAAAGCTCGGCAACTATGCTTTCATGTGCGGGTGTAGTTATACAAGTGGGAATTATATGAGGTATGGTTAAGTAAACACAATATAATAGTGTAGTGTTTGTCATGGTCAAGCTAAGAATAAGGTGTTTTGGTGTACAAAAAACAAAAAACAATCTTAAACTATTTATATGAGGTGAAAAAGTAAGATAAAAATACGAGTTATGTGAAAAATAGTGATTATATAAAAAGAACAAAAGAAAGCAGGTTAAAGCTCTATGTTTGAGTTTTTTAAAACGTAATATATGCCATGCTCTATTCTTTGGTGTTTTTTTGTGTCTTTTGAATATCCATAAATGCGCAATAAAAAGAGGTGTTTGTTAATTGCCACAAAAATGGGTGTATAAAATGACATTCTCCCTTCCGCGCCCGCTTTTTTTTATAAAAAAAATGTTGCAAGCATTTTGCTTTTTACGTTGTATGTCTTTTTGTTTGTCATTAGTCATTGTTATAAAGTCGTTTCACATTGTCATTTTTATATAAAAAAGCAGGTAGTTTTTAAGGGGGTAGCCCTTTATTTTATAATAATAAAATAAAGGAGGAATGGTGGGTAGAAAAATGAATGACTACATTTTTTTTGCTGCCCCCAGGAAAGCCTTTCGATGTTTTTCATTTTTGACAAGATATTGTTTTATTCTGCTAGTAGTAAAACTTTTTGTAGGCCGTATTATGTCTACTGTATTACTAATAAAATGACAAACAAGAATTTGTTGAATACATTTATTGCGATGACTATAATTTGTTGTAATATTAGAAACAATTATTAGTATACATAAATGTGTGGTGCCCAACACACATTTCAAGCCACTATCTTCCATTTTTGAGAATCAAGATCGCCCTCATGGCCACTATACATATTTCTGTTATTGTTGGCTAACATCAAGTAACACCATGCTGTTTACAGCGCTGCTCACACAGTGCTGCCCCCTTTTTCAGTTTCTTAAGTAATTTTTAAGACTTGAATATAGATGTAAAGCCACATTTTTATAGAGCACGACAAAATGAACGAATTATAAGTTGCCATTGTTGCTGTTGCTGCTGCTGATATTGGCGATATTGTTGCTGGGATGCGCAGGGCAGGTGATAGTCGGACATAATTACATGACTGATCTTAATATTGGTAAAAAAAATAAAACTTAGTTGCCTTTCATAAAAATCGGACTTTATAATGCCAAGTCTTTTTAATATAGAAATAAATAGCATGTTAATCAACTGGTAAACACAATCGCACTGTTGTGATCACACGTTCATGGCCAAAGCAATTTATATTTGAAAAAACTATCACAACCCAGAACCACATAATCGCATGATCGCATGTCCATGATGGGAACGCAAAATTTTGACGCGAGATGACTTTCAATGGGCACTTTGGGACCCAGCCACAGATCTTGCGGCTGAGATGGTCAACAAACTCCAGGTGTATCTAAGACCGACACATGATATATTGGAGGGGCCTCAAGCAGCATGTGAACGTCCATTACCAGTACAAAGAAGCTGGCCAAGACACTCCAAGGGAATTGCGCAAAACAAGCAACGGTGTTTGTAAACGAGATCATAGATAAACAGTACAACTAGTACAAGGGGTAATGTAACCTTTAGATCGAACGGGAAAAGAGGGATCCTTGGCGCCTGAGAAACACCGATTGTTGATGAGAACTCCAATCTCAACAAACATCCCGAATACTAAATTCGCGACGATTGATGCCCTAGCTGGCAGATTGTGTTGGCTCACTCAGCCAAAAATTATACTAACACCCTGGTGATCACTTTCGCCGCCAGGAAATTATACCCAGTTCTGGATAACTCCCAACTACACGGCCCCTAGAATAATTGTAGTTATAGTGTCATGTATCCAGGTATGCAGTAGAGCCCATGATGGACAAGTTGGCGCGGTAGACAATCAGTCTTATCCATCAAGTTAAGTGGCAATAAAAAATCCAGGCATGGCACATACCAACTTATTCAAAATATTAAATGAAATGTATTAATCTTTTGAATGCAATTTGAGGAGTAGAAGTTTGAATCATATATTTATTTACTCGTACAAGCTCAAGAGTAAAGTTGCAGCAAAAGGTAGTTAAACGCTTGAATAAACTATTAGTAAATTGTTATTTTGTCATTTCAACATGGGAACAGTGTCTCCAAATGTCCCCATTGTGTAATAAGCAACGGTCGAGTCGTTGTCAACAATGGCCAAGTGGACAGAATCAACAGATTCGCCGACAACCTGGGCTTTGTCGCGTATCGCGGCCATCATATCAATGGTCAAGTTTTCAGCAGCGTAAACTGGAACAAAAACCAAAAGACCAAAACATTTTTGAAGGTCATTTGCAATTATAACAGGAATATCCAAGTTCGAAAGAAGACGTATCTGAACATTTGCGAGTTTCTGGCCTATTATTTAATAAAATGTTTATTATTGAGATATTAGACCATGTTTTTTTTGGCAAAAATACTATATATTCGCATGTATTAACAAACTTTATAATTGTTTTTTATAGTTACCGTATTTTAAATCAAGATGTGTCTGAAAGAGTGCTCGGGCTCTGAGTGGGTATTTTTCACAGATATCGGCGACTTCGTGATACTAATAAGGGTGTGATTAGTGAATATGTTGGGTTTTATATAAATTTATATAGTATGTTGTTTATGTCATATACAATTTGAGTAAATAAATGTCATTATATTTTTACTACCTTTGGGTGGAGATTCATAGTGGTAATAAATAAGATAAAGATGAATTGGTTTGGTTTGGTTTGGTTTGGCTTGGTTTGGCTTGGCTAACTTTTTTAAAATTTATTTTAGGTGGGCGAGTTGTCGATAACACTGATTGGTAAAAAATAATGGGGTGCACGATTAAATCACCAGCGATTAATCACCGTAGAACCAATCAATTTTTTTTTTCTATTTTCAAATCCACTTTTTTTCCCTCACTCTTTGTTTGATCCAACAACCCAAAAAAAAACATTTTTTTCTTATACTTTCCTTATACTTTTTTCTTACTTTATTCTTGTTATATATATATATTATTTTTTCAATGGTCCTTCAGGCTACCAACACAAACAACGTCAAGGTCTACACAGTCTCCGGCAGCTCACTCAGCCGTAAGCTCCCAGACTGGCTTGCACGTCGCAAACAGCGCGAGCTCAAAAAGGACATTGAATGGACAACAAGGATCGAGCTCCTCCAGGACTTTGGGTTCCCCGAAGCCTCCCTACGAATTAAAACTACCCCTGACGGGCAATTCTGCATGGCCACAGGCGTGTACAAGCCGCAGATCCGCGTCTACGAGTTCAGCGATTTGGCGATGAAATTCGACCGACACACGGACGCGGAAAACGTCGACTTTGCTATCCTCTCAGACGATTGGACCAAGACCGTGCATTTGCAGAGCGACCGCACGCTGGAGTTCCATAATGAAGGGCAGATGCATTTTAGGGCGAGGATTCCGAGGTTTGGACGTGGATTGGCGTACCATAGCCCGAGCTGCGACGTCATTGTGGGCGGTGCTGGCGCCGAAGTGTTCCGCCTGAACATCGACCAGGGCCGGTTTATGACGCCGATGAAGACGGAGATGACCGGCGTCAACGTTGTGCGCGTTAACCCGGCGCACCAGCTGTTCGGGTTCGGCGGCGAGGACGGGGTTGTTGAGTTGTGGGACCCGCGCGCCAAGGCACGTGTCGGCACGCTGCAGGCGCCTGGCAGCGATGGAAGCAGCGACGCTGAGATCACCGAGATGAGCTTCCGCGCGGACGGGCTCGGGATGGCCGTGGGCACGAAGGGCGGGCACGTGATGCTGTACGACCTGCGGCAGGCGCGGCCGTGGCAGACCAAGGACCAGCGGTTCGGGCTGCCCGTGCGCACCCTGCATTGGCTGGAGCCGGCGCGCGGCTCCCACGTGGACGCCGACGAAGCGCGTGTGCTGAGCGCCGACGCACGGTCGATTAAGATCTGGGGCGCGCAGAGCGGGCGGCCCTTTGCGGCAATCGAGCCGGCGGCGGCAGTCAACGATGTCTGCGTGGTGCCCGGCAGCGGACTGCTGCTGGTGGCGGGCGAGGCGGCCGAGATGCAGAGCTACTTTGTGCCGCAGCTCGGCCCGGCGCCACGGTGGGCCGGGTTCCTGGAGAACCTGACCGAGGAAATGGAGGAGTCTGCCAAGCAGACGGTGTACGATGACTACAAGTTTGTTGCGCGCCGCGAGCTCGAGTCCCTGGGGCTCGCGCACCTGATTGGCAGCTCGGTGCTCAAGCCATATATGCACGGGTTCTTCCTGGACCTGCGCCTGTACGAGCGCGCCAAGGCCATCGCCAACCCATTCGCCTACGAGGAGTACCGCCTGCGCCGCGTGCAAGAGAAGCTGGCGGAGGCGCGCGAGAGCCGCATTCGCGCGACCACAAAGCTGCCCAAGGTCAACCGTGCCCTGGCCCACCGCCTGCTGCAGATGCAGAGTGCCGAGAAGAAGGCTGGGGAGGACGGCGTCGAGAAGCGCGCCGGCGGTCGTCAGCGCAAGAAGGCCAAGGCTGCGGCCGATACTGCGTCGGCTGTTATGGACGATGCGCGCTTCGGCGATATGTTCAAGGACGACGAGTTCGAGGTTGATGAGGAGGCGCTGGAGTTCAGGCAGCTGCATACTACGCATACGAAGCGTGCTGCAAAGCAGGGAGCCCGCGAGGAGGGCGATTCCAGTGGCGAGGAGGATGAGGTCGATATTCGCCAGATGCCTGTGCCCATGGGTGGCGCGAGCGACGACGAGGACGCCGAGTACTATAGATGAATTGATGCTTTTTTGTTTAAGGAGCTGCTGTGCCTTACATGTGCAAATGGTTTTGATCTTGATTGGTCGAGCTGGGTGGCTGGGTGGCTGGGTGGCGGAATGGCTGGGTGGTGGAATGGCTGAATGGCTGAATGGCTGAATGGCTGAATGGCTGAATGGCTGAATGGCTGAATGGCTGAATGGCTGGGCCCAACGCCTCATACACCAAATAAAAGAATGAGGCTACAAGCACCCTGCAAACCGACATCCTTCCCATCCAGACTGCGTAGCAATCTAAAGTGTTTAGAAACTAGTGGCAATAGGCCACTATGGTTGACAATATTAATCAGTTCGCTGCCTCTTTTGAAGAGAAGAGGCAGGGGCAGGTGGATTCTTGTGCACACGCTTGGTCTTGGGCTTGGGCCTGGGCTTGCGCTTGAACAAAGTCCCAGGCTTGCGCTTGAACAAAGTCCCAGGCTTGGGCTTGAGCAAAGCCTCGGGTGTCGCTGTAGACTCGGGTTCAGCTGGCTCTGGCGATGCCTTTTTGCGCAAGAAGCGGGTTTTGGAAATCCCCCGCTTAAAAACCTGGACTTTCGCTATAAATGTCTGGAAATTCCAAAATTCCATTTACATCAAGTGTATTGTGTGTTGCGCAAATATGAACAATAAAAAAGGAACTCGTTTGTGCATCTATTGTTTTTTTGCCGTTGTTATTTCCAACGACCCAATAAAAACAATAAAAGAAATTCCGGCACCTTTCTTTTTTCTTTCAATTTTTGTCTACTATTTTCCTTCTCTCTCTTTCTTTAATTTATTTTTTATTTCTCTAATTCCCACACCATGGTCGTTTCGCAGTTTTTCTCGCCATTGCGCACGCTGAAAAACAAGGCGCGCGGCACCAAACTAGCGACGACCAGCAGCAGCAGTCCCAGCACAACCACAGCCACAACAGCCGGCCGCAATTCCGATTCGTCTTCGGATTCCGACACTCCACCAGCCACACCCATGAGCACTGACACCTGTCTGTGCTGCAACAGCAAAGTAACCTTCCCAGCCACCGTCTCCTGTTTCAAATGCACAGTGTGCGACACAATAAACGATCTCCAACCTGTGCGACGCACAGAGAAGACGGTCACGGATAACAGGGAAGTGCGAGTACGAATGAGGGAGGCGCCGCCGCCGTTGACGCTGGATCGACTAAGGGCGGGCGTGCAGGCGTATAGGAGGGATTTGGCTAAGCAGGCGCTTTTGGAGGCTATGTTGAGGGAGTCCTTTGGCAATTGGGACGTGTTGAATTTCTCGTTTGTGAAGGCGAATGTGGATGAGCCGGATGCGGCTGAGGTTTGCTTGGAGGAGGTCGCTGCCGCGTATCGAATAATTCTGGATCTGCCCTCTGGGCTCATCCGCGCAATGATGACTGGGATCGAGCTGATCCTGCGACGACCCGGAAGGTAAAAAAACAGTGCAAATGAAGCGAAATAGTGTGTGAGTGTTGGGAAATCCATCCCTTGGTTAATTCTGGAGGCCCAAAGCGCGTACTAATAAAACTTTCTTGCTCTATTTATAAACCTTTTTTCTTGTAGGCCGCTGAAAACCTTCAGCGACATCCGCTACCTGCTGGTAATCCTCGAGAATCCGCTGCTCCAACAGCAGACCTTTGCGCAGGAGGCCTCCTACCACCACCACATACTCAAAAGCATTCTCGGCGTATTGTCCAACCTCCCCAACGCCACACACAACGCCCTCGTCCTCCACCTCTCCAAGCACCACGGCCGCTCCTCGCTCAAGCGTAAAATCCACCTGGTCAACCAATTCATATCCTACCGCGTGCAAAAATACGATCGCGCCAATCAAAGGCGCCGCAACATGGAGCAGCAGAAGCCCTTGACTGCATATTCGGAGCAATCAGCAATGAGTGAGCTACCGGCTTTCCACCAGCAACGCACCATTGGCTCTGCCGCACAGGGCCGTGTAGGTGGGCATCAGAGAATGCGGTCGAATACGGATTCGCGTGTTTCCCTGAGCTCGCATGAGAAGGGCGAGGGTGCGCCGCTGGACCGGGCCGTAGCTAGACTGGCCCTGTGCCTCACTGACCAGCAGCAGCCGGCGACAGCGGGCGGGCGCAGCAGAGAAGGGTTGGTGCAAGGGGGAATGCGCGGCCAGAGGAGTTGCACGATGGGCGCTTGGTCGGCCAGAGATGCCATGCCGCCAGTACCGCTGCTGCCCGCAGTACCGGTGCCGCCGCGGCAGGCGCACGTGCGCAGCTCACCCAGAGTGCTGCTGGACACTGCCCCGCTGATGCAGGAGAGCTTTGTGCCGCGACAGAGCCGCCACCACCAGCAGCAGCACCAACCCTGCGAGACGGACAGGGCGGGTACTGCGTCTGCGATTGGTGCGTCCAGGTCGCGCGCCACCAGCATGTCTGCCAGCGACCTGCCTGCGCTGCTTGCAGCCTCAGCCGCGGCCGCAGCTGTGGCTGCGGCCTCAGTCGCAGCGGCTGCGGTGGCAGAGGAGGCGGTGGCAGAGGAGGCGGCGGCGGTTCTGGCGCGACCGCGTGTTTTGGCGGTGCCAGACCGTAGCGTGCGTGTTTCAATGACACGCACGCGGTCGAGTTCCGAAGCACCGACACGGCGCGCAGCCAACAACAGTGCAGCTGCAGGCATTGTTGTAGCGCAAGGCAGTGGGGGAGGGGGAGGGGCTCGGGCGGGCGGGATCACACTGGGCGAGTACTACGTTGGTGCCGATGGCGTAATCTACCCGAAGACCAGCACCCTGGTCATGCACCAGCACGATTGGCGGCTGGTCGCAGCCTCTCGCACCATGGCGTTGTTGCACGCTGCCAACCAGCTGCTCCCCTGCCGGTCACGGCTCCCCGTCGACGCCTTCTACAGTCTCGGCGGCGTCGACAACATGGACCTTGTCGCCGATTACGACGCTTGGCAGGCGCGCGTTCCTGGAGCCTTTTCCTTTTGTCAGTATCCGTTTCTTCTTAGTCTGCGCGCCAAAGTGCAGATTATGCAGGTGGATGCCGCGCGCCAGATGGATTCAAAGGTCAAAGAGGCTGTGATCTCAGCATTATTCCAGAACTCTCTGATGGCCAGCCAGCCCTACTTGAAGCTGTTTATCCGCCGCAAATGCCTGGTGGAGGACTCGCTGAACCAGTTGGCGACGCACGAGCAGGATTTGAAGAAGCGCCTGAAGATTGAGTTTGTCGGCGAGGAAGGGGTGGATGCCGGCGGGCTGGCCAAAGAGTGGTTTATGCTGCTTGTCCGCGACCTCCTCAACCCACTCTACGGTCTCTTTGTCTGCGACGCCGAGGACGGCAAGGGAACTTATTGGTTTAATCCGGCGGCGCTGGAAACTTCTAACCGCTATTTTTTGGTCGGCGTTGTTGTTGGTCTGGCGCTGTATAACTCGACCCTGCTGGATTTGCATCTGCCACTGGCTGTGTTCAAAAAACTGCTGTATCCTAATTTCTACCACACCCCGCAGCACTCATCCTCGGTGCTGCTGCCAATGGCGGTTGTGGCGGCGGCAACCGCGGCAACGACAACAGCAGCAGCCTCGAACGGACATGCGCCAGCAGACGGCTCTGCTGCGGCACAGCGTTACGGTGCAGCATCCAATGGTACTGGTGGATCCGCGGGATTCACGGGTTCTGCCTCTGCGGGGGGTATGGGCGACGGGCGGTCGCCGATCTACGGCCTGCTCTCGTCCTCTGCGCAAGTGCGGTACCAGATTAACGAGATGCTTTCGGATGTCGGGCATTTCCGCCCGGACCTCGCCCGCGGCCTCCGCCAGCTACTCCAGTACCGCGAAACCGACGTCGAGCAGGTCTTCAGCCTAACATTTGAAGCCTCCTACGACGCCTATGGTGAAACTATCACTGTTCCGCTTATCCCTCAGGGCGCCCATGTGCCAGTGACAAGCCATAATCGCGTCGAATACGTTATGCGGTATTTGCAATGGGTGTTGAATGACTCAGTGGCGAGGCAGTTTGAGCCGTTCAAGCGTGGGTTTTACTATGTTTGCGGCGGAAACGCCCTGTCGTTGTTTCGTCCAGAGGAGATTGAACTGATGGTTAATGGGTCTGGGGAGGATTGGGATTCGAAAATGGTGCGAAAGATGGCGGAGCAAGTCGGCTTCGAGGATGGAGTATTGGTGGAGTGGGTCTGGGCTGTGCTGGACGAAATGAAGGTTGATGAGAGGAGGTTATTTTTGCTTTTCGTTACCGGCACAGATAGGCTGCCAATGGTTAGTGCGGGCGCAGCTGGGTTGAAACTGAAGATTATGTTTTTGGGTGATGATTGGAGGAGATTGCCAGTTGCGCATACGTGCTTTAATCAGTTGGGCGTGTGGAAGTATCGCTCGAAGGATGAGATGAGACATAAAATTATGTTGGCTATCAAGGAGAGCGAAGGCTTTGGCTTGAAATAATATAGAATGAAATGGAAGGGCTTATATTTTATATTTCTTTTAGGGTTTTATTGTTGATATAAAACCAACTGCACATTTAAATTGTTTTTTAAATGACAGAGGGTCCTCTAATCATGACTCGTTTGGACGCTTCATGTGGTTTGGCCCCTCTGGTTTATTTTCAAAAACAAAAAAATGAATGGCCCTCGCGTGACCAACCTCTCATGTGGTGTTTATTTTTATCTTTTGTTTGGATCAAACGTAATTGTTGAGTGAGTGTAGGTTTTTTTTTTAGAAAAAAGGAGTAAATAACAGGGCTGACCACCACATGATAAAACTATTAAAATAATATTTTCAAACAAAAAATGAAAATGAAATAAAAAAACGGCATCTCACTCTTCAAAAATGTATAAATTAAACGAATTCTGGCACTAAATTATTTTTATTTTACTACCACTACTACCACTCACAAACGCATAGACTCATTCAGCTTGACAACAAATTAAATTCATAACTTAAACAGTAGTATACATTTGAAAGTACGCTTCATTAGTTGAAATTTTATTTAAGCAATGGGAACACCTGAATACTTAAAACATTTTATTTTTATTAATGATAAAAGTAAATCCAAAACAGGGGAACCAATTGAAGTACCAGAAAACTGCGTCAATAAAAAAGAGAATATTATTATTATCAATGAACTACGTGCTCATGTCTGTCAGAAATTTAAATTAAAAGATAAGCAATTGGTTTGTAAACAAAAACCTTTCTTCGACGAAAATAAAATGGAATATAATATATACATTATTTACAATAAAGATTTGTCCAATATCGAAACCCTTATTGAATATTATATGGGTTTACTATGGTCTAGCAAACTAAAGTTACTCAACGCTATTTAATGGTACAATAATTCAGTTAATTGTTGGTATTCCCATTGACATAGTAGTACAAGTGTAGAACTATTTTTAGAATACAGAATTTTTATCTATCCCAATGGTTTACAGCGCAATATACTGCTTTCATGAATAGCAAATTTAGTTTAACAGCTAAATAAGTATATGCTGCTTGTTTATTATTATGCTTTTGTTGTATCCGAGCTATTGTTATTTTTGTTGTAATTTTTACTGCGAATTATTTTTATAGCAAGTTTAAGAGCCCCGAGTCTACTTGATCAGCAGTATAAATATCATTTAAGTTATAGGACCCATTTATAATTTTAATAAACTTTTATAATGCCTTGCTCAGTATACAAATAAAAACAATCAATTTTATAAGTTGCCACGCGTTTGCTTTGCTGACCATCTATTAGTTAATATGGATCAGCCAAACAGTATATTTTCAATCTGGCATGTTTTCCAGAAAATGCGACACCTAGAAAATATTGCGCCATTTTTTCCAGATCGACGGTAAATTCTTGAACGACGTCTAGACTTGCTCAATATTTATGTGGCTCCACTGCTGACAATGTTTACAAAGGTAAAACCCTTACTTTGTCCATCTCAGCTTTTGGTCTGTATGCCTCCAGGGAGGTAGCTCCAATCTGGACCGCGGTTCAGATGGCATGCAGGAATACTTGGAAAACTATCTTTTAGTTTTTCCCCGCCTTTGTAGAGCCTTTTTCATTTGTGTTAAGATTTGGCAAAGCTTTTATTTTAAAAAATGCAGTGTCAAGTTGTACTGTAGGGATAAGTAAAACAAATGGCAAAACACACTGAAGAAAAGGGCTGACAATACAGCCCACATACAGTTGGACTCATGGTCATTACAATATGGATGGGGGCCAACGGGCAAAAAATACTGGCTCTTCGCGGGGGACATTATCACCTCTTGCCTATCAAACAGGCTTTGCCGCCGACAGGACGACAAATGGATGAGCAAGGCGCTGATAAAGCAGATTACAGTGGCGCGCACCAAGGGGGCAATTCATTCCACAGAGAGATTGTCAGCGGCATTGGCAGAGGTACCAGAGGGGCCAAAGATAATGGTACCGACACCAGACACGGCACCTACAGTGACAACGGCAATAGTACCACCACTGTTTTTGAGCTCTACACAGCTTAAAAAGCCCTTGTCCAAGACACTCACCACCAACCTCCGGGCGATGAATGTGGTAGTGGGTAGGAAAGGTTGTCGGCATTATAAGAACGCCTGGTGTATCACCAATACAAGATACTCCATCTGTCGCTCCTTTGCATTAAATATGCTCCTCCGCCCACTGCCTGTAGCAAACAGACAGTGGGAATGGTACCCCCGACGCATAACCTGAACCACGGATACGCCTATGTCTGTCGCCTGACTGTCAGACCATTGGGGCACAAAGCCACATGATCATGTGCTCACTACAGGAATGGAAAGCTCTGACACGAGAACCTCCAATCGGTTTTTTGGGACACGGCTACAGATCTCATAACTGAAACGGCCAACAGACTCCAGGTGTATTTAAGACCAACAGCCAATGTATTGGAGGACCCCAAGAAGTGTGTGAACACCCATTACCAGAACAAAGCAGCTAGACTTGGATATGAGGCGCGGCTAGCACGATCTGGCAGACAGGTACACAACACTGGTTAATAAGCTCTAAAGGGCCCATACAAAACAAGCAACAGTGGTTGTAAATTAAATTATAAACAAACAGCACGACTGGTACAAAATACAGTGCAACCTACAGATTGAACAGGAAATGAGGTGATCCTTGATGCCCGAGAAACGCCGATTGTTGATGAGAACCCCAATCTCAATAAACATCCCGAATACCAAATCCGCAACAAGACAAAGATGATGGCCTGCCAAAGTGGCCACGGGCAAACAGCAATGAGGATGGCGGATATACACACTAGCTATCTGGCCACGATTGGCGCTCTAGCTGGCATATCGAGTGCTCGGGTTTAAAAGTTTTACCAGCACCTTGGCGGACACTTCCACCGCTAGAAAATTAGACCCAGGTCTGGATTATTTCCAACCTTGCTGCCCCTAGAATAATTTTTGTTATAGGGGCATGTAGCCAGGTCTGCAATAGAGCCCATGATGGGCAAGGTGGCATATTAGACTATTGGTCTTAATCATTAACATTAGTTTCTGTTGTTTACCTGTTTTATATCTCGCTCAATGGATCTATTTTTCTCTAATTATAAGTGTAGCATATATTAGGCAAAAACATAATGCAAAAATTATCTTAATGCAGTATCTTAGACCATTTATAATATTCCACTTTTATCCGTTTATTTACTTTTGGAGTAATGTTGCACAGCCCGAGGATATATAAGTGGGTGTCGAGGTTGAAAGTCGTGAAACTAGTTTCCATCTGCATGTCGATTGATAGGGCACTAATTAGATTATGCAGGAAAAAATTAGGGAGACATAATAAAAATGGCCAGATATGCTCCCTATTTTGCAATGTACACATACGAGCACATATGCGAAAACCACAACATTGACTTGCAAAGATACTAGTCTGTTCGCAGAAGAACCAGTTATTTTCAACGGAGTGCACAACTGGTGAAGTGCACAACAAAGGCAAAGTGATACATATATAAGATGAGGCTGGCCCTAGTTCTACTTTTGATTCCCTTGATAATAAAAATTATAACAAAATCCAAAAATACTTTTAATACTAGGCGACTAGTGCTCCACTCAAATCACACCACCTTTAACACTAGACGACTAGTGCTACCCTCAAATCACAACAGTAAGCCAGACAGGAAATTTTTCTGGTTTATATACAAATTAAAATATTGTGAAGTAATATCATTGTTAATGTTAATAATAATTATAAAAATATGTATTGTGCAGACCATCATATATTGCTATCCGAACGCAGTATCCTTAAGACTTAGTAAAACGCGAGTCAGGTTTAGCTAGAAGCTTGTCTTGTTGTGTCTTGACATTCCCCCTGCCAAGTGTGCCGCCCATCTTCATCGTCAGTCTTTTGAGCATTAGGTACGACATTGACCAGATAAAAATTGCCAAGCCAAGGTTGATAAGAGTGTTTGCAGCAATGGACAGTGAGCCCAGCCCAAGCTCCTCAAGGTACATGTCACCTATGGACTCATCGCTCATATATCCAACAAACTGGTTTTTTATCATTGCCGTGTACCCATACTTGATTGGGCCAACCCACTGCAGCCAACGTATCCACACTGCCGAGTTTGTGCTATTGACAAACAGACCGCCAAACAAAAGAAACGGCAAAAATACAAGGGGCAACGCAATGATGATGGTTGTCAGTTCTTCGAAGGATGCACCTAATAAGATCCCAAATGAGTACCCGCTAATTGCAAGTACAATCATAGCACCCGTGTAAACAAGAAACTTGACCATAGTGCGATCAAGTCCTATCATCCAGTAGCTGATGCCGCAGTATATTACTGTAGTGATAATGTTGATCGGCTGCTCGACAATGTTCTTGGCTACAAAGTACGCTGGTAACCCGTAGTACATACCCTGCCACTCGCGCGAAAACACCTTGCGCTCGTGGGTAAAGACATTGATCACGCCCAGACTGGAAACCAAGAACTGGGAAACGCAGTTGAAAAACATGCCGCCGCTAAAATTTTGCAACCGTGAGCTAACAGGTCTGTTTTGCGAGTTAAGGTAGACCAGTCCAATGAGAAGACCATAAAAAATGCATTGGACAATACGCAGCTTCAAGAGCTTGCTGTTGCGCACATTGTCCAACGCCGTCCGCTTGAGCAAGTAGCGCAGCTGTACCATTGGTGGGCTCGTCCGGCGGAACTGCGTTTCACTGATGGGCGTCAACTCGGGACCATTGATTCTGCGCTGCAGGGCTGTTGCCTCTTCAGACTGCTGCCACAGTTCGGACAAAAACTTGGCGCGTTGCTCCATCTGCTTGCCATTACCGTAATCACTATCACCAAAATGCTCTGACTTCATGTCAAAAAGCAGGGAGTTGAAGATGTGGTCGGCCGGGTTGCTGTAAATAGCACAGGGATAGCCGATGCGCGCCAAATAGTCGATCAAGTTTGACCGCTCGCCCATATACACAATACGACCCTCAAAGATAATGACAATGTCGTCAAACAGCTCGAACATCTCGGACGACGGCTGGTGGAGCACCGCAATAACAGTTCGGCCTATTTCAGTAATGTGCTTGAGCTTTCGCGTAACCATTAGAGCCGAATATGCATCGAGCCCCGAGGTCGGCTCATCCAGGAACATAATTGGCGTGTCAGTCACCCACTCCATTGCTATAGACGTGCGCTTCTTCTCGCCACCCGAAATGCCCTTGTTCATGGAGTCACCAGCAGCAGTAGCGCGGCATTTTTCCAGCCCGAACAGCGAAATGGCCTGTGAGCAGCGCGCCATTTGCTCTCCCTTGAGTGTGTCCTTTTGCATTTGGATACGCTTCCCAATAGAAGGCGAAACGCAGTGGCTACTCACAGAGACGCTTGCAGACCTGTTGGACTGTTTGTCGCCAGTGGTAACGGGAAAAGGCAGTTTCTCGTCGCTGTTGTAGCTGCTGCTGCTGTGGTTTGCAATATTGGCCATTGTTGCATGCTTCTTCTTCGGCAAAATCTCTTGAAACCCATCATGGATGTCGTCTACGGCCTTGAATTGTCCCAAAGACAGTGTCGGCATTCCTAATTCCAGCGGCGGCGGACGCAAAATAATAGACATCATGATGGCCTCTTCCACTGTCTGGGTCGACAAAATGACGTCCTCCTGGTTCACGTATCCGGCAAGCTGGCGCATGCTGCTGCCTGAAGCCAAGCGGCCATTGATCCAGATGTTGCCGCTCGTAGTCCCCTTAGTGGTCTGGCCGGCTAGCAGATTTAGCAAGGTGGTCTTGCCTGAGCCTGAAGGTCCCAGGATGGCGGTCAGTCGGCCTGGCCTGAATGTCCCGCTAACTTGGTTAAGAATAACCTTGTCCTCGTACTTGGCTCTGGTAAATGGCGCTTTTAGAGCGTGAAGAACGGATGAGACACGACTGGGGTTAGTGTTTTCAGCGAGGGTAGGCTTGACAGGCACCCTGACAGAGTATGTCAGCCCTTCGAATGAGATTTGCAGCGGAGTAGTTTTTTCCATTTGGATGATACTGCTAATAGAAAGATAAAAAATAATAATATAATATTAATGGTGTAGCTCAATGAATAAAAAATAAAACATAATACTGCGTTGATGGACCCGCCGTAATATACCTTATATTTTATATTACAGAATTGTTTTGGCAATATAGAAAACCTCCCTGCGCTAAAAACCAGCTTTATCCAGACATTGAATGGTTGAGAGAACAAAGCGCCGTTGAGTGAAAACCGGATGTAAGCTATATTACTTTAGTTATTACAAATAAACCGATAATTGTCACAATATTAGGGAACAATATTTATTTTAATACACTCCAAAGTCACGCTGATAAGTCAATAGTGCACAACAAAGACATTTGTTTAAATCTTTGTTTTATTAAAAGGCGCCCCCTTTGGGGATCATTGAATTATGAATTGGCTTAAATGACCTGCCAATTCATCCAATATAAATTGGTCAACGCAGGGAGTATCACAGCCATTTATACGAGCAGTGCCCCTTTTGAGGGTGTTATTTATTTTGTGCCTCGTAATCGACCGCTATGCCTACACGGTTGAGAGAGAAAATAGATATATATTATTACACGGTTGTGATAGGAGTCGGGCATTCCCCGTACTTGTGGACTTTTTCTCAACTTTGTAAGCGGAGGGAATAAAGTCGGGGATTTAGCATACTTTTTTGAAAGAAAAATTGGGAGATATTGTTATTATATTAACAAATCTGACCAGATCAAGGTTCTGTGGGAGGTCTCGCTTTTTCAATTCAAGCGTCCTCTTTTTTCGTCGAGTTTGTTTTATTGGAATTTTTTAGTATTTCAATTTATTTGGAAAAATTCTAAATTCTAAAATTCTAAAAAATGCTGGGCCACCGCTCAGCCTGCTGTCAAACAAAGCGCCCTTAAAGATGCAGACAGAGCTGGAAGGCTTCTGATGCCGGGACAGCTGCTGATGTCGAAAAATGGCAAAAACGAAAGCGGAAGAAACGGGACAGTCGGTTCCCTTACATCAATGACCTGATGTATGACGACATCCTCAGTTGGATCAAACCTGCTGTGTTCATTGACCCCGACAGGTCCGAGATGCTGTTGTGACATGGCTTCAAAGTGTTCCTGATTGATGAGTTCTTGACATACGAGTTCTGCATGGCATGCCATTCTGAGATGTAGACACATCACTGGGTGCCCAATCCGCATGAAGTCAGAAAGTCCAACTGCAAGCCCAATCCCAAGCGCACAGATGGCGACCCTGCATCTGATATGTCAAAGCCTGTTGGTTCCCTGTCAGCCAAAATCATCAGGACTTAAGGCGCCAAGTGCGGATGGTCAAAGGGCAAGATCCAGCGCAAGATTTGGCAGCAGGGGAACATGACGCGTTGGACAGACAGCAGTTAGAACAGCAACTTTCAGTCTTGGGTGTGGGCCAATCGAGCCTGTCAACAAAATCATCAAGATCCTTTGCCACAGCCTGCTGCGGTGCACCAACGAGACATGCCTGCAGACCTGGTATGCCGATTGATGTTATCCCAATTGACCGCAACAGCGACGAAAAAAAGCTGAGGGGTGTCATGGCCAAGCAATGCGTCGATGAATTGGAGAATGCTGACGCGTACTACGCCGCAGCAACACCTTCCAAATCCAGTCAAGATACTATTCAACAAAAAAACGATGAGTGCAGAATCAAAAATCTTAAACTTATAAAGACCCCAGCGACAGCTATTTCTGCGGCACAGCTTAAAAAAACCCCTCCCAGAATCAAGCTCAAGCTCAAGCTCTCCGCTGATCCTAATCTCCGGGCGGCCGATTAAAAAGTTTTATTTTCTAAAAAAAGTTATTTCTCCCGCTTATGCATGGGGTTTCCGAAAGGTTTCCATCACAACTGCGCGAATGGTGAGGAAATTCACTTTTCTTCATTGCATTTGTTTATTTCAACTCACACTTACATTTGCACACACATTGTCGCGTTTACTCTATGAACAACAGAAAGCCACCATTTACGGGGTCCAGGTCTCCCTTCAAGCGCTTCAAACGCCGTCAAAGACCACACGCCATACCGGCATCGCAGCGCGCAACACAGTCACGTTTGCTATTAACACCTCCCGCAGTGCTACCCGTGTCCCAGCACAGGATCTCAGCAGGACCAATGCGCATAATTGTTGATTCGTATGCTGGCCATGCAGCTGATATTAATATGACTGCACATAAACGCAAGCGGGTGAGCAATGGCGCGTCGCAGGACGACGAGCTGAGCGTTATAGCAGCGCACGGAGCCAAGCTTAAGGCCGATCGCATTCGCATGTACCTGAGTGACAGCGACAACAACAATAGAAAGGAGGAAGAGGACAGAGAGCCCGATTCCAAGCGTGCGCGGGGCCTGCAACGGAGCAAATCGGACGTGTATGTCGATATTCATAGGCGGGACACAAAGTCAAGAATAGCGTCCCCGCAGCTGTCGACGAGGAATAGCAGCAGCAAATACACAGTTACTGATACACAGACAGCGATGAGCTCAGGCTCGGATTTGGATTCAGAATCAAACTCTGACTCGGGCACAAGTTCAGGTTCAGACTCGAGCTCCGAAGCAGACCATTCCAGCGAAGACCGGGGAAATCAGAACCAAGCTCCTGGACGACAGCATAATACTCGACTGGCTGACACTACTCCTGAGCCTAGCACTATTGAAACAGATCAGGGAGACAGTGACTCGGGCATAGGTGCTCCTGAGATCACTGATGACAATACTGACAATGGTGATGCTGCCACGGATGATGACAACCAGTCTGATTGCGAAGAGGCCCAGACTACTTACCTGCAGCCAGCATCCAAAGAGACTGTCAGCGGCAGCAGTAGCGAATCTGCAGATAACACTGAGCAGTCAGCAGCCACATCGCGCCTACGACAGCGCCGCCAAATCAACTACGCAGTCGATCTTTCGTTTAACGACTTGGACGGATTTTTCGAAAACCCCGCTGATCAGGACAAAATTGACACCAGAAGCCGACCAAGGCGGGGCCACAATCTTAGAGGTCAACCAGCCGACAGAAATGGCGAGAGCTTGGTGGGTGCAGAGGACGATGTTGCCAGCGAAGGCGAGGCCAGCAGTGTTGCTAATGGCGTTGGCACCTCTGACAACAGTGATTCCGAGTGCGCCAACGAAGACAAGGTATCGCAAGTCGTGAAAAGCCAGTCACGCAGAGGAGGAAAAAATGCAGGGGCTCTCTCCCCATGTAGGCAGTTTCGCAGCACGACCGGCAGTGTGTCGTCTAACATCTCGCCTGAGAGTGTCGGCCGTGACGATATTACACCCAAACTTACGGCACGCAAGAAGCCAAGGTTAAAAAAAGGTGAAACTCACGAGACACCCATATCCGAAGCGTCGGGGACGCGATACACGCTGCGCAACCGGAATCGGCGCGTATCGTATCGTATCCCGTCGCCACTGTTGGAGTCGCCATCGCAGATTAGGACGTCTCTGCGCAAGCAGAACGATGTCGATCGGTTGGTCGATGAACACCTGCCGCAGTCAGGCCCTGAGGACAATGTCTGGGCGGCAGTCTCAAAGGGGTGTGGTCCATTGAGCGATCCCAACTTGGGCCCGAGGGGTGAGAACCAGGCTGCGGGCAACGACGAGCTGGAGATGATCCTGCCCATGAATATGGTGGAGCTCGGTGCAGAGCGCTGTCGCAAGGCTGGCTACGTCAACGATGCGATGTTCGCTGACAGCAGCAGCTGTCCCCTCACGACTGAGGTGTCGTTCAATGATGTGGGTGGCCTGGACGATTATGTCCGGTCGCTGAAGGAAATGGTTGTTTTGCCCCTAGTATACCCAGAGATATCTCTGTCTTTTGGCATCAAGCCGCCGCGCGGCGTGCTTTTCCATGGTCCGCCAGGCACAGGAAAGACGCTTATGGCGCGGGCGCTGGCGCAAAGCTGCTCGATGCAGAAAGGCGGTCAGCCCATTGCGTTTTTTATGCGGCGCGGAGCCGACTGCCTATCCAAATGGGTCGGTGAGGCCGAGCGTCAGCTGCGGCATCTGTTTGAGCAGGCCAAGGCATTCCAGCCGTCAATCATATTCTTTGACGAGCTCGATGGTCTGGCGCCAGTGCGCAGCTCGCGGCAGGACCAGGTACATGCGTCAATTGTAGCAACCCTGCTGGCGCTGATGGACGGCATCGACGACCGCGGCCAGGTAATAGTAATTGGCGCGACAAACAGGCCGGACTCGATTGACCCAGCGCTGCGGCGACCTGGGCGGTTTGATCGCGAGATGCTCTTCCGCCTGCCGGGGACTGATGCGCGGCGCAGTATCGTTCGCATCCACACGCGCAAGTGGCTGACGCCTCTGTCGGAAGCCGACGAGTCTGATATTGTAGAGCACACGCAGGGCTGGGGAGGCGCCGATATTGGCGCGCTGTGCACGGAGGCTGTGCTCGCGGCAGTGCGGCGAAGCTTTCCGCAGATATACGACAGTCCTGAGCGCCTGAACATCGACACGCGCTACATCAAGGTCGGCGCGGCTGATTTGCGGCATGCAATGCGCGCGATAACGCCGTCAACAAAGCGCAGCGGAAGCTCTGGGATTTCGGCGTTGTCGAGAGCCCTAGAGCCGCTGATGTCGGATACGTGCGAGGGGGCGGCTGCGTACCTGCGCTCAGCACTGACAAGTACTGCGGCCGTGTTCAGGCCCCGGGTTGCCGTGTACGGTCGTGCTGGCATGGGTGTAGGGAGCCTGGGCGCAGCAGTCGCATATGCAATGGAGGCGTGCGAGATACCGGTGTTTGTTTTGAGCGCTGTGGCCATGTTCCGCGATGCCGATGCGACGCCGGCAACTCAAATTGCACGGCTGTTTGCTGAGGCGCAGCGCAAGCAGCCCAGCCTTGTGTTTATCCCGATGGCCCATCGTCTGACTGATGTCCTTGACGAGAACACGATTGCGCTGCTGGACCAGTGCATTGACGACTTGTCCATGTCTGACCGTATTGGAGTCCTGGTATCGGCAGAGGCGCCCAGAGACTGCCAGCCGCCGCGTTCAAACGCCGACGATGACTGCGAGCTCGTGTGGCAGCAAGCGATGCCAGAGTTTGCGCGGCAATGGTTTGCTGAGATCGTGTCGCCGGACAGTCGCGTGTGTGCCACAATGCCGACTGCTGAGCAGCGCGATGCATTTTTTGCGCCGCTGCTTGGCCTGATCGGCAGCTCTGACATGGTTGAGCCGGTCATTGAGCCGCTGGATGTTGCTCCCATTGTTAGTTCCTTGGCGTTGGAGCAGCAACTCAGCCCCGAGGAAAACAGCGTTTTGAACAGACTGCAGCATGGGATGACTGCGGTTCTTCAACTGGCCCGCACCAAGCCGGTGTTTAAGAACATGCTGACGCCGGTCTCTGCCGACATACATCCTCTGTTCTATTCTGCTTTCGCGAACCCAGTGTTTTTGTCGACGATCGAAGACAGGATTGCCGCGCGCAAGTACTTGACAGTGGCCGAATTTATCGATGACTTCAAAATGATCGGCAAAAACACGCTGACATACTTTGAGCAGACGTCGATAGACATTACCAGCAACTCCCCGGAACCGATCACAGACCATTTGGAAAGAGATCAGGTCTACAGTGAGCTGTACGCGAGCCTGAAGATAATAGGCAAAGTATCCAAAAATATGGTTGTCAAGTGCATCGACCTCGAAACGATTGAGGATAGCAACGCAATTGCCGAGCGTAGGAACCAAGGCACCGGCCTGTTGGGCGCGATGCACGGTGGCAGACCCTCGGTCAATGGCGCGACCCTGAGCTCGTCTGTCCTGAGGGGCGGCGTCTCGATCGGCCTGCCCTCGCCCCCGCTTCTGCATCCCTCCTTGGATGGTGCCAGCCGGACATCATCCTTTGACAGCGCCTCTCGCAATGACGATTTACTGCCCGCTCAGGCCTATTTGACTGCGACGGTGGCAGATGACGCTGATGGTGTGGATGCAGGCAGCAGCGGCAAGTACAGAAAAATTCTCGAGGACGAGCTAAAGACTGCGGCCAGCCGCCTGACAATAGAGTCGCTGGAGTCCTTGCGTGTGCGGTTAGTAGCTGAGGCCAGCAACACAGTAGAGGCACTACTAAAGCCCGACAGGGCGTTCAAGGCCGTAGTCAATGCACTGAGGCTGTGGCAGGGCGAACGCGAGCGTCAACAAAGGAAACGGTAGTAGTAGTGATGGCTTGTTCGACTTTTTTGTGTTCAGATCTACTATAATTATTCATTTCTCTCTCGGCCCTTTATTGCCCTTCATTGTTTTACATGTATATATATTCTCCAGAAGAAAGGGTATTTGGTCGTCAAAATTGTCCGGCTGAAAATTCCAAGACTTGCTGCTTTTCGCGAGTCTTTGTTGTCTTTTTTTGTGAGATGAACATTTGCGTAAGCACATCGTACACATATTCCGCCGTCCTTTTTTTGCTCCTGTCTTATTTCTTGTCCTGTTTTTTCACTTATCTTTCTTGATTTCCCAATATTTTGCATTTTGCATTTTTACAGTTGTTTTTTCTTTTTTTGTACTACTACATTTCATTTGACTCGTTCAAATTCATCCTACAAGCTTTATTATTATCGAAATGATTTTCGGTGCCCTTGGACTTTTGGCCATGGGCTTTTGGAAACCACTGCGGGAGGGTGGCAACTATTACTACACTTCTCGTAACCGAGCGGGCATGTTTACCAGTTGCGGCATTATTGGCGTGGGCTTTGCAGTAGTTATGACCTCGACGGTATTTGCCGGTATACGGCGCGCCACCGGGATAACGTTCCGGCGCAACATGCCATGGCCGCCAATCGACGTGAAGACCAGTGAGAAGTTATTAAACTGGTACGACTCGCGCATTGAGCAACTAAGCGAGAGAGCCGAAGAGCGTATCAGAATCACAATAGAAAGGTACGGTGCGGATATCGAGGACCCGGCCATAAGAGAGGTCTGGGAGCAGCAAATACGCAAGGATGTGATGGATAAAGTGGAGCGGATCCGCGAGCGCCGCAGCTGCTGTGCTGAGCTCGTGCAGCAGGCCAAGAAGAGACAGGCCAGTCCTGATTCTAAGAGCAGCCGCCGTCATTACCCGTTTCTTGCCGTCTACCTGTATATTGGCGAAAAGGCATTTGACTTTATAGTCTGCTGGATGCGCTATAACCCTCATTTTATCTACGAGGGCACCGATACTGCCGGTATTCTCGGCTCTGTCAGCATGGAGGACCTGTTGCGCGACGGCTGCCACACGCAGTCGCAGGGCCAGGGCACCCAGATCCACACTACGTGCAGCACCCCTGCCTGCACGGGGTCGTATAACGCTGTGGACGTGGCCAATTCTGGCAGGAGTTGCGGAGCAAGTGGCAGCAATAACAGCAGCAGCCTCAGAATTAATGACCGTGGGCAGTCATCGTCCCAGTGCACACTGATTCCCTACATTGCCACTTGCTCCCAGTCTGGTGATACCGAGCTATTGCCAGAGCCCAGTGCCCCTTCTCTTTCAGAAAGCGAATTCCTCGGGATGTCTGCACCTCCTGCGCAAGCAAAGTCTCTCTCGGAGTTGCACTCGTCACAATCCATTGAGGCCGGCCCCTCGTCGCGCGGCCAAACCCAGCCATTGACGCAAGCGATGGCGCCCCCGCCATATACGCTCATGGAAGACTACGTGGACCATTTCTGTGAGGAATCCGAGGAGATGTCAGACTACAAGCACAAATTGGCCATTGCATAAACGCTCTAGTAATTTTTTATTTTGTTGTTGATAACGTTTCTCTTTTTCATCATTACAATGCCCACACATACAGAAGGGGACAAAACCGTCTCATTGTTTGAACCATCGACTTTCGTACTTGGTGTATCTTTTACCCTGATGGCTCAAATAACATCTCAGTTTTACTATTAATATACTCTACTCCCACTACACATATCAGTGGAATTTGCGTAATTGTTTGCTAATTTGTTGTACAAGTCAATATTATATTTTTATATTTTATGCATGGATTCTTGTGTAACAAAATTCAAAATTTGTATAAAATATATGAAGCTTAAACTTTAAAACTTGGGCATCAGGCTTAGAAGCGGCCTATTAACACCAAATATAACTTTAAATTATAACTGCCATTTTTATTTTATTCTGTATTACCAAGAGTATATTTATACTTTTATAGCAATTACAACAAATTTTTCGTAATTTTACTATTTCTCAGTCATGATCATCACTTGTGACAAGGGCAACATCATTAAGTCAATGGCTCACAACGGCTTCACTTCTACAGAAATTAGAAACAGAATACACATCAAGCCAAGCACAATTAGAACGTATCTTAGTCGGCACTGTATCTACAGCAAAAGGCCCAATGGGGGCCGTCCTACAATTTTGACCAAGGATGACGAAATCTTTATTCAAAGTTTTCTCCATCACAGGGAAGAGATTGGCATTGTTACACTTACCAAAAGGCTGTCAGAGAGAGCTTCAATTAAATAGGCAGACTATTCAGAGATATCTTGCTCACATTTGGCATTACTCTCGTGTTGTGAGTCAAAAACCATTTGTTACCAAAAACAACCAAAATTTACGGTACAGATGGCCAAAAACCCACAAGTAGCCCGAAACCGATTGGGAGCCAGTTTTTTGGACAGACGAGTTCAATACTAAGTGCTTTGATACTAGCCATAGGAGGTTTGCAACCAAGGGAAACAACAACGAGATGAAGGCCAAATATATCCAGCCTACTATGAAATATGGTGGTGGATCTTTGGTGGTGCGGGGTGCTTTTCACACTAATGGCCCAGTTCCCTTGGCTCGTCTTAAAGGCAATATGAACAGTGCCATGTACTTTCAAATACTGGGCAGAAATTTGGTGCCCGCTTTGGAAAGTATCAATCTCCCAAATGGAGTCAGTGCTATCTTTCAGCAGGACAATTACCCTAAACACACACCCCGTGTGACTCACAACTGGCTACAGAATCACGATAGTAACGTCTTGTCATGGTCATCACAATTTCCCGACCTTAATCCTATCGAAAACATTTGGGCTCTGTTGAAACATATCTTTACAATTATGACAGTCACCCGAAAAACATTGGTAAACTATTCGAGCGAGCGCAGACTTATTGAGCAACTATTCTAGTTACTACTCTACAAAATTTAGCACATCCAATGCCCAAGCGTATAAGAGCAGTTAGACCATCATGAGGGCTTCCGGTTTAACACATACAAAAAGCTCTATTAGATACAAACCATTTATTATAATTTTTAATACATTGCCATTTAAAAAATTCATTATCCCTCCACAAGCAACTTGTAACCATCTTATATAAATATTATAAGAAAGTAAATGCTTCTCTTTCCAATGATAATTTTAGGCAAGCGATTGGTTTCAAGTTGGTTTATTTATAAAATAAAAAGTCAATCAGGATATAATATGAGACAGTTTTGCGCGGTTCTGTATGTGTATATATGTATGTTTAAATGGTGGGGATAATATATATGGAGAAAAAGGAAAACAATAATAATGGCGTTGAAGGCGTATCTAAGACGGAAAAATAGCTGGTGTGTTTTATGTGTGAGAGAGAATAAAATGCCTTTTTAAAAGAAGAAATTGTTACTTGACGAGCATGCTTGTCATTTATTGCGGCTCGGGCGACAAGTTGACAGAGATCTCGCTGTCATCGTCCTTGCCCAACTCCCCATCCACACCGCCTGTGCCGGAATGTCCTTTGGCGTCAGTAAGAGTTGTGTTTCTGCCAAACTGAGTTGCCCTGGGAGACAAATGGTACTGGAAATCTTGCTGCTGCTGCTGTTGATGGCCTTGGCTGTAGCGATGGTGATGCTGCTGAGACTGGGAGTGTCTTTGCTGGTAGCCCTGCTGTGTTGGCGATGAAAACGCTGTGGGATAATGCTGCTGCGACTGCTGCAGTTGCTGCGAGTAAAACGACCCAGCAGGCGCCGGCTGTTCAGCGGTCGGGTAGCCTTGCCAGTCCATCGACTGCCGCCTGGACTGCAGGGACTGCTGCTGCTGCTGGTAGTGCTGCTGCGGCAAATGATGAGATGAGGGCGATATCTTAAACCCAGTGGGCGAAGTCGAAGAGTCTGCAGACAGAGAAGCAGCTGGCAGCAGCTGTTGTTGCTGCTGCAACTGAGAATCAGACTTTGGTTTAGAGGTCGACCCGCTACCGTCGCGGCTCTCCCTGATAAGAGCCAACCTCCGCGTATGCTCCTCCTGCATAATAGATGCCCACTCAGCATCTTGCTCCTCAACCGTAGCCATAGCCTCAATATCGCGCAGCTTGACCTCGTAGTCGCGGAACATCGACTGGCTCTTGGTGCCCAGCTTGCCGGTTGCGCGCCACTGATAGTAAATGACGCGAAGCAGCGCACACCGCCGCAAATTGACAGGCAGCGTAAAGTCGTCCTCGGAGTGCAAGTCGCGCTGGAGCGCCTCTGCCAGCTGATGCAGTGGCATCTTGGCCTTGCTATCCAGCGTGCCACGCAAAACCGCATTACGGTTGTACCTCAGCCAGCCTCGCGCCGATGACAGCAGCGGCGCACTATAAGCCTCGATTTGCTCGCTTGTGAAATCCCCCTGCTGGCGGTACATGTTGAGCATTGCCACATCGCTTGGGTAAAACGAGTCGAGAGTTAGAAGGTGAAGAAGTGCTGTCTTGTAGTGCCGCTGCGCTCCCAGCCACGTCGAAGTCGGCTGCGCTTGTGGGTTACCACGTGGTGGTCTGTCAAAAGCACGCTCGGCTTGGGCCATCTCAACAGACCCCACGACCTTGCTCTTGGCTCCTCTCAAGTGCAGGTGAGTAGCAGTGCCACGCGCGGGCATCATCGTTGAGTCGGGCTGCGCCATATGCGCGCTCCCAGAACCAACGCTTCCCGGCGTTCCGCTTGGCCTCAGGTGCTGGCCAGCAACTCCGCCGCCACCGCCGCCATGGATGGGAGGAAGGATCGCAAGTGCTTGCCCGTGGCCATGCTGGACGTGATGGCCATGATGGTAGTGCGCCTGGGCAGGCACCAACAGCCTAAGCGAGGAAGATTCCGCAGAGGCCCCGCTTCCAGAATATTGCTCGTCTGATGCAGGATTTCCAACTCGTGGGCGCTTAATGCGGCTGCCCGCGTATCGAGATACACCTGCACCCTGCAGATGTGCAGATTGCGGCGGTGGCTGAGTACTAAACTGGCAATGATGCATATCGATGGATGAGCCAGTGGCGCCATGTGCAGAAAACGCAAAAGTGGAAGTGCTAGCGGAAACAGCAGACGGCGGGGGGAAAAACTGCTGCTGTTGTGGTTGTGGTTGTTGGTTTGCCAAAAGCTGCTGTGAAATCAGATTTTGCTGCTGTTGCTGCTGCATCCGCTCATCCTGCTCAATATCTAATCCAGGCAATGGTGTCAATCCATACGGCAATGAACCCCGGCTTTCACCTTCTCCGGCCCCATGTACACTACCATCAGGTGCTGGCTGCTGCTGCTGCTGGTAATGTGGCAGCCAGGGGGATGTTGAGGACTGGTGTGTGGAACCGCGCCTAATGTGGCTGCTGGGCTCCTGGAGAATACGGTAGCTGGCGGGCGCGACAGCCGGCAAAGACCCCCGATGCCTTTGCAAATGTGCTTGCATCCGTGGCGAATGCGCCATGCTGCCTGCTGGCTGCGCGGCAGGAGACGTGCGCGCGCTGTAAGGAGCAGCCCGCGGCTGGTGCTGGTGATGCTGGTTCTGGAACTGGTACTGCCTGAACACGGACGACGACGACCTTGGCGGAGACTGGTAGCCTGCCGCTGCCACTGATTGATTCTGCGGCTGCGAGCGCCCATACTGATCAGATGGCTGCGGGGTTGCGTAAGGATCACGGCCCTGGTACATCTCTGACTCGGCTGACCCAGTGGCAGCCATGGTAGCCTCAGGGGCCCTTGCAGTCCACCGCGGCTGAATCAAACGTTGACCCTGAGCCTGTGATTGAACTATCTGCTGAGTCCGGTGCCCAATCAAACCTGGCGCCAATGCAGCATTCGATGGCGCGGGTTCTGCTTCTGATCCAATGGCAGTGACGAGTGTGGTAGCCGGCGCGCTGTTGATTTTCTGGAGAGCCACCTCAAGCGAGTTGATCTGACGCGTATGCTTTTCTTGAATTTCCAGCAGCCGCTCGCAGAATCTGTGGGCGTCGTCAATTTTATTCATCATGCTGCGCATCATCTCTTCGGTGCCCGGAGGTGCAACAAAGTGGTGCGGGCGCTCCCTGGGCGACAGCGCTAGGGCCTCTGTCAGTGATCTGATGGGTGCCATATGTGCCTCGGAGCGCTGCAGAGTCTGCGGTGATAGATGAGAATCAGCCGCATTCACGCCAGAGACTCGCTGGGCCGTTTGCAGCGGTGAAAACTCGCAATCGTTGTCGCTCTCGCTGTCCATCATAATGTCCTGGGCTCCTTGGTCGTTGACTGAGGTGATTGCAGATGCGGTGGTAGTTTTGTACGTCGTGTATGCGCTGGCTCTTGTCGTGCTTGTGGTGGTGGGGGTAGCGATAGAAGACAGAAATGATACGGCGGTTTGGTTGGTAGTGAAGGCAGGATTGAAGGTGGCCGGCGGTGACTGGCACCTTGCACCAAGCGAGAAAAATGTAGGGCGGGCAGCTGCAGAACCACTGCTATTATGATGAAGAACGGTGGCACTTGTCGCAGTCAAATCCAACACGCGCGGGGCCAGCGATGCAGCTGTTTCGATTGTAGCTACTGATACGGTTGATGCGATGGTGGACATGTGCGTGGTACATGGAACTGATGGCAAGGGCGAATGGCTATTGGTGCTGGTATTGCTGACGGTATTAGTGGCGGCTATCGAGGGAGAAGATAAAAGCGCTGCCATGTGATTTATAGCTGTCGAAACTTGCTGCTGCTGCTGGGCAGCCATCCGGGAGGGACGCTGTGCGCTGATGCCATCAGTCCCTGAATACGGCGTGCTGTGAACCTCATAGTCGCAATCCATCATACGGTTGGCATCAGCATCAAAAGGCTTCCCCATGGCTGCGACCCTGCCCTTATCTGCCGCCGTCTGCTGCTGCTCCGCGAGTATCGATGGGACATTTGAATCTGGAATGCTGCAAACTAAAGGTGCTATTGTCGCCGCTGCCGCTGCCAATGCTGAGGTTGGAGAATTATGCGGGGCTCCAGAAAAGGAAGCAAAGGGCGAGGCGCCACCTATGATACTACTACTGTCGAGGCTAGCATTGCTGCTACGATTGATATCGCTGCCGTCGCTGCTACCATTGTTGCTGCTGGCGCCCTTGCCCAAATTAGCCTCGCTGCACATGCCAATAAAGCTGTTGCCGCCGTTTCTGCTTGCGCTGTTTTCGTTGTTATTGTTTTTGTCGTCGATACTGAATCTGGATCTGGATACGTTTATGACCGAAATATCTGCTGCGTGTACCTCGGCTGAAGTTGCGGTGCTCATTAAGAAGAAAAAAGTAAACTGACACGCGGCAAAGAAAAATAAAATGTGAAAGATGGAAATGAAAACTCTGAAATGGTTGGATAAATTTGTATATCGGAAATGTGCCAGTACAAATGGATGTAGATGCTGTAATAAATGCCAATGCTAATGATAAGAACGAAATGGCGAAACGCTGCAGGCGACAACAATACTGATGGCGGTGGTAAATAATAGCTAGCCCCCAGGAGAGAGAAATGAAAGATGGTGCACAGCTGTTTATAAGCTGTATCTGCTTGCTCGGAGATTGGTAAAAGTGCCTATATATTTTTAAAATTAAACGTTTTAAATACAAATGTTTTAATCAATATTTTGTGTGCGCTAAAATTTTTGTTTACCACTCATTAATACAAAAGGGCGTGATATAAACCAGGGCTTTTACTTGTTCAATTACAATGCAAAGCATGTACAGTAAAGTAAAATGTGGCTTTGCACACGATGATATTTACATGTCAAACAATGGATCTTGTAACACAAATAAAACAACAATAGTATTTAGTGCCAACAACATTTATTTTATGTGTTGTAAATAGAAATAGATTTGGAAATGCAGTGCACAATGAGCTCAATGACAGCGAGTTGTTTAACTTGGACACTTAACATTCCGCATATAAACCTAGTCGCATTGTTCTTTGACAAAGAAATATAATAATAGGCACTAACATGTGAGGGAAAAGATGAAGGACTCATCGACCGCTAAAAGCACACTGGCAAAAAAAATGTTTGTGCGGCTAACTGTCATTACAAGTCTGAATACATACCGTGATAGCCTACAGCCAAATGTAAAACTTTGGAAAGGTCTCTGCAGAGATATAGAATCTGTATAATGCTGAAATAAAGATTAAAGAGATAAAGAGATAAGAAAAAAGTGTGGGTGCGATGCAAAGGTCAAGCAATAAAAATAAAGAGAATACGTGTGAAAGAAAACCTTTGATAAACAAATGAAACGGCCCTGATAAATGGTTTTACTCCCCTTTTTGGCAGCCTTTGTGCAAGATAAAAGCTAAAAAGGCAAAAATGTCGATGGTCTGGTTAAAAATGAAAAAGAAGAAGATTGTGGGGTAATAGGGTAAGAGATATAAAAAGTACTGTCTGCAAATATAGACGAACGATTTCTAAAAAGAATAAATAGGTTCTTGCAACTCTATAAATACAAAAGAGAGAGAGAAATGGCTGAGTATAGAGATTAATGAGGATTCTCGGATGCGCAATTAAAATATTTGTTTGCTGTTGAAAGAAAGGAGGAGGGGTTGGTTGTTGCAAAACCGGTGGTAAAAAAAGAAAGAAAAACGATTGTTAGTTTGTGGTTAGCTTGGGCCCCTGACTTTAAGTGGCTAATGAAAGAGATGAAAGTAGGAAACGGAAGGTGATAGAAAAATGAGAGCAACCGGATCTGCAAGAATCTCCCAGAACCAAACACAGATCAAAAAAATTTAAAACTAATAATTGAGTAAAAAAAAAAGTATGCTCCACAAATTGTAGGTTGAAACTATTGAGGTGAGTGGGTGGGTGTGCACAAGGAAAAAATTGATAATTTGCGATGGCTTAGTTGAGTAGAAAAAGAAAGAAACATACACCAGTGATGGTTACAAAAGACAAGACGGATGCCTGACTTGCGGCTGTGTGTGTGCTGAGTGTGAAAGAAACAAGAAAGTAAAAGGGGAAGGCTTAGTGTGGCAGAAGCAGCAAGCGATTGACAGGGTGGATAATTGAGGGTTCCGCCAAAAAAGAGGTAAAAAATACCAATACAATAAAGAGTGAGAAAATGGGTGATGGCTTTGGGAATAAGGAATCAATACAGAAATACAGAAATACACGTGCTGGGTGTTTATTAGATGATCAAGGCGGCGCCTCCCTGTAGACACCATCAACATCAGGCATCGGGCATCAGTGGGGGGTGCTTTTTAAAATAGAAACACAAGCATTAGTGGCAACAACAGGGCTAGGGACCGTGCTATTTTTTTGGTTTAAAATATTTTTTTTTTGAAAAATTAAAGACCGGCTTTTTGGATGGGGGAAAAAGCACCGTTATTGCATTTCCGAAACTTACTCATGCTGAGTTTTAAAAGAATAAAATTATTTTTGCCTGCCAAACCAACAAAAAAAATGAAAGAGATGGACAAGTATTGAGCAAAATAAAAGAGGACAAAAATAGAAATTTGGGATTTACAAGGTATTAAAAAGAGGCACGGATGCAGCCAAATCAACAGTCAACAACAAAATTAAACTGAGTGAGTTTAATAAATTTCTTCAAGTCAGGTAGAGTATTATTACAAGTGGAAATTAGTTGCGCTCAAGAAAAAACAATATCGCAATGAGAACAAAGCAAAAACAAAACAATAACAATTAAATGTTTTATTTGTTATACAATATCTTGATTGGATCTACAGCCTGTTTCTTTAGATGCAATTTAGATGCAGTGAATACTGCAACATTTCCACTCTAATTTATGCAAAAACGAGAACAAGAAAAACCCAGATGTCTATTGACTGCATCAACTTGCATATAAACGGAGACTATGCAGCCCGACAGATGAAAAATTAGATAGAGTCAGTCTGGAAAGTAAAAAATGAAGAGGAGAAGGAAAAAGGCAACGTTATTCATGACGTAAATTAAGGATGCTTCATACCGGTCCTTTTTTTTAGAAAACTGCATCTCTGCGGCATGTTAATTGGGTTGGATCGATATAAATTGAATTAACAAAAGACTGAGTCTGATTGGTATTCACAGTAAAAAAAGAATGTTTTTTTGCCGAGAAAACGTAAACAAACCAAAAACCAACTTTAGAAATTACATATACGTGCATATGAAGGTGGAATAGTATTTAGTGCTAAGCCATCAATTTTCGGAAAGAAACTATCCAAAGCACTGAAGGATTAAAATGGCCCAACTCTTCAACCCCCCCCCCCCCGCACTTTTTTGTATGATGCTGCAGTATTGCATAGTGGTATGATGTAAAGTGGTAGACAGGAAAGGGAGTTCACGTTTTGAAACATACATCAATATGAAATAAGAATTAAGCAAAATTAAATGGACTAATTAAATGAAGGAGGTAATCAAAACGTTGCTAGAGTAATGAATTAGAGGCAAGTATACCCAAGAAAGGAAAAATTATAGGTCAATTGGGTTGTAAAGACGGGGTATATGGTGTGAGTGTGTTGTTGGACAATAGTTTTACAAAATAGATAAGTGTGCGTACTTACTTTAAACAAAGTATGTTGGTTGCGTATTTTCTGCTGGCAATTGTGTGACTGTTTTTAATATAAATGACCTAAAGAAAAAAGAAAAGCGAAGAAAAAGGGTATGAATCAATTAAAAAGAAAAAAGGAGAAAAATGACAGGCAAGCAAATGAGCGACTAAAGTAAAAAAATAGTAAAATTTTTTATTCAACCTCCGCTTTTGAAGAAAAACCATGACTTTATGACTTTATCCCCTGAAGTAACGAATGTGTAAATTGAATCTTGATGATGCAGGGTGTGTGATATAATTTTTTTGTTTATTTTATTTGTCATCGTACAATAAAGCATATGCGTCTATTTCTAATTCTCATGAGTATTCGATTTTCTATTGCTCGCATGTCAAATATCTATTAGAAATAGAAAATATTTTTAACTATGTATTCGGAAAAAAAAGTGGCAGTGAATAAAGAACCCCTCAATTTTATTTACTTTTTGTCAATTTTCTTCTGACTTCTAATAAAAATCAAAAAAGAAAGCCAGCAGTCAATTGCTGGTCATACGGTATGCCTGACTGACTGATTTTTCAATCTAATTGTTTCTATATTGTTTAGGTGAACCCCTTGATTCTTCGAGTATTCTTGTGTTCACCTTTTTTTTTTTTCTTTCTTTATTTTTTTTTTATTTTAACAGAATGATCAAATGTGAACAGGTGACAAAAATTATGCGTCAAGGCAAGAATAAATATGTTCTTAAAAAATTCATTGTGGAGCTAAAGTGCGTGACTATGTATGGATCATGCATCGTACATTAGGGATTGTTCCATTAAATATATTTCACATTTAATTACTTTTTTCATGTATGTCAAACTGAATGAATAAAAAAGCGAAAAGAAACAACTACTTTGTATGTATTTGCTGCGCGAGTAATCTGCAAACCAAATGCATCTTGCATTTTTATTTAATGTAAGGAGTAGGGAAAGGAAAGAGATATATATATACTAAATAGCGACTATGAGCGAGCGCCAAAAACATTGGTTCCGACTGCGCACAAATTATTTACATTGTATCTAAATGTCTTTTTTATTCACTATTTTTCTCACGTTGGTTGGGAAGAGCAATTACTCAATATAATTTAATTTTTTTATGCCCACGCTTGTAGCGCGATTGCGTACATATTAAATTGATGCCAAATGTATTTCAGTTGTGAGGATGAGGGGGAGGGGGAGGAAAGAGGTTGAAAGCTCAAGTAAAAAGAATAAACAGATGGATGCTTTTGACATGAATGATGTACGAGAGAGCTTCAATGTGTCTGGATACAACTACCTCGCAGTAGCATGCTTATGCTTGCTCAAACAGTATCATTGTGTATTTTATTCTTTATTTTCTTTACTAATGAACAAACGATTGAATAATACCAGTAGTTTCCATTCTCTGTTTAAAAAACCAAAACCAACACGCAATTACAATGCGAGCAAAAGGACATAACAAAAAGGCTGACGTCTTTTGGTGGTGGAAAAATGGCATATAGTGAAAGAAAATTGGACAACGACATCAACAACATAGTAAAAAGGGGTGAGGCGAAGAGGGTGTGTGTGTGGGTAAAAGAATGATGCCAAAATATTGGATAATGGTATAAAAACGAAATTAAAAAAGCTGAGTTGTTTAAAGAATACGGCATCCGCTCTTCTTCTTCTTCTTGGTCTTTGCAGACATGGCGGCACGTGTGGCACCATCAAACACCTCGCGGACGCCCTCGTTGGTCTTGGCAGAGCACTCGTAGTAGCCAGTAGCGCCGATCTTCTGAGCGACATCCTCGCCCTATAACACCAGAAGGAAAACAAACAAAAAAAAGAAAAAAGCCATGGTTGTTAGTTGCAGTTATTTTTCTTTAAATAGGCTCCTCCCTTTTAGCGTCACACAACCAAGACAAGACAATGCAAGGCAAGGCAAGGCAAAACAAAACAAGCAATAATTGCTCAAAACGGCTCTTACATCCTGGAAGGACACGGGGGACTGGTTGTGGCTCCGGAGCTCAGCAATGGTCGAAGGGTCGTTGCGCAGATCCTTCTTGCACCCAGCGAGAATAATAGGCAGACCGGCACAGAAGTGCAGGACTTCGGATATCCACTTCTCCTGGACGTTGTCGAGCGAGTCAGGTGAGTCGATGGCGAAGCAGATAATAATCACATGCGAGTCGGGGTACGACAGAGGACGCAGGCGGTCGTAGTCCTCCTGACCAGCAGTATCCCAAAGCGCCAACTCCACGTGTCTTCCGTCAACCTCGACGTCCGCAACATAGTTCTCGAACACGGTCGGGACATAGACCTATATTCAAAAGCAACAATGAAGGTCAGAAAAAATAAAGAGAGGCGTGTGTTAGTGTAGAAGCGTTGTCACAAAACAGTAGCGTTTGTGGGAGATTCAACAAGCAAAAATTACAAATCGCGAGACAGTTGGCCGAATTGACCTCCAATCCCCCTCTCCTTGTCCAATTTGCTGCAATCTGCGTTGGACAGATTGCAAAACAAAAAAGGGAGCCTTGGACAACACGCACCCACGGCGCGAGAAATAAACATAGAGTATGTAATAAAGAGAAAATAATTTTAAAACATACCTCAGGGAAGGTACCCTTGGAGAAGACAATAAGCAGGCAGGTCTTTCCACAGGCACCGTCACCAACAATAACCAATTTGCGGCGAATATCAGAGCTCATTGTACAATAAAAGCGAAACCAAGAAAAATATAAAACCTCGCGTATATGAAAAAGAGTAATAGGAGCTATTAAATATTAAAAAGAAAAGGTTAAAAAGGAAATATTTTTTAATGTTCAAAAATTCAAGATGAAGCTAAAAAAATATAAATATAAAAAATTGTGTTTAGGGCAACAAAAGAAGAAGAAAAAAAGAAGGGGAAATTCTTTTTTTTTTCCTTGCCTTTGTTGTTGTTTTTTTTTGCTGTTGTTGTTGGGCATTTGCCCACCTTTTTTCAGTTTGTGCCCTCCTCCCTTTTCCTCTCCCCCCTTCCCCTTCCCCTTCTCCCAGCTCAATCAATCACAAATTAACCTGCGTGTCGAAGCAATCACAGCGGTATAGTGTTGGTGTGTGCGACTGACTGATTTTGGAAACCTTTTTCTTCTTATTTTTGTGGTCAAGTTCAAACTTTGATAATTGTTCATGTTGTTCCTATCTGTCTGCCTGTCTGTCTGTCTGTCTCTTTTTGATCAGTCTGCATCGTCATTCTTGTACAGCTATGGCAAGTAACCGCAGCAGAGTCGTGGTGAGAGAGGGGAATAAAGAGAGAGAGACACGGTGGCCTAAATAGGAAGAGATGTCTGCCTGCTTGGGTTTGCGCAGCAATAAAATATGTGAAAAGAGCAGGGGCCGGTAAACCCTGGGTTCTTTTTCTGATGGCTGACAGAGACACTGATGACACAGAATTTTCACATTCTTTCATCCCCGTTGTTATTTACGCTTTATTTTTAGGAGTGACGTTGTAGTCAAGTCAGCCCGCCAGTCAGTCAGACAGACAGTCAGTCGGTTGTGGTCAGCCCACACTAGGAAGAAAAGTAAATAATATCAAAAAGGGGGGAGGTTGGGCGACGATCATTTTGCACAAGCGCATGCCAGCTCGGGGTCAAACAACAACAAAGTTGAAAAATAAACAAATGCCAAAGCGAACAAAGCAGACCAAAAAAATAGGTTTTCAATTTCCAATTTCCAATTCGAGCTGCATAATATTATAGAATTTGGGATGACTCGGGCCTATTGGCATTGAGCCGCCTGCCCCCCCCCCCCCCAGCGCAGCAGCAATCGCTGCTGCGCTTTATAAATGCGCATTCTTTGATGCAGCCAATGCTTTTGGACACATGAAAAGTAGACAGAAAAGGGCGGGTGATTGATGATGAAATGCGTAGGAGCTTTCAACTCTCGATGAAATTCATATAATTGTTCAATTCAAACCCCCCAAAACACTATTAACGTTATTATTATTTCTGTCAGAATGGCCACCACACAAAAGGTAATGCGGCGAAATGGAGGAGCGCGTGGGCGTGTTTGCAGCATTTCTCATTTGAAGAGAAGGCTCAGGGAACGGAATTCGCCAAAGGCCATTGCTTAGAGGAATCGCATTATTCAGGGCTAACTCCATTTTTTACTCTCCACTCTCCGCTCTCCGCTCTCCCCACTCTCCACTCTCCACTCTTCATTTCCCACTTCCCACTTCCCATTTCTCACACTCAACCTGTAGGCGGAAAAGACACTCGAGCAGTGGCAGGACGACGCGCTCTCGACAGTGCTCCTGGTGACACTGGACAACACAAACCCAAAGCGCAGCCGGCGATGCTACCTGGGCGACGTCGCCCAGGAGCTGCAGGAGGAGGGCGCAGCGGCGCTCATAACAAAGAACACGCTGGAGCGGGTGCTGGTCGCGCGGCTAGAGGAGGAGCGCGTGGTGGGCAGCGGGCTGGGCGTCTTCGAGTACCTGCTGGGCAGCTGGCAGGCCGTACAGGGCGTCATAGGCAACCTCGCCGGGGCCAAGGGCAGGACTCTCGACGCGGCTGTGCGCACGGAGCGCGTCCAGGCGCTCACCGAGGCGCGCACCCTGCTGGTGTCGTACATGGGGCTGGCGCTGCAGATCCCCGATATGTTCCCGCAGTTCGGGCGCAGCGGCCGCAGGGTCATCGCCGATGCGCTGCTGGCCGAGAGCCCAGACGACCCCGTGCGCCGGGCCGTCATCGACGAGTGGCTGCCGCAGCTTGCCGCGCGCTTCGCCGGCGACGACATGGCCGAAACCATCGGCCCAGTGGTCAGCGAGCTCGGCGCCGCAGCATTGCTGCCCGAGTTCCACAGCCTACTGCGCCCGGGCTTCCGCCGCGTTCTCGATGCGCTGGACGCGCTGACGTCGCACGCAGACCTCGCCAAGGCGCTGCCACACATGGCGAGCTTCGACCACATCGAGTGCACGGGCCGGCTGGTGCAGGCCAGCTCGGCCCTGGGGCCCTTCCTTGCGCTCAGCGGGTTCCCAGACAGCGACCGGGCGATCGTCCAGGAGTACTACGCGGACGCGCCCGAGCGCAGCGCCGGCGACCGCGACGCCCTGCACAGCAGCCTGCGCGCAACAACGCAGCTCGTCCAGGCGTCGCTCTTCGCCGTGCTCGACCGGCTTGTGCGCGCCGGCGCGGACGAGCGCACGCGCACGCTGCAGTTCACCCTGCGCACCCTGGCGACCAACGCGCTGCGCTCCGGCATGCAGGTGGACGCGGCCAGGGTTGTGGACGACGGCTTTGCCGACAACCTCGCGGCCGCGTGGCTGCGGCTGGCCGATCCGTTCACGCAGGACGCGGCGCTGCGGCGGCTTGGGCGCGTCGACGCCGACTGGGTGACGCTGCGCGCGATGCGCGGCGCGGACCACGGCGGGCTGGGCGACGGGCGCGGCCAGATCGCCGCGCACTGGCGCGAGCTCACGCGCGTCAACGCCGACAAGCAGCTGGTCGACGCGTACCTGCACAAGAAAAGCACGGAGCAGGGCCCCCCCGGCGCACAGCCAGGGTTCGTCGCCGACTGCTTCTTCGCTGCGGCCAGCGCCCTGCACCTGGGCCCGGTTGCCACGATCGGCAGGTACAAGAGCTTGCTCAAGACCATCGGCCGCATGCGCAGCGAAATCAGGCGCTACACGGCAACGCCCGGGCTGCTGCCGCCGGCACAGCGCGCGTCGCTGCCGCTGCTGGTGCAGCGGTGGCGGCAGCAGCTGGCCGCGATGGAGCGCGAAAAGATCGCCCTGGACGCGCACGTCCTCGACCCCCGGCGGCTCAGCAGCACGCTCGTGTTCCTGCGCTTCTCCATGTGCTTTCTCCTGCGCCAGGTCGACGCCCACGGCGCGTTCCCGCAGCAGCCGTTCGCGATGCCCGAGGAGGCCAGCGACGCGCTGCCGGACGCGTGGCGCATGCTGCCGGAGTTCCTGGTCGAAGACATCGTTGCGTTTGTCGTTTTCGCTGCGGTCTACGCGCCCGACGCGCTGACGGACGCGGCGTCGCAGGTGGGCCACGCCGAGCTGCGCACCTTTGACGACGTCCTGCCGCTCTTTGTCGTCGCGTTCCTCGCGCGGCCCGCGCTGATCAGCAACCCGCACCTCAAGGCGAAGCTCATCGACGTGCTGCACATGCTGACATACCGCGATCCGCGCGAGAGCGACGACCACGTCGACACGCTGGGCGGCAGCGTCGCGCAGCTGGAGTACCATCCGTCGGTGCGCCGGTTCCAGGCCAGCCTGGACGCCAGCGCGGTTTCGCGCGCGTACCTGGTGCCGGCCCTGCTGCGGTTCTACGTCGACGTCGAGCGCACCGGCGCCAGCTCGCAGTTCTACGACAAATTCAACGTGCGCTACTACATTGCGCGCACGCTGCGCGCTCTGTGGGCGCGCGGCAGCAAGTACGTCGGCGCGACGCGCCAGTTCTTTCTGCAGCAGGGCAGCGGCGGCGCCAGCCAGGCGACAACCGGCAGTGCGCAGCGCGACCGCCGCGTTATCGAGGAGTTTGTCGCGCGGCTGATGACCGACACCACGTACCTCCTGGACGAGTCCCTGAGCAAGCTGGCGCTGATCCGCGACCTCGAAACGCGGCCGCCGGCGCAGGCGGCAGCCCAGGACGACGTGGCCGAGCGGCTGCAGGACGCCGAGCGCATGGCGACGACGTACGTGTCGCTGGCGCACGAGACCGTGCATATGCTGGCGTTCCTCACGCGGCTGGTGCCGCGGCCGTTCCAGGCCAGCGAAGTTGTCAGCCGGCTGGCGGCGATGCTCAACTACAATCTGCAGCAGCTCGCCGGCCCCAAGTGCTCCAGCCTGCGCGTGCGCGATATGGCCAAGCGCTTCTCGTTTAACCCGCGCGTGTTGCTCTCGGAGCTCACCAGCGTCTACACCCACCTGGGGCTGCCCAGCGCGGACTCGCCCAACGACCAGGCCGTCGCCCTGTTTGTGTCGGCTGTCGTCGAGGACGACCGCTCGTACTCGCCGGAGCTCTTCGATGAGGCGTATGCGATTCTCGAGCGCAAGTCGCTCAAGAGCTCCGAGTCCTTGGATCGGCTGGTGGAGTTCGCCAACAGGTGTAAGGAGGCGCAGGTGGACTCCGGGTTGATTGAGTTTCTGGAGGATCGCGCCCCCGAGCAGTATCTGGATCCGCTGCTGGCGTCGCTTATTAAGGACCCGGTGCGGCTGCCGACGTCCGGGAATATCATGGAGCTGTCGGCTATTAAGGGCCAGTTGCTCAGCGACCCCCGCGACCCCTTTAATCGCGCCAGCCTTACGGTGGATATGCTGGAGCCTGTTCCTGAGCTCAAGGAGGAGATTGCTGCTTGGAGAGAGCAGATGCTGCTGGAGTACTATGCACAGATCAAGCCAAAGGAGTAGATAAGCCTCTTTCTTTGTTTCTTTGTTTCTTTCCTTTTTCCCACCCTGTCCTGATTTGGAGCTAGATTCCGCTTTTCCATTTCGGGTAGTAAAAAAAAATGGATCCAGCTTTTTTTGATTGTTATGTTTTTTGTTTTTTCCGGGCTTTTTGTTCGATAGCCACTTTTTTATTTAGGAAATTTACACTAGTATTTTTCTTCTTCATATTTCCGCTTTCCACTTCCCCCAACGCATTACAAAAGGAGTAAATGCCGAAAAACTAGAGATAATCTCTGACGGTTTTAGGAAATTAATAAAGCACCGGTCGGTTTTTCAAAGTTCTTTTTCATGGTTTTTCTGCGTTGCCCTTTTTTGTTTGTTTGTTTCATTTCATTTTGAAGTTGGAGCAGAAAACATTTTCGCGCAGGATAATAATAGACAAATTAATTAATTTGTGCAAAAGTGAAATAATTATCACCACCTCGAAAAAAATCACTAATTTATTATGAAAACAAGAAATAGAGTCTCTCGCGCGTGTACATACATACCTTATGCAATCCGTATGTACCTACCTGTTTCTGCCCCTTTTTTCTCTAAAATATCCTTGGAATTAATTAAACATCTTATTACTTTTTTCTATGCGTATGCAATTTTCTTTATAAAAATAGTACATGCAGCAAATAAATAAAAAAGATAGGGGCGAAGCTATTGTTTACCCGCTTTTATTTTTTATTTTTGGTACATTTTGGCCACAGCAACGTGTTTTTTATTTACAGAATATTCCACAAAAAACAAAAAAACAATTTATTTACAGCTCGGGAAACTGATATTGTTGGATGGTGTAATAGATCTCGGGAAATAACAATGACCATGTTCATTGGCAAATGATACATATATTTTTTATTTTAATAAAATGACGAGTATGCATGCAGTGTTCGCATAGTGCGTGCTTTAATAAAAAATTATAGACCAAAAAACAATAACAATAAACACAATGCAATTGCACAGTTTATTTTTTTGTGATAATTCATTATGTGCTGTCTGCATGTGTTTATTTGCAAAAGACGTCTGTGTACCATGTGCTATTTGTGTGGTGTGATGAGTGGGAGGGGGGAAAGAAGAGTCGGAAAAAAAGAAGAAAATAACTGGAAAAGCGAGGCGAGATGAGGCGCGATAGGGAAGCAAGCGATAGTGATATGTTACTATTTTTGCATCACAACGAGTCATTATTCCCCCCTTCCTATGTGCACAACAACTAACAAATAAAATAACATTATAAATATTGGTTTGACAATATATGATTCCTTTTTAAAGCAAAGCAAGCAATCATGGCCCACGTGTGTAGTTTTATTTTTGTATGAAGAATATATTGATTGATACATAAAAAAAAGTGGGAAAAAATTGGATTGATATAGTGGGAAAAAAATAATAGTACAATGGTCAATAAAAAAAAATGAAAAGATTGCACTACTGTGTCTTACAATACACAGTAGTGGGAACATGCAAATTGTGTGCAAAAAAAGATAGAGAGAGAGAGAGATGAGAGGATGAAGTTGTGTGGCGGGTTATAGTCGGAGAAAAATAATAGTATATACAATGCGATTTGCTTTGCTTTGTCTTGTTGTTTTCGTCGTTGAGAGAATCAGTAAGCCTCGGCTCCCAGGATAAACGTCGCTTTCGTCGATTGGATCTGAACAGTGGCCTGCTGAAGCTGGTGCTTCGCCCTGGAGAGCAGTGAGCTGCGCTTGCGCATGCTCCCAATACTCCCTCTGCTGCTCATCCTTCTGGTGCCTAAAGCTGCCAGCTGCTCTGCTTCGCGGCGAGCCATCTCATGGTGTCTGTTATCAAACATAATATGGTCGTAGTAGAGATCCATGCAGTCGCATTCGTAACCACAGCACTTGCAAGAAAACATCGTAAAAATATGAATATAAAAAGGTGCGTTATTTGTAATAAAATATAAAGCGACTACAAAAAAAAAGCCAAGCAGCAAATCGAGGAATGGATATAGACGAGGAGAGTCCCTATAGAAAATAGAAGAAAAACACAAGAAAAAAAGTGATAAGGCGCTTTGGAGGGGGATATTCGGGATCTTTTATATGAGATATTTTTTGCAAACGTCTCTATCTATTGTTGGAACGCTCTCATCGATTTTTCTCTATTTTATTTTATTTTTTGTGACTGGGCAAAAAAAATTAATAAAATTTTACCCCCCCCCCCCATTTTTTACCTCCCCCCTATTTTTTAATCGCCAATAAAAAATTTTACATCAGTTTTTTTCACCCGGGCCTTGTTCATTTCCCTCTCCTCCGATTATGCGCAAAAGTGGCAGAAAACCTCAAAAAGAAGAAACACAAGCAATATTGAGACATTTTCCTGTCTTGGACAAGCGCATGGATAAAATGAGAACCGCTCCAAATTTGTTTTATTTTCTTTGTTTTCTAGCCTGGTTGGCTGCTGTCTTCAAGCGAGAACGAATCCATGCAAAGAAAACAGGAATACCCAAAAAGGGAAAACCAGATATACAAAAAAAACAGAAGAGCAAAAAAAGATAATAGCGAGGTCTGCTGCCTCTCCGATTAGCCCCTCCTTCCTTCCCCTCTTTTGGCTTGATTTCTGTTTCCCAAGCCAACACTCAGCTTATTTCACTGGCTGAATGGCTAAAATATGCATGTGAGATGCAAATTTAGGCCTGCTTTTACACCGGTTTATATCTGGCTGACAAGACTGCATAAATGTCGCTTGTCGCTTGTTGTTGTTGTGTAATTGGTGGACATTACCATCAAATAAATTGCTTTAGCTGCCCGTTTTGCAAAGGGCACAGTGGTCCTCCAATAACAACGTGCCGGCAGCTTCGTTATTATCCGCACCTCCTTTTCCACAACGTCACACTCAGTGGTTTTTATCCAGTGTTAGTCTGAAATCCGCAAATATGCAGAGTTTCTCCGCTTCTCTTCTGAGCTCACAGGATAATGTTTTCTCTGCCCTCATTGGACAAAATAACACGTTGCTACCTTTTTTTTTTACATATTTTGTTCTGATAAAAACTTTCACAGGCACCTATTATAATAAAGTGATCAACACAAAAGAAGAAAAAAAGAGCAGCGAGTTCAGTAATGGATTATAAGCAAAAAAAAAGTTGCAAGAAAAAATGTGACGCGCCGGCTTTTCTTTTGCCTTTTGGGTCAAACTGCAATTTAAATTATTTTCACTAGCTTGGCGGAGAAAATTGGCGGTCTTTGCACCTTAATTGGTCTGTGTGTGCCGCAAACACCACACTCTCTTGCCTAATTTAGCCGATTTGTTGTAATACTGATTAGCCAACTTGGGCTGTGTTTTTTTTCTTGCTTGTTCATTCGATCAATTTGGTTACGGATTTGTTCGAGAGATACTGTGCTTACAATAATTTTTAAAGCACATGCCAAAACCTAAAAATAAAAATTGGAATGTCTGTTAATTGGCTTTTTGTTTTTTATTGGATCTGATGGCGTTGCTACCCACACATGTCAATTCTCGAATTCTGTTGGGTTGGGTTGATTTGTCTGTTTTTTTGTTGGTCTTTTAAAAACTAATTAAATTGGTTTTGTTTATTCAGAAACAAATGATGATCGAAATACCCATGTATGTAGATAAAAAATTATAAATTGGTTTTCTGAATATCAACACTCAATTACGCACGAACATACACGCACTTGTCGTTTTTTTGAGCTTATCCGCATTTCCGAGTAGAGGCAGGGTTTTTGCGAAATACCCGAGGTTACAAACGGGTTGCAACAGGAAACAAAAAAAACGAGTAAAAAACATACGGAAAAGCCATCAACCTCCCTCTCCTTCCAGCTACTATTGCTAATTGGTTAATTGTTATTTTCCTTACAATTCGTAATCGGACAGGTACTGATGTGAGCGGCAATTGCTGTTTCAGAGGAGGGCACGTTATCTTGCGAACCATCCAATAATTAGATTTGTTTTATTGGGCGGATTAGTAGATGTAATAATTTGAAACGAGAAAGAAAAAAACATCGAAAGTACTGATGAGTCCAGCCGGTTGCGTATAATGACTGAAAGACGTTTTTCAAACCAAATATTTGTAATGTTTTTAAAAAAGATTTCAAGGCCAAGCTTTATTAACTCACCGATCAGCATGTGCAATAGAAGTATCGCCACGTTTTACACGTTTTTTTTTATCGGCGGGCAATTATTAACAAACCAAATGCAACAAACAAAAAACAAAGTACATAATGCACCGACAAGGACAAGAAGTAGTAATGTTTTTTTGTTAAATCACAAGACAACGTTTTTTAAAATTCATCAGGTTCGGCTCCTTTTTTTACCTGCTATTTTGCGGTCTAAAACAACCTGATATAAAGAAACAATAATATCGAGGGAAAAAATGAAAGACAGTAGGAATTATATTTGTCGCTGCCAATGTTGGCCTGCCCACAAAAATAATAGTAGTGCAGACCATGAAATTCTAACAGTAAATAAAAAATGAGTATAGAATGCACATGTATTTATACTTTTTCATAGAGCCAAGCACACACGCGTAACAAGATAATGTCACTAATTTTCCTCTTTGTTCTCCCTTGTCTTCTCCCTCGAATATATTTATTAATTGTATATCTTTACCACATTCCTCTCTTTTTGCTTCACAGCCTCACTGTCTGTTTGTCAGATCCCTTGCCTTATCGCTATCCCTCTCTCTCACTTGTGTGTGTGCGCGAGTGCATGTGTTAGTGTGCTTGCACGTATTTTTTTGCGCATTCTATTTCGAGCCTATAAACCATTTTCTTGTTGAATTTCCGCTTAAAGGTAAATGAGGAACCAAACACACAGATAGTTGTATTAAGCGAAAATAAACATCCGCAATAAACCCCCCTCCGCCCCAATGATCTGCCATTTGTATTGAATAGTTTAATATGTGAATGAATGTCCCTCATCCCTAACGCATTCCCGGGGAACATATATTGGAGGAAGGCTGTTGGTATATACGAGGCGCAATATTGTGATAAGTTATATTGGTCAAATTCCCATTTGCTATTATCTCTTTTGTGCTTTAAATTTACATTGTCGCAAGATTTCATTGTTTGTTGTATTGCTGCTCCCTCCCCCATTTCCGTTATTATTATTATTCAAAAAATAAGTACAATATTGTTTAAAGAAAAAGAACACACTAGTCAAACAATATTGTCTGCTTTCGTGTGCTAATCCCTCCTCCAAGAAACAATATCCCTAATATTTATGGACTGCTTACTTTTTTCTATAATGTTCTGCCCAAACACAAAAGTTTTTGTTACTTTTAAAAAAATTTCAAGCAGATACGCTAAATATTTTTCATGTGTCAATTTGGGGGGCTGAAGCGTTGAAATATATTGTTTTTTTAATTTTACTAGACACGCGAAAAAAATGCTTTTGTTTAGACGCCACTTCTCTTCGCTACACTGCACTGCACATAGTACAAAACAATCCATGTTTTGTTTTTGTTGTTTATAGTAGGCACTAGTTAATTTACAAAACAAATTTAGCTACGGCTTCTGCCTCATTCTCTTTAAATGTCCTTTGCCTGCAGTGTAATTTTTCTTTAGTGTTGACTCTTTCTTCTTTCCTCTATTTTTTTCATCATTTCCCAACATCTGTCCGATATTCCTTCTTCCTCCTCCTTTCTTGTTTCTTTCCGCATATCCTTTTACGTACGCCATCTGCACTATATATTGTCTTGACGACGATTCGCACACACACACACATCAATTTATTTTTATTTATAATTAATCAGCCTCTCTTTTTTGTTTGAATTTTAGTCATTTTGCTTTATTATAGACATTATCAGGAATTTTGTTTATTGTTTTGCAGCACAGCACAGCACAGCACAGCACTGCACAGCACTGCACAACACTCAAATATCCACCCCGGGCTTCCTAATTTTTATCATCATCATTAACCAATTGCGCTCATCTTTAAACAGCATAACATTCTTTAAAAAATAGTCCTCAATATATTTGTCTTCTTTTTTATTTCCAACATATTTTAGACTTTTTTTGCACTAGTTGTCCGATACTCCAAGATCTCCCCTCAATTTCTCTCGCTCTTTAAACTCGCACCAAACAATAATCATAATGAAGTTTTCTACTTTTGGGCTTTTTGTTGCGGCGGCAATGTTTTCCACCATGGTCGATGTTGGTAACGCACTTCCTGCGCGTCTGGAACGCCGGGATCCGGTGACAAAGGTTATCAAGTATGTCATCTACCGCGGCGGCGACGACCATCATGAATCCGAGCCAACCGAGGTGAATAAGCCAGAGCCGAGTCCCGAGTCTTACCAGTCAGAGCAAAGGCCAGTGTATATTCTTGAGCCTAGCCCTGAGTCACGTCAGCCAGAGCCCCGCCAGCCAGAGCCCCGCCAGTCAGAGCCCCGCCAGTCAGAGCCCAGACCAGAGGTGTATCAGCAAGACCCCAAACCAGAGCCCGCCAAGCCAAGCAGCGCGCCCAAGCCAGCCTACTCTCCCGAGCTCTACGAGTTCGAGATGCTGTGCCTGGTCAACAAGGAAAGACTTCGCGTGGGGCTTAACCGCCTGGCCTTGCATCCGGCAATGAACCGTGCGGCGTACGAACACTCTGTTTACCAGTCGAATGCGCGCGACATGACGCACAACGACCCGGCTTACGGACAACTGGGCTCGAGATTGCAGCGCCATGGATTCAGCTTTGCATCTGCTTCAGAGAACATTGCTCAATCGGCTGAGGGTAGCACGAAAAAGGTCTTTGACATGTGGATGAACGACCCTCCGCATTACGTGAATATCGTGGATCCCAAGGCCAAGTACATGGGTTTGTCTCGCGTTAATGATTTTTGGACGCAGGATTTTGGCTCCGAGGGTGATAGCGAGGGCGCGTCCGCGTATGATGCGTCTGCCTATGAATCCGACAGGTACTGCTAATTTGTGCAAAGTAAAAAACATTTACAGTGCACAATGATCTTTCACCCCCTTTCCCCTCTTTTTTAGAGTGCTGTTGTGCGCTCCATGTCTTGTTTTATCTGTTTTATTTTACTACTTTTGGTTAGCCTAAAATTAAACTGGATTCTCCACTTTTGATTGTGCATATTGCCCGTGTTGGTCCAGTGTAACTCGTAAAAATAGCCATTTAAAGTTAGTACAAAATTATTTTCTGTATAAAGGCTATAAATTTTTTATGTCATGGTTATGTAATGCTTTTATATTTTCTTTTTGTATCAGAAACTCCGCACACATGTTGACTGTGCACTGGGGCAGAAATGACAACAGCTCAAAATGACAGAAATCTGTGCGGCATTCAAACACAGTTTTGTCATGTGCGTAATTATTGGTGACTGTTAATTTGCGGATTTTGACAACACCGAATGAAATAATATTTTTCTTGAAAAAAGTCTGATACCAAACAAAAAAATGGATGATGCAATGTATATTGTGAATGAATGGATGAATTAAAAAAGTACATAATGCAAGAGACGAAGAGAGGAATTGAAGGATATTGTACAAAAATACGTGTTTTTGATTGACGAAGGAAATGCGTAGCAGTATGTTTGGTCTGTGAAGATGTCACAGCGCCATAACACTAGGGCGCTTAAAAGTCCTTGCTCTGCGCGCCTGTCTGGTTCTGGTCTCTTCTTCGGCCTCCTTCTGTGCAAGCGCAATGTGGCGGTTATCGAAAAGCAGGTGGTCAAAGTAAAGATCGGCTGAGGTGCACTCGAATTCGCAGGTTCTGCACTTCATTATTGGGAAAATGTTTTGGTATATGGTTGATAGTATGGATAAGTGTTCTAGCTGGTTCGGCGAGTGTCGTAACAGAATGATAATGATGATGATGAAGAAACGGGTCGTTATAATATTACAAGGTATAGATGCTAATGAATGGCTGAATACAAATATTGAAATATTGAAAAGGGCGGTTGTTTTGAATCGATGTGTGGAAGAGGGTGACTGTAATCTTTCAAAGCTGTGTGATTGAAGAGAGATAAAATGAGAAGTGCGATAATGCGGAGAAAGTTGTCTAATTTATACCAACCAGACAACATATTTTAAAAGCCAGCCTTTATCGTGGTTGGCACGTTGTTCTATTCTGTTTATCTTTACTACTTTTTTTATTTCTCCGCAAAGGCAATGTGAGTGGTAACAAAATTATTAGGTTATAATTGAGAGGGCATGGAGAAAGGGGGGAGGGTCGAAGGGAGGGACTAAACAGGGGCTTCCTTTTCGCTTTGCCACATTCACAGAATGATGTACAGGGAATGTCTGAAAACATGAGATTGACATCCGAAAAAGTAGGAACTAAGGATTGAAAAGCCGATATAAAGATGGAATTAGCGGACATAGAGCACCTTGGAAAGGGAATGGTTGTTTATGTTATTTGGGTGCCAAACGCGCACCTCTCACCTGAAACTGCAGCCTAATGCACGATATCATCTAGCCTGCGCTCTTTCATTTTCAATGCCACAATAGCCTGCGACACTCGTTTCACCTTATGTTCAACGTCAATCCCGAGGCATCATGTGTTTTTTCTATTTCTCGCTGGCTTTCTTTGTAAATCTCCATCCGACCGCTTGCATCTTTATACCCATCTCATTTGTGCTTGGCGCAGATCAGAAAAGGACTTTCACAATTTTTTTGCACAATTTTTTCTTCAACCTTTGTGGTGGTCCTTCAAGGATAAACACAACCCCCGAATATGTGTTTACAAAATAAAAGCCGAGACCGGACAAAAATTGAACTTGTTATGGTTTAAAAAAAAGCAGCCCTAGTACTAGCCTCGTTGTCGTTTTCCGGATGATTTGTTTTATTTTGCAAAGCTGGGCTAGAGACCTGTGCCAGAAAAAAGCTGCTGCTGATTAGCTGGGTTCTAAAAATATGAAATAAACCAATGTGCGTTCAGTTTTTGTTTCAGCGCTTATCTAGCAACATGAGAATGCCAAAATGCATGTCCATTTGTATTTATTTGTTAACACCGTTCGTACCAAGCTGCCAATTAGAAGCCAGCGTGTCAACACGTATTCACATTAATGCAAATGTGCATTGCATTTGGACAGCAATACAAATTCGAATGCCATTAGATGATTAAATAAGTATTGCCGAGACACACCGACAACACTAGGCAACTGCTCAAAAAAAACAATAATTTCGCCAAATATTTGGTTTTGTGGACATTTACAAGCAAGCCATAAACAGGTAGTTGTGTTAATGTCATGTGCAAATTTCTGCAAATAAACACAATTCGACGCTTCTATTATCAGCACGTCTGCATTGTTTTTTGAATATGCAGCTCACTGTTGTATTTACCCTTTGGTTTTTGTGTCCGCATGTATTTTGTTGCTCTACATATCATAATTTATCTTTACACACAAACGTCTGTCCGTCATACACGCAAAACATATGCAACCACAATTACATGTTTATACGTACAAACATATGCAGCCATAAATGCAAGTACTATGCAACCTACATCCGTCTATGTGTCAATATCAATGCAGTCAACACAGATACAATATATATAATAACACGCGTGTAACATGGGGCACGCGCTTATTGATTGCCAAAATAACAGCTCGTACCCGAGTGTTAGCAACAAACAACCTCATGTACTAAAAAATTACAACGCAGATTAAAGACTAATGTTTGTCAGGCACCTTATCAAATTAATGTCTAGTTTTATTGCTGGGGCATTTTCTGTCCTACATGTGTGCAGTTGACGACCTGGTCCAACAGAAAAGCACATACTTTGGCACTACCCTTGTCCATTTTGCCACCCGTGCAACCCAATCAACTCTCGCAATTGCCATCACAACCCAGTGACATATGCTGCTTGCTAAACATATAAAGACCCGAGTAGTGATCAACTTGATTTAAATGATCCACTCGATTAAAAAATAAAATTGCTCGTAAGATTGGGCCAAAAAATAGCAATCCATATCATAGATTTAGGCAATCACTACGCACGCATTTTCAATTACTCAATTATATTATTTAATTATTTTTATTGACAATGACCAACAGAAACAAAAATAAAAAATAAATATTTGGCTGCGCGCAAACATGCTTACACAACACCCATAAAAAACTACATAAAAATACACTGTCTGCTGACCTCGCTTTGCTGTGATTGCTGCAGCTCTAGGAAAGCTCTGGCAATAATTGACAGGTAAAAATTCTCACTGCAGCAGTAATCTCAAAGCGAAGAAAACAAGTTGCACCGGCTTATGTGGAAAAAATAAACATCGCTGTCCATAATTCGACGACATGTACCGCAAACACTAGCCCGTGTCTTTTCTTTTTTAGTCTGTCTAGGTGGCTCCGCTGTTTTACACTTGAACATTTCGGCAACAGATTTTGCCAGCTCTTCCTCGTTGATGCTGCTAGCATCGTCGCTGGATATTTCGTTGGCATTTGCACCTTGCTCAACAATGGCGCAATTAATACCTATTTTGGCATAAGGGCTGGTGTTATGTGTGGCCATGATGGTGTGTAAAGTATTCAATAAAAGATGTATATCGTGTTGAAAAGTTAGAAAAATAGAAAGAGAAAATTCTTAACGTGGTCGTTTTTAGGCGATTTATATTTTCTTAAAACCATTTCCACCTTGCGTTTGCGTTAGGCTTTGTCGTCCGCGTGTGAGCGCAAAAAAATTTATCATTCGTTTTCAGGAAAAGGAACAAGGGGACAGGAAAAGGGGAATCATGACAGGGGCCCCACTCTCTTTTCTTTTCAGATATTAAAAGTAAAAACGGCGCATGGTGTGCCCATCGCGTGACTCACAAACATTTTTTTCTCCGAATAGACAATTGAGATGTGATGGGAAAATGATAAAGAATACTTTATAACAAAAAATATCACCAAATCTAATTAATCGGTAGTGTAGAGTGCGGTTACCACGCCACTCAGATGCGAGTTGCCGATTAAATTACCTCATAGAAAATCAAAGATTTAATGAGGGGCAGCACATACATAATATATGATATATTAAATGCATTGGCATCAAAAAACATTTACCTCAAAAGAATCACTAAAAAGCGTTTAGCGATACCTTGTAAAAGGCGAATTTGCTAACGCGGGTAAAAAATGATGCGTAATAATGAACCCGAATTGACGAATGTAATTTCCATTTTCTATTGAGAGGTTTTCGGCAATAAAAAATTTCAAATATGCCAATTAGGTCACAACAATGATCACACGAATGCGGGGTGTTTGTGGCCATATAATATGCGTACTTTCTTAGTTTGGTATCTTCCCACACGATAAATAGTTGTTAAAACATCAGAAATAACATCAGTTTTTATTAAAAGTATACACCAATATAAATAATTTTAAAAGCAATTACTATTGATAGTTCTTTTTGCCATTTACCATTTACCATTTGAAAGCTATGTGTGTACTCAAAACTTTATTTTTACGCAAAATTGAATATGCTTAGAACTGTGCGACCCAATTGTTAAAAACGATAATTTGCTTTACAAAGTAAAGCCGTTTGATTTTGTGCTGCAATCATGATACAACTTCTTTGTATATATTTTTCTGGCAATCTGAAGGCTGCTAATAACTTTCTTGTTTATTCTTTAATTGCATGCACATCCTAAAATCTCGATGTCCGCGGGCCCTGCAAAGAGGTTGATCGCAATTGATCATTTTTTGTAACAAAAATCATTCACAATAAAAAACGGTCAGAATTCTACACGCTAAAGCAGCGATACAAGGATTAGAATTTGCTTTGCGTAGTTGCAAGTTTAATAATTCAATTTTTTTGATGCGTTTTCTTTCCTCATTCCTTCTTTTTTGACTGTGCTTTTTCTTCCTTCCGCTTAAATATTTTATTTTATTTTTGGTTTTCACTCAATCTTCTTCTCACGCTACTTGTAGTGGCCATCTGGGCATTGCACCCGTAACTTCTCTATCTAAAAACAATTTTAGCTTTATCTTGTTAACATCACTCTTACCCTCACATTTACTATAATTGTATTTTCGCGGAGCACAACTTTCAACCATGGAGTTGCTTTTTGAGCTTGCTAAAACCGCATTATTAGCCTTATACCTGGTCCTATCGGTTTAGGGCCTCGCAGCAAACTTCACTAAACGCACGGTCACTTAGCAATCTGATAAACGACTTCCGCGGCGCAATCCATGTTATTTCTAGTGCGCGGTCGTCTTGCGAAATATCCTTATTCGACACTAAGCACGAAGCTACTGCGGCCAGCTGCGTTACGTCTGGTTTTAGCAGCAGAGTAGATAACAGCAGAGCCTATCAGATTACTATTAACGCTCCTTTTGGCCAGTCTTCCACATTGTATTCGATTATTTCTATTGAAATCCACCCGCAGTACTATCCGTCAACCTACGCCAACAACATTGCCGTTCTTTCTTTCACCGGTAACTCATTGGAATGGTTTCACAATACTGGCATGAGCTCCGCAAGTTGGGACGACGTTCTGTATAGTCATCGTGAAATGGTCCTTGTTAAAGAAAATTCGTGGGGACCTACGAGTGCCACTTCCTTGCCGACCTACAGCGGATGCAATTCCAAGAGCAACCTGTTCAAATCAAACTTCAACATTATGACGTGTATTACCAGTGGTGTAGCCTCACCCATGAACAGAAATTGTCAGGTACCCTACGGAACCGGTTGGGATGTATACCAGTCCAATAACTTGGCTCCTGCGCTTATTTATAGACACAGCGGTGTTACCGGCGACAGTATCTGCCAGACCACAGGAACGTCGTACCATTACTACACCATGCTTTACCCATACATTGCGTGGACCAAGGACTTAATTGGCAGAAAGCTACACACCTATCAGAAGGACAAATCATATGTTTTGATAGAAGACGTGTCATTCAGCATGAGGAATGTTGCCGGTGGTGGCAAATCCAAGACCAAGCTGCTTTCTGACGATTTCTACCCCACGCAGCAGGACTACACTCCCACAGATAATCCAGCTTTGACTACGTCATCCACAAGGACAACAACAGCAACACCTAAAAACACGGCTTCTAGCACTGGACGCATTGAAAACACACGCATCTGCAGCCGGTGACTACGGCTCCAATGACTCAGAGAACATAAACGAGAATAATGGTAACATTGAGATTATTGACAAGACTGCTGTTGTTACTGTCAATGGTACTACGGTTCCAATTCTTGAGCTTTTCACTGACCCTGGTATGTCAGACCTCAAAATTACCTGCGTGGTGCATTTTACCGAGGCTGATTCGAACGGCAAGCTTGTTTTAGTATCAAATATTGATGCCGAGATTTACACCTACTCAGATTTTACGGGCGACAGCAACAACATTATAGGCAGAATTTCTGTCAGCACCAGTGCTACTGACAGCAGAATAAAGAGCTCACAGAATAACGCCAGCGCAAATTCAAAGAGTAACAATGGGCTGAGTCTTGGCGCTAGCATTGCCATTGGTGTAGTCGTTCCTATTGTCACCATTCTCATCCTGATTGGACTGTACTTCTTGCGTAAGTGGTGGCGCGCACGCTGCAATTCTGCAAGCTGGGATTCCGTAAATGAAACTGCGAGCGTTAGTAATATAAGGATTATTGACGTTGTTCCTGATTATGGCACCCTTATACCTTTACCAGCAATTGGATTCGTACTAGAAGCTAACCCCGCTGCTATCCCTGCGGTTGTTTCTACCACTATTCCTGCTGTTGATTCCGCCGCTATCCAACCCCCTCTTTGGACCCAGTTCCAGCGCTGATAGTATTGCACAAAACAATCGTCATACATTGCCACCAACCTATGAAGCTTTTGTTTTAGAGAATGTTGCTCTGCCAACCGAAAAGCCGAACACAGATTAAGGTTTTTAGTGTACGCACACACACAGCCTTTTAATTTACTATTGGTTTTAAATTGCTTTTCAGCGTTTAAATAAAGGTATCTTTTATATATTATTCACTACATATTTATAATAAAGATTGGGGGTATGTTATCAACAACCTTAATTTTTGTCCAGCTGCAACGTTCACGTTGTATTGACCAAATAAGTTTACCACAGTAGCCCTTTGAACCCTCTTATTGCATGTTTATTTTACACAGATTCTGAAAGTTGAAGCTTTAAAATAAGTATCGTTTTTTCAAATTTTGTTTGCTTTAAAATCTATTTTGCTAAGCAATATAGAATTAAGGTAAAATCGACTGTATTAAAAATTAAATACCCACATATTATGTGCACTCTGTTGGCAAGAATTGTTTTTTTTGCAAGTAACCTGGGGCTCTGACATGCCAATACTCTGGTATTTGTGTATGCACGCTCGTGCGTGTGCGTTGTAAAACGGGGAGCGTATCTGTATTGTACCACTAGTCCTCTGATTTGATTCCCCACGATCTAGTCTATATTTGATCTATCAGCATGCAGACGGAAACTTGTTTCATAACTCTCAACTTCAACATCCACCTCCATGACCTCGGGCTGCGAAACACCAAAATAAACAATGAATATATGCTAATTGAAAAATTGAAATACAACAAGTGCTAAACATCTTTATATGTTCTAAAACTTGTCCGTAGAGTTAAATACATCATTTAATAAAAATAAATGTACGACTTTAGTTAACAGTAAATACACATATTTTACAATCCAATTAACTTTTACTTATTTTCAATTTAATACACGTATTTATTGTGATTAATTGTTGAAAAATCAAAAAATTTTGCAAAGCAGAATATAATGCCAAATTCAATTTAAAAAACAAAATGTTTGTATTTTTATTAAAATACCATATTGTTGTGATTTAGAGAGAACATTAGTCGCCTAATGTTAAAGGTGTTGTAATTTGAGTGGAGCACTAGCCACCTAGTGTTAAAAGTATTTTTGGGGTTTGTTATAGTTTTTATTATCAAGGGAATCAAAAGTAGAACTAGGGCTAGCCTCGTCTTATATATGTATCTCGTTGCCTTTGTTGTGCACTTCACCAGTTGTGCACTCCGTTGGCAAGAGCTGGGTTTTCTGCAAGCAGACCAGTAACTTGGCAAGTTAATATTGTGGTTTTCGCATATGTGCGCTTGTACGTGTAAATTGCAAAATAGGAAGCATATCTGGGCATCATTATTATGCCTCTCTAATTTACTCTTGTATAATCCAATTAATACTCTATCAATCGGCATGCAGATAGAACCTTGTTTCATGACTTTCAACCTCAGCATCTACTTCCATATCCTCGGGCCGCACAACACAAATATGACCAAAATGTCTGGGTATTGTCAACTGTATATTATATTCCAGTTTTTGAATAAAAGTGGAAAATTCTTGAAAAACTTTAGACAAAGAATCAGCTATCACTGTCCAACCTGTTTTTAATGTCTGTAAACTGTTCTATAGTCTGTTAGATCAGCCATTAATTTAGCATAAAACAATTAACTTTTTGTAATGTTATTATAGCATTGCAATATTTAGCTTTTACCAATTCAATTGACAATTGTTGATCAACCATCGACAATCTTTTTATGGATAATATTGAATTGCCAATGTGTGTGGTCCTCACAAAGAGGCAAATCTCAGTTGACCACTTCTTTGTAGCAGAAGAAAAGGTATGCAAGTGCGCTTCACATAATTGCAAGTGTTGCTCTTCCAACCACCGATTTTGCAGGTTTGGATTTTCTGAACTTGCACCGCATTTCTCACCTCTTTTTTATGGTGCTGCTTATTCGGTTTCTTATTTTCTTCCTTCCTTCCTTCCTTCCGCTCAAATTATATTTTTTGTCGCATTTTTGTTACACCCAATTTTCACCACCCGCGACTTGTAAAAGTCATCTAGACAGCGTGCACGTAACTTTTGTGCCTGTTTACAGTCTGTGATCGCTTAATATTTTATCCCGCTCCTATTTATTGTTTATTTTTTATTCAAACCCCACTTTTTGATATATTTCGATTTTGCGCGGTGTACAGCTCTTAACAATGAAGCTGCCTTTTAGCCTTGTAAAAGCCGCCGCAGTGGCCCTGTGCCTGGTCCAGTCGGTCCAGGGCTTTGCAGCAAACTTTACAAAGCGCACAGTCACTTCCAGCAACCTCATAAACGACTTCCGTGGCGCTGTTCTTATTCTTGCTGGTGTGCAGACATCCTGCGAAATAGCTCTTTTTAACACCCAGTTTGGAGCCACTGCGGCCAGCTGCTTTATTTTTAAATCCGACGGCAGCGTAGACAACGACAAGGATTTTAAAATTGCCATCAACAGTCCAACTGACGGAACTTCCAAGATGTTTACGCTTGACTCCATTGACGTTCACTCCGACTACGACCCGTCGACGTACGCCAACAACATTGCCTTTATCACATTCAACACCAAAAACTCGCAGTCGTGGTACTCTTTTGTTGGTGCAAACCCTGCTGAGTGGGACAGCGTTCTGTACAGCCACCGCAAAATGACCAGTGTCAAGGAAAAAACCTGGGGGTCTACAAGTGCCGCTTTCTTGTCGTCCAACAGCGAATGCAGCGCCAACAGCAACCTGTTCAGTTCAAACTCAAACACCATGCTGTGCGTTACCAGTGCTGTGACTTCGCCTATGAACAGCAATTGCAGGTTACCCTACGGCACCGGCTGGGGTGTAATGCAGCCCGACGACTTGTCTGTTTCGGCCATCTACAGTCATAGCGTTATTACCGGCGACAGCCTCTGCCAAGCCACGGGGACATCGTACCATTACTACACCATGATCTACCCGTACATTGCATGGGCTAAAAGAAAGGTTGGGATAGACATTGACACGTTCTGGCTTGATAACTCTTATTCTCTGAAAGGCGACACCTCATTCAGCATGAAAAACGCCGCCGGGGCAAGCAAATCTGGGATCAAGCTGGTTTCTGGCGATTTTTACCCCATGCACCGAAACTATGTTCCTACCGCTGTTTCAACTCCGACCCCAACTCCAACTCCAACTCCGACCAAGTCATCTACAAAGATTGAGGTAATTAAAACCACAGCTCCCAGCAATGGTGATAGCAACTCGGGCGGTAATACGGGTGACAGCAACAGCAACGGCAACAGCAACAACAGCAACGACAACAACAACAACGACAACAACAACAACGACAGCAACGACAACAGCAACAGCAACAACAACGACAACAGCAATAACAACTCGGGCAACGGCAGCTCAGGGGGCAGCACCGGCGGGTCTAAAGACAGCAGTTCCAGCACCAACAACAGTTCAAAGTCAGTGAGTAGAGCGAGCAGTAGCAGCCATCAGACCACTCGTGCCCCCTCAGCCAACAACGAAGACTCTGACGACTCGGGAGATGTTATCGTGGAAAAAGATAACGAACAAATAATTGAAGATGGAGACTTTGTCACTGTCAACGGAAGCATTATTCCAATTGCTGAGCTTTTAACTAATCCTGGCATGTCGGACCTTGAGATTACCCGCGTACTGTACCTCACCAAGACCGATTCAAACGGCAAGCTTGTTTTGGTATCAAATATTGAGGTCGAAACCTACGCTTACGCCGATTACATGGACAACGACGACGACGATATAATTGATGACCCTGTTGACGAGATTGTCCCCGATGGTGGAATAAAGAGCTCGCAGAATAATGCCAACGCAAAGGCAAGAAGTGGCAATGAGTTGAGCCGCGGCGCTATCATTGCCGTCAGTGTTGTTGTTCCTCTTGCCACCATTTTCATACTGATTGGCATGTACTTCTTGCACAAGTGGTGGCGCAGACGCCGCAACGCCATGAGCTGGGATCCCAAGAATGAGACTGCCAACCTTAACAACAAGAGAATGCTCGACGAAATCTCCGTTTACGACGGCGCCGAAACCGAGGCCAATCCAGAATTTAACAATGTTGCTGTACCTGCACCTGTTTATGTCCCTGTCACTGAACGCATTACCAGAGACAGTCACGACATTTCTCTTCCAAACTATGAGGCACATGGCTTTGAAAACCTTGTTTTGCCATCTGAAAAGCCAGTCGCAGGTTGAGTCGCTTTGATTTGGGCGTATACTTGTTTATCTAAATTTAATTTATTATGTTGTCTACATTCTATTACCTGCATTTAACCCGAATTATATAATATATAAATAAAACGTATTTATTAATCTGAGTAATTTAATATGTCTAATGAATATTGATAATTATATGTGCTATTCATTTTTTATCTTTGTCGTGTTACTTTTGACAACATAATTGTTTTGAGAAAGATGCCGCCAAGTATTATAAAGGACGCACGTAATGTCGACAAGCGACCTAAGTGGTTGCAAAAATCATAAAGCCACAAAGAACGACACGGAGGTCCCCACCAACTAATAGTTGATACACTCACTTTTTTAATTGTGCGGTATGTTTAAACCAAGTTTTATGTGTGGTCAACGTTGAAATCCTAGCTTTTTCTATTCATTAATTTTTATTTATTTATTTGTATTAGTTAATTATTACCAAACCGACAGTATTGAAGATGACTTGTAGCACAAACCGCTGGCATTGGGGTTTGCTGCCACCGCTGCTGACATATGGCTTACTGGTAAATGCAACGACGGAGTACGTAAAAGTTAACTGCGATGTTGTAGGAAAGGCAGAATGTGCGCGACTCAAAGCAATTAACAACAATACGTTTAAACAAACATCAAAAAACGGAGCGGTTATAGCAATATTGGCATCAATAGTTGCACTATTTATTGTTGGCGTTTTAGTTTTCTATGCTAAAACAAAACTAAGGCAGTACCACCCTGAGGACAACGCAGAGATAGGTACATTTGACAGTTGGGACGAAACATTTATCAATACTCCTATATCTAGCACTTATACGCCTAAACCGGGAGACAGTCCTTTTGCATACGAAGAAATGGTGCCTTTCAGGCTGTCCATTTCCAACGAAATTCCATCCCATGTCAAGTTCAGTAGATCCCGGTAGGAGTGATGTCGCTTAATATAATTTGCTTTTATTTACAGCCTTTATTCTTATTCCTCAGCTTGCAGGGCGGCATTCACTCATTATTTTTTGCATTATTTTTTCTTGTGCCAAGTGGCACACCTGCATTTTTTGTTATTTTATGTCTTTTGTATAATGGATTATTCTCTTTATTTTTTGTTTTAAGCAAAGGCTGGACAAATTCGTTCAAAGCACGCAATGTTTCTTTTACTAAATGTAAAATCATTCATTAGAGAAACGTAAAAAGCCCTTTAAGCATTTTCAAAAAAGGATGTGCATTTGAAACAATGTCAATTTTCCATTAGGAAAGCCGGATTAAAAATAAAATATGAGAAAGGGAAATTGTAAAAAAAAGTACTCAGGGCCTACTCCCGCCCGAAAAATATAATTTTGTTTTTATTCCGTTTACATTTTTTATTTTTATTTTGTACTATATACTTTATAAATTTATTCTCAACCTTATTTATCAAAACTACTTTTAATACCCACTCCACGCAGCAGAGCCATTTCACAAGTATTAAAATACATCTTTTTCACCCACACACATACGCAAATACGCACACACTGGTAAAAAAACAGCGTACTCTATTCAGCACAATGTTACAATTATCTAGACTTTGTTGCTTAGTGACAGCTATGACTATATTACAGTCAGTCTTTGGTACGGATTTGCGACTCAGTAGACGTGACATTGATATATCGACCATCACCGAATACAGGGCAGCCATACTGCTTATCGACGGAAGTCAGACGTCATGCGAGGCCGCACTCATGGACAGCAGTGCAGCATTTGTTGCAGCGAGCTGCCTTCAATACACTGATGGCAACTTGGACATGTCAAAAAATTATGAGGTGGCGGTCAAAATGGGAAGCGGAAGCACAAACTCGCAGAGGTACTCTATTTCAAAAATTGACGTTCATCCGAGCTACAACGCAACAACATTTATCAACAACCTGGCTGTAGTTCAGTTCAATACGGACTCAGCAATCGATTGGCAAACGTATATTGGCGTTAACCCGGACGAATGGGATAATAGATATTTTGCAAGAAGGTCGCTTGTGGACACTTCAAACCTAGCTTGGAACAACATCATTGCATTCTCCACTACGACTACTCCCAGCGACTGTGCCAAGGCCTCAAAGACTTACAATGAAAATAAGGGAGACTTTTTGTGCAACTATGCCGCCTCGTTGTCGACCGTCAACCGTGACTGTAAGATGCCTTACGGTGTGGTCTATGGCATAGTCCAGCCAGACGATTCTGGGATAATTGCAATCCACTCACACACATCAATCTATGGAGATAGCTTGTGTTCTTCTGATAAAAAGCTTCACTACTACACGCTTCTGCGCAACTACATTGCATGGGCCGCCCGGGTTATTGGCCGCTCAGTTGGTGGATTCACCATAGACACAAGCTACACCATGCCACTGAACTATAACTACAGCATGACTAATGTCCCTTCAGACAGTGTTTCCGGCGTGAAAGTGTTTTCGGGAAACAGATATGCGCAGGATCCTGTCAATCCCGCACTAGCCGAGGCAATTAAATCGTATCCAGCTAAATCCACAGCAGTTTCAACGAGCAATACCACTACTTTGGTTAAAATAACTTCGGCTGCTGCCATCACCTCTCCGACGGCTGCATCTTTGACTACAACACCAGCCGTACAAGAAATTGGTGCTACCACTACAAATGATTCAAGCACCACTGCTTTTCCAGCTTCCAATGCAGCATCTATAACTGTAGGGTCATTGGAATCAAGTAACTCTAATACTTTGGTCGCGTCATCGTCATTGTCATCGTCACCATCTAAATCTGAATCCGAAGATAGTGCTGGCAACAGTGCGTCATCACCTACTGGTGCTCAATCCTCATTATCTTCCAAGGGTATTAGCGACGACGACGAGAATATAGCCACGGAGCTGATTGAAAGTACCAACTCCACGCAAAAAACAAGCACTGGCAATGCAAGCTCAAGTTCCACTAGCAAAGCAGGCAACTTTGCCATTGGGCCTAGTGAATCAGAAAATGCAGTCTTAAACCCCAGCCAGAGCGCTTCAGACGACAGTGGAAGCAGCGCCAATGTCATTACCAATAAAACGAGCGAGAACAACGAGGAAGCGCCCGGCTCAACTCGCACCATTATAATTGCAGTCGCTGCTGTGGCTTTGCTTGGGGCTGTTGGTGGTGGTATCTGGTTCTTCTACAGAAGACGCAAACTTAATCGGGAGCTGGAGCATGAATCCATTATTGATAAGAACGGGTGGAACTCTGAGAGGAACTCTCTCGGCTCCAATTACCTTCGCCCGCCTGGTGCCACTACCGGCCAGTATCAGCCTGGCTTAATGCAGAACGACCGTATCTCCGGGTTCTCCCAGAATGACGGAAACTACCATGGAAATAACGGGTACAATGATCAGCGCGTTGACAGTGGCAATAACTATGGACCAGGTAAGTACGGTAAAGCTCCAAATACAGGTTACGACAACTATGAGGATTACCCGTATATCCAGAACCACAGCAGCGGCAACATTAACAATGTATATGCACAAGATATTGGCCAGTCTTCAAATTACCATACTGATATGTGGGCCCAGCAGTCAAGGTATGAGTCAGGCTACGGCCAGAACTATTAGTCAATTATTAAGAAAAACAAATATTTAAATTCATAATAAAACAAGGCTATATTTGCATAATTTTTTAATAAAACAAAATGAACATTGAAGCAAAAATATCCACGCACACTAAATGTCATTTTTTAACCATCGTGGTCCTTTGAAACCAACGGCGGAAGAATTACACCGGCCAGCAAAACAATGATATCTAAAAGCGACAGCGAGCCCAATACCAGTTTTGAGCCATTAGATGCCGCCCTGCCTCTCAGCACCTTAGCCTGATGCACAGCCTCAGCAAGCGTATGTGCCATGGCCACGTACATAAAAGTACCCGCTGAAAACAACATAACGGTTCCTGCCCACGGCTTAATGCCATCGCTCTCGGCATGACCATCCGAGGATTTACCACCGATCATTAAAAACACTGAGAACGTGGCCAGAGCAGCAAGAGGCGCCGAGACAGCAAACACTGTAAGCCAGATGTTCAACTTGTACGTTGCAAAGCCCTGCTGCTTCAACGTCGTAATCAGACCAAATGCGGCCGGGGCCTTGTGCAAGAGCAGAGCCATGAAGACAATGAGTTCCATTGACGAGCTGTGCTCCCCAGCACTCTTATCTGCCGACGTTGATGCAGCAGAGGCAGACGCAGCCACAGCAGCACCAAGGGCGAGGCCGTCGGCGCATGAGTGGACCAGAATACCAATGAGCGTCGAGGGCAGCGAGCGGGGGGACAGGGCGCAGCCAATTTGGCCTAAGATCTGGCGCCACTTGGGTTTGGGCTTCTGCGGCTCATCCCAGTTGCCATCCTCGCTGGTTGGAGTCACACTGTATGGGCTGTTGGCAGAGTTCTGTGGACTAATGACCAGCGATGAAGCCGAGTTGTTGAGTGCGCCAAGGTTCTGGTGATGCTGGTGACGCTGAGGATCATGCAAGGTAAACTCGGAAGCACCCACCCTCGCTCCGCCTGTTGTTGGCCCCATTTGGATTTCACCCAAGCACGCTGCGCTATCATTATCTCTGCCGTCAACACCGCACCCCTCAGCAGCGTCTTCGTGCGCGTGGGCGGACGGGAACAGGTTGTCAATAAGAAACATGACGCAGAAGCCGGCCACCAGTGACCATCCAATGTTGTTGTTTATAGAGTCAATCATGTCGTCGTCCATCTGGTTCTTGGGACTTTGCGACAGAAGGGCGTGGGAGAGTGTCTCTACGCCCTCGGGCAGAATCACTGCCAGGGCAGCGCCGATGAGAAGCCCAGCGCCGAATAGGGCGAGGATGTTGAATTTGCTTTGGTCCATGCGCACGTAAATCGGCACGCAGCCGGCCGCCCATGAGCCGACAAACATAGCCAGACCCTCCAGGATCAGCCGAAATACCGCTTGCATTGTGGCTACGCTTTACTGTGTGTGGTTATGAGTCTCCCTCTTTCGTTGTTGTTTTGCTTGGAATGAAAAGTGCACAAATAAATATTAAAGACAACGGTGAATGAGAAGAAAGAATAAGCGGGCGACAAGAGATTTTGTAAATTCAAAAAAGAATAAATGAAATTGTTGTTGGTGTCGTGCGACAACTATTGGTTTTGTATAGATAAACAGCCCAGTGTGTATTCTCCTATTCTATTACTCTATATTTAAATAAAATCAAATGGTAATAAAAGTTTTGTCTCGAAATTCAAAGTAAGGAATAAGGCGAAACTAGGAAATATAAAAAAGATGAATATAAAAAACAGGGTCGAAACCAAAACAAAAGAAAAATAGTAATACATATATATGGACTGTCGGACCCAGAATACGCACACGTGCAAAATAGGGAGTCGTGTGTAATTAATGACACTCAGAATAAAGTTCACCTTTTTTTCTCTTCTCTCTTCCCCCCGCACCCGATCAATTTGAATTACTTCTTTATTTCGCTCCAGACAATTGAATTTATTGATTTTTGTGAATGTATTCTTTTGCTGAAGAGATTGAACAAGTCAATCCATCAAAACGTGACAGACTAAAAAGGAACTGTGCGCAAACAATTCCATCACCGTCTCAATAAAATGATGCAACAGTTACGACTGTCAACCCGCTTTTTTTTGGTCAGGCACAAATGTACTTGCTTTTTTAATTTTAAAACAACAGTATTAAACTCAAACCCTATTTTATTTTTGCACAGAAAAGAAAGAGGAACAAAATTTTCCCCTTGATTTTTCAACACAAGCGATATCCTCCAACCACCACTGAGTGTGTCAAGATATGCGTGTTGTAGATTATCTTGTCTCCTGCTTTGATTTTTATTGAAAATAATAATATACTATGTATGGTGATTTTTTAACGATCAACGTGGGCTCAACAAAAAAACACATTCAGTGTCACTGTTTTAAAGTTTGTACAAATAAACCTGTTCATTCGTTGTACTTATACATGCCACTATTGCTACCCCTCACGTCTTGAATTTTTCTCTGGGTATTCAAGTTGGAATAAACAATAAATAGACCCACATTAAAGGACACATTCGCCTGTTGGAAAAAAAGGTCCGAAAAGAATTCACCGAAGAAATAAATATTTTTCTGTCTGTCACTCTTTCAATTTTTCTCACTAAATTGTATCTGAAGCATGTCCGAATTGAATACAGACTGTGCGCGCCAAAAAAAACATTTGTAAACATTGTTATTGAAAAATGCAATAATAATGAAAAAAAGAAAAAAAGTAATACATCACAAGCCGCTCAAAGTGTGAAAAAAATAATGAAAGAAAAAAGAGGCGTTGGAAAACAGAAAGTCAAAAGAGCTATCACAGGAGAACACAGCAAGACGACGATGCATCCCTATGTTTAATATTATTCAAGGCGCATCTCGCGGCAATAACAAAAACATCAATCACATTGATGTTCAAAATCGACGAGCACTCGATATAACTAATAGCGCCAATAGTTTTCGCCACAGCTTCACCCTCCTGAAACGAAACCGGTGTCTGTCCATAAGCGCTTAATTCCCTAATAACCACCGCATCCGTTCTCAAATCCAGCTTCAACCCGACCAAAATAATCGATGCCCTGGGTGAATTATCCACCGCCTCCAAATGCCACTTATCCATGACATTAATCAATGAATCTGGCGAATCAATGCTGAAGCAAATAATGACAATGTCTGCATCCGGGTAGCAGAGGAATCGGAGTCGGTCGAATTCTTCCTGCCCTGCGGTATCCCACAGTGCAAGCTCTACGGGCCGTCCGGCCACCTCAACGTCGGCTACCCAGGTCTCAAAGATTGTTGGGATGTACCGGTTGTCTTGCGGGAATTCGCCGACCCGGAAGACGTGGAGGAGACAGGTTTTTCCGCATGCGCCATCGCCGATTATTACGGCTTTGATCCGAACGGCGTAGCCATTAGACTCTTTGTTGACTGAGCTGGTGTGAGGCATATTTTAAGTTTGTTTACAATAAGTGATATTATAAATGGGTGAGTGAGTGTATAAATGAATAAGTGATATATGCAGAAAAATTATTGAAAAAAGTAAAAAGAGAGAGAATAGAGGAGAAAATAAAAATGTAGATGGAAATATTTTTTAAAGAAACAATTAAAGAAAAAGCACTCCAACGAAGTAGAAAAATGAAAAACAATACCCAAAAAACCTAAAGAAGAGAAGAAAAAGAGAGAGGCTGGCAGTTTTCCTTTGTTTGATTATTTGCTCACTCACAATTGAGTTCCGGGACAATAGTCAAACTCCAAAAAAAACTCATAAGATTGATTGGGGAGACAAAAAAAGAAGAAATCAGGCAACAAAAAATATTATCCTGGCTCATGCGCTGCTGCGCTGCTGCCGCTGCCCTTTCTACTTCAGAGTCACGAAGCAGCTGCAGAAGCAGTGGGAATTAGTGCAGGGAGGAGGTGTACTCAGATAGGTAGAAAAATTCTACATGTTGAATTTCGGGTTTCTTTAGAGGTCAGAGCACGCCCTGCTCATGTGTATATTATATACATATGTTGATATCACAGGGTCACGTATTGGCATTTTCACCACTGCTTGGCATCCAACAAAAAGACAAAAGGCCAAGTTTCGCAAACTAAATAAAAAAGTAGTACACTGTGGAGGAATAAAATTGGATAGCTAAGAGAAAGCGATAGAAAAGTAAAAAAAAAAGAAATAAAGAAGTTACAGAATTATGCAACAACCCTGGGTGTCGTCGTAAGCGTACTGCTGGCCCTTGGCGGGCTTTAAAGTTTTGCGCACAGCCATGCTGAAAATTTCATTCACGCCCCGATTCTCCTTCGCCGAGCACTCCAAGTACATGTGTGCGCCAATCGCGCTCGCCACCTCCAGCGCCTCCTCACGACTGGTTGGTTGCTGACCATCCCTGCCGAGCTGCTCAATGATATTTGGGTCCCTCCGCAAGTCTTCCTTTAGGCCAACCAGAAGCGTCGGCACTCCGGGCGCGTACTCCAGCACTTCGCTGATCCACTTCTCCCGGACATTCTCCAGCGAGTCGGGCGAGTCCACCGAAAAGCAAATGATGACGACGCTGGCTCCGTTGTAACAAGGGTATCGCACATTATCATAGTCCTCCTGTCCCGCCGTATCCCACAGCGCCAGCTCCACCGCGCGCCCGTCGACGACGACATCCTTGACGCACTCTTCGAAAATTGTCGGGATGTACTGATCATTGGGCGGGAATGAGCCCTCGCGGTATACGTGTAAAAGACATGTTTTGCCGCACCCACCGTCGCCAATTATCACTGCCTTGCGCTGGATCGGCCTCCGATTCTGCTGCTGCTGCTGGTGTTGCAAGCTGGGGCTATTGACTCGCGACATACTATATACTGCTGTCAGTGTCAGTGTTGGTGTCGGTGTTCCTTTGTGTCTCTTCGCACTGCTTCCAGGGGTATTTCACGTGTGTCCTTGCGCGTTGACAGAAAAATAAAAAAGATTGTCCGCCCCCACTGAGTCGGTCTTAAAAATAATGTTAATTTAGCTCCGCGGTCTATATTAAGCCCAATTAAAAAATTGTGTCTGCTCCTCTTTTTTTCCTTCTAGATTAGGCAAAAATGCGGACGAATAGAGAAAGCGGGCCTATAAATAGTATTAAAAAGAACAGTTAGCAAGCGCAACAAAAAATGAAAAATAAAAATATTAGTTGCTGCCAGCTACAACCCAATTAATAAAATGTAAACTTTGGCACAAGAGGCCAAAAATCATTTGTATAGCATAGCTGCAATGCTCCAACAAAGCATGTCATTGTTTTTATTATTGGTTTTCCGACAAAGTGGACATTCACCTCTAACAGCAGTAGAACAGGCCAGATAAGGAAAAAGACTAAGCAAAAACAATGGTAGCGTGTTTGTTACCTTTAAAACTTTTTTTACTGGAAAATCGCCGAATGAGTGTGCGCTATTGCGTGTTTCTGTGCAAGATATGCGTGTATATGTACTTTGAGACGGAAGCGGGAACCAGTTCCACGAGCCGTTCGCTACCTGTTGGTTGTCCGAATGACGTGCAAAATATGAATGAAAGGGGGAATAAAAGCAAAACCAAAACAATGGCAAATTTGCAAAGTGTCCAAAAGTATATATAAAAAAGGTAAAAGAAAAAGAAAGTGAGTGAAAGTGAAAGTGAAAGTGAAGGTGAATTAACAAAAGTGCATAAAGTACGAAAAGCCGAACGGAAAAAGAGGAAAAAAAGAAAAAGAGCTTGATGGCGGTAAAGAAAAAATACAACACCCCCCAAGCCAGAACAAAACAAAATGGGTTGATTGGAACACACTGGGGCTGGGTCATTATATCATTATATGAGTACAAAAAACAAAGTATTTTTCTTTGCAACGCTTGTGCCAAGAGCAAAAGATGTGAGGCCCAATGATTCGAGTGGGCGCTGGGTTATCTGGGTCTCCCGGGCATATTAACTCTTGGGACAAGGCGCACACCCTAAAAGTCCTATAAAAAAGGCAAATCCCAACCCAGGCTGCATTCCTGCTGCATCAAAAAACTAATCGTAGCAGCAAAAAAGAGAGTACCAGAGCAAGAATAAAAGCCGAGCAGAGCCCGAGCGGAATATGCCAGGCCAGTAAGGTGGATCTGTGTGATGGGTCTTTCTTCTGTTGCTGCTTCTGATCTGATGAGGCAAACAAACAAGCAGTGGGCGTATCTCATACCCGCTCCTCGGCTCGGCTCGGCTCTTTAAACGCTCTTGAGCATTTACTTTACGTCACTTGACTGCTGTCTGCATTGGACTTGGCTTGATTTTAGCTTTTTGGCCCTTGTGTTTTTGACCCTTCTTTTTCGCTTTCGCTCGTGCGACTTGCGAACGGCAGCGTATACGTCGGCAATACAAAGCTGAGCTTGGTGCTGCTGGAAATATGCTTGCTAGTTTTTTATACCTTTTTTTCTTCCTCTGGCTTTAAAAAGAATAAAATAAATAAGAGAAACTGCACTTTGGAACGTTTTTCTTCTTTTTGTGAAATTCATACGCTTTAACGCCCTTTCTTACATTTTTAATATTCATTTCACGGGGAATTTAGCATCTTTTTTATCTATCGACAACAACGTTACAAGGACTTAATAGCGCTACTAAAAAATCTAACGATATCATATGGCTCTAGTGTACGAACCCGGAGACGCGCTGTCCTTCCAGCGTAAGTACCAGAATCCTTTTTTCAGAGTCCAATTTACACACTTTGAAAAGGGCCAGTTTTGCTCTCTTTCTCTCATCTTGAAATTAGCGACATGTTGCGCACACATTGAATCACTTGTAGCTAATACTTTTTCTTTTCTCCATTCAACACTGTCACTTTGCACCCCCACTTGTAGAGCCCTTTGCCACTCAGGCCCAGGACCAGCTGCGCCTGACGAACAAAAATAACTCGCCCGTTGCCTTCAAGGTGAAGACTACGGCTCCAAAGCAATACTGCGTGCGTCCCAATGCCGGTCGCATTGAGCCTGGAGACTCTGTCGAAGTGCAAGGTAAGCAATCCGTTCTTGATTTCCGCCAACAATTGTTATCTGCGAACAATACAATACAATACAATGCATACACACATATACACAAAAAAGTATTTAAAGGGGTCCTTCCTTGTTCCCTATCTTGCCTTTTTGTGACAATCCCTGTAATGTCTGTATGTTGATGTTCTCGAAAAAACAATGAATTGTTTTCGTCCTCTCCAAAACAAAAAACTAAAAAAACTTGTTTACACATTTATTTCATATTTTCTTTTTCGAATGTCAAGCAATGTAGTTGTCCTGCAGCCGATGAAGGAGGATCCGCCAGCTGACTTCAAGTGCAGAGACAAATTCTTGATCCAAAGCATCCAGATCACACCCGAGATGGATTCCATGCCCATGACTGAGCTCTGGTCCATGGTTGAGCGCGAAGCCAAGTCCTCTATCAGCGAGAAGAAGCTGCGCGTCCGTTATCTGCAACCCGAGGCATCCGACAAACAAAGCCAACAATCCGTCGCTGGTTCCGCTGCAGCCACCACCAGCGGTGGCACTGCTGATGAAAAGGCTGCTTCTGGAAACACAGGATCGCAGCAGCAGCGCTCCGTTCACTCCTCTCGCCCACTACCTGGCCCATCACCTTTGGCTAAATCCGTGGACACCCAGGTGGACTCTCCCGGAGAGGAGTCTGGGGACAACTCGTCACCCCACGAAACACCCAAGTTCAGCGACACCTCGCTGCCTGCTGCCGCAGCCGCCGTTGCTGTTGCACCCAAGACAGCCGATGACTCTGCAGTTACTGGCCGTGTTGAGGAGTCTGCAAAGAAATCGGCTGAACCCTGCGATGTTGTGCCCAAGAAGGAGCTTGAGACTGCACAGGGCACTATTGAGGACCTCAAGCGGCAATTGAACAACTACAGGCACCAGTTAGAGAGCGCTGTGGCTAGCGGGAGTGCCGCTTCGGCTGCGGCTGTAACTATACCTGCAGGTGGTCGGGCGGTTAGCGCTCAGACTTCGAAGACTGTTGATGGTTTGTCCATGCACTCTGTGGTTATTGTCGCTTTGGCTGCGTTTATGGTCGGATATTTCTTCTTCTGAGTCCCTTACATTTTACTGTCCGTTTTGTTTTGCCCTGTTCCTGTTCTTGTCTTGCCTTGTTTCTTTATTTTTATATTCGTTCAATTTTTTATACTCGCATAAAATCAACTTGTTTTTCATCCACATTATTAAGACATGGCGTATATGTATGGATGGTGTATATTTAAAACTTTTGACATACAAATGTGACATATTAACTTTACCACAGTTGTGTCAGCAGAGCAACCAGGGTTACAGCACCCACGACCAACCTGACACTGTTAATAGCATTAGCACTACCCTTAAACCTGTTGTACACACCGTAATAACAATGGTCATCGGCTCCAAGTGGTTCCACCGCCTGCCACACTCCACCCTCGCATACCTTATTTGCAAGCATTACTCTTGGTGCTGGTCTTTGAGCTAATGGAGGTTGTGGTCTTGCTCTTATTTTTTGAAGTCGACTTTGTGCTTTTATATGTAGTGGTGGTGGTGCTTGTATTGGCAGACGCTAGCTGTATAAAAAAAGCCGGCGATGAGTCCGATGACAAGAAGGTTTCTATAGATTAAAGCCATATAAAATATATATGTAAAACTTAAATAATAGTTGATATACAGAAACTAAAAAATATGAGTGGATGCGTGTTATAATACTGTAAATTTTTCATTTCATGAGAAAAACTTAATAAAAAGCATAAAAAGCATAAAAATAATGCTTTGTATTTGCCTTTTATTTTTATAGACTTGTTCTGCACCTTTCTTTTATGTTTTTTTTGCACAGTGAACCAAATAAAAACAACAGCTCTGAGAAATTTTTTTACAGAAAATAATATGTGCGGTTCAATGGCGAGCATTTTTTATTTTATTGCGAGTAATTTGTATTCAGTTAGGTATGCAATATTACATGTCTGGTCGTTATGTAGGTATTAAATATCTCGTATTTAAACTTTTAACGTTAAATGTGACTAGATTACCTATATTTTTGATTAACCTTCCAGCTAACCTTTATAGTGGACAATGTCATTATCACTGGGCTTCTGACCTTTATTTTTCTATTTTTAAAAAACAAGCATCAAGTGGCATTTCTTACACCCCTTCAAACCATCTGGACCTGATATTTAAATATGTGTTGTAAACTTTTAAACAGTCAATTTAACATCTGAATTTTGCGAATTAACAATGATGCAGTCAGTGCTATTAACCAATTCAGCAATGACCTCACCGCCATCGTTTGCGGGCCCGCCAAGAGCAGGTTTGAAGCCAATGCCCAAGTGGGAGGTGGAACTCCTCAAGCAACCTCCTCCACAATGGGTGGTTAAAAAACGAGTCTCTCGTGGGGAAGTTGTCCGCGGTGTCCCTGGTGAGACAGAAAAAGGCAAAATGGATGTCAAGCAGGATGACAATGGGTATGACAATGGCGACAACAAAGGGGCCTCAAGCAACGTTGCGCCTCTCAGTAAGGAGTTTCTTGATGGCCTTACCTCGACCATGCAAGGTGCCAATGTCTCATGGGCAACACTCAACAAGCACTACCCAGAAAATGGTTTGCGCTTTATCTACCTCAATTTTGCAGGGAGAACCAATGCCAACATCAATTGCGCCACAATTCCCCGTCTGGCAGATGACCTCTGCATCAACAAAATTATCAGTCGCGTCGACTACATGGCAGCCTACGACTTCTCTTTTGTGCAGACAGCCTTCAGAAACAAGGGTGACTCGAGTGCCGGGTGGGACCAAGCCGGAAACCTACTTGCAGCACTAGGAGGCTCTGTTATGCATACACATGGCAAGCTCTGCAAGGAGTGGGTAACTTGAATTGGTAAAAAAGGGGACAATTTTGCCACCATCCAAGAAATGGACGAGCCCAACACTTCCGAATATAATGGCATCCTCAAAGGCAACAAGCGCAAGCAGTACGCCTTGGTCACTGAACAGAGATTCCTTGGCTTTGCCATCTACGGCAAGGGTAAGCAGGCCCAGCAGTCTGGGGATTTTGCGGAGGCCACAACAATGAGCGGCAGTTGACGAGGACAGAACATTTTCAACAGAAATCGTGGCGGCAAGTCCAAAAACTTCAATAACAAGTGGAACCTTGGTTAACAGCAGCAACCACAACAGCAGCAGTAGTAACAATCCCAACAGCAAAACTAGTTACAGAACAACTCTCAGTCTCAACAGTAAATTCGTCAACACGGCATGCGGGACCCCGGCCAAATTCAGGATTCAGGCAGGGGAGATATCTCCAAAAGTGTGCAGACCATTGGAGGACAATGGGGACGTCACCAATGGTAATGTCCGCAATGTTGGAGGTGATGACGGTTAATACCATTGTGTAAAACATGTCAACAAGGACGGAGGAATGGCAGACCTAGCCCTGTTGCAGTCGGAGATCAGGATCACAGAGTTGGCACACAAACGCAATCTTAAAATACACTCGACATACTTACCAAAAGTACAGAACATAGCTGCAGGTGTGCAGAGCAGGCCTTGAGGGCACCGCATGACCTGATCATTCTGAGGAAGACGTTTGCTCTTCTCCGGAAACGACTGCCCTAACTCTCCATGAACGCATTCGCAGATAGGGAGAGTGCACAGCTCAAAACTTTTTGGATGCAGTTCCCTGACCCGCAGGCGGCGGTGACAGATGGGTTCAACCAGTCCTGAATAGCACAAGGAGTTTTCACCTTCCGTGGTGTATGATTTCACAAGCACTGGAAAAATATAGCAGGAGAAAGTGGCAATAGTAATGGTGATGCTGTAATGGATGACACAGTAGTGGTAATTACTGCTGCTGGAATTGGTATATATGGCCCTGATTCAGTTTTCAATTCGGGGTTAGTGCTGGCTATACCTTACTTGAACATTATTCAGACATGTCTCAAAAAGTGTGGCCTTTCTGCAGCAACTATTGAGTAATTTACAGGCAGAGCGCCAAACAAACACTAGGCTTATGACAGCGCATGGGGGGTGTATCCAACGGGGTTGGGATCCTACTTGTGTTTTTTTACGAAGTTAGCCAACTTTTTGTCTGAGTCGTTGCTGAGCTCTTCCAACCTGAGCTTGCTCACAGCAGCGACCAGCTCTGTGTGGATGCCACTGCATAACTTGACTATGCCAGTGGGCGCAGAATCCACAATTGCATCCGTGATTACAGCGTGGAAACGCTCGTCGGCAATATCCAAGCTGTTGAAGTGGGGGTTCACTATGTGGACCGGTGACACCATCCGTGAGAAGTTCCGCCGATGGTATGATGATGACCTGCTCATTTCAAGAAGGGTGGCAATTCATGTGGTCATCATGGTAGCACTGCATACTGTGTGGCGACCTGGTAGCAAGGTGTCCACCCTCATGTGAAAAATATTTATTTAGACGATGTTGAGCCAAGGTTCAAGGTGTGCATGCCTTACATAAAGACACAGCGCGACCTGGTACAGGTGGGGCAAGGCACACCAGATGACTCAATGATCTGCCCCTATCACACACTCAGTGAGTATATTGGCTGGTGCAATGAACATCGCGAATGAATGGGGGAAAGTATTTATTCCTACACCTCGAGACCAAGCAGTCCGCGACGCAGAACATGGTCTGCCATTGAATCAAGGAAATATTGGCGTAGTACGGTGTTTCTGACATGCCACACAAGATTCAGGTAGTGGTGGCAACATATATCCTCAACAAGAACAAGCCAGTGCGAGAGATTCAAATACAGGGAGGTTGGTCGCACAGCATGGAGACAGTTTACCACTACATTGCCAATGGCATAGTGATGCGTCCACAGGCTTCACCTCAGGCCGAGAGCATAAACGCACCTTGAGTAATAGGTCTTCATTAAAATATATTGCTTCACCTTTATTATTAGGTATTTGAGCAATGGCAATTGGGAATATTTATGTATTAATTTTAGAATTTTCCATTATAAAAGCATGGTTGTAATTAAAAGATGCGCATATTGTCAAAAAAAACTATTAATCTTTAAAAATAAATAATTGACAAGTTGTAGTGTATAGAATTACCGTAAAAGCTAGTATTAATGTATAAACATATAGGGAGCAACATACCAAACAATTTTTAATATTAATTTAGATGCTAGGATAGTTTCAACAATTATTAGTGCATAATAAAAATAATTCAACTCTCGAGCATTTGTATTGGAATATAGGAACGTTCTGTGAACGTGTAGATAAACTATAATGATATAAAGTATATTTAATAAATAAGTGCTATACACTGTGAAAGGTAAAGAGTAGAAAGCATATTGCTTTGGTCACTGTGTGACTTATTGTTTGTGTTGCTAAACAGCCAAGACTGGTTAATCAGTTGATCGCCATTAACCAATAATTTGCTAGTGCATTGTTTAACAAATGCAAATTATTTTTATGAATGTGCTAAAAAATGTTTTAAAAACAATCAGGTAGCATTCAACCTGCAGTATACCATATAATAGGCAATGTTTATTTGACAAAAACAGTTGTAAACCAGCATGTAATTTTCAGTTAAACAACATGCGAACCCCAGTCAAACAACATGTGAACCACGGTCAATCCGAAGTTAGGCAACACAGGAGCCGCCATCTAGCAGTTATTAAGTTTTGGTTTTGTTTCTTCTTTTGTGTAATATAATGCCAATATTTTTCTTTGTCAAATTAAAAATGAACATGGGTTTATGTTTTTATTTTGCAAAAGCCAAATGCACTCAGAGCCAAAGTAAAAATAATAGCGGCAAAGGGGGAAGCGGCAGTCGGGTGTGATGAAAAAAGGCTAAAATGCAAATGACAAAACAAATGGGAACTTATTTTCAAATTGGGCTGCCCGACATGAACACCACCAATATAAATTTTTATGAGCATCAGTGTCCGCCGCTGTTTGCTATAACTACATAGATGACCCTGTGGAAGTTATTATATTTTATGCAAACAGTTTTAAATTTGACTGATTAACAAGCACCTGTAATTGGTGTTTAACGGGTTGTTACGCAGCCCGAGGATATGGAAGTAGACGCTAAGGGGAAATCATGAGACAGACTCTCGTCAGCTAACAGATGGATCTGATATGGGCCAAATCACAGGGGATCAAATTAGACGCCACAATTGAAATCCGGACATATTGCCTGTCCCGAAATAGATGTGCTGGGCGCAAGAATACAGACATTCCAATTATGCCATATCAGAGACCCGGGCTACTTTCATAAGGACCAGTTCTCACGAACGGCGCACACAACGGCCAGTGAGTGCCACAAAGACAAGGAGATATATATAAGGCGAGGCCGGCGATAATAGCACTTTAGAAACACTAGTAATAAAAACATTTATAATTTCACACCCATTCTTTTAACATTATTACAGTAGTGCTCCCCACCCCCTCTTACATAACAGGTTCATGTAAAGCGTGAAAGCAGGCATTAATCAAGCATGCATAAAAAACTCGTCCCTTGATTTAAGCTGATAATTATCGCCAGAAATTAAAATATAATAAAAACTATAAATTTGTATGTTTATAAAATAGAGATATTGGGCATAGTATTTTTTGGCCAGGCATATTTTTTTCCTTTTTATAAATAGATTTTTACTTCTGAAAAAATATGCACAAACCCTGGCGTTTGTTGCAAACAAATTTGAATGCGTGGCGTATGTCACATTGATTAAACAATTTAGGCAATTGATTAAAAGATGTATTATAATATTATTATTGAAATATGTACGTTCTGTGAACAGGATATAAAAATATAACACGGTATGTTTAATAAGGTATATCCTATGAGTGCTATGCACTGAATAGTTAAGAGATAACAACTATGTGGCGCGTGCTACTGTGTGCTTAAAAAGATAAGCAATGTAATATGATCATGCCTGGCTGCATCCGGCTCTGGCAAATCAACAACAATAAAGTCTGGCTAATTAGTCGATTCCAATTGACTAATAAATATACACCCAAGCTACAAATCCAGATACAAACAAACATACATACATTAAACAATATTTGCACAGCATTATTATGGTACATATTAATATTTTCTAATACCACCAGATGCACCTTTGACACCGAGTATACATTTTGTGACGGTGGTATTTGAATATACAATACTGGAAAAAATACACTGTGGGACGCTTGCTGAAGCCGCAATTTACTTTATTTTGACCATGTCAATGTTGTGATTTGGAGAGCACTAGTCGTCTAGCGTTAAAGGTGTTGTGGTTTAAGTAGAGCACTAATCACTTGGTGTTAAATGTATGTTTGGGTTTTGTTATAGTTTTTATTATCAAGGGAATCAAAAGTAGAACTAGGGCTAGCCTCGTCTTATATATGTATCTTGTTGGCTTTGTTGTGCACTTCACCAGTTGTGCACTCCGTTGGCAAGAACTGGTTTTTCTGCGAGCAGACCGGTATCTTGGCATATCAAAGTTGTGATTTTCACGTAAGCGTGTTAATGCATGTGCATTGTAAAATGGGGAGCACACACGGGTGTCATTATTATGTCCCCTGACCTACTCCCACATGATCACATCTGCACCCTATCAATCAGCATGCAGGTGGAGGCTTGTTTCACGATTCTCAACCTCGGCATTCACTTCCATATCCTCGGGCTGCGCAACATCAACCATTGAAGCTACTGTTGCTGTTTAAAAATAAATGTAAAATTTTACGCTGTCAATTAACACATTCAACATTTACACCATCATTTAGACAATAAAATTTTTGAGTATTTCCCAAAAATAAAAGCGTGAGGTTGGCCAAATTAATGGACAATGACAAATAAATAAAATTTGTAAAGAATATATTAAAACTAACATATACGTTTATGTATGCCCAAAGTAACGCAGACTCAAGGTGCGGCTGACTTTTCGGATGGCAAAACAATATTTGCAAAACCATGTGCTTCGTAGTTTGGAAGAGAAATGTCGTGACTGTCTCTGGTAATGCGTTCAGTGACAGGGACATAAACAGGTGCAGGTACAGCAACATTGTTAAATTCTGGAGTGGCCTCGGTTTCGGCGTCGCCAGAAACAGAGATTTCGTCGAGCATTCTCTTGCGGTTAAGATCAGCAGTCTCATTCTTGGGATCCCAGCTCATGGCGTTGCGGCGTCTGCGCCACCACTTGTGCAAGAAGTACATGCCAATCAGTATGAAAATGGTGGCAAGAGGAACAACAACACTGACGGCAATGATAGCGCCGCGGCTCAGCCCGTTGCTACTTCTCGCCTTTGCGTTGGCGTTGTTCTGAGAGTTTTTCATTCCACCATCGGGGACAATCTCGTCAACAGGGCCATCAATTATATCGTCGTCGTCGTTGTCCATGTAATCGGCGTAAGCGTAGGTTTCGACCTCGATATTTGATACCAAAACAAGCTTGCCGTTTGAATCGGTCTTGGTGAGGTACAGTACGCGGGTAATCTCAAGGTCCGACATGCCAGGATTAGTTAAAAGCTCAGCAATTGGAATAATGCTTCCGTTGACAGTGACAAAGTCTCCATCTTCAATTATTTGTTCGTAATCGTCCTCAATAACCTCTTCCGAGTCATCGGAGTCTTCGTTGTTGGCTGAGGGGGCACGAGTAGTCTGATGGCTGCTACTGCTCGCTCTACTCACTGACTTTGAACTGTTGTTGGAACCAGCACTACTGTTTTTAGACCCGCCGGTGCTGCCCCCTGAGCTGCCGTTGCCCGAGTTGTTATTGCTGTTGTTATTATTGCTATTATTGTTGTTGTTATTGCTGTTGTCGTTGTCGTTGTCGTTGTCGTCGTTGTCGTTGCTGTCACCTGTATTACCGCCCGAGTTGCTATTACCATTGCTGGGAGCTGTGGTTTTAGTTACCTCGGCTTTTGTTTTAGTTACCTCGGCCTTTGTTGTAGTTGCTGCTGCGGCCTTTGTTGTTGGCGTCGTTGGTGCTACTACTGGTGCTGGCGCTTTTACTGTTGCCTCGGCCTTTGTTGTATTTTCTGCTGCAGCCTTTGTTGTAGTTGCTGCTGGGGCCTTTGTTGTAGTTGCTGCTGGGGCCTTTGTTGTGGTTGCTGCTGCGGCCTTTGTTGTTGACGTGGTTGGTGCTACTACTGGGGCTGGAGCTGCTGATGTTGCCTTGGTGGTCACTGCTACTGGTGCGGCCTTTGTAGATGACTTGGTCGGAGTTGGAGTTGGGGTCGGAGTTGAAACAGCGGTAGGAACATAGTTTCGGTGCATGGGGTAAAAATCGCCAGAAACCAGCTTGATCCCAGATTTGCTTGCCCCGGCGGCGTTTTTCATGCTGAATGATTTGTCACTATTTAGCGAATAAGAGTCATCAAGCCAGAACGTGTCAATGTCTATCCCAACCTTTCTTTTAGCCCATGCAATGTACGGGTAGATCATGGTGTAGTAATGGTACGATGTCCCCGTGGCTTGGCAGAGGCTGTCGCCGGTAATAACGCTATGACTGTAGATGGCCGAAACAGACAAGTCGTCGGGCTGCATTACACCCCAGCCGGTGCCGTAGGGTAACCTGCAATTGCTGTTCATAGGCGAAGTCACAGCACTGGTAACGCACAGCATGGTGTTTGAGTTTGAACTGAACAGGTTGCTGTTGGCGCTGCATTCGCTGTTGGACGACAAGAAAGCGGCACTTGTAGACCCCCAGGTTTTTTCCTTGACACTGGTCATTTTGCGGTGGCTGTACAGAACGCTGTCCCACTCAGCAGGGTTTGCACCAACAAAAGAGTACCACGACTGCGAGTTTTTGGTGTTGAATGTGATAAAGGCAATGTTGTTGGCGTACGTCGACGGGTCGTAGTCGGAGTGAACGTCAATGGAGTCAAGCGTAAACATCTTGGAAGTTCCGTCAGTTGGACTGTTGATGGCAATTTTAAAATCCTTGTCGTTGTCTACGCTGCCGTCGGATTTAAAAATAAAGCAGCTGGCCGCAGTGGCTCCAAACTGAGTGTTAAAAAGAGCTATTTCGCAGGATGTCTGCACACCAGCAAGAATAAGAACAGCGCCACGGAAGTCGTTTATGAGGTTGCTGGAAGTGACTGTGCGCTTTGTAAAGTTTGCTGCAAAGCCCTGGACCGACTGGACCAGGCACAGGGCCACTGCGGCGGCTTTTACAAGGCTAAAAGGCAGCTTCATTGTTAAGAGCTGTACACCGCGCAAAATCGAAATATATCAAAAAGTGGGGTTTGAATAAAAAATAAACAATAAATAGGAGTGGGATAAAATATTAAGCGATCACAGACTGTAAACAGGCACAAAAGTTACGTGCACGCTGTCTAGATGACTTTTACAAGTCGCGGGTGGTGAAAATTGGGTGTAACAAAAATGCGACAAAAAATATAATTTGAGCGGAAGGAAGGAAGGAAGGAAGAAAATAAGAAACCGAATAAGCAGCACCATAAAAAAGAGGTGAGAAATGCGGTGCAAGTTCAGAAAATCCAAACCTGCAAAATCGGTGGTTGGAAGAGCAACACTTGCAATTATGTGAAGCGCACTTGCATACCTTTTCTTCTGCTACAAAGAAGTGGTCAACTGAGATTTACCTCTTTGCAAGGACCACACATTGTCATTAAAAATTGATGATGTGCATGCCTTGGAAAACTGAAATGTCCACAGTGGGCTGAAGATCGCCAAAAAATTACAAAAAGAAGGCAAACCTTTTTTTAGTATTTGAGTTGTCAAACCAGTTTTGTTTTAAATATTGAAATACAAAAATCACCACTACACGAATGGTATGATACGATAGGTTTGCCTTTTTTGTAGATGCACACCTGGCCAATAATATGGGAAATTGATTGACTGAGTTGATTAGTTCTACAAGTCAATATACCGCTTGTGTTGTTGTTTGTTAGTATAATAAATAAATAAACAAAAATATAAAGTGTATTTGTAACAAATAAAGCAAAATACAAATATATGAAAGACCAATTCATAATCGCAGAAACTAAGTTCAATTTAGAATAGCGTAATAACGGTTCAGCCCGTTATCCAACTTTTTGTACAATTTGAGCCGCTCCAAACCATTTGCATCAGTATTATGTATTGTCAAGCATGCTTGCTGAGCACATGGTTTTAGGTATATATTTGTGAAAAGTAGAAACTAAAAAATCAAAACTAAAAAACCACACAAACTACACTAATAAATTACTTGAGCTGGTTGACATATTTGCCAAATATATTTCTTGGTGGCTGGCAATAATTTAAAACATGGATATTAGTTAAACAAAAAATGCAAAGCCGTGCTAAATGACATTGATATAGCATTTATTTTAAATTTTTCATGGTTTTGCAAATTTATTATTACCATCATTATACATATATATATGCGTTTTAATTACGCAGCAATGGTTATATTTTTTAAAGCTTCCTCGATTTTTTTATTAATATTTTCCCCTCTTTTATCGTAATATACCCTAAATAACTCGGGTGTATCATTGCGTAATCTGCGTGTATATGTTTTATATGACAAATATTTGGGTCCATTGTATTCATTATATTTTACCGCAATACGCAATGCCAGCATTTTATTATTAATCCCTTTAGTTACATTTCCTTCAACAAAGTCTATGTTTTTTAATTCGATACAATCAATTTTACTAATTTCATTATTGTAATAGTAAGCATATAAGCCTGCAGCTGTAATTGAGACGGATGACATTGTTTATTGTCCTAGACAAAATATCTATGTTATGTAGTAAAACTTAGTTGGAGCTGGTATTTAATTAGGTGTGAGGGTGAGTTTATGTATAAAAAATTGTATGGAACAAAGCGCCAAACAACTGTTTTTATATCAATTTTGATGAAAGTACATTTTCAACAATTAGGTATAAAAATAACGGAGTAGGATCTGTCAACCCACATTCAACAAGCAAACACCTTTCAGAATAGCAAAAATCGTGAGTTGATGCGTATGTGCTAGGAAAATAGCCCACAATCAAGCAAAAATGTGAGCTACAGTCATCCAACACAGGGACTGGAGTCTAGGAATAAAAATATACCATCTAATTTTGTTTGCCAACTAAACATAAAACAAAAAACAATTGAATGTTAATTAGACTGCAATTGAGCAACATGTGGACTGCAGTCAACCTGGAGTTGAGCTACACGGGAGCCTCCAGCTAGCAATTATATAATTTTGTTTTTGTTTCCGCTTTTGCTTAATATAATGCTAGCTTTTTTCATTGTTAAAATAAAATAAACATACTGCTTTGTAACTTCTCTTTAAAGACGAAAGCAAATTTCCAAGGTCCCAAAAGAAAATACAATAGTGGAAAAGAGAGAAAGCGGCAGTCAAGTGTGTCAAAAACAGCAAAATATTTTACAATGTATGGGTATGACAAATATAAAATTATTTTTAAACTTAGCTGTCCGGCATTAGCACTAATGCTATCAATTTATTTTATTTTATTGATCGTCAATGCTTTTTTGTTTGCTTGCTGTATTTTTTATATTTGTCAATGTGTGTGATTGGCTGTAACAATTATAATTTTTGAATCCCTAAACTTACGTTTGTACTGTTCATGTCTGAATGTGTATATTGTATATTGTATATCATAATAAAGGTAATTTTAATAATCGACTAAGCATTATACACTGAACGAATGTAGGACAGTACATTGCTTTTAAAGATCGTTGCATGATTATTGGATTTACAGTGTTAGGGAGGAGGAGAATTCGCCACATTAAAACGTTTTGCTTCTCTAGTACTGGCCAGCACTATTTGTCGTTGGATTTTTCCCCGTCAACATAATAATGTAAAGGTTCACTTTTTGAAACAAAATTTGTTATATTACAATATCGCTTTATTTTATCTTTCTATTAGCGGTATCATCCAAATGGGAAAAACCACTCCGCTGCAAATCTCATTCGAAGGGCTGACATACTCTGTCAGGGTGCCTGTCAAGCCTACCCTCGCTGAAAACACTAACCCCAGTCGTGTCTCATCCGCTCTTCACGCTCTAAAAGCACCATTTACCAGAGCCAAGTACGAGGACAAGGTTATTCTTAACCAAGTTAGCGGGACATGCAGGCCAGGCCGACTGACCGCCATCCTGGGACCTTCAGGCTCAGGCAAGACCACCTTGCTAAATCTGCTAGCCGGCCAGACCACTAAGGGGACTACGAGCGGCAACATCTGGATCAATGGCCGCTTGGCTTCAGGCAGCAGCATGCGCCAGCTTGCCGGATACGTGAACCAGGAGGACGTCATTTTGTCGACCCAGACAGTGGAAGAGGCCATCATGATGTCTATTATTATGCGTCTGCCGCCACTGGAATTAGGAATGCCGACACTGTCTTTGGGACAATTCAAGGCCGTAGACGACATCCATGATGGGTTTCAAGAGATTTTGCCGAAGAAGAAGCATGCAACAATGGCCAATATTGCAAACCACAGCAGCAGCAGCTACAACAGCGACGAGAAACTGCCTTTTCCCGTTACCACTGGCGACAAACAGTCCAACAGGTCTGCAAGCGTCTCTGTGAGCAGCTACTGCGTTTCGCCTTCCATTGGGAAGCGTGACCAAATGCAAAAGGACGCACTCAAGGCAGAGCAAATAGCGCGCTGCTCACAGGCTATTTCGCTGTTCGGGCTGGAAAAATGCCGCGCTACTGCTGCTGGTGACTCCATGAACAAGGGCATTTTGGGTGGCAAGAAGAAGCGCACGTCTATAGCAATGGAGTGGGTGACTGACACGCCAATTATGTTCCTGGATGAGCCGACCTCGGGGCTCGATGCATATTCGGCTCTAATGGTTACGCGAAAGCTCAAGCACATTACTGAAACAGGCCGAACTGTCATTGCGGTGCTCCACCAGCCGTTGTCCGAGATGTTCGAGCTGTTTGACGACATTGTCATTATCTTTGAGGGCCGTATTGTGTATACGGGCGAGCGGTCAAACTTGATCGACTATTTGGCGCGCATCGGCTATCCCTGTGCTATTTACAGCAACCCGGCTGACCACATCAACTCTATGCTTTTTGACATAAAAGTGGCGCGCGCTAATATAAGCTATGTTATCAACAGGGAGAAAATGGAGCAACACGCCCAGTTTATGTCTGAAATGTGGCAGCAGTCTAAGGAGGCAGCAGCCCTGCAGCGCAGAATCAATAGCCCCGAGCTGACGCCCATCGGTGCAACGCAGTTCCGTCGGACGAGCCCACCAAATGGTGCAGCTGCACTACTTGCTTAAACAAACGTGGTTAAACAATTTGCGCAAAAAACTCGTTCTCAAACTGCGAATTGCACAAAGCATATATTTTGGGCTGCTCATTGGATTAGTCTACCTGAACTCGCAGGATCGGATATTGGAGTGGCGGCTGCATAACTTTAGTGGCGGCATGTTCTTCAACTGTGTGGCGCAGTTTCTGATGTCTAGTCTCGGCGTGGTTAATGTGTTTGCTCACGAGCGCAAGGTTTTTCTGCGCGAGCGGCAGGGGAAGTACTTACAGGTTGCCGGCATACTATGCGGCCAAGAACATTGTCGAGCAGCCTATCAATATTGCCACAGCAATGGTCTACAGTGGTATTAGTTACTGGCTTTCAGGGCTTGAGCGCACTTTAGCCAAGTTTCTGGTGTATATGGTTAGCATGGTCGTGATTGCATTTAACGGGTACTCTATAGGCGTACTGCTGGGTGCCATGTTTAGGGATATAACGGGGATTGTGAATGCAGTACCAATCCTGTTTTTGCCGATTGTTTTGTACGGCGGCTTGTTTGTTAACGACACAAACACGGTGGTGTGGATGAGATGGCTGCAGTGGTTCAGTCCGATTAAATACGGGTACACGGCGATAATGAAAAACCAGTTTGTCGGGTACATGAGTGTCCCCTCAGTCGGTGACAAGTTCATTGAGAAGCTTCGGTTGAACTCGCTGTCGATTACCACCAACACTCTTATTAACATTTGGCTAGCCCTGTCTGTCTGTACGCTGTCGTACCTGATGCTTATGCTGTTGACAATGAAGACGGACGGCACCCTTGGCAGGGTGAGCAACAGGGCTCAGCGGGAGAAGCTTCTGGCCGCGCCTGACCCACGGTTCACTGTTCTCGAGACTGCATGTTTAGGTGGTAGTTAATAATGATTATTTTTCGCAGGAAATAATGCAATTCGCGCAACCATACTTGCGAATATGCTGTGTGATGTTTTAGTAGTTGTAGTAAAGCAATTTAGGGGTTTTTTTTTTTAAAAATAAATATATTTTTCATATACTATTGCAATATCATATTTAAACTTGATATTTAGTTTTTTTTTGTTAAACATGTTCCGACCAGTCTTTATTTCCGCGCGCTTTTCAAGCCGCTCAGCGCAGCGCAGAGGTAGTTTAGTACAAAGCTGAAAGCTCAAAATAAACAACAAATCCAGCGTCATTATTAAGACTAAAATCAACTGAATACAAACTATTTTGAATTTTTAATGTTAATGTTTTATCTCTAGTTTACTCACAAGCGTCACCCACCCCATCCTCTGCTTCCCCAACACCAGAGCGCGGCTGGCGCAGGCACCTGCATGCATTCAAGGACCGGCCAGCCAGCCACATAACTACGTTCGCTGTACTCCACGAGATCACCGCCATAGCACCCCTATTCGGCGTCTACTACGCCCTGGATTACTTTGAGCCAAAGGTCCCTGTCCCGCAGGCTGTTCTCGAAGAAGGCAATAGGTATGTCAATAGGCTGCGGCAGTATGTCGGATGGGAAGCGTTGGCGACGGATTCGCCAGTGCTCCTGCATCTGGCCACCAGTTATGCTGTGGTTAAGGCGGCGGCTCCATTTCGAATTGCTGCTAGTTTGGCTATGACGCCTTGGGTCGCTCGGTGGTGCACTGTGCCGGTGGTCAGGGGCATTGGGAAGGCCAGAGCGGCTGTGCGCAGAGTCAAAAATAAGTAATAAAAAGAAGCAAATAAACGTATCGTGCGTCTGATTTTGATACTGCTTCTGCTATTGTTTTGCTGATCAGTACAGGGAATTGTTGAGATGATAAAGAAGAGGTTTGGTTGAATAAATTGATAAAAGCAAAAAAAAGTAAAGGCTTGCAAAAGAAAAAAGTGTAAGCATTGGTCAAAAAGGTGTATCGTTTAGCGTTTAAAAGGTTTCTTCCTCATCAACGTGAAGAGCACCCATATGGCCCGAGACATCGCCGTAGTGCTCGGCATTCAAATCATCCATGTGCTCAGCAGCCAAGTCATCGACATCCCCCTCCTCAGTGCTGTAGAGGATGTTCTGAATGTGTTTCGCCATGGCATCCAGCTCAGTGCCGGCCTCAAACTGAGTCGACTGCAGGTACACCTCGATTTCGCGCAGCTTCGTGAAGTAAAAGTCCCTCTCCTTCTCCGCCGTGTCAATGAGAACCTTGGCCTCGATGATCTGCCTGTTGAGCTCCTGTACCTGCTGGGAGCTAGCCGCCGACGCCGCCGCAGGCGTCGTGCGGCTCCCAGGACGCACACCAGCGCGCGCCATGCCAGCCGCCACAGGCCGGCCGCCAGCCACCCGGTTGGCAGCGGGCGCCGGGCGTGTGCGATATGCACCAGCGGACGAGCTGCGCGCCGACGAAGCGCTGCTCATCGGCCGGTGCGCGTCAACCGGCCCAGCAGGCTTTCCGTTGCGGCGGCCAATGGCATCGTAGGGCGAGCCCGACGAGTACGAGTCCCAAAAGCGCTTGAGCCACTGGATAAACTCAAAGTTGTCCTGAAAGCGGCATTTCGTCAGGCGTGTGGGGTCAATGGGCTTGTCGATTTTGTGCTTTGCCATGGCGTTCTGCAGGATCTTAAAGTTCTCAACGTACTCGTACTCCTGGTTCGCATTGAACTTGACCCGATCGAGCTTGATGTCACCGTATACAGAGTCGATAATCTGGCAATACGCTGCGCCTAAGTAAACAAGCCAAAAGAAAAGTCTCCTCCTTTGTTGTGGAAAATTAGCGGAATGAGAGTATAAAAAGTTGTCAATTATTCAATTGTTGAACCTGCGCTGGGCTTTGTTTGTTTGTTTGTTTGCTTGCTTGGTTTAAGTTCGACGTACCGGAGCCCAGCTGCTCGACTTTGGTGTAGTTGGTCTGGAGCAGGTCATTGACCCATCCGATTAGTTCCTGGCGACTGGTCATTGTTTATTTGTTATTGTTATTTTTGTAGTCCCGTGATTACACAAGGTCTGCGAAATGAAAGAAAAGAGGTGAAATGAAATGAAACGAGACGATATTTTTTCGTTAGCAATAAAAACTCCCTCTCGAGATATAAAAGGCGATAAAAGACCAGATAAAAATATTAAAAAAGAGAGTGAGAACGAACAAATAAAAAAACAAGAAAATTCCCAACAATAACAAACAACATGCAAGGCTGTTTTTTCTTCTTCTTTTCTTTATGTGGTCACATACACAGTAAAAATAATGATAAAATAAAAATAAAAGTAAAAACATTGAATTTTTCGGTAGTCGTATCCGACTCTCACACTCTGATAGAATAAAATAAACACGAATTTGTCAGAGTCACTTTTTCTCCTCTTTTTGGGTCTGACTCTGGAAACCCCCAGAACCAGACCAGCCATTAAAAATAAAAAGTGCAGAAATGTGTGTGTATTAAGAACAATCAATAACAATTAGAGCCAACTTATGCGATATCAACATTCTTCGTGCGCAGGTCGTCCTTGGCCTCCTGGATCTCCTGCATCAGCTCCTGGTACGCCTCGGGGCACTCGCGGAAGACCAACAGATTGTAGCCAATGTTAATAAAGGCATACGCGCCCAGCGACACCAGCGCGACCAAAGGCAGAGCGGGCCAAACCTCCGACTTTACAGTTTCTGACAGCGGAAGCAGACCGATGAGCCCGAGGAACCAAATACCGCCGGCAATTGCGAGCGTCGTAGCGACCTGCTGTGCTCTAGTCATTTTTGTGCTGTATGCTTAAATAAAAAAAGAGGGGAGAAAGGGTGAAGGGGTTAAAGGAAGAGAGAGGTGTTTAGAATGAGCGAGGAGTCGTAAATTCGAGAGAGATGACGTTAAATTGAAGCAAGGAAGAAAAGCTTGTATTGATTTCAAAGGAATCAAACCGCGACACATTCATGCAACGAGTAAAAAAAAAACAAAAAATAATTGCGCTTAAAAATGCACTGCATTTTTTCAAGTGTAGCAGCAGCAGCTCTATGCTGGCTGTCAAATGATCCGACTCGGAATGAACTGGCTTGGATTGGCTTGACTCGAGCCGAGCCGAGTCATGCTTTGCACAGAAAATGCAAGCAGAGAATGCAAGCAGTAAAACTCCATTCGTTTTCTGTGATTGGACAAAAATAACGCCAATGCAGAAGAGGAAACAAGGTTTGGGGGGGGGGGGGTGGAAATCATTTCAAATCAGAGCGGCAGTGATGTAATGCGCACAAGCAAGCACAATACAACAGCATTAAAGAGCTTATGAGCGTTGGCCGGAGATTTCGCCACCTTTCCTTATTGGTGTACAATGACGTACGTATTGTAATTGAAGTAATATTGCGACCGATATTGATATCCGCTTCAGCCAGCAGGCGAGAGCCACGCATAAACAAACACATACACAATTATGTGCATTTATGCACGCACGCCATGTTTCTGCGAAAAGCAAAAAATAAAATAAAGTGGAAGATTGAGTGGCGGAGAGAGAATGAGGGCGGGGGCATATAGTTGGATTGGGAGATCTGACCACACATGAACTAATGAATCTAGTGCAAAAAATAAAGTGCCAGGCAGGCAGGCAGCAACCAGTACACAATAATTATTAACAACTCAATTTTTCGGGCCACAATTGAAGAAATCACAGTTGAGTTGAGTTGGATAAGGGATACAGGGATAGAGAAAAAAGAACGGATCATCCCAATCGCAGACAAAAAAGGGCTGGAAAATCGGCTGGCACTCAACAAAGCATAAAAATATTGAGTGCAGCCCATTTTTTTCACATAGTTTTTTTTTCTCTTATTCAACAAGTGGCGCTGTAAAATAAAATAAAACACTGAACGCCAAGTTTCTTCATTATGTCATTTCTGAATGTCTGTTTCTCTAGCTTCTCTTTCTTTTGCCTCTGACATAATAACTTATTCGTACAAATACTTTTTTTTTCTTCTTTTTTCCTTCTTTTCTTTCTGTACATACACGCGCTTATTCCACGCCTTATCTCTTTTTTATTTTGTCGACTGCAAAGAGCAAATTCCAGGAGTGGGTTTATTACGCTATAACGACATAAACTGACTCGGGTTCTTTTTTACATTCAAATATATTCGCAACACGCAGAAACACACTTTTATAATTGTAAGTAATGCACCGGATAATAAAAAATCACGCGATTCTAAAGGAATGTTTAAAAAAATACAGGCATTTGACAAGTCATACGACATGAAGCGCGCTTTGTCGTGTTTTGTTGGCCGTGCCATGGGATTGGGCGATAGACTAAATACAATGTTGATTTTGTTATATAGATAATGTCATACTACCAGCACCAGCAGCAGCAATACCACCACCAGCACCGGCAGCAGCAGCAGCAAGCGGAAGGCGTGTATGCCGCACACACCCACGAGTTACCAGGGATGTCTAATGGCAACAACGATACTTACCGACGGCGTCGCAGATCCAGCGGCTATGCGATGAACGTCGACACACCAACAACACAGCCCAATTACGCATACCACCATCAGCAACAGCAACAGCATCCACAGTATGCACTGCCATCGCCGAACGACTACATCTCGTACGCAACGACAACCGCGCATATGGTCGATCCGTGGTCAATGAACCACGCGACATTGCTTGCCAACCTCAGCCGACTTCCACCCGAATTGCTTCCGTCACTATTGCCTCAGATCAACCAATTGCAGCAGCACCAACAGCACCAGAACCAGCAAATTGCTGGGCCCAATATGTCAGCGCTTGCGGCGGCGCAAATGGCAGCAGTGGCAGTGAGCACAGCAATGGGATCGATGCAAAACATGCAGGTAGACCACGGATTCAGCGTGTCGACAGTTTCGGGACATAATTTTCAGCACGGAGGAGCAGTGCCCACAAATAACGTCATGATGGCCCCTTCGGTCCACAGCCTCCAGCAACAGCAGCAGCATCATAGCCAGATGGCGACATTGCAAGGTGGTGGAGTGCCGATGCTAGGTGACAACCAGGCCTCGTATGTGGATCCAATGGCCTTGGCGCGGCAGTCGCATCCGGCGGCAGTCAACAACCCATTTTCTGCAATCCAACAGCAGCAGCAGCAGCAGAGTGGATATCCGCAGAACTTGCACTATGCCACTGCATCATCGCTGCATTCACTGATGGTCCCGCCTCCATCACCAACAGTGCTCTCGTACTATACGGCGGACCCCAACCAGTGGATGTCACTGTTGAATCAGAACACATATCAGCCACAGGCGTACCATTATGAGCATCCGGTTCCACCACACCAGTTGGCGTTTAATTTTGCAGGACACCAGCAGATGGCACCGTTGGGGTATGGCGTCACAAATATGCAGGTTGCCGATCCATCCCAACAGCAGCAGCAACAGGCTGGGCATAGTGGGCAGATGATGCTGTTGACACAGCAGTTTGCCCCTCATCCGCTTTCTTCGTCGCAGCTGTCATTGCAGGTCCCCCCTATATCTTCTGTCGGCTCATTGGCGCAGATGGATCAGGCGATGCATCAGAACAATATTGTTGCGGCACAGATGGCAGCGGCGGCGGCGGCAACAGCAGTAGGCTCGGGGCAGTATGCAATTGGGGGGCATCCACATGTGCACCAGTCAGCAGTAGCAGCAGCGAATAGCAATGGTGTCGGTGTCGGACTACAGTTCAGTGGACAGCAAGGCGGGGGCGGCGTGTCTGGATTCAACGGGTATGCCTCTCAGCAGCAAGCGCAGCAACTGCAACTGCAACTGCAACAACAACAACAGCAGCAGCAGCAGCAGCAGCAGTCTGATGGGTTTTATCAGCAGACGCGCAAGTCAGCATCGTTTACAAATCTGGCGACTCTGCAGCAGCAACCGGGATCGGCTTCTGGGTATGTGAGGCCTGAGTTTAATGCGCAGTACGCGGCTGGCGGATCGACATCGCTGCTTGGCGGCAGTGCGGGGCTGGTGCAGACACTCCAGCAGCAGCAGCAGCAGCATTTGCAGTCGGCCAATGGGCGGCTGCAGCCGCTGAATGTCCCGCGGTCCCATGGAGGACTGTCGTTGTCGTCGCTATCGCGCATGTCCCTGGGCCACAGCACCCACAAGCACCGCTACCATCACCAGCAGCAGCAACAGCAGCAGATCCACCAGATCCAGCAGCCGGAGAATCTGCCGCTGTTTGGAGCCGGGGTCAAGGCAGCAGCTGTCATTCCACAGCAGGCGACCAGCGAGGTCGTGCCAGGCACGCGAATCAGGCTGCAGCAGGCTCTGGACGAGAACGTGCGAGACCACATTCTGCAGACAGCGCACCAGCTGTACTCGAGCAACGCGCGCAACCCGGTGCTCATCGACATGCTGCAGAGGCTGCACCAGCTGCACCCGCGACACCTACCGACGTTGCTGCTGCTGGCATGCGCGTACTTTAGCAGCGGGCAGGCGGGCAAGTCGCTCGAGTACAACGAGGCGATCCTCGAGATCGACGGCAACTATGTTGAGGCCATGTCCAATATTGGCACGACGCTGCGCAGCATGGGCAGGGCAGCCGAGGCCGAGGCGTGGTGGTGGCGGGCAGTCAAGCTGCGGCCAGGATACTGGGACGCAGTCGAGAACCTGATGGGCGTCCTGTGCGGCAACAGCAGCGGCAGCAGCGGCAACGGGCCGAAGGACACCACTGCCGCTGGCAGCGCAGACAAAGCAGCGCCGCAGCCGCGGTACAAGGAGGCGCTGCAGCTGTGCGAGTTTGTCGACGGCAGCCTGCGCATTGCAGACGCGCCGGCGCGGTACCAGGTGCAGGACAAGCAGCTGCGGCGGCTGCAGTCGCTGCTGTACTCCGAGGGCAACCTGCGGCTGGCGCTGGGCGATGTTGGCGGCGCGCGGCGCGAGTACGAGAAGGCGGTCGACGTTGTGCTGGGCGGGCAGCTGCGGCTCGAGGACGTGGTGGTGCGGGTGGCGGGGCTGGGGGCGCAGGGCGAGGTCCAGGGCGAGGGCCAGGACGGGGGTCAGGCCCAGGCCCAGGCCCTGGACTCGCTGCCGCTCACGCTGCTGCCGCCAGACAAGGCCGTGCGCGTCGCCCAGGCGCTGTTCCCGGCGACGCGCGGTGTGCTGCCCGGGTTCGCGGGGCTGGCGGCGGCGGCGCTGCAGCAGGCCAACCAGGTGGCAGCCAACCTGCTGCTGGCGCTGGCCAAGCTGCACCAGGACCACGCGCTGGTTGTGCAGCCGCTGGCGGTGGTGCTGCCGCTGTACTACCTGGCGCTGGCGCTGGCGCCGTCGCCGTCGACGTGCAACAACCTGGGCATCATCCTGTCGGCGATCCCGACGCCGCCGACGCCGACGCTGGTGCCGTCGCTGCAGGGCGGGCACCAGGCGGCGCAGGCGCCGATGGGCGCGGCGCTGGCGCTGCAGTACTACACGCACGGGCTGGCGCTGGACGCGCGCCACCCGCACCTGTACACCAACCTCGGGTCGCTGCTCAAGGACCTGGGCTACGTGGCCGAGGCCGTGCGCATGTACGAGCGCGCCGTCGACGTCAGCCCCGGCTTCGACGTGGCGCTGGCCAACCTGGGCAACGCCATCAAGGACCTCGGCCGCGTGCAGGAGTCGGTCGGCTGGTACCTGCGCGCCGTGCAGGCCAGCCCCGACTTTGTCGAGGCCGTCTGCGGGCTGGCCAACGCCATGGCCGGCGTCTGCGACTGGCGCGCGCGCGACGGGCTGCGCGCCGGCGCGGCCGGCGCCGACGACGCCGCGGCCGAGCGCATCTTCGCGGTGATGGCGCGCGGCCGCCAGCCGACGGCGCCGGCGGCCGTGGCGCGGATGCAGCGGCGGCGGCTGGCGCTCGGCGCAGGCGCAGGCGAGGCCGGCCCGCACCCCAGGGCGCGCGGCTGGATGGACCGCGTCGTCGAGATCGTCGGCCAGCAGCTGTGCGACGGCGCCGCGTGGGGCCGCGGGCTGCTGGTGGCGCGCGGCGCGGGCGGCGCGCCGCGCCCGACGCGCGAGCTGCTGCGGTTCCTCGACGCGCTGGCGCGGCTGCTGCCCGACGCGCGCGCCGGCGCGCTGGCCGCGTTTGTGCACTGCGCGCTGCGCGCGGCGGCGGCGGCGGCGGCCGCGCCGGACGGGGCGCCGGCGCCGCGCACGTGGGCGCGCGCTGTGCGGCAGATCCGCAACGAGGGCGGGTGGGCGCTGCGGCTGGCCGAGCGCGTGGCGGCCGCGCAGCAGCGGCGGCAGTTCGCGGGGCTGGCGCGTGCGGGCGACGCGTCGCTGCAGCGCGTGCGGCTGCCGGGCGGGCTGGCCGCGCCGGGCGTGCCGACGGTGCTGCCGTTCCACACGTTCACGTACCCGCTGGACGCGCGCGAGGTGCGGCTGATCTCGCACCGCAACGCGCTGCGGCTGTCGTTCGCGGCGCTGGGCGGCGCGGGCGCGCCGGCGGGCGTGCCGCACGTGCTGGCGCCCCCGCCGGCGCCGGCGCCGCTGCTGCACGTCGGCTACGTGTCGTCGGACTTCAACAACCACCCGCTGGCGCACCTGATGCAGTCGGTCTTTGGCATGCACGACCGGCGGCGCGTGCGCGTCTTCTGCTACGCGACGACGGCGGCCGACGGCAGCGCGCACCGCGCCAAGATCGAGCGCGAGGCCGGCGTGTTTGTGGCGTGCGCCGCGTGGCCGACGCAGCGCATCGTCGAGCGCATCGCGGCCGACGGCATCCACGTGCTGGTCAACCTCAACGGGTACACCAAGGGCGCGCGCAACGAGATCTTCGCGGCGCGGCCGGCGCCGGTGCTGGTTGCCTTCATGGGCTTTGCGGGCACGCTGGGCGCCGGCTGGTGCGACTACGTGGTGGCCGACCCGGTGGTGTGCCCGCCGTGGACGGTGCGCAGCGAGGTGCGGGCCGGGCGGCGGCGGCGGCGGCAGCAGCAGCGGATCGCGGCGGCGGCGGCCGAGGGCGCCCAGGGGCCACAGGGCGCCCAGGGGCCACAGGGCGTCCAGGGGCCGCAGGGCGCCCAGGGGCCACAGGGCGTCCAGGGGCCGCAGGGCGCCCAGGGGCCGCAGGGCGCCCAGGGGCCGCAGGGCGCCCAGGGGCCACGCCCCCCGCCGCCGCTCGACTTTGGCGAGCTCGACCCCGAGGAGGACGCCGGCCCGTGGGTGTACACCGAGCGCATGATCTACATGCCGCACACGTACTTCGTCAACGACCACCGCCAGGGCTTCCGCGAGGACGACGAGCTGCGCGCGCTGGCGGCGGCGCCGGGCGACGCGCTGTGGCGGGCCGAGCAGGACGCGCGCCACCGCATGCGGCGCGAGCTGTTCCCGCAGCTGGGCGACGGCGTGTTCATCTTCGCCAACTTCAACCAGCTGTACAAGATCGACCCGCAGCTGTTCCGCCTGTGGCTGCGCATTCTCGAGCGCGCGCCCAGCGCCGTCGTCTGGCTGCTGCGCTTCCCTGCCGCCGGCGAGGACCACCTGCGGCGCGTGGCCAGGGAGTGGGCCGGCGACGCCGTGGCTGCGCGCCTGGTGTTCACCGACGTGGCGCCCAAGCACATGCACATCAAGCGCGGCCGCATTGCCGACGCCTTTTTGGACACCACCGAGTGCAACGCGCACACGACGGCCGTCGACATCCTGTGGAGCGGCACGCCGGTGCTGACGTGGCCGCGCCACGAGCACAAGCTGTGCTCGCGAGTGGCTGCGTCGGTGGTCTGCGCCGCGGTGGGCACTGACGCCGGCCAGATGGTGGTTGGCGACGCTGAAGCGTACGTCGACCGCGCGGTGCGGTGGGCCACGGAGGCCACGTACACGTACGAGTACGCGTATCCGCCGGCCGATGCGGCCCCGGCCCCGGATGCTGCCCTGGCGGCGGCGCCGATGCGCGGCATTCTGGACCCGGATCCGCTGACCGGGCTTGTTCAGCACAAGCTGTGTGGCGGGCCGGCGATGGACCTGCGCTTCCGGCTGTTCATGCAGCGCGATCAGTCGCGGCTGTTCGACACGCAGCGGTGGACGCGCAATCTGGAGCGCGGGCTGGAGGAGGCTTGGCGCCGATGGGTGGCCGGCGACGACGATCTGATTGAAGAAGAGGACTGCGATGACTGCGATGACCGCGATGACTGCGATGACCGCGATGACTGCGATGACCGCGATGACCGCGATGACTGCGATGGCCGCGATGACTGTGATTTGATCGGGGATGATGTCCAGCGCCGCGTCGAGTGGAGTCGTTGGATCGAAGACGACATCGCCGAGTGCCTGGCAAAGGACCCCAAGGCACCTGTGTTTGCTCCGCCTGGACGGAGCATTTGGGTGTGCGATGAGGACGACGCCATGCCGGCGCAGACGTGGGTGCGGGAGATGCTGGCTTGGAACAAGGATTAAACAAATGGAACTGATTGGTTGGTGGTGTCTTCTGAAACAAGGGACGCAATTTTAATTTCCTTTCATTGTTTTTATTCTCCGCACCAAGCCCTTTCTTTTCTTATTCAGAATAGTAGTTTGTGGAATAGAAAGTGTGGGGAGGGGGGGGAGGATAGAAAAATAAACAAAAAGAGAAGGAAAAGGTAAAAAAGGGCCAACCCTGAGTTGAGGAACAGCTTGTGCCTTGTCTCAATCCCACATGGGAAAATAAAATACAACTATTACTATTATTATTATTATTGTTGTTATTGTTGTTGTTACTTCACCATTAACGATCGGATTTCAACCCGAAAATAATGAATTAATTTCTCTTCCGCTATTCATCTAAATCACGTCTTATTTTTCTTTTTCGTTTTTCGCTTATTTTCCTTGTTGCTCGAAATTCAACAAAAGATAGCATTTCTATTCTCTAAAAATATATACATATACATATATATACTTTTTTATTTTTTATTTTTTCCATTTCACAGCGATTGCGACTATTTCAATTTTCCCCTCATTTGGTTAATTTTTTGTTTTTTTTGTTTTGGCGAATAAAAGCAAAACATACAAGCTCGCACATGTAAGTTCTTTTATTTACCTTTATATATAGGGTGTACTCACCAGTTTCTAATATCTCCCTGCGTTTCTTTCTTTTGCTCAGTTGTGCTTGTTTAAATTTGGTCTATAACCCAGTATCCTTAGCTTTTTCTTCCTTATTCCTTTTACTGCCACTTTTTTTCCCTTCTTTTTACGTGTCTTATACTCCCTCTCCACTTAATCTGCACTTATCTGTCAATCAATAAAAAAAATTACCATTGTTCCTACTCCCCACCATCCCCCCTCTTTTTTTTCTCTCACCATTCCCCTCCCCCCTCCCCTTTATTTGGCCTTCTTTTTTTCTCTTTTGCCTCACACAATAAATCAACACCTTTAATGTCCTTATTATATTATCAATGGAACAAAGCTATACAACAGTATAGTGTAGGGGGGGGAGATACTGCTGATAAAAAATATGAATCCGAGAAAGGGTACCAGTTCCCGGAATAATACACATACATAAAATAAAAAATATAACCCAGACCGTTTGATTATCCTTCTTTTGTTTACACTTTGGGGTCCTGAAAAAGCAAATGACTTTTCTTCTTTCTCATGTTTGCTATGTCGTACATGTGCTTGATCATTTCAATAACGAAAAAGCCCAAATATGGATATGGTGCGGATTACCTGGCAAAAAGAAGAAAAAAAACAAAAATATTTGCCTTTTTTAAAATTACCTGTTTCTTTGCTTTTTTTCTATTTTTTTGATCTGCAAGCACACATACAACACATGAAGAGACTGATGAAGAAGAAGAAAAAAAGTAGTCTTGTTTTTGTTTTCAACCATTTCCGTCCTGTGTATGTGTTTCTTTTTTTCTTCTCTTTGTATTTTTTCCCATTCTTGTCAACTCCCTACTTTTTTCCTTCCTTTTTTTTCCTTTTTCTTTTTTGGGTTAAACAGAAAAAACATAGTCATAATGTCCGTAACAAAAATAATTTATATAATGTAAAAAAATAAAAATAAAAAAGTAGTAATTTTTTATTTTTTGTATTTGTGTGCTGACATTAAAATTGAAATACTAATACAATTTACTCTATAGCTCTTCTTTTTTCTTTCTCTTTCACTTTTTTATTTGTAATTTTTCTTATAGAATCTCGCTGCTGCTTGCTACTACTGCTACTTTAGTCAAACAAAGAGCTGCTGGAACAGCCTTTTTGTTTATTGTTTTTTCTTCTTCTCTCTCTGCCCTACTCTACTCTACTCTACTCTACTATCCTATTTTCCTATTTCACCTTTCATCCTTCACCTTTCATCTTTTTTATTTTTATTTTTAACACTCTCACCATCACTACCACCATTATAAAAAAAAACAATGGAGAGCAGATACAAGTCCATCAAGCATATTGGTGAAGGCGCCTTCAGTTCAGTTCTCCTTGCGCTCAACATCGAGACGGGCGAAAAAGTAGCCATCAAGAAGATGAAGAAGCGGCGGTGGAAGGACACAGCAGCACAGGCAGAAATCAGCGCTTTACAAAAGCTGCACCACGAGAACATCATCCGACTCCTAGACGTATTCCGCGAGGACTACCGGTCCTTCCTAGTCTTCGAATGCATGGACTGCGACCTCAACGAGCTAGTAGTTTCGCGACACGGACGCAGAATCCCCGACACTGTCATATTGGACATCACCTACCAGGTATTAAATGGCTTGGACTTTATCCATAAGAACGAGCTGTTCCACCGAGACATTAAGCCCGAAAATGTCCTTATCCGGCGCCATATCACTTCGTCTGGCGGGCCAGGCGGCAGCTCGGCCATTGTTGTGGAGGCCAAGATTGCAGACTTTGGACTCGTCCATGATTTGGATTTCTCCCGACCCCTGACGGATTACATTAGTACGCGGTGGTACCGCGCGCCTGAAGTACTTCTGAACTGCCCTAACTACTCTACCCCAATAGATGTCTGGGCAGTCGGCACGATAGTTGCGGAGCTGGCAACACTGCGACCGTTGTTCCCGGGAAGTAACCAGATCGACCAGCTGCGGAGAATCTTTGAGGTCCTCGGTACCCCTAAGATATCCACCCCTGCTGTAGGCCAAATGGATGACGGTGCGGATTCCGCCGGCTCCTGGTATGAGGGAGCGGTGCATGCGCGCAAACTCGGAATTAACTTTGTGCCCAGCACGCGGAAGCCCCTGGATACAGTCATGACGGATGTGTCTCCGACTATGCTCCGCCTTGTCGACCATATGCTGGTACTGAACCCGGTGGATCGCCCGACTGCGCAGGAGGCTCTGGCCCTAGTATCCAGTATGCTTGACCACACCCTGGGTGAACCCCTTGTGCCAAGCCAGTCGATGGAGATGGAGATGGGAATGGAGATGCAGGTTGTGCCGGCAGATAACGATGATATGGAGATGGAGATGGAAGACTCGAGGCGCGTGTCGCAGGACTTGTCAGTGGGTTCGACCAAATCCCGCACGTCCCCGACATTTGGTCCTGTTGGGAAAGACACTGTGTCTGTAGCTGTAAATCCCGGTCTTGCTGCTGTTGAGAGAGCATCGCGGCTGGACAAGACGTTTGCTCATGCAGCTCAGCTGCAGCAGCAGCAGCCTGTTGTGTCGGCGTTCCCTGACACTGCAGCAATGGCTGTGGCCATCGCCAAGCTGGCAGCGACTAAGGAAGACCAGGCGTTTCCCGATACCGCAGCCATGGCACTGGCCATTTCCAAGCTGGCGGCAACCAAGGAGGAGCCAGCAACCGTGCAGGATGGACGGATTAGCTTTACACCGCGCGACAAGTTCACCCAGCAGCTGATCAACGGACAAATCAAACAGCACAACACATCCGCCGACCCTCTCACCTCGCTCACCACCAAAACCATATCACCACCGCCGGTGATGACCTCGAGACCCTCTATGGAGGTCAATATTGTGCGTGGCCTGCAGCGCGAACCCATGCGTGATCCTCGCGCGGACCTATCGGCTTTCGCCATCGATCCGTTGAGACGCGGGATGGGCGGGAGGCTGAATACTGTGTCCACTGTCGGGTCGATCCCGAGCTATGGGGGAAGTCGTCCGGCGAGTCGCGAGTCTGTTGCGTTTTCGGTTAGTGATATTCCGTCACCATTGGCGGTGTCGCGCGTCGAGGAGCGGGAGGGAAGCGGGCTGCGCATGTATACAGAGATGCCATCGGTTATTGGTGACTCGGCCATCCTGCGCACGCTACAGCACGGACGGCAGCTTAAAAACGACGAGGACGGTGGCGACGACGACGACAACGACGAGGAGGAGGATGATGAGGGGGAGGATGATGATGAGGAGGAGGAGGAACAGCAGTCTAGCACGGCGTCGTCTATGGCTAACATTTCCAACTCACATATTCGCAAGGCGGGATCTATCGTCGACACATCGACGCTCCGGGCAGCTCAGACAATTGCCGTTGCCCAGCCGGAAAAGAGCAAACTGAACTTGCACTCATTGCAACTGCTGCAAAACCCGGCGGATGCAGACATAGATGACGGATTCGTGCCTATCCGCAGCAACAACGCAACAAGACAGCTCGAATCTGACAATTCATCACTCGGCATGGCGTCGCCCGCAGCCAGCTACCGCACAGTGGACTCGACCGAATGCGCATACTTGGCCCCCGCCTCCCAGGGCAACACAAAGGCAGCAGGCAGGCTAATGGGTCTTAAAACCAAGGCTAGCATTGGCAGTCCGTTGATCAGGCGCGCGCTGAGCATGCGTAAAAAACCGTCGACGGAAATCCCCGTTGCTGAAATGGCCCCGCTGCTGGAACACGCTGAGATTACCACGATTCCTAAGCAGATGTCGCCTGTTATGAAGCGCAGCAAGAGCGCACTGCTTGTTTTACAGGAGGCTAGCCCACCACGCGCTTCAACTCATATTGAACTGTCGCTTGAGGCGCAACATGCACTGGTGGAGCGCATTGACCTTAGCATGGTTGGCAGAGATGGCGGTAGTGCGGCGGCGGCTCGGGCTGCAGCCCAAGCGGCTAAGCCTAAAAAGGCCGAGTGGATTGCAAATATGCAGTTCCTCAGACAACGCCTGGCGGACAGTAATATTGGCGATGGTAACAACAACAATATTGGCGTTAGCAGCAGCAGCTCGATGTCGGTGGCGCGGAAGCGTCGGAGCTCTGTGGGGGATGTGCGCTTGGCCATGGTGGCGGCCCACGACACTGCCATGTCGAATGGTGCTAATGTACGGAGACAGCCTGTGGGTACCGGCATGTTTGTGCAGCTGCCGCCGCCAAGTAAGCGCGACATACGCATGGACTCTGCCTCGCACAGATTCATGGCTGATGAACGGTTACAACAGAACCAGGAAGTTGGTGACTATTTGGGCGTGCGCACGGTCATTGATAGTGTTATGAGCTCTGCCGGCCCCACATTGGACGATAGCTTGTCATCTCCGCTGATGATAACCCCCGAGGTCGACCCTGCCTCCAGGGCGTTGCTCGAGGGCCTGGACACATTTGCACCTGTGACTTTTGATGCCGGCGAGTTGTTCCACCAGTCTCTGTTGAACGTCTCTGATGGCGACGCGTGCTCGGCTTCGGGCAATTGCCCCAAGGGTGGATTTGGTGATGCGCACAGTAAGCTGAATTCAACTGGGCGCAATAAAAATGGGGAGCATGCTGGTGGACATCGCTTCTTGAACAAAATGAAGCATGCCTTTGGTGGTGGCCGCCAGGGCGTGCCTGCGGGTCAGAATTCCCACGGCCGACATCGGTCGGCGAGCAACGCTGAGGCGGGAGGTGCGGGTCCAGAGCTCAAGTCTGCTACAGTTGCTGATATTGTGTTGCCGCGTTTGGACTTTGACCTGGGCAATAGCCTGCTGACCCCTGAGTCGTCGCTGCAACGGGCTGCTGGTGAGCAGGTTGCCCGCACTCAGAACCAGATATCTATTTCTCAGCAACAACAACAACAACAACAACAACAACAGCAGCAGCAGCAGCAGCAGAAAATTCAGCAGCAAATAGGCCCCGCTGCACAGGCCATTAATGACTCGGAGTACTACCTGATTGACTATATCAATTCGGACAGCGGCTATACTCTCGAGAGGACCAGCGGCGGTATGAGCCATGCTGCGCAGGCACCGACACAGCCAGCGCTGCCGCCCGCGGCCCGGCGCATAGTCAACAAGAGCACGCGCGCTAGACAGACGCAGTACGAGTATAATTTTGGCAGTCAAATATTTGAGTGCCTGGATAAGGATCTTTTACTACTAAAGACCGACGCCTTCAAGGAGTTTGAGACGGGACTGGGCATGTTTTCGACTGATAGTGGTGAATCGATTGGCGGCGGTGGCGGTAGTTCCGCCATTAACCCGGTATCCGACTGGATGCAGAGCTCGGCTAAGGGCAATGATGCGGCGTCCATGGTTTCTGCTGCCTCTGGTAGTGGTGGTCGGAACAACAGGAAGCAGCAGCGCTCGGTTGATGTGACAAAGGCAACGGCATACACGGCCGCAGCTCTTAATCGCATTGTTGCCCATAATACCAAGGCGCGCAGTACCGTTGTACCTACTGCTGCCTCAGCAACTACAGGCAATACGAGCCAGCTCAGTCGCCAGCTTATTATTTAACTTTGTTTTTTGTTTCGTTTTCGTTTTCGTTTTTTTCGATTTCTTTTGATACCTATTTTTCTTTCTTTTTCACTTCGTTTCCTTTGTTCTTGTTATTCACATATTCATACATCCCCATTTGTTTTTCTAATTCTTGTTATTATTTGGTAAACTGGAATGAAAGGTATAAAGTACAATTAAAGTGTCAAAAGAATGAAATAAAAAAGCAGACACCAACAGTGATCTGGGTTTAGTTCTTGAGTTGGTGCTACTGTTCATGATGCGGAGAAGGATTAAAAAATATATAAAAAGGAAATGAATGAAAATAGTATGATAATAGTGTGAGACATGCAAAAAAAGTTTGTTTTTATCAGTCGCCTGTTTTGGGCAAAGGATAATTCTAGTGGATTTTTTGTTTGGTAAATCGCGCGCCAGTATAGATGCAGGAGATTGTGCAATTCTTTGTCAGAGAGAGTGACATCTCCAAATAAGGGGAAAATGAACATACAATAGAGAACAGAAAATTGCGTTGCTCTCAAAGAAAAATTGCAGGAATTTTTTGTTGCTGTTCTTGTTCGTCTAGACGGTAATGCATTTTGACAAGTGTGCAAGGTACTCGGCCTCATCCTTTGCTGACTCGCTGCACCTCGGACAGGTCCATTGGCTGCAAAATAGTACAAGTTTATCTGGCCGAGGTATCCGAACCTCTAATCCTGTCGAACTCGAATGTCCTATGTACGATAAAAGACACATTCCCTATTTTTTTGTGGAGATGAAGGGGGTTTTTCAGCCAGAGTTACCGACCGACCGACCGACCGACCGACCCAAGCTAACAATTCCTTTGTCCGTCGCTGTTACTGTTATGTAATAGAAGCACCTTCGACCAAGATGCGACCAATTGCAGTCTCTAAGAATAATAAGAATAATAAGAATAATAATAAAGATATATACTTGAATGCGCCTGCGCTTGCAATTGTGACCCCCGATGCGATTGCAATTAGTATGCAATGCTGAATAATCTGAACCCTTTTTGGAGACTGAATGCACGAATTTTTTGGATATAAATATTAGGGATACCGGACCCCTTTTCGCAAAAAAAGAAAAATTAAGTTGGAAAGAGAACGTATGAAATTAACAATGTATGAAATTAATAATGGTGAGAAGAAAAAAGAAATAGTGATATTAAGGGACAAGCATTGCTTTACAAGGCATTATATGGTGAGGGTAGGAAAGAAAATTAATAAAAATGAAAAAGACCGGCTTGAATGTTCTGGTTTGAAATAGTTTGCGTAGAAGAAAGTGACTACAATCCCTGCCCCTCGTCACTATTGTTTTATATATATGAAAAATACTGAAATAATATATTTTTGGGAAGAGGGGTGCAAGAGAAAGTGGTAAAAAAAGGGGATTGTAAGAAAAAGTGTATTTATTTGACAATGCTCAACTCTGCACGCTAATACCAATTTCTCTTTGCATTATTCTTGGGCCGATAGCTTGTCAATAAAACAAACATCTTTTTTTCTCTTTTATCAATTTTTTGGGTTCAATCTTGACAATTTTTTTGGAATGTCGATCTATTTCATTTTTTAATTGCTCGTCTAATCCCTCCCTTCTTTTCTCTCATTTTGTATCTGTTCATTTTATTATTTCTAGTCTTTATTATTATTTTTTTGCTTTTATATTTTTAGTAAAGTAAAAAGGGACCGACCCAATGTTTATAAGTTCTTTCAAATTGAAATTGCGCTTTATTGTCTCTTTCCGATTGTATTTGAAATTATTCAAATTTTCTAAAATAAAAATAGCGACCAGCAATAAAGGAGTGCGTTGCCACCGAGTAATCACCTTTTTTTGTTCTCTAATGAATTGAATTGATTTTCTCAAGTTTTAAAATATTACATCCGCATGCGCCTATTCATTTCGCAATAATTGTCCGTTCATCCTTTATTGTTTCTTTCTACCTTTGTGTTGTATCCTGCATTCCCCACTGTTTGGTTGGTTTTTTGCATTCCTTGGTACTCATGCAGGTAAAATAAACAGTCTTTTCTAACCTGTCCAGTGCCGCACTTGTGCCTACTTTTTATTATTTTTGTAATGTTTGTGCATATGCATGAACTGACATTGACAATGCACGTTTTTTCTTTGTCATTTTTTGTGCTATTCGTCAACCTCGGTGCGCACATTGATTTTTATTGTCAAAGCCTGGTGTAGAGCTATAAAAACGATTTGCGCTTATTTTTATTGGGTATTTGCATGTAATTTTCATTTTTCAATAATATACTCACACTATTACGTGCGGTATCGCCATTTTATAATAACTTGCTTTTTTATTCTTTTTCAGAAATGCTTGTGCAGATATTCCTGATTGCTTGCCTCATTATTTACACTCGTTTATCTGCTGTTTTTATTTGCAGACTGTGTTCAAACAATGCGACTACATCTCTTCGACTCAAATTAATGCAAGGGATATTAAAATAATAATTAAAAGCCCGACAAGTTCGTCTGTCCGTCTGTCTGTTTATAGGTCCACACGGTTAGTATTATTTATGTAAGGATAAAGGAACGATCTGCGCTACGCGTAGTCATATGTTTTTTGTATAATTGACGTCAGCCTCATCTTTCCTCCCAACATATGAAAATGGAATATACCAGAAACTGTAAATACAGGTTGTCAGTTTCACACGCATGCCAACAACACCAAATCAAAAATATGTGTCGTCACAAAAAAGGCATCTTCATAATATTAGATTTTTTGTCGGCCAAACATGGAATTGTTGTCAACTTATGTACACAAAATGATAATTAATGAACAAATTTTGTTGGGGGCGGAAAGTAAAAAATACAAATATAAATATAAATACATAGTTGATAGTTGATAGAAAAACAGCTTACAAGTAGACTGCTTGCACGAATCGAAACAAAGTCAGCTTGTTACTGAGAAAAATTATTTGTATTTGACGCTAAAGTATGCTTCATCATTGATAACAAATAAAAAAAGTGCAAAGCCTGTCAAAAATTTTGCGGACAAATCTACAATCCAGAAATGCGCCTTTTACTGGCATGACATGCACACAACGCACAAACATTCAAGTTTGGATTAAAAAGCGGAAGCCGGAGAGTATGCAGATACCATCATGCATCGTCCATCATTGAGAGAGTGCCAATGTATTCTTCCTATGCATAAATTTGGGGATGGAAGCATGTTAATCCGTAATATCGCTTTGAATTTGAAATTGACATTCATGAGGTGGGGGAGAAAAGATGAATACTTTGGCACAACAAATAAGGAAAATCACTTTAAAATTATTGCCGTCGGCTTTATTGCTCTTTCATCCCCATCTCCCCCACTCTCCTTATTTCCGAAACCCCTAAAAATGAATTGCGGCTAACTTGCCTTTGAAAGAAATCAACAAGACAAAAAAATTACTCTGCGCCCGATGGTTACATTATTAACGCTGAGATGATTCAAAACGAACCGTGGCAATGAGGCGCTCAAACATTACAAGAAGGTGGCTCAGCCGACTTGGTGTATCTGTTATTCTTGAATTGCCTTGAATTCTTTATTTTGATGCACCAGTTCAAGCAAACTAAAAAAATTGAAAATAAGCAATTGTAAGTGAACATTAGTATGATTTTTTTTAAAAAAAAATAAAAAGGCATCTGACACTCTATCACTAGTCATGTAGACTCGCACAACAATGCATTTATTTTAATTTATAATTTCATTTATAATTTTTAATGCACTAGTGTACATCATATTAAAATAGGTAACAAGCTTTGCATATATTGTATATTGCTCCTTGTTTATCAAAATTTGTCAAGACTTTTGTCTGAAACTTTTTAACAATTCCGATACATATAAATAAACTTACAATGTCACTACAATGCAGCGAGCTCAACTATAGTTGACTAATGTTAATTAAACTTCCCAATATGTATGGCGGACGCACATATACTTGTGTGACTTTAGTTTGTGGGCACACGCTCACCTATTGTCTCATGTCATTTGTGTTTACTTTTAACTTTACGTTAAAAATTATTTTTAAAGATAAAACAAAATGTCAGTAAACAAATGAACGACTGGCAACACTGCAATTTCAACTTTCCTGAATTATTTTTTCCGGCAGTCAGCGACCAACAGATAGAACACCAATGGCAAACACTATCCGCTGGCCGTGGCTTATTTTTTTCCCCGTGCCGCAATGCAACTGCAATTGCAACTGCAACTGCAACTGAATTGCAAAAAAAATAAAAGGAGTGACTATTCTGAGCGAATGGAATTGAATGTGTGCTGTGACAAAGTGAGTTTACCATCCACCTATTTACTGCTTGCACTTTTCTAAGCTTACAGCCGAAAAAACTAAAGCAACTAGACAACGCACAGACAACTTTTTATTTATTGAAAACGTTTACAAGATTACAAACATTATTGTTTACTGTTTGTAAAGTGTAGTTGTCTATCCAGATGAATAATCCACTATAAATAAATAGATGTCTTTTCTTGTTCATCCGTTCTTTGTAAACTTAGAATTTAAACAATTCTTATTTTCAGCTTCAAAAACCATTTACCTTCTTTACTGCGTGGTGTTTAAAAAGCCTGCTTTTTTGTTACCTCTATGGCAACAACAAAAATAACAGATATCTTTTGTAACATCACAAAAAAAACAAGGGGAAAGCAAAGCGAACAAAAAATTTATCTTGAGATTTCCGAGTTTACAAACCAAAAAGAAAAGCAGGAAAAGCCGCAGCTGCTAGCATCACGCCACTATTTTTATATTTCTTAATTCGCCGCACACACATGGAGACAGACGCAAAAAAAACTTAAAAAAAGAACAAAAACCCATTGTATATTCTTCGTATAAATACCACTTGAGTAGCCTGTGGTTGTAGATTTTATATAAAACAAACTACAAGTATTCACCTTAAATTGCTTATTCTCACCCGCTTGCGCGACCGGCACTATCGAACACACATACCAGTTTTTTTTGCTTCGCACAACGTCAGTGTTTTTTTTTACCACCGATCATCAATCAGATCTGCTATTCTATTTTTTTACCGCTCGGTATTTTTTTACGTGGCTGATTTCATACATTAGGATTGCTTTAGAAACTCTATCCCTACGCAAAAACAGATATCCATCACTATTTCATAATCGCATTTCGAAAAGTACTCTTCACACAATGTGTAACAGAAATTGCAGTACCATTAGCACTGATAGTCGCATTTGCTCGCCCATGTGCCCCACCCAGATTTGGCATTATGCACAGCATTGCAATAATGGTGCCTTCCACGGATACAGCTGCGATGTTTGCGGAGAAGGCTGGCAGGAGTTTTCCGATTTTATCGCTCACCGAGCTGATTGCATATTTAATTAGGCTAAACAATATTAAACATTTTCAAAGTGCATCCATTTCCTTCCATCTTTTCTTTTTTTATGATAACAATAATATCCACACAATAATTTTCACAGCCCTAAAAGAAACCTTTCAATGATTACTGCAGCTCAAACTCGGATATTTCTGTGTACATTTTAAAAAAATTAGAAAACCAGAAAAATCAACGGATATTCAGTGGAATCTAAAAATGTCAAAGCGCAGTTTCCGTTCATTTCCGTGAATTAGCCAAACAAGGTCATTTTTTTATAAAACTGAAAGGCCAATAATTTGCGCTCATCATTTCCGCAATATCCCATTAGTTTTCCGCATTACTATCAATTTTTTTTGTAAACGAGATTTGGGGCGTGGATGTGCTGTTTTGCCCATTTTTGGACTTGTTTTTTGCTGTGATATAGTATTTTTCTTACAAAGAACCGTAGCACATTTTTTTGATTATTGTTTGCAGCATTTGTATTTTTCTCCCAATGTCTTGGTTGCATGAATGTTTACAGAAACTAATTAATCGATTCACTGGACATTTTACATGTGGAAAAGTAAAAAGCATTTAGAAATCAAAGTTATTTTGAGGAAACAAATAATGTATTGCAAATTAAACATACGATTTTTTCTATATTACGCCAATTTCCGGTAAAAAGAATCCCAGAATGCAGCGGTAATTTTGAAAACTGGATGATCAGATATTGCTTTGAGATCGCTCATCTCATTTTCAAAACGGATGTGATCATCGCGCAAAAATTCGGCAACCAAGGAGCGGCATTGAGGCTGGTTCGACAGATAATTCCATTTGTCGGTAAGGGCATCTAAAGCGTCTTCGGAGCCGGCATATGTGTCCTGCGCAACCCCATCCTGTAAACACAGGCACTCTCTGAGAACAGCCGCCTGGCTGCGGCTGTTCATGTTCACCAACAGCAAAATGTAATCCCGTCTAAAGACTTGGTCGCGGCTGGCCAGCACGGCAAGTAAGTACGCGTTCAGCGGAATAACAAGACGAACCTTTTTTTCGTTGTCGGGTAACATGAAAATGTGCGTGGTCAACTCTTCAATGACTGCCCGTTGCAGCAATTCCCATTTCTCTTTGCTAATTGTAGCTACTGGTTGCAGTGCCATTGGGCTGTATGCAGCATGGTGACCCGCACGATGGTATTTGAAACCCCCAAAAGCGGCGGCAAAAAGGGCGCTGTTCTGGGCATCATGCGCGTCGTCACATGTGTTTAAAAATATCTCGCGCACAATCAAAGAAACAGACCTACTTGTCGCCACGCCCATTGTCTGAAGCAGCGCTAGTCCGAGGCCAATTGTCTTTGAATTCTTTGCAGCTGCTAAAAACTCTACCTTGTGCTTCAATTGGCAGCTGGCGGCATCCTCCGGCAACTCGACTGACAGCTGCACCAAGCCATGAGCAAGCAAACTGTTCATATCAGAGATTGTGCGAGAGTACCGCTGGGGCTGCAAATGTCGAGTTATTTGGTCGCTAATTAGCACGTCAATACTGGTAGTGTCTGCGCCATGCGCCCTCGACGCTCCTAGTACATGAGCGCCAGCCAATTCTCGTATGCTATTTGCGAGCTGATGAATTGCCGCAACACGCACGATGTCTGGCGCATGCGGATTGCATATAATGCAATGTAGGATTGCGCACTGGCAGTTACGGTCTGAGTCGGATTCTAGGACGCTGTATATGCAATTGAGTTTGCTCTGGCCACTTAATATTCGTCGTGTTTTGAACTCGTAGGTATGCCGTGCTTGAGCAAGAACCTTGACCTGGTCATTGGTGTCGATTGTTGGCCATATTAGGTCTGCGTGCTGCGCCCAGGGAATGACTTTGGAATTTAGAAAGTCGAGAGACCATTGCTTGATATTCGGGGTTGAAGCCTCATCACCAATGTAAAACAAATGTGCTAATTGCGCGCTGAGCGTGCCCATAGTGGGTAAAATAAATCAAATAAGTCGCGCCCCCCTCCCCTTCTCAAGAAGAACATTTTAAAAGCAGGACACACATCATACCAAATCTAATCAATCATCTGTCAAACGAGTATGGGCAAAACCCGGGGGATGATTTTTTTTAAAAAAAAAAACCTTGCAGACACTTCCACCGCCAGGCAATTAGACCTAGACCTAGGTCTAGGTAACCCTTGACCATGCTGTCCTTAGAATGTTTTGTGATAGGGGCATGTGTTCAGGTCTGCAATAGAGCCCATGATAGGCAAAGCGGTGCAGTTAAAAGAGTTTTTTCTTTGATTATTTTGCCAAATGTAACTACTTCTCTCAATGGACATATATTTCATGCTATACATGATTCAAAGTATAATCATGGGTTTACTGGTAATTGTAGTGCAATAAAATAGTGTGCTTGGTCTTAAAATTAGGCCAATTTTCTATGCTTGGAAAGATCGCGCAAGTTGCAAAAAAAAAGCCAACCCCCAATATTGCAGTTCACTTACACTTTTATATTCATATTTATTTGCGTTCAATTGTGTGCTTCACGCTATTTATAAAAATTTCAGTTAAACATGTTTCAAATGCGAACAGTAAATGGAATCTTTCCCTCTTTTTGTGCAGCTGGGATTCTAGCCAACTCGACCATCTCATCGACACAAGCCAAGCGCAAAATCTCTGCTGTAGCTGGCGACTCCAAATGCAAGACCTCTTCAGCAACGCCAGGAGAATGCGCTCTAGCGGCCAAGACAGCATCCCTCAGAGCGAAAAACACGGACGAGCCCAAAAACAATGGCGGCTCTCCAATCCCCTTTGACGAGTAAATGGTTTTCAGCCCGCGATACGGCAGGCCCTCCAAGAGAGACACCCTAAAGTCTCTGGGGATATCCATTGCCGAGGGAATCTTGTAATTGCCAGGACCCTGCGTGAATAGTTTTCCTGAGGATGGGAAGTAGAGGAACTCCTCAGTGGTGGTCCACCCTTGTCCCTGCGCAAAGGCTCCTTCGATTTGGCCAATATCGATGGCCTTGTTGAGTGACTTGCCGACGTCCATGATGATGTCCACGCGGCGCGTCGTATGCGACCCCGTCAAAGTGTCCAACTCGACTTCGGCGAGTGCCACGCCCTGCGTAAAGTAAAAATAAAGCATGCCCTCGTTCGTCTGCCAGTTGAACCCAATATCCGGCGTGGCGTAGTGGCCGGCGGCTGTCAGCTGGCATCTGTCCAAGTACGCAGCTTTGGCAACCTTGGGGAAGGGCTCGTTGGGCATTTTCTCGCGGTAGGGTCGCAGGCGGTCGGCCAGTTCCTTACAGGCGTTGTAGACAGCGTAGCCATTAAGGTCGGAGGAGGCCGAGGCGGCAGTCGGCGACGTGTTGGCGGCTGTATTGGTGGCGGTCTCGCTGATGAAAATGGACTCCAGCGGCAGGTCGAGAGTCTCGGCGGCAATCATGGCCATCTTAGTGTGCAGCCCTTGGCCCATTTCGGTGCCGCCGTGGGCAACCAAAACGGAGCCGTCCATGTAGACGTGCACGAGGGACATCCCCTGGTTAAGAAACTTGACGCCAAACGAGATTCCAAATTTGGTGGGCAAAAGCGACAGGCCGCGCTTGCGGTAGCGCGACTGGGCATTGAACGCGTCGACCTCGCTGCGCCGCCGGGCGTACTCGCCCTTTTCCTTGATCTGCGCCCACATGCGCGGCACATTCCAGTCATCAAGCACCTGCGAAAAAGGCGTCACGTCGCCCTCCTTGTACAAGTTGATCTCGCGCAGGTGCTCGACAGAGAGGCTCAAGCGGTCGGCGACCTCGCACAGCATGGACTCGAGAAGGAACATGCCCTGGCAGCCGCCAAAGCTGCGGAACGCCGTGTTGCTCTGCGTGTTGGTGCGGCACACGCGGCCCACAAAATCGGTGTTGGGGATGCGGTAGCAATTGTCCAAGTGCGACACGGCGCGCTCCAGGACGCCAATCGACAGGTCGTGCGAGAAGCCGCCGTTGGAGTAGATGCGGGCGCGCAAGCCTAGTAGGCGGCCATCCTTGGTGACACCAACCTTCCACTGGCCAAAGAATGGATGGCGCTGACCCGACGTCATCATGTCCTCGTCGCGGTCCAGCATAATGCGCACGGAGCGGTTCGTGTGGTAGGCGCCGAGCGCTGTGAAGGCCGAAAGCAGCACAGAGCGGGACTCCTTGCCGCCAAAGCCCCCGCCCATGCGCTTGACATGGCAGACTATGCGGCTAGCAGGCACGCCAAGCACCTCGGCGCAGACCATTTGCGCCTCGGTCGGGTTTTGCGTGCTGGCGTAGATGTCAAACTCGTCGCCTTCGCCCTTGGGCACGGCGATGGAGGCCATTGTCTCAAGGTAGAAGTGCTCTTGTGGGCCGCAGTATGACTCGCCCTCAAAGACAAAGTCGGCCTCGGCAAAGGCTGCATCGACGTCGCCATTCTGTAGCTGCCGCACCTCGTCGTACAGCGCGCCCTGCGCCACGGCGTCGCGCACAGCAAGGATGGCCGGCAGGTCCTCGTACTCAACGCGCACCAGGCGGGCAGCCTCCTGCGCAATTTTCTGCGAGTCGGCCAGAACCAGCGCCAGCGGCTGACCCGCGTAGTGCACTTCGTCGGTGGGCAAAATCTCCTCGTCGTGGAAGATGTTCCAGCGGTTCTCGCCGGGCACATCGGCGGCAGTCAGCACGCGGTGCACACCGGCCACGGCCAGCGCCTCACGCGCGTCGATGCTCAGGATGCGGGCGTGTGCGCGGGCAGACATGACCAGGCCGAGGTACAGCTCGCCCTGCAGCGCCGGCATGTCATCAATATAGCGCGCCTCGCCAGTAACCTGCTTGAGCGCCGACAGATGCGTGACACCCTTGCCAACAATGGCGCGCTCGGTGATAGTCGCGTACTCTTGGGCGCCCTTGGACAGCGCACGCTCGGCGCTATCGTCCATCTCGTGCGCTAACGCAGCCTCGGGGGTGTCAATGGCCAGGTAGCTGCAGGAGAGGGCCCAGAACTTGAACATAAAGCTGGTTGTCAGCGCCGCGCGGTACTCGGCCATGCCGCCGGGCACACCAAAGTCCAGGCGCAGCTGGTTCTGGCACGCGCCCAGCAGGCGAGGCAGCAGCGCAGGATCGCCCCAGGTGGCACCGACAGCGCACTGCATCGCCTGCGTGGCCAGCACGGTTGTGGGCGCCATGCCGCCGTAGGCAAAGGCAGCGTCCAGCACGCGGTTTTGGCCGTCGAGGCTCACGCGCAGGCCGCATGTCACAATGGCAATGTCATCGTCCTTGCGCTTGGCCTGCTTGAATGCCCTGACAACCTCACGCCTGCCCGAGAACGGCACAAATACATTCTGCAGCACCTCGCCCTCGCGCATTGCCGTGCGCCGATACCCAACAAAGAACTCGGCCATGGGGACCTTTCGCTGGCCGCTGCTGGACGCCAGCGTGACGATGGCGCCGGCGGCAAGGAATACCGGGTTGAGGTCGGAGATTGGCGACGCTGTGGCAATGTTGCCAGCGACTGTTGCCACATTGCGGATCTGGTTGCCCGCAAAGTACCGCAGGTTCTCGCGCAGAGCGCCCATTGACTGCGTGCGCTGCTCGCCATGCCTGCGCACCAGCTCGCTGAGCGCATTCTCAAAGTGTGCCAGCGTGATATTGGCGCCAAAGAATACGCCATCGGCGGCTTCATCAATGCGTTGCAGCTCAGGAATGTCGTTGACGTAGATTTGCACGGGGAATTTGGACCGCTTAAGCTTGATCTCCACGCCAACCTCGCTGTTGCCGGCCACCAGCTTGGCCGCCGGGTGCTCGCTTAGGATGGCCAGCAGGCTGGGAAGCGTCAGTGGCCGATAAAAGCGCTGGCACCAGGCGCCCTTGTGCTGGCTGACAATGGCCAGGGCCTGGCGACTGGGCTCTCCGCCATCTAGCGAAGCCTCGCCCTTGGTGTAGCGCACAAGGAATGGCGGGAAAATGAGCTCCTGCGCCGAGTCGTACTTTTGGAACCGCGCGATGACCTGCGCCTTTTCAATCTCGGCCAGGTTTTCACCCTTGGGGGCCGTGTCGTCGGGCAAGCACACTGCGCTGTCGTGGCGCCCTGTCTTGACACCTGGCTTGTCGCGACAGCAGCTGCCCCCTGGAGCAGCACCAGCCGCAGGCCCGCTGTTGCTCTGCTGGCAGCATCCGCTGGCCGGCTCGGTGATCTTGGTGGTCCCGGTGCAGTCGGCAACCGGCTCTGTATTTTTCTTCAGCTTACAACAGTCCTCGATGCCACAGCCCTTCTCGACACCGGCCTTTGTCATCCCATCCTCATTGACCACAGCGCCTCCCCTCCACGCCTGGTCAGCAAACGTCTTTGCAGCGTCCAAAATCGGCCTGTACCCCGTGCACCGGCACAGATTGCCATCAAAGCACTCCTCGATATCCAGCTCGCTGGGATTGGGATTATTGCGCAGCAATGTGTACAGCGACATGACAAACCCAGGCGTACAGAACCCGCACTGCGATCCATGCAGCAGGGCAATGCGCTCTTGCACTGGGTGTGGGTTTTTCGCCGTGCCGAGTCCCTCGACGGTGATGACGTGTTTGCCGTCGAGTGTGTAGGTGGGGCAGAGGCAGGCGTTGACCGAGGTGTTGATAATCTTTTGCTCGTCTGTGTCGTAGCGAGACACCATTACTGTGCATGCGCCACAGCCGCCTTCGCCGCAGCCGAGCTTGGTGCCTGTCAGGCCTATGCTGCGCAGGTACTGCAGCAGCGTCTGGTCGAGGTCCGGGTTGTCGAGAACCACGCGTTTGCCGTTGAGGTAGAACAAAATGCTTGAATTGAATTGGGTCATTTTTGAAATAAACAATACAGATGCGTGTTTAATAATAAAAATATAGTAGATGAAAATATGCTAGATGCTAGATGTTAGATGAGTAAGACGCCTTTTGATAGATGGGAAGAAAAACTACTTAACAACAGGTTGCATTGTTCATGTCCAGCCATACATTTGGCCATTGTCCAAGGTATGATCTAATCGCAGGATTTAAACGTGACATATACGCTTTCTCTCTAATTCAAGCGCAAGGCGAGAAACAAAGCAAACAAGTGCTCTGTCATGTGATATTCTCCGAGCGGCCGAGTGTCCATCATGCGCAAATAAGAAATAACAAAGCAAGTAGCGAACAGAATCGCATTCCGCCCCCCTTTTCCGTCCCTTGTGAGCTGCATGACCAGCAAATTTGGCCACTCCTGTGGGCTTGAGCACTTCCAAAATGAAATGGTGGATTTACTTGAGCCGCTTCCAAGCCAAAAAGGAAAAAAGTTGAGCGCGTGTGATCAATCGATAGCACACCTCAAACCTAATCGGGGACTGATCAGAATCAGAGTCAGGCCTAAAAAAGTAAAATGAGAAAGTAAAAAAAATGATCTCGGAGATATATTCGGCCTGTTTGCGGAAGCCACGGTTGAGAGCATTTTTTTACTTATTTGGATTGCCGCAGGATTTTGTTATCTATTTGTGTTTTTCTGTATTCAATCAACAACTACCCAAAAAGAGAGATTTGCAATTTACTTTTATTTTCAAGTTTTTATTGCTGATTTTCGGGAAATCATTTTTGTCTTATCCGCCCAATCATGCAAAAGTATTAATGTTGACATTGCGCGAGTTTAAAGGAGGAAAAAAACTTTCTTCATCTTATTTTTTTACTTTCGCCCAAAGAACCCTCCCTCAAGAGCCGCACTTTATTATTTGGGGAAACAAATTTTATTATAAAAAAGTTGATGATTGCGAAATGCAGTGTCTGTAATAGGAAAAATATTTTTTTAATGAGGCGGCACTGGCAACCAAGTATGGATGCTTTTTAAAAAATTACATTGCTTTATTGCTTTTATGGCGAGCAATTGGGAAAGGAGAAATATTTATCCTGCTATTTTTGGTTTTTTACTTTTTTAAAGAAGTGTCAATTAATGCGTGGCTATGCACTCACAAACAATATACATATATAAAACAATTTTTCTTTTAGAATAAAATCTACTGCTGTCATAGCCAGCTTTTTTGAACAACAATGCTGTTACTGTTTGTGGAAGCTTAAAGAACATCGTAGAATATATCTTGTTCTTCTTTTCGGCCAAACAAAGATAACATGTGCATGTTTTTCAAATCTGAATCAATGTTGTCGTCTTTTATTACTATTTTTTTATCTGCTTTGTGTCGATAAAATGGCTATTGTGGAAGGGGTAAAGTGTGAGAAAAAAGTGTGGGAAATCTATACGATTTCAAATTATAGGCAAACTATTTACTGGTTTTTTCTTATCTGCAATTGGCTGCATAGGCGCCGAAATCAGACAAGAAAAAATAATAACAGAACAGAAGGCCCTTCCTTTTGCATGAGTGAAGGCGTGTGCTTAGTTAGATTGGCTCCGATAGGCGTTTTTCTTTTTTAAAAACAGGGCTAGGTAAATATCACGCGGCATGCGGCACAAGGAAAAATTACACAAAAGAACGTCGTCATTTATATGCATCAGCGCATCAGCGGCATTTAACAATTTTTGCGCCTTTTAATTTGTCAGCTCGAGATTTTTTTAAAAAAAATTCGACTGAGCGTGTGCGGAGCAGAGGAAAAAAAGTAAAGTGGGGCGTTTTGACGAATGAGGTTGGAGTGAACTTGCGAATACCGTTTTTTCCTTATTCGTTGCCAAGAAAAACAAGAAGACGGGTTTCGCTTGCATTTTCGGATGGGATGGGATGGGATGGGATGGTTGGTTGGTTGGTTGGCTGGTTGTGCGCAATATTAGTAATATTCATTTTTCTTTACACTGCTAGCCTGTTGAGTATAAAATCCAGAGAGCGTTCTTCCCAACTTTTTTCTTCCCAACTTTTTTTCTCAAACCACACTCACGAATATTGACTATTTCTTTCAACCCGCCAAATACAACAAATAATCCCAACCCAAAAACCGTTTCCATATTTTAATATCTATTTTCCCCAACTCACATAATCAGCAACTAGCAAATGGATTCCATCTCTACCGGCTCTCTGTCCTACCAGTCTCACATCAGCCGCCGCCGCTCGTCGGTCATCTCAAACGCCTCGTCGCACACCAATGACCTTGACTCTGCGCCTAGCTCGCCCGTCGACTCTCTTCACAACCATAGTGCGCTGCCATTCTCAGCGTCCGTCATCGATTACACCTACGTGTGCACCGGCTGCGGCTTTGGCACTAACTTGCTGAGCTCGTACATGCCTCATGTATCGAACCCCTGTGACAAGCCGGCAAAGATTACATGGGGGAAGATTTAAGCGAATCAGATTTAAATGGATCTATTCGGCTTTTCTACGAGTACCGGCTTTCAGCCTACTTTATCTCCCTTTCGCCTCACATTACATTGAAACATGATTGAATTTGTGTGTGGCTGGAAGGGAGAAATTAATTTCAAGCATCCGCTGCCATTGGGCAGGCTGAAATTGCCCATCTTCTCCCCTCCCCCGAACTGTGTTTAATACTTACCTTGTTCAACTTGTAAAATAAATATTCATTTCTTCATCCTTTGTAAGGCCTAAGTTCAGTCTTTTCATTGTTGCAGATCCCTCCAGCTTAGAACCAACAACTGTGTTTCATTTTCATTTGGCAAAAATAATAAGCCAATGTGCAGTTAGTTTAGCATGGAGTGGCAGCAGCAGCTGGGAGTGTACATACACAGAGCATTACATTGTGCCCTGTTCTGTTTATTTGTGTAAGAGCCTGCAGGATGGGTCGTGCGCACTTGCATAATAAAAATTTTCGGTGAAAATCCATTGAAAAGTCTATCAATTGTCCCATCGACCAATCAATACGATTCAGAAAAATTGAAAACCTGTCTTGTTATTTGTTCGGGCTTGACTAATCAAATACTTTGTAATCATAATCATAATCAAGTCAAGTTTATAATCCATGATCGCTAAATCACCCAAAAAAAAAGTTGGTCCAAACTACTTTGCACACCTATAATATTTACAAATGAGAAAAAAAAAGCTAAAATTTTCACCTCACTAGCAAAAAAAAAACTGCTGTCAAACGAAACAAACAAACTCAAGAAAAAAAAAGTTTTCCTTAAAGCTGAGCCTCCCTAGTCACAAATACTCTCCCGTTTCTCTTTTCTTTAAACACTTTCTATATTTTACGGCTTCTTTTTCTTGTTTGATTCTCAAGTTTCTTATAAACACTTTTTTCTCTGTATATAACATCACAGAATCACACATACCAAAAAAATCATTTAACAATGGGCAAGTCTACCACCACCAAGTCATCCTCCAAGAGCGTGTCCAAGGACACCAAGCAGAAGAAGGTTGCGCCCAAGAAGGTCGTCAAGAAGGAGTCCTCGTCCGAGTCCAGCTCTGACTCCAGCTCTGATTCCGACAGCTCCAGCTCCAGCTCCGATTCTGAGTCCGAGGAGGAGGTGAAGCCCAAGAAGAAGGAGACCGCCAAGAAGGCCGCCGCCAAGGAGGAGAGCAGCGACTCCGAGTCCTCGGACAGCTCTGACTCCGAGTCTGAGGCTGAGGCCAAGGTTGAGGCCAAGGCCGAGTCGTCCGATTCCGACAGCTCCGAGTCTGCTTCCGGCTCCGACTCTGACTCTGACTCCGAGTCTGATTCCGAGTCCTCGTCTGAGGCCTCGGAGGGCGCTAAGCGCAAGGCCGAGTCCGACGTTGAGATGGAGGATGCCACCGAGACCGACGTCCAGGAGACCAAGAAGCAGAAGACCGAGGGTGAGCTCTTCTCCATTTTCATTGGCAACCTGCCGTTCTCCGCCGAGGGTGAGACCCTCCGCGAGCTGTTTGCCTCCTACGGTGACATTGCCGACGCCCGCGTTGCCACCCACGCCGATACCGGCCGCTCCCGCGGCTTTGGCTACGTTGATTTCACCGACAAGGATGCCCAGGTCAAGGCCCTGGCTGCCACTGGTCTGGAGATCGACGGCCGCGAAATCCGCATCGACGAGACCACCTCCACCTCCCGCCCCCGCGCCGCCGCCCCCGGTGGTGATAAGCCCGCGTCGGCCCCCTCCAAGGTTCTGTTCATTGGTAACCTGTCGTTCAACTCTACCGAGGACAGCATCCGCGGTGCGTTCACCGAGTGTGGCGAGGTCGTCTCTGTGCGCGTCATCACTGACCGTGACACCGGTCGCATGAAGGGCTACGGTTACATCGAGTTCGACACTGTCGAGTCGGCCACCAGCGCCATGCAGTGGAACAACTCTGACCTCGACGGCCGTGCCATTCGTCTGGACTACTCTGCCCCCCGCAACAACGAGAACGGCGGTGGTGGCCGCGGTGGAGGCCGTGGTGGCTTCGGCGGTCGTGGTGGAGGCCGTGGCGGAAGCCGTGGTGGCTTCGGCGGCAACCGTGGTGGTGCCAACCGCAGGTGGTAAATGGTCCCATCTTGGGGCTCTGTTTGATTCCTTCAATCGAGTCTATTAAAACTTTCTTTTGTTCTTATTTTTTCCACACTGTTTTTCATTTTTGCCAAAAATTTAATCATAAAACATAAAATTATTTACACATAATTCGCTTGATTTTGACTGCCTTGAAAATTATTGTTTTTCTTTAATCTAACACACGTAAAAGTATGACAGGCACAGGATGTACGTCGGCACTGCCACGCAAATGATCTCCTTCATGATGCTAAGGAACTGGGCAAAAAATCCGCGCTTGCTGAACGACCATTTGCCAGGCGTGATCACGGGCAGCGGCAGCGACGACGACGGCGACGGGGACAACGATTCTGACGACGGCAACGAGAAGTAGACAAGATGCCTCTCGCATTCGGGCGCATCACTCGAGCCGCGGTTGATCTGGCTGTACAATGCCGCCGGATGGTAGCTGTGCGAGCCCCGGTAGCACAGTACAGCGACAACAAGCAAAGACATGGCAAAGCTGGCAATGTAGACCTCGTAAATGCCCAGCTGGTACGGCAAGAAGCACCGCCTCACCTGGAACTGTGCATTTACCTTGCTTGTCCGCGGATACAGCGTCATCAGCGCGTAGCTGGCAATGGGCACGCCGCTGGCCCAGCCAAACGCGCCGATCGTGTACTCGGTTGTCGTATTCTGCGACGAGGGAATTTTGTGTTCGACCGTGCACGAGTCATGGTCGTCACCGCTGAACACAGCATTGGGTCGGATGGCGTCGAGCAAGCGCAGGGTCGTGTTTGCAAAAAGTTGGTCGCGGAACTGGTATCCGCGGCGGTTCGGCAGAAACTTTATTTTGCTCTGGCGCTCGAATCCACAGTACGTTCCGTCGGGACGGCTCATCGGTACGTGTGTGAACAGCAGTCGGGGCTTGTCGCCGCTGCGATCCTCCGATAGCTGCTGCACCAGTTGGCGGCTGGAATTGCTTGTCTGTGGGTTGTCATTTTCCAGAGTCAGCGTGTCAAGCAGGATAATTTCATGGTCGGCGATGTTGAGCACCTGGTTGGTCGGGCCAATGTACTTGTGGAAGCGCTCGAGTGCGTGCGGCACAACAGTGTTTCCGATGCCAATGTCGTGGTTGCCGGCCATGTCATAGGTGCGCATTCTCTGCGGCGAGCGGTTGACAAACAGGCTCTTGTAGCGCTCGTACTCCTTGTGCCAGGCCTCGTCGGTCCATTCGCGCCCGCCGTCCATCAGGTCACCGAGGAATATGACTGCCGAGGGATTGCGGATGGTTTGCAAGAACCGATAAGACTTGCGGATGTAAATATCAGTGAAGAACTCGACTGTTCGAAGAAAAAAACCTGACTGCCCGTACGAGTAATGGTCGACAATTTGCGGGTCAGCAACTATCGCCACGTGCACGAAATCGGGGCTGGCTTCGGCCAGTTTCTCCTAAACAGAGTGATTGAAAAAACATATAGGCATCAGAGCAAGGGAGGTATGAGTGATTGTTGCTTAAAATGACATAACAATGGGCGCTCAGCAGTAGCACCTTTGTTAAACATGTACACTTGTCGGCCCCAATTGTTTTCTACAAGTGGACAATTGGAAATCCGCACATATGCTCATACGTGTCCCCTCTTTTTTTGACAAAGCTGGGGAAACGAATATGCTATCGTGTGAGCAGAGAGCAATAATGGTAGCGAGGGTGAGAAAACGTACGCGACTCGGCCATTTACACCTGCTAATGTGCCAGCGATAGAGTCCAATCTCGCCAATAAGGAGCAGGACGACCCAGTATATCCTAAGTATGCGAGTAACGATGCGGCGGCCAGAAGTCATTGAAAAGGATGGGTGTAGATTTTGTGTACAGACTGTGCCTCTGCCTGCTTTGGAAAACGCGCTTTGTCCGTCCGTCCGTCAGATTTTTTATAAGGATGGATGTAAATATATATGAGTAACAATGAATAGGATTAAAAATAAAGCTAATGTATAAAAGTTCAAAAGTGAACTGAAGGGTAAGGAGTGTAATTCTGTGAAAGAACTTAAAAGTAGAGAATGAAGAGAATGTCAGCGTTGCAACGTTGCTTCTTTGCGTCTGCAGTATAAAAGTGAAAATAAAAGAATAGATTAATCACCCCTCGCTCAGAACACGACGTAGTAATAATTATCGACTGTAGCAGTAACAACGTATTGTAAACAATATCATCGACTGTAGAAACATATTTTAAATATTGATTTTCTTAAAGAAAACCATAAATTGTCTGACCTAATAGGCATTGTTTATTTGTTTCCCATCGGTAACCATATCCCGAAGCACTCGACGCAGTATTTTGCCCGGTAGGCTCTTTGGAATGGCATCCACAAGCATATGTCCGCCCCTCAAATGTTTGGAATAAGCAACCTGGCTGTTCACCCACTCTGTAAGCGGGTGTATTCAAGAAACTATTAAAATATATTTTGTCTAAAAACTAAGAAAAGGAAGAACTAATAATTGTTGTTTTTCCCTTTTTATAGTTGTCTTTGTTATATTAAAAAGTATTTATTTTCAAAAAAATGAACTAAAAGAAAGTTAAGGGATCAACAGCCTCTACTGTTCATATTCATTGGTATTTATATGTGCATATGGATTCCCGCATATCCAAGTAGGTAATTAACTTGTGATTGATTCATTAATCAATCGCCGGAGACAAGCCGCAATTTCTTGTATCACACATGCCGTGCAGCTGAGCACCAGTGAGGGTCTTGGTTTGGCCATTGTCAGAATTTACAAAGATTGGGCAGTCAGGTTGGAACTTGCTTGTTTGTTTGAAAAAGAATGCTAGGAGGTCCTGGAGTGGCAAATCGACATCTGGGAAGATTGATTTACATTCTGAGCCAGCCATTGTAATTAAATATAATATTTCTAAAGTTGGACACGAAAAACGAGAGAATAACAAAAAATGATGGAAAAAAGTTGAAGGTATCCTTGTTTCCTTGTAGTATATATACATACAAAAATATGATGGTTTTATTTATTTTTGCATTCCTTAAATTGTAGCTCACTGATTTTATTTGCTTAATGGTGGAGAGTTTATGCATTATAATGTAATATCCTATTAAAAAAAGTAAATTGGTCATATAAACTTACGTAAATAAATATACTACTTGAGCATACGCCGTAGAATCTTGCCCGATGTGCTTTTTGGAATAGCATCTACTATTGCATAGCCGCCCCGCAGCCGCTTGTAGTAAGCCACCCTCTCATTCAACCATTTGACGACAGCATCAGCTTCGTCGGGCGATTTCAAGACTAAAAACGCCCTGGGTACTTCTGTTTGCCTACTTTCGTCGTAAACACCAATGACAGCGCAGTCCTTGACATGGGGATGTTGCAGCAACAGCCCTTCCAATTCAGCAGGCGCAACTTGGAAGCCATTGAACTTTATCAGCTCCTTTTTGCGATCAGTAACATAGACAAACTGCTCGCTGGTGATGTACCCGATATCACCTGTGTGGAGGAAGCCGTGGGAGTCAATGGTTAGGCGGGTCTCCTTGCAATTATTGAGGTACCCAATCATATTGTTGGGGCCACGGAAGCACAGCTCACCGCTCTCACTGGGACCAAGCGCGCGACCCGTCTCGTCCAACACCATGGCATCAATGTTAGGCAAAAGCCGACCAACCGAGGCCGTGCGCCGGTCGCCAATCGTATTTAATGATATCGCCGGACTGCATTCCGAGAGGCCATAGCCCTGAAGAATCTTGAGGTGAGGCATCTTCAGCTCGATTGCCGTGATAGTGTCCTGATCCAGGGGCGCGGCGCCAACGATCACTTCTTTGAGACTGGTGAGATTGTACTGGTCTGTGATGGCAGTTTTTGCAAGTGCAACAATGATGGGTGGCACGAGCATGGCCTCAGTCACTCTATGCTCTTCAACAAGGCGGAGGAATAGTGGCAGTTCAAACTTTGGAATCACCACTGTGGTGATTGCGGTGATGGGCATGAGAAAGCAGAGGAAGAGGAGACCAAAGCTGTGAAACATTGGCAGGACGGCCACAGATGTGCGCTCTGTGTTTATTGCCGGCGATAGCTTCTGGATAGCCTCGGTCTGCAAAATGTTGGAAATAACATTGCGGTGGCTCAGCACCACGCCTTTAGGCAGCCCCGTCGTGCCGCTGGAGTACGGAATAAATGCTGGCATGCTGGTGCTCTCTGCATCCTCCTTAAAATAAAATCTAGGGTATGTCTGCTTATCAAGGATGTCGAAAATAGAGCGCAGACCGTTTGCAGCCTCGCCACTGTCGATTACAAGCACATTATTTCTGGTCTCAGGAGTGTTAAAGACCTGGGACACGGTGTTGTACAGTTCGGCAGTGGTAATGACGAGCATGGCTTTGGAGTCCTCGAGTTGGTGCTCCAGCTCGCGGGCCGTGTACGCAGGGTTGGCCAAGGTGCATGCGGCGCCAGTCATTAGAGCAGCGAACACAACGGCTGAGTAATATATGCTGTTGGGCATAAACACAGCGATGACGTCACCGGGGCGTAGACACATTCTGTGGTAAAAGCCAGATGCAAGCTGGTCGCACAGGACTTGCATCTGGCACAGAGTCAGCGATAGGCCGTTTGGTGATGTCCCATCAACAAAAAGTGGGCGAGCTTTGCTGTCTGAGTGTTGGTTCTGGCGCGCGCGGTTGAAAAAAAAGGTCGGCAGGTCAACCGCCGGGATGTCGACGGGTGGCATATGCGAAGAGACATAGGGCTTCATAGCTTTAACTGAAAAAAGTATGCAGAAATGTTATATGATAATTGCTTTCAAAGTGGAGCAGACGAAGAAACAAGTGGTGAAACATAGAAGCAAAAAACGATTGTATTGCTAGCCTTTTTGCCATTGTCATTTTGTCTTGTCTTGTAACTTCTCAAATTGGCGGCATGTTTTGTAGAAAGCAGCCGGCCCAATAGTGGCTTTGTTATTATCACTTGTCAATAATAATAGTAACAATTGTAAATTATGCACCCAGAAAAGAGGCTTGTTGCATGCCTTCCACTGGTGAGAGCGTGCGGCAATCGGTGGCTTGTCCTATTCCAGAAATTTGGCCATATTTTAAACAATTTGATCCGATTACAGCATATTTCCCCACTTTGGATTAACCAAAGCACGTGCTTTTTTCCAGCACTCTACAGCGCTCAGCTTCCAACCACCAATTTGAAACTCCTTTCACCATTTCTGCCTTTCTCACGCTTCCAATCAGTTCATTTATACAATACCATTTTTCCTCTTTATAACTTGCATTTTCCAATTCCACAGTACACAAATGGCGTTGCGCTACGACCGACACAGCTCTCGAATGAGCCTGGCCAGCACGGACAATGGGTCACGGCGACACAGTCTTTTGTCGGCAGATGGCAATCAGCATCTGGACAGCACATACAACTATGCGGATTCATGGAGTCCGCAGGGCGACAAGCTCAGGCGGTGGCGACAGACGTATATAGCCAGCGAGACCGGCGACACAGAGGGAGTGCAGTCAACATCGCTGGCGCTGCCGGACGACTCGCGGTTCACCACGTGCATGGCACTGAGCGACGACCAGCCACTGCTTGCAATTGGATCGGGCAGCTATGAGACAAACATGTTTTTTGTCCAGAGCCTGGACGATCAACTCGATGTTAAGGCGTCGTTTGCATCCAAATTTCCTATATACTCGCTGGCCCTCAAGTCCAACCTGCTGATGGCCGGAACGGACCGCAACACCAGCGTGCTGTACCATGTTGATCGCGCGCGGCTGCTGGGATTTGCATCGGACGATAGCGATGGCCCGCTGGTGCGCTGCGTTGGAACGTTTAAGAACAAGGCTGCCAAGAGCATCGACGTTGCTGCGCCCGGCAACCATGTGCCGACAAAGCGCGTATCGTGTGTGGAGTTTGCGCCCCCCTTTGCGGCCGGCAGCTCATCCGGGTGGCCGCCGGCGCAGGTTGCGGCGGGCGCCGATGTGTTTTTGGCATGTCTGGGCGGTGTCGTCAATGTATGGGACGCGTCGAGCAGCCAGCATGCGCTGCGCGCCGAGAAAGTGTCGGCGCAGCCTATCAGCCGCGCCGCTTGGAGCCCGCAGGCGCCGGCCAATCTGATTGCGGCCGGCGGAACCGACGGCGTTGTCAGCATTATTGATCTGCGGCGGCGCGGCCGCTCGCTGGTCTGGCGCACGGCGGGCGCGTCTGTGGATGCTGTTGGTGGGTACAGCTCGTGGCTGGGCGGCGCTGGGCTAGCCGGCGACTCGGGCGCAGTTAACGACGTTGCCTGGTCGCCGTTTGTGCCATACTGGCTGGCGGCTGGCGGCGAGTCCGGTGCCGTTAGCTTGTGGGATCTGCGCTATGTGTCAGAGTGCGGGCCGGCGGCGACGCTGCGTCACCCGACGGGCCACGGCGCCGCACGCAGCGTGGCGTGGAGCGCGTCTCATGCGGACATGCTGTCAACAGGGTCTGGCGACAAGGCGTGGTGGCTGCAGTCGATGCGCGCTGAGGACTTTGCTGACGGCAGCGGCCGGCGCTCGGTCAGGGCGGCTGTAGTGGCCGAGCGCCGCGCGGCAGACGACATTGGCTCGGTCATTGCCGTGCGCGCCAAGGGCACTACCTTCTACACCCTGAGCTCGTGTGGCGACCTCTACGCACACCGCTTGACTGGACAAGCGCTGCAGGGTGCTGCGGTGCACCGCGTTGGTAGCGAGTTTGCAGCCGCTGAGGAGGCTGTTTACGCACGTGATGTGCGCAAGGCCGCTGAGATTGTGCTTGGGATGATGGAGGAGGGTGACCTGGGCGACGAGACCGAGACCAACAAGACGCTCTGCGATCTGTTCAAGGTTAAGCCGCGGCCTGGCCACAACTCATGGGCACTTCCGCCACAGTCTTCGGGAGCAGCAGCCGGCAGCTCGCTGGCTGATGGAGTGGGCAGCGGTGGCAGCGGAGGCTTAAATCAGGCGGTCCTGAACAGTGGTGAGGCTGCGGCGGCGTTTCTTGCCGACATTGAGCGCTTTGGCTATGGGTTGCCGCCGGACTTTCCGCTAGAGGCGGTGGCGCAGCGGCATCCGGTGGTGCTACAGGTTCTTGAACGGCTCAACCTGGCCAGCCTGCGCACCAAGCTGGCCGACCTTGTTGCTGACCCGCAGGCGACCACGTCGAACGGCCAGCCGGCATGGAAGGTTATTGTGGAGAAGCACAAGGTGATTGCACAGTACGCACAAAAGGCGCCAGCGCTGTTCGATGCGAAGCTGCTGCGCGGCGTCGTGAAGCTCGTTCTGCCCCACGACTGCATTGCTGGCTTGTCGCTGGGCCTAGGCATCTGCCGTGCATTCCTGGCTAATGGTCGCAGCGAGGAGCTGGACAGTCTGGTGCACGTGCTTTTGTTTCCCACTGTGTTTGACGTTGCCGACGATGCTGCCGCTGCTGCTGCGGCGGACTCGGCTGGTGCGAGGCCCGTTTTGGTGCTGGACGCCGAGCAAGTGCGAGCGCGTATCCGCGAGTGCCTGGTTGCGTGTCCGGCGGCTGTGCTCGAGATGGTGGCGCTGGAGATCAGCATCCAAGAGACTGTTCTCGCGGGCGGCGAGCAGGCGCAAGTGGCTGAGAGCATTGTTGCAGCGATGAAGGCGCATGCGCAGACAGTGGCGCCCATGCTGGCGGGCTCCAACATGCAGATCCACACGGCGTATCCGGCAACAACCACGGTGTCAGCCAGCGTCGTGCGGTTGTACTTCAACTCGCTTGTGCCCATGCGCGCCTACGACGAGTACCTGGTCAACACACAGTGGTGGCGGGCACAATCCCCGCCAGACTCTGCCACAGAGGGCCGCCTGGTAGGCGCCGACTTTGGGTGGCCATCGTCCTACCCTCTTGCGCGCTTGCTTAACCGGCAAGCCGCCACGCTTGTTGTGCCGAGGTTCCGCCGACAGATCGACGTTGTGCGGTCAACTGTGCAGAAGGAACCGCTGAGCCTGGAGCCGCGGCTTTACCGCGACACCTTGTTGAAAATTGCACGCGTCAATTTACTTATGCGCTGCGATACTGCTCTCGGGTTTACTGCGTCTTCTCCGCCTGGCGGACAACAGATGACGTCGACGTCGGTTTCCTCTTCTGAGTTGTCCGAGAGCTTTGAGGAGGTGGGCCACGCGTTTTTGATGCTTTTGGAGGCGCTGACCAGGCACAGTAGCCAGCGGGAGGCCTACAAGAAGGCTGCAGCTGAGGCACAGCCCTTATACGAGTCCTTGAGCGCCTTGCTGGAGTCGGAGCGCGCCAACAGGCCGCATCAGCGGCAGATGGGCAGGCTGGGGGCGGCAGGGGGGCCAAAGGATATTGACTTGTTGTTGTTGGATGAGCGCAAGGCGCACATGTCGACGGTGTCGAGATATCTGCGCAAACTGGAGCAGTATACCGGGACAACGACGACAAAAACATCAACAAATGAGCGTGGTCTGTGAAGCAAGTTAATTTGAAAATTTTGAATGAATAAATTAATGAATGAATGACAATGAGGGAGGATTGTCTCTTGGAGCTGCAATTATTTTGTACTTTGTATTGTTTTTTTATCTTTACTTTTTCAATATAAGAACCATTTCAATGCCATTTCCGTATATATTACATACAAACGAGCACAAATGGCTTATTTTATTATTGAAAAACTTGAGAAAAGTGACATTGCCTTCTATTGTGATAGTATTTCTGATAACATGAGCGTCGCATATTAAATCTGCGTATCCCTTTGCTCCCTTTCTTTTTTCTATTCAAAATTAATATGATTGAAACAAAAAAAATAATTCGGAGTGAGTAAATAGTATCACTTATTGATTATATTTTCCTTATGAAAGATTGACTATATTGTTCAAAAAAATTTTCTTTTACAATATAACAATATGAAATAAAATTAAAAACTATAAGTGGCTTGATTATTCCAAAATTTTCTAGTTGTATATATATATATTTTTTGCACATTAAAAAAAGAAAGAATGAAAGGAAATGTCGTAGCCACAAATTTTTTTTTTAATTTAGAATTTTTTTTGAAAATAGTTATTGTATTGTCTTGACTTTAGCGCAAACAACAATCGAGATTAATAAAAGGAAATATGATATTGGTTTTTCTTTCATATTCATTATATTGTATAGTATGTAAAACGCCTCATTCTTTTTGTTTTATTTAATTATATTATTCTCGTACGAAAAGAAAAGAAAAAACATTTAAGAAAATCAATATGATGGGATTACAGGGAGGAGGTTATTTTTTGTAAAGAAAAAAGGGGAGGGGAAGAGGAGGAAGAGGTAAGGAAGGAAGGAGGGAAGGAAATAAACAGCAGGAAACACTTTTCATAATATATATATTTTTCTTTTTACAAAAAATTCAGTATATAATGAAGAAGGGTATCCACAGCAGATATATTTGTTCCAACAAGAGAAATCTTTTTTTTATACACTGTCCTTCCGTTTTTTTTTCTTTCTTTCCATCTTCCTTCCCGTCCACTAACTTATCCAAAACCTCCACCCCTTTTCCTACCTAAATATATAACAACTGTGTATCCTATATAAATCTATATATCCATCCATCCATCCATCCATCCATTCATTTATTCTTTTTTTAAAACTATTTAAATTTTTAAAAAAATGCGTTCATTTGCCCTCGTCACTCTCCTCGCTCTTACCAGCAGCACTCTTGCGGCACCTTTTTCCCTTCGCCAGCTCGGCGATGTCGTCAACGGACCTACAGCGATCAACGAGGCCACTGTGAACAACGGTCAGCTCGCTGAGGGAGTTCTCGACACCGAGACATCCTTCGACAATGCTCAGATTATCGGCGCAACGGGTAACACTATTGAAACCACCAATAGTAACAAGAACATCCACGGCAATGCATTCCTTAATGCCAAGATTAACGTTGCCCAGGGTGTCCAGGGTTCGGCAGTCGTCGGTAATGGAAATAAGGTGTTTGATGCTTGGAGCAACCCTGCACTTTGGGCTGGCCCTTATTATAAGCGCCAGTTGGCTAATGCTTTGTCGGATATTGATAGCAACACGGTTAATAGCGGTGCTCTGTCCCAGGGAACGCTCAAGGCTGGTTTGTCGCTGGAGGGTGCTTCGGTGCTGAACCCTGTGGGTAATGATGTGACCCAGGTTAGCAAGAACCAGGAGATTGCTGATAGCACTTTCGTCCAGCCCACGTTTAACGAGGCTACAAACAATGATGGCCCGGTGTATGCTGGTAACAACGGTTTCTTTATGCCGGTTAACAACGAGAAGGATGCTATTCATATTGATAACGGCGCTTTCTTTGCATCTGCCCTGGCTGGTTACTTTGGTCCCGCCCCAGTCGCTGTCGAAGCTGTTGCTGCTCCTCTTTACTGAGTAACGAGACTAGATAGTTAATCTGTTTCTTCTTTCTTTTTTAAATTTAACATTTTCTTGTTGAATTAATATCCAAATAATCATACGCAAGATTGCATGTGCGAATATTGTCAATATGAAAAAAGCATTCAGTTGCTGATCGTTTGATTGATAATGTTGATGTTGTAAAAGCTATACAATTACTAATCCAGTACAAGAAAAATGCAAGAAAAATGAGTAAAAGAGAGGCGTTTTATAAGCTGGTAAAAACAAAGCCAAGGGGGCGGAGCAAGCGAGCACAAGAGAGCAAGGCAAGGTTATACGGTGAATGGTGAGGGGGGAAAAGAAGGTGTGGGTGAAAGAAAAAAACTATCTACATCTGGTCACCGGCCTCCTGCTGCTGGTAGGCACCCTCCTGCTGCTGGTAGGAGTCACCGTCCTGCTGCTGGTAGTTGCTGCGCTGCTGGTAACCGCCCTGGCTGCTACGCTGCTGGTAACCACCCTGGTTTGTGCGCTGCTGGTAACCACCACCATAGTTGCTGCGCTGGGGGTAGCTGCCACCCTCCTGCTGCTGGTAGTTAGTGCGCTGCTGGTAGCCACCGCCATAGTTGCTACGCTGCTGGTAGCTGCCGCCCTCCTGCTGCTGCTGGCCATCCTCGTAGTTGCGACGAGGAGGACGGTCGCCGTAGGTGCGCTGCTGACCGTTGTTGTTGTAGCTACCGCGGCTCTGGAACTGAGGACGGGGAGCGGAGGGGTCACGCTCGTTGGCGGCGTTGACGACAATCTTGCGACCTTGGACGTCCATGTCGGTACCACCCTCAATGGCGGCCTGGGCCTCCTCGGGAGTGCCAAAGGTAACAAAGCCGAAACCACGGGAGCGACCTAGCAACAAAAAAAAGGAGGGAAAAAGAGATGTTTGTATTTTAGTGCAAAAATATTGGTATTTTTTACTTTTATCTGCCCAAAAAAATTAGTTATGGTATTTACCTGTCTCGCGGTCGTTGACGATAACGGTCTGCAGGACAGCACCGAACTTGGAGAAAATCTCAGTAAGCTCTTCCTGGGAGACAGAGAAGGGCAGGGAACCGACAAAAACCTTGGAGCTCATGACTAAAAGTAAGAAAAAAGAAAGTAAAAAAGAGAAAGACAAGAAACTTGTAGGCTAGAAACTAGAAACTAGGACAAAAACACCCAAACAAAAAAGAAATATATAAACTAAAAAATTAACAGAAGAAGAAAGAGGTTAAAAAATAGGGAACGGGATAAATGGGTGATAATGTTTTTTTTCCGTCTTTTTTCATGGTGGAAAATTTTCACTTTTTTTTTTTTTTTTTTTTTTTTTTTTTTTTCTTCTCGTTTTTTTATTTCTTCTTTTTTCATTTCCTCTTGCGGTTGTTATATTTTCGTTCTTTCCTGTTCCAGCCACATATTTCTTTCATGAAGCGGGAGGAGCATCAGAGAAAAAGAGAGGAAACGAATGACAGCAGCAGCAGCATGATTAAAAAAGCCAGTAGCATGAGAAACGCACACGTAAGCGAAAGAAGCAACATTGATTTTTCCACAAAAAAGGGAGAAAATTTTTGTTTTGTCAAAAATTTAGGGCTTTAGCGCTGCAAAATCATGGAAAAATTGCATTGCGTTGCGTTGCATTGTATTGTATATTTTTCTTTCTTCATAATGCAAAAAAAGAAAAAAAGAGGGGGATGAGGGTGTCAGTTTTAATCATTTAGATGGATATTTTTCTTTTGGTGTCTGTTGGCATGCTATTGGCTGAATATGACTAAACACAAATATTCAAGTCGAGTCGCGAGCCACCACAGGATTGTTTTAAAAATAAGAATCCACACGGTGCAGATAGATTGTGGCACGGGTGTGAGCGGGTGTCGCTTGCAATCAGGCCACCGACTTTTTTATATTTATTTTTGGCTCATCCATGATTTGGATCCAACATGAACGAGCTATTTGATTTGATTTGATTTGGTTTGGTTTGGTTTGGTTTGGTTGGAATAAAGTGGAGCTTGGATGCAGCCACAAACACAGATAGATAGATAATCATATATTTGGAACAAAGCAAAAGAAAAAGAAGAAAAAGAAGCAGAAAAGAGGGAAGGTTGGGCAAAAAGCCCAATTCGTATTGAGTTCAATGTCAATTGATAACTAGCATTTCTGTCGATAAAAGAACAAAACTGCTCTTTTCTTGGTCATTGAGAGGGAGAGAGACTGGCTGGCTGACTGGCTAACTGGCTGACTGGCTGACGTACTGTGCGCTTAATGAAAAAAAAGAAGGGAGGGGGAATTTAAAAAAAAAAAAGTAAAGCTCAGTCTGTCTTTTCTTCTCAGTGGATTTATTTATATTGTCGATCATGTGGATTTTTCTCATGCGTGAATAAAAAAAAGGTTGTTTCCAAAACAGAAAAGTAAAATAAACGAACTGTCAGATTCATTATTTTCCTCATCCTTTTGTTGTCGTTTTTTGTTGTTCATTTTTTGTTGTCGTTGTCATTGTCGTTGTCGTGGTCGTGGTCGTTGTCGTGGCCATTGTCGTTGTTCATTTTTTCTATTTAATTATTATTGCTATTGCTATTATTATTATTATTATTATTATTATTATTTTGATACATTTATTATAATACATTTTTCTTCTTTTTATTTATTACAATTTCCATCTCGAATAAAATAATTCATATAAATTCATATTTCTTTTATAATGTCGGGGAATCAACTTATTCGTGAATACAAACTGGTGGTTGTTGGCGGCGGTGGAGTGGGTAAATCTGCGTTGACGATTCAATTTATCCAAGCGCACTTTGTTGACGAGTATGACCCGACCATTGAGGACTCGTACCGTAAGCAGTGCACGATTGATAATGAGACGGCAATGCTTGATGTGCTGGACACGGCTGGGCAGGAGGAGTACAGGTAAGGCCAACAAAAAGATTGAAAATGAGGGGCATGCACCTCTTTGTGTTTGTATGCGCGCTATGTCTTTTTCTGTTAGGTTGATTTTGTGGGCACTCTTTCACAGAACAACAACAACAACAACAACAACAACAACAACAACAACAACAACAACAACAACAACAAACATGTCGATCACTAAACGCGCTTCGCTTTTTTCTTTGTGACCAAACGTTTGTTTGTAGTGCTATGCGTGAGCAGTACATGCGGACAGGCGAGGGATTCTTGCTTGTGTACAGCATTACGTCTCGGAACTCCTTCGAGGAGATGCCGACGTTCCAGCAGCAGATTCTGCGGGTGAAGGACCGCGACTACTTCCCAATGATTGTGTGCGGCAACAAGGCGGATCTGGAGAGCGAGCGGCAGGTGTCGACGCAGGAGGGCCAGGATATTGCACGGGCCTTTGGCTGTCCGTTCCATGAGACTTCGGCCAAGACCAAGACGAACGTCAAGGAGGCCTTCTACACGCTGGTGCAGGAGATCCGCCGCTACAATAAGGAGTTTGCCACGGTGCCGACCAACGCCAAGGGTGCTGGTGGCCAGCAGCCTGGGTACGGGTCGCCCGAGGACGGAGCTGCTGGCTGTGGATGCATTATCCTGTAAAAAAAGCGCAAGTTTTGAACTCTCTCCCTCCCCCCCTTCGGCTTTTTTTTCCTTAATACTTTCTTTCTTTTTCTCTCTTAATACCAATTTCTCTACTTTCTATTTTGATTTGTGGTGCACAGAGGCTCTGAAAAACTGAGTAGGGGGGGGACCACCGCCCACATCGCATTTTTTCTTTTCCGTATCAGCTCCCAGGCGCAGCTTGCACCTACCTAAAAAGAACGCAGCGCTTGCGACTCGCAAAGAGAGAGAGAGAGATGAGCCGTTGTTGCATCAGCCAAGCAGTGGGGCACTCGACAGGGCTAGGCCTGACGCAGCTAGGCGCCATCCAGCAGCGGCCACTCTCCCTCTCCCTCCGCTATTACTCATTGTTTTTCAATAATTCGCAATTGGGCCTAAATTCAAAAATGACCACAGACACTGCGCGGCTCCTCGGCGGGTCGCTAGGCCGGCGCGTCCAGCAAATCGTCCAGCAGCCCCTGGACTCGGCCTCGGTGCGGCAGACGCTCCAGACGCTAGCCTCGAGCTACGGGGACGCGGGAGGCGCTGAGGGTGCGCTGGCGCGGCTGGCGAGGCACCGCGACGTGCGCCAGGACATGGCCGAGCGGACCCAGGCGCTGGACGAGGAGTTTGTCCTGGCCCTGGGCGCGGTCGACGCAGTCTTCGGCGAGCTCGAGGCCAACGTCGCTGCGATCGACCAGCAGTGCCTGGCGCTGCGCCAGCAGGTTGGCCGGGCACTGCGCGCCACCGCGGGCGCAGCGCAGCAGGCGGCGCTGCTGGGCGAGGAGCAGCGCGACCTGCAGCGCCGCCGCACGCTGGCGCAGCGGCTGGCCGAGAAATTCACGCTGGCGCCGGCGCACCGGGCGGCGCTGTCCCAGCGGCCACCCACGGTCGACGCGGTGTTTTTCGCCGCGCTGGACCGCGTGGCGGAGGCGCGCGCCGAGTGCCGCCTGCTGGGCGACCGCCTGGCCGCGCGCGAAATGGCCGCCGAGCTGGAGCGCGTCGAGGGCGACGCGTTCGACGCGCTGCTGCGGTGGGCGCTGGCGGCCGTGCGGCAGCAGCTTGCCGGCGACGCGCCCGCGGCCGAGCCCGCGGCCGAGCTCAGGCGGGCGCTGGCCAGGCTCGCGCCGCACGCGGCGCTGGCAGCCGCGGCCGAGGCCGAGATCGCCAGCGTGCGGTGCGCGGCGCTGGAGCAGGCCTTCCTGCGCGCCCTGGCCACCGGAGGCCCCGGCGGCCGGCCGCGGCCGATCGAGGCGCATGCCGGCGATCCGCAGCGCTTCGTCGGCGACATGCTCGCCTGGGTCCACCAGGCGTGCGCCTCCGAGCGCGAGCTGCTCGGCGCGATGGTTGGCGAGCGCGGCCGTGACGTAGGCGCCAGCGCGCTTCTGCCGCGTGCGCTGGCGAACGTCGCGCGGCCGCTGGAGATCCGCGTGGCGCAGACCGTCGGCTCGATGCGCGACGCGGTGGCGCTGTACCGCGTCGCCAGCGTGCTGGGCTTCTACGCCGCGCTGTTCGGCGGCGCGCTGCCGGGCGGCGCGCTGCTGGCGACGGTGCAGGCGCTGGAGCGGCAGGCGCACGCGCAGCTGCTGCGGCGGCTCGGCGAGCTGGCGGACGCGGCGGACTTTGCGGCCGTGACGCCAGCGCTGGACGCGCCGGCGGCATTGGCAGGGCTGCTGGCGGCGGCCACGGGCATCCTGCGCCTGCACATGGACTCGGTGGACGATGCCAGCGCCGGCGGCCCGGGCGCGTCGGTGGTCGGTGCCATCGCCGGCGTCCTGCGCCGCGCGCTGCACGAGGCGCAGGCGGCGGCGCCGAGGACGCGGCTGCGCGGCTACGAGCAGGCCATGTTTGAGCTCAACGTGGTTGGCGCTGTGCTTGACGCGCTGGCGCCGTTTGCGCAGCGGCTGCTGGCGCAGTGCGTCGCCGACGTGCGCGTGCGCGAGGCCGCCCTGGTGGATGAGCTGCGCGCGCAGCTGTGCGCGGTGCTGCGCGACCGGGCGCAGCTGCCGCTGGCGCAGAGCACCGTCGGCGCCGCGGAGATCGAGGCCTTCAATGCGCAGCTGAAGGGCGCGTCGGACTTTGATGTTTCGCGCTTGGTCGCGCGCCTGCATAACCACGCGCTGGCGCGCAACGTGGCCGCCGATGTTGCGCGCTTGTTTGTCGACGAGTACGCGGCGTTCTACGCCAGAGTCGCCGCGTCGATGCGCGGCAGCGCTGAGCTGGCGCTGCTGTTGCCGCCCGAAACCGTGTCGACGCTGCTGTGATTCTTTAATCTCCCACTTTGATTTGCTTTGATTCCACCTATTTTGCTTGTTTTCCGCCCCATCTTTGGATCCGCTGCTGCAGCGCTAGGTCTGGCTTGGCCTGGCCGTACTCCATCGGAAGGCCCGTGAATGGGTCGGTCTGCAGCGTGCCCAGGTGCCTGCGGATCGTGGACCGGTCGCAGCGAGCGCCGCCGGGCAGCACCACCGGGTCGACCATGATGTTCTGGGTGATAAAGTCGATGAACTCGCCCGGGCACTCGCCCAGCGAGCTGCCCACCACCCTGTGCTCGGCTTGCTTGTGCTCGGCTTGCTTGTGCTCGGCCACATTGCATTGTCGCGCGCTCTCCCACGCCTGCGCTCTGAGGTCCATCGGCAGCCACTGCGACGGCTGCGCCCAGATAAGAATTCCGCCCAGGCCTGGCGGCTGCGCATGGTGCATCGACGTTATGCGGATTTTGATCCGCCTCACTGTGTGCAAGGAATTGGGCCGTTGTGTGAACGCCTGCCATTTGGATACAAGAGCGGCAGCGCATTGTCCTTGCTGCTGGTGCTGCTGGTGCTGCTGGTTTTGGTGCTGGTGCTGGTGCTGGTGCTGGTGCTGGTGCTGGTGATACCGCTGCTGCTGCTGCTGCTGCTGCCGCCGCATGGCCTCGGCTACCCGCTGCCACCCCAGCTCTCCATTGTACAATGCCTGCGGCAGTGCCGCCATATGGTCGTTTTTTTCCCAGACCAGTTGTGGGCCCAGCATTTCCCACTTGTCCTGCCGCGAATTCCATGTAAACACACTGACGACTCTGGCCGCGTGCTGCCGGATTCGCGGATCCACCACTATGGCTGCCAGGGAAACCTGGTGCGCAAATTCAAGGGTCACTTCGACCGGTGGTTTGACAAACGACTCGGCCATGAATCCCTTACCTTGCTGTAATTGCCCGAGTGATACAGGGAGTAGTGATGGGGCTGAGTGTGCGGTGTGCTGCTTGCTTACTAGATTGGAAACTGAATGGTTGGTTGTGCTCGGGTAGTCGCTGGAAATTGCCGTGCCGAGCCGGGAGTCTGCGTAGTCAAAGAGCTCAATGCCGCTCATTATTTACTCTACTTTTACTTTTTAAATATTCATGAGGATAGGGTGTCAAGGTGAATGTTTTTTATTTTAAATTTAGCACTAGGCAATTTTTTTACACGTGCGACATTGTCCAATTTTCTATGGGATGCTTACCTCAAATCAAGTGAGCAAGCCTGTGGGACTTTATGTTGCAAACGATCACAAATGCAAAGCATGTGTATTCACCACAATATACATACGCGATTAAAATTAATCATTCTAATGTTTCTCAAAAATACTCGTAATTTAGTATTTGCCAGTCTATCAAACCATAAAATATTTATATAATCCAAAACCCAAGTATCCACCAAAAAAAACCAGTTATTCAAACTTTTTCAATTGGCGTGACAATGCGAGGGGAAGTGCATTCAGAACCAGATGATATGTATCGGGCTATCAGAGACATTGTGTTGATCATAAAAAAGAAGTTCGCTGCTGTTTTAAATTTATGCCTTAATATTTTATGATTACTCCGCATGGTCTTTGGCCAAAACCCCAAGGATTAATCTCTATATTAACAACATCCCCCACACACACATACGCCATGTCTTGAATTCCAATACTTCAGTATTCCAATATTCTAATGTTAATATTACAATTAACCATTTCGTCACCCACCTCACCCCATCCCACCCCCACCCCGCACACACAAACATCTACATTCACAACCATCTACACAGACATGTTCAATAGTCTCTCGATGGACCATGTATGTTGACAATTTATCTCTTTCATTTTATATCGTATTACATTTTACATTTTACATTTTTATTCCTAATAGAATCCTATTTCATAAACACACATATATTTAAATAATTTATTGTATAGCTCTTGGCCATTATCATATTTCCTCCCCGTAAACAAAAAAATTGGCTTGCTATTTGTCCTTTTCACAAAATAATGACCAAGTGCATAACATCTGCGCTCTTGCTCATCGCCTTTGGCACCGGCTGGTCCTTGGCTAACACCATAGCGCCCGAGGACAAAGTTGTCACATACCCATCAAACGTGCGGATTAAACCAGGTTCCTACATAATAGAGTTCGAAGAAGAAGCGCGCAGCGTCAATGTCAACGCCTTCATCGCCAACATCGAGGCTCTGCCCGAGGTGACCATCAGCAATCAGTTCACAAAAGTCTTCAATGGTTTCTCTGTCACCACTGCGCGCGACACCGACCCCGTAGAACTAGCCCGGGTGCGCGGCGTTCGACGCGTGTGGCCTGTAAGATTTCATGATCTAAAGTACTCATTTGCGCCGCAGAACAGCACAGGTTTTTTCCACCACCACATGACGAGCGTCGACAAGGTGTTGAGGGACTTGGGGATTGACGGGAAGGGAATTAAGATTGGAATTGTTGATAGCGGCGTCGACTATAACCACCCTGAGCTCGGTGCATGTTGGAAGACCCCTGGCTGCCCGTGGCAGTACGGCGAGGACTTTATTGGCGATCGCTTTGACTTTAACAATGACAACCCTATTATCGAGCCCAACAAGACTCCGATGGACTGCGATGGCCATGGCACGCATGTCGCCGGCATTATTGGCGGGCAAGGCCCGGAGGTCCACGGGGTTGCTCCGGGAGCCACTCTCGGCATGTACCGTGTGTTCAGCTGTGCGGTGGGCGGCTCAGTGTCGGCGCCCGATGATATTATCTTGCAGGGCATTGAGGCTGCCTTTAATGACGGCCACGATGTCATTAGTTTGTCGCTCGGTGGCGGCGGATGGCCCGAGGATCCCCTGGCGGTCGCATGTTCCAAGATGACACAAAAGGGCGTGGTTGTCGTCGCCGCCATTGGCAACGACGGATCCAATGGTATGTTCACTGCCGGGTCGCCTGCGGTCGGACGCGGCGTTATCAGCGTGGGCTCGGTGGACAATTGGAATATCACCGGCCAGGTGGCCAACATTACCTTGCCTAGTGGAGCTTACCGCTCGGTGTATGTAGAGGATTCAAACGCCGACAAGGCGCCCTTTGTGTTTGAGTCAGACATACCTATCGTTGCCCCACTGGATGCCACTGGCAGCCTGCTTGGCTGCTCAGAGTACCCCACATTTGTCAACCTCACGGGAAGGATTGCGCTGATCAAGCGCGGTACCTGCACATTTACCGTGAAGGTGCGCTTTGCGCAATCTGCCGGCGCCATTGGCGTGCTCATATACAACAATGCCAATGGAATTATGAACGCTGCACTTGATCCGGCCGTTAATATCCCGGTTGCCATGCTGACCGCAGACGACGGTGCCTTTATCATCAACGGCATTCTGCAAGGCAACGGCAGCGGCATTGGCGTGGTGACAATCAAATCGCGCAAGGGTGCAGTCAGCACTTTTGCTGCATTTACAGGCGGCCAGATGTCCTCATTCAGCTCGTTTGGCCCGTCGCCTGAGCTCGACATTGATCCAGTGATTTCAGCCCCTGGCGGCAGCATTTGGTCGACCTTCCCACTCAGTATGGGCAAATACGCCTCACTCTCAGGAACCTCGATGGCCACACCGTACGTCTCTGGCACTGTCGCGCTGCTTAAACAGGCGCGGCCAAACTTCAGTGTCAACGACATCCGCAAGGCGCTAATGACCTCTGCCAAGCCGCTGAAAGACGACAATACTGGCAAGTTGGTGCATCCGTATTCGAGCGGCTCGGGGCTGGTCAATGTGTACGACGCCATCATGTCTCGCGTCCTCATCAGCCCACCAACGCTGACAATTAACGACACAAACTGGGGCCCAGTCAAAGATATCCCTCAGCTACAGTCACTGGGCTCTGTCCGCTGGGCCGTGCGGTCGATCAACGTCAACAACACGGATTGCACTCGTGGAATGCTCATATCTCTCGAAAGCACAGCGGCCAACTCCATCTCGATGTACTCGGCCAATGGCACGCTCAGCCTCACACCGCGCACATGGCCAGCCGAAAACACCACTGTCGCCACCGCCGCCGCCGCATCGAGCAGCACACTTCCCCAGGTGTTTACCCAGACTAAATCTCAGTACATCCCAGCCGGCCAGTCGCGCAACTTTATTGTGTACATTGTTGCGCCTTACGGGTTGCAAGAGTCTGACCGATGGTTCTACGGGGGCTTCCTCAATTTTACGCTAAAGTGGAATCAGGAGCCCGCGCCCAGCGGCAACTATGTAGTGCCCTATGCCGGATTCAATGGCAACTACCGCGCACTAGATGTAATGACGTCCTCCGCGCAGTCGGGGCTTCCTGCGCTCGCTGATGCCAACCTCAGCATTATCGCCGATTCATCGCAGCTAGTCATCAGCAAAAACACGACAGCTTGGCTGGTGTACAGCATTGACGTTCCAACCCGCGTGATCTCTGCCACGATGCTCGACAACAAGAACAAGACGCGCGGGTATCTGGCATATGGCTACCAAGAGTACAATATCCGTAATCTTCCCAATAGCGGCGACTCGCTTTCCGGAGCCATCATCACTAACAAGATTTACAAGGACAAAGAGGCTACAGTCGAGATTGACGTGCCGCAGGGCAAGTACCATGCGCGTCTAATGGCGTTGCGCCCACTAGGGAATCCCAGAAACACGTGCGACTATCAGATCTGGGATTCGCCAGTGTTTAGTGTATTGTAATTAAAGCCGAATTAATTAATTTATATCTCAAGCGTGCATCAGCGTAGTTTATTATTTCATTTGTATTGCGTACATGTGCGTGTTGAAAAAATAGCTATACATATCATTGCGAGTCGTTGTTGCGGGATTCCTCGACAAGCTTAGCAAACAGACTGGTCTCATCAGCCAGCAGGTTGCCTGGCGTGTCGTACTCAGCGAGCCTGCCGCCATCAACAACCAATATCATGTCACTATCAATAATCGTGTTGAGCCTGTGCGCAATGGTCAGCACGGTGCAGTCCTTGAACTCCTTGCGGATGGACTCCTGGATTATCGAGTCGGTCGAGTTGTCAATTGCCGCCGTGGCCTCGTCGAGCACAAGCACTTTGGCGCGCTTGAGCAGCGCACGCGCAAGACAGATGAGCTGGCGCTGGCCGACGCTAAAGTTCTCGCCGCCCTGCGCGACTACAAATTCGAGTGCCTCGTCCTTGGAGCGCACGACATCGGCCAGGTGTGCGTGCTCGAGTGCATGCCAGATCTCCTGGTCTGAATAGCTGTTGAAGGGATCAAGGTTCTCGCGAACCGTGCCAGCAAACAGCACAGGGTCCTGCGGAATGATCGACAGCTTGCTACGCACATCATACAGACCGTACTGGGCAATGTCCTCGCCATCAATCAAAATCTGGCCACCTGCGGCTTCAATGATCCGGAACAGTGCCAGAGTCAGCGAAGATTTGCCAGCGCCCGTACGGCCCACAATGCCGACCTTCTGTTTGGGCAGCACGCGGAACGACAGGTCGCGAAGTACCAGGTCAAGTCCCTCGCGATACCTGGCTGAGTATCCTTTGAACTCAACCGTACCTTGCTCTGGCCAGGACTGCGCCGGACGGTTGTCCTCAATAACCTCAGGAGCCTCAGATGGCAAGCGTGCATATTCGACCACACGCTCGAGCTGGATCATGGAGTTTTCAACCTCAGTGTAGCTCCTGACCGACCAATTGAGCGAGCTCGTAAAGTCCAATGCGTATGCCACTGAGAGACCAACAAGCCCGGCGTCGCCATATCCGTAGTACTGAAGAGACACAATGGCGAGCATCGTGGTGCCAAGCATAACCAAGTTTCCCAAAGACTCCAGACGTAATGAAAGCCAGCGGTTGAGCGACTGATACGTGTAATACGCGCGGATGTTCTTTTCCAGACGGTGCTCGTTTTCAGCGACAAACCGCGAGTGCTGACCATAAGCACGAATGGTCGAGACGCCGCCGATGGATTCTTGGAAGTGGGAAAATATGGGGCTGCGAGTGGTCGAGTCGAGACGGCGGAGCTCGCGGCTGCTGTACAGATAGCGCTGCTGCAAGTAGCGGTAGACGAAGGCGAGCGGGAACATCAAAACAAGCATGAGAGGTGTCGAGAATCCAATGACTGAGACAGCTGAAATAACGCTGACCATTGTGTTGATCATGCCTGACACCGAGCGCGGCAGTGCCTCGTCGCAGCGTTGCAGATCCGACGAGAGGCGGTTGAGGATGCGGCCCAGCGGCGTGACATCAAAGAACGACATGGGCGAGCGCAGGACGCTAGACAGCATATTGTCGTGGATTTTTGTCGACGCTCTGATCGAGCAGCGCGTCCACAGCAGCAGCGATTGCAGCGAGCTCATCGACGCGCCCAGTAAGCCGAGGGCGCCGTAGATCAGCAGGTAGTAGAACACTGTGTGGCGGGCTATGGAAAAAAGCATAATGCCAGAGTCGACATCGGTTCTGCTGTTTGAAGATGCCCAGTGCTTAAGCCACATGTTGGCCGAAACATTGCTCACTGACGACGACAGCAGGGCGACTCCAAACATGACTGCATTGCGCATGCCGCAGGCCTTGGCGTATATGCGGTATATATCCCACTCGACCTTGCCCTGGCGGCTCACCTCAGTGGTCATCGTGCGGCCAGTGTTGTTGGCAGCGACCAAGGCACCAGCTGTCGCATCCTGCAGGTTGTTGTTACCGTTGCCGCACACCCTGCGGCGGGCCATAGACTCATGGACGGTGCCGATGCTGGCGCGGCCGAGCGTCTGCTTGGTCGACTTGCGGCGAATACCGACGCCCAGTGGCTCGGGCATGCCGTCCTGCTCGTTTTGTGTGGCCTCGTCCTCGTAGTACTCTGTGTCCGACGCGTTGCCACTCTCGCCGCTGTTGGCCGACGAGCTGCCCTCGCCCTCGATGTACTTGTGCACAAACTCATAGATCTCGCCCCGGTTAGCAATGACGCGAGCAAAGGGCCCGCGGTCGACAATGGCGCCGGCACTGAGCATGACGATCTGATCGGTATTGGACAGATATTGGACCGCGTTGGTGACCAGTATGCGCGCGCGCGTCTTGAGCAGGCCCTGTGGGCCCAGCACATGAGTGAATATGTGCTTGCCCACATGTGCGTCAACAGCAGCCAGCGGATCGTCGAGAATGTACACGTCCGCTCGCGAGTACACAGCGCGCGCCAGTGACACTCGCGCCTTTTGGCCGCCCGACAGGTTGATGCCCTTTTCGCCGATCTCGGTTGTGTCGCCACCCGGCAGCATTTCGAGATCGGGGCCCAGCGCGCAGGCATTGATGACCTTGTCGTAGAATTCTTGCTCGAAGCGGTGGCCAAACAAGATGTTGTCGCGCAGGGTCGCGTTCATGATCCACGGCTGCTGCGGCACATAAGCGACGCTGCCGCATAAAGTCACGCTACCGGCACTCTTAACCATCTCGCCAAGAATCGCCGATGCCAGCGATGACTTGCCCGAGCCAACTCTGCCAATCACTGCGACGAGCTCGCTGCGTTTGCATTCAATGTTGATATCGCTGAGCGTCGGTTGCGCGTCTGCAGACAGCCACCTGAACGTGCCGCCCTTGACGCTGACCAGCACGTCGTCCATGGACGCATCCGGCGCGTCGCGGTCGTAGGGTGCGTGGTCGACGGCCTCAAAGTCGATTTCGCCGGCGGTCAAAAAGTCAAATATGCGGCGGTTCGACACCATGGCCTCGAGCAGCCCAGGGATGACCATCGGGCCGTGCGACAGCGGGAAACGCAACATGTTGAACAGCGTCAGTGACACAAATACCAGCTGCGGGGTCAGAGGGCCATGCGACTTGTTGTCGGCCAGGCTGTACAGACCAAAGGTCGAGAAGGACACGGCAAACGGAATCAGCGTGACGACAAATGAGAAGGCGGCCTGAACTGTTCCGTAGCGACGAATGGTGGCCAGCTCCAGGCGCACACGCACGTCGTTAATGCGGCGGATGAACGAGGTCTCCCAGGCGTACAGTTTGATGATCTTGATTCCCGACAGCACCTCGTCCATAATCTTCATGCGCTGGTCGCGATAGCCCATCAGCAGCTTATTAAGCGACCGCATGATGCGGCTGATGTGCGCCGACGTCGGGATGCTAATCAGCATAATGGCGACCCCAGCGAACATGCTCCACCCGAGAGTCTGGTGCAGCAGATACAATGCCAGTAGAATCTGCAGAGGCGTGCTCCAAAGGTGATGCGAAAAGTTGGCAAAAAAGTCGGCGATGCGCTGCGAGTCGACGCTCATGTGTGTGACGATGCCCCCGATGTTGTATTTTTGACGCGTATCATTGGACAGCGCAATGGTCTTGCGGTAAATTGCCGTGGTCAGGCTGATCTTCATCAGGCAGTTGACACGCTGGTTTTGCGCCCAGTGCTGCTGGAAGGCCATTGTCTGGATGGTGGCAACGACAAACATGGATAGCGCGTAAAAGTAGCCGTACTCGATGGGCTCTGAATCCGCAGAGCCATACTTGCTGACGAATCCAATCAGACGCGACAGCAGGATCGGGTTGAGGAACGACACCAAATCCTTGATCAGCTTGTACAGGCCGCCGATCATCCACGGTATGCCGTACGTGCGCATGGTGGCGCGGAACAGCGACGGCCGGCCGGACTGCAGTTCTGCCTGCCAGTTGTGCTGAAAGCGTTCGGTCGCGACCTGCGGGCGGTACTCCGCACCAAGCTCCCAGGTGTCCTCCATCTGCAGTGGCTTGCGGAAGCCGGCCTCGAGCAGCGGCGTCATCCAAGAGAACGTGAGCTGCGAAAATACGTTTGCGCGCTCCTCGGGCGACTGCAGTGCGCACAAAGCCTCGTCGTCGTTATCGTCGTCGCACTCGTCAGGGAGCTCGTACAGCAGGTGCGGCTTGGGCTGCGACTCCAGCACCAATGCCGCCAGCGCCGCCAGCATGAAGCCAGCGTTGGCAGCGACCACGGGCACGTTGCTGATCCACAGTCCCATCGTCACGGCAGTGCGCAGCCGCATCAGCGCAAGCAGCACGGTGGCCAGCCAGAACAGCAGCAGCGGCGTCGAGGCCACGCGGCTGGCCAGCTGCTCCCTGTAATGCAGGCGCAGCGCTACAGCAGCAGCTACTGTCTGCAGGGCCAGCGAGATGCCAAAGACGCTGAACACGAGCTGTTGGTCGGCGAGCAGCACCAGCTCGGCGGTGGACGCGGCCAGGGCAAGAGCAGATGCAAAGAGTTTGGCCCAAAGTGTACCCGAGACAACAATGGCGCGCGGAAGCAGGGGTGCGCTGCGAAGGTCGCTCAGGCGCACTGCGGCGCCCACGACGAATGCGAGGTTGAGGCCGGCAACCAGCGCGCCATGCTGGAAGCAGGTGGTAAAGTCGACCGGGCGGATTGGGCTGAGCGGGCCCCAGCCCTCGAGCGACGGACAGAGTGGCGGCAGCAGCGACTGCATTGGGTGGTTGTTTGGATTGATACCTATCAGCGGCGCAGTAGGTTATATCGTTGCTGGTATGTAAAAATATAAAGAAAGAGGGGGTGCGGGAAGGTGGGAGCAGAGTAACTGTTTTTGATCGCGCACAGCCTAGAGTTTAAAAATCAAAGTTGAAAATAAAGTTGAAATTGCAATAGAAAAGATACGAAAAAAGAGATGGAAAAAATGGCTGGACCGTCTGCTACTCCTCATTTACCAAATAAAAAAGGGGCAACTAATTCATTATTCTTTATATAGGCTGTGGAGGGGCGCCAGTGCAAGGTGTGAGGGTTACAAATGCTGAATGGCAAATAAAAGCACGCAAAATTGGCTTTCGACTGGCCGCAGCCCCTATTTTGGAATTTTCCCCATGCATCTCAGCTTGCGACGATGGAACATCATTCGAAGATTCCGGAGTCTGCGACACTAACCATGGATTTGCTTTGTCTCGCGAGCAATTTTTTCCGATGTTGCGCCTGAGCGCAAATTGCCTCAGCCTTGGCCGATCCTTTCAAATACAAATCAATTGAATAATCAGGGAAACTAGTAAGCAGTCACGGCATTGCCATTGCCATTGCCATTGCCACTGCCTCATGAACAGAGCCAGGATCAGAGTCAGAGTCAGAATCAGCAGCGCCGCTCATTTGCTTTAACTTTGACTTCGGCAGGGGTCCACCAGATCGTGCGAATAGAATCACGCACAGTAACTGAAAGGGGTTGTTTGTTGGCATTTCAATTGGAAGATATTGCATTAAAAAGGAACATCTACAATGCAAAGCGCCATGTGCTGCTGTCCGCCGCCGCCGCCGCCTCCGCTGCTGCTGCTGGGCGTACTGCTGGGTCACAAGCTCAGCGCAGCGTGGTGTGTTTCTATTAACTTTATCTCGCCAATTACGACTTCAATGGCGCAGAGCGGCCGAACAATGCGCCAAAAAAGTGCTCATAAGGGACTTTGCCATTTTCTTTTCAGCATTTGCCTGGTCGCATTTGGCAGCCAATCGGAAAGCGGCATTCCAAGATCCAGGCCATTAAGATGCAAAAAAATAATTGACAACGTATTTGTCAGCCATCGGAAAAAAAGCACAAATATTTTCCATGTTCTGTTCTCACACCCACTATTCAAAAAGGAAAACATTGACCACGCAGCCGCCAATCTGATAGATGCTCTTAGAACTCAGGGCTCCAGCTGCTGCGGCGGTGGCGGCAATGGCAGCTCCAAATGGAAAACAAAAAGGCGTTGGGTTATTAAATGACAGCGAGCAGAATCAGCAACCTTGGTCCTCAATTCTTTTCTTTTTCGCCACTGTTATTTTTAATCGTTATTTTTGCACCTGACATTAATCATGTATCATCGACAAGACTTTTGCCCAAACAAAGAGGGCTGGGTAAGTGTTCATTTAATCCACGTTTCTCGACCACCAACAACTGAGCACGCACGCTCGTACACATTTTCATATATATAGGCAGTCAACTTACTGGCTTGATCTGTTTATCGTTATTTTTTGCTTCAACCACATCTTTGATCTAATCTGATCCGATCGAATTATCCAAGTAGGGCCCGTGGAGTACGAAGCGCGAGCTGGATCTGACACCATGCTTTGAGCACGGCGTCCTCGTGCCCCTGCTCAGCGCGGTGTTTCTGTGCGTTGCTGCCCTCCGCCTGCAGCGCCTACAGCAAATGTACGCCCTGCCACGCTCATATACGCACTCGGCAGTCTTCTGGATCAAGCTAGCACTGGCAGGCGCCGTCGCGCTAGCTGCAGTGGCCGAGTTCGTGTTTATAGTATTGCGCAAGTCGCTCTCGCATGGACTCAACGCGATTGTGCTGGGGCAGCTGGCACAGATCGTCGCGTACGCGGTGGCAGCCAAGCTGCACTACTACGAGCACACGCGCGCGCGGCGGTCGTCAGACCAGCTCTTGCTGTTCTGGCTGGCGTCCCTAGCAATGTGGGTGTTGACGCTGCGCACCGACCGCATTGCAGGGCGCCCGTCGCCCGAGAAGCATCCGTGGGTGTGGAATGCGCGCTACGCGTCGGCAGCAGCGGTCGCCGCGCTGTTCGGCGCCGAGCTGTGGCCGCGGCGGCTGCCCGAGTACGCGCTGCCGGCGGACTACGACGACAGCCGTGAGTCAGTGGCACGCTTTGGCATGCGGGCGCCTGAGGAAGACGCCAACGTGTTCTCTCGGCTGACATTTTCGTGGATGTCGCCACTGCTGCGGCTAGGCCGCCGCAAGCAGATCGGTGAGCGTGACCTGTGGGGCCTGCCCTGGCGGCTCGCACCAGCCAATGTCGCTGAGCTGTTCGCCGAGCGCTGGCAGCACGAGCTGGACACCCACTCGACGCCATCGCTGCTGCGCGCACTGTGGCTGACAGTCGGCCCACCCTTTGCGCTTGCCGGCGTGTTCAAGTTTGTGCAAGACGCGCTGCAGTTCTCGCAACCCGTGCTGCTGTCTCGGCTTATTGGCTTCGTAGCCTCGCACGCGACTGAGGATCCACAACCCGTGTCGCACGGCTACTTCTATGCGTCCGCGATGCTGGTGCTGCAGGTTGTACAAACACTGTTCTTGCACCAGTACTTCCAGCTGGGAATGTCTACCGGCATGAAGGCCAAATCCTGCTTGACAACAGCGATCTACAAGAAGGCGCTGCGCCTGTCCAACGAGACGCGCCAGCAGTACAGCACTGGTAGCATCGCGACGCTGTTTTCCGTTGACGTTGAGCGCATCGGCGGCGTCACCGACTACGCGCACATCGCGTGGTCTGGCCCGCTTCAAATTGTGCTGGCCACATACCTGCTGTACACAACCCTTGGGTGGTCGGTCTTTGCTGGCATCGTCATCATGGTCATCGCTGTGCCGGTCAATGGCTGGATCACCAAGCGCATGCGTGACCTGCAGATAGCGCAGATGAAGAACAAGGACATGCGCAACACGCTGATCGATGAGGCACTGTCGGGAATCAAGGTCATTAAGCTATATGCCTGGGAGCGCTCGTTCTTGAAGAAGATCCAATACGTCCGCGAGTCGCTGGAGCTCGTCACGCTGAGCAAGTACGGCCGGATGTTTGCATGGAGCTCGGTTGCCATGATGGCTGTGCCCTTCCTGGTGTCGTTCGTGACTTTCCTCATATATTCACTGTTTGACGGCGTGTCGCACGGCCCGCTGACTGCGCAGCTGGTCTTTGTGTCGCTGTCATTGTTCAACCTTCTGCGCTTCCCGCTGACCATGGTGCCCATGATAATCTCGTCCATCGTCGATGCCAGCGTGGCATTGGGCCGTATATACAAACTGCTCACCAGCGACGAGCTCGACGATGATAGCGTTGCTCGTCTTCACAGCACGCGCCATCAGGCTGCCGGGCCGTCAGGCAGCGACAAGGAGGACGCTGTAATTGTCAGCGACGCGTCGTTCCGCTGGGCCAAGCACGGACCGCTCATCCTCGACAGCATTGATTTTAGCGCGAGGAGCAACGAGCACCTGGCGATTATTGGCAAGGTAGGCTCGGGCAAGTCCTCAATGGTCTCAGCAATTCTCGGCGACATGAGGCGTGAGCAAGGCAGTGTCACAGTCTGTGGCCGGGTGGCCTATGTGCCGCAGCAGCCGTGGATCATGAATGCGACTCTGCGCGAAAATATTCTTTTTGGACTTAAGTACGACGAGGTGTTCTACAACCGGGTCATCGACGCCTGCGCGCTGCGCCCCGATCTTGCCATACTGGCCGCAGGTGACATGACCGAGATCGGCGAAAAGGGCATCAACCTGTCGGGTGGCCAAAAGGCACGAGTGTCGCTGGCACGTGCTGTGTACTCGCGAGCGGATGTGTACATTCTCGACGACCCGCTCTCAGCTGTCGACGCGCATGTGGGCAAGCACATATTCGCTCACGTGCTGGGCCCGCAGGGTATGCTCAAGTCACGGTGCAGAATCCACGTCACGAATGCTCTCCAGTTTATCAGCAAGTGTGATTCTGTGCTGCTGCTGCGCGATGGGCTTCCAGCAGAGGTCGGCACCATTTTGGATTTGATCGAGCGCCGAGGTCTGGTGTATGATTTGATCCAGCAGTTTGGCAATGTCGATCTATCCACGCCGCCTTCGACTGCTGGCGTCACACCTGTTGGCAGTGTGGTTGATCTTGATGCGCCTGTTGGTTTTGACAATGCACGCAGACGATCGACAATGAACTCGCTGCCATCCGCCAGCATTGCTCCAGTTCATCGCCCCGGAGAGTTGGTCTCTATGGCGGAAAGCAGGAACATCAGTGACAGCAGCGGCATTGGGCAGCGCGATGTGCTAATTGCTGAAGAGGTCTCTGCCATTGGCAAAGTTTCAACGTCTGCGTACATCGACTACTTTCGCAGCTGCACGTGGAATGGCACATCCATGTTTGTGGGGGGCATGATCCTGAACCAGGCACTTCTCGTATTAAGCAACGTTTGGTTGAAGGTCTGGTCGACCGCCAACGAGGAGAGCGAGCGCCGAGGACACGAGCTGTCCGTCAGCAGTAAACATGGCCCACTCTACTACATTGTGATATATGGACTATTTGGCCTGGCCTCTGCCGTATTCTGTTATATTCGGTCTGTCGTTCAATGGAGTGTGTGCGCTGTGCGCAGCGGCCGTGCTACACATCAGAAAATGCTGGAGGCTGTATTCCACTCGCCAACAAGCTTTTTTGACACGACGCCTCTGGGCCGCATTCTGCAGCGCTTTTCCAAGGACCAGAACAGCGTCGATGAGGTCATTCCGCGAACAGTTGCCCAGTGGTTCCAGAACCTAACAAATATTTCTATGTCACTAGTTGTCATCGTCTGGTCACTACCGGCATTTGGCTTAGTTATGTTGCCAGTCTTTGTGTTTTTCTTCTATCTGAAGAACTACTTTTTGATGACCTCGCGCACGCTCAAGCGACTCGACTCTACCACACGCAGCCCCATCTATGCGAGTTTCCAAGAGTCTCTTGCTGGCGTCTCCACCATCCGTGCGTATGGAAAGTCGGAGAGATTCATGACTGAAAACTTGCGCAAGATTGAGACAAACCAACGATGCGTCTATCCATATCTGTCACTCAACCGTTGGCTGGCTGTTCGGCTTGAATTTCTCTCGGCATTCATTATTTTTGCGACTGCGATGCTGGGTGTTATCTCGCTATTGTATGGTAAGGGCGACGCTGGTCTGGTTGGCTTGTCTGTCACTTACGCCCTGCAGAGTACGCAGCAGATTAACTGGATGTTGCGCATGGAGTGCGATCTTGAGAACAGCATGTGTGATTATGTGCGAATCCAAGAGTTTCAAGAGCTGGTCTCCGAGGCTCCCGAGGTTATCGAGGACAACCGTCCGGCGCAGTCCTGGCCAGAGCAAGGTACGGTTGAGTTCAAAGGATACTCAGCCAGGTATCGCGAGGGACTTGACCTGGTACTTCGCGACCTGTCGTTCCGCGTGCTGCCCAAACAGAAGGTCGGCATTGTGGGCCGTACGGGCGCTGGCAAATCTTCGCTGACTCTGGCACTGTTCCGGATCATTGAAGCCGCAGGTGGCCAGATTTTGATTGATGGCGAGGACATTGCCCAGTACGGTCTGTATGATGTGCGTAGCAAGCTGTCGATCATTCCGCAGGACCCTGTGCTGTTTGCTGGCACGGTTCGCGAGAACCTTGATCCCTTCAACAGCTATTCAGATCAGGAGATCTGGCATGCACTCGAGCACGCACACCTGGCCGATGTCGTGCGCTCCAAGGACGAGGCACTCGAATTTGTAGTCGCGCAGGGCGGCGAGAACTTTAGCGTCGGCCAGCGCCAGCTCATCTGTCTTGCGCGTGCGCTGCTCAAGCGCGCCAAAGTGCTTGTGCTCGACGAGGCCACGGCGGCAATTGACAACTCAACCGACTTGATAATCCAGGAGTCCATCCGCAAGGAGTTCAAGGACTGCACCGTGCTGACCATTGCGCACAGGCTCAACACGATTATTGATAGCGACATGATATTGGTTGTTGATGGCGGCAGGCTTGCTGAGTACGACACGCCAGGCAACCTGCTGGCTGATGAGACCAGTCTGTTTGCTAAGCTTGTCGAGGAATCCCGCAACAACGACTCGCAATAAATATAATTATTTACAATGTAAACAATAAAACTTAATAATATAAAGTTTGAAATAACTTTCAAATTATCAACAAGCTGTATAAAAACTCGTCACAAAATTATTAGAATGATACATGTTTACATATACCAGTATATGTCGTGCTCTATAAAAATGTGGGTCTAAATCGATATATTCAAGTCTTAAAAATTACTTAACTGAAAAAGGGGGCAGCGCTGTGTGGGCAGCGCTGTAAACATCATGGTGTTCCTTGATGTCAGCCAGCAATAACAGAAATGTGTATAGTGGCCATGAGGGCAATCTTGATTCTTGAAAAGGGAAGATAGTGGCTTGAAATGTGTGTTGGGCACCACAGTATATTTATTTAAATAATAATATTGCATTGGAAATTTTAGTATGTTTAATAAAGTGAGTAGTAAAATTAAATTATTAAATTTTATTTCATGAATAAGACAAAAAAAGAAATGAAAGTAAAAACTATTGTGATGTTAAGCAGTCTGATGATATGGAAGTGGATGTTGATGGAAACTCATTTCGCGATTCTTAACCTCAACATGCCGATTAACAGTGCATAGATGGCACCACACATGTGACATCAATTATTATAATGCCACGCGACAATTGCAATTTCTATTTTCACTGTCGATAGCTTTGAATATATAAGCGGAGCTCTTTAAGCTCCTTTATAGTGTTGTACAGACTGAAGATATGGAAGTGGATGTTGAGGTCGAGAATCACGAAACAGGTTACCACCTGCATGCCGATCGATAGGCCACTAATTGGACCATGCAGGCGTAAATTGGGGAGGCATTAAATTGATGCCCAAACATGGTCCCCATTTTGCAATGCACACGCATGAGCGTGCATGCATGAAAACCACAACATTGACTTGCCAAGATACTGGTCTGCTCACAGAAGATCCAGTTCTCACCAACGGAGTGCACAATTGACAATGTGCACAACAAAGGCGACAAGGCACATATATAAGATGAGGCCGGCCTTGGTAGTATTTTAGAAACATCAGTAATGAAACCTTTTATAAAACCACCCCTACCTTTTAACACTAGGCAACTAGTGCTCCTCATACCCCCCTCTTACTATAACAAGTATAAGCTGGGTTATGAATTTTACTTCTTAATTCGTCTATTATTTTCTGTTGTACTACTTTTATCAAGAAACCTCTTATTTTATTTTATTTTATCATGTTTCCAACAATTATCAAAAATAATATCATGATCATCATTATTCCCCCAATCCATTTCAATGTGTATACTTTTAAACATATTCAATGAATTCAATTCAGGATATTTATCCAGTACACCCCGTTTATCATGTCCCCTCAAAATATTCGATTTATCATAAACATTATTACATAAATTGTGATAAGGAATAATTAAATATTGTAAATGATTTTGATATAAGATATTTCCCTGACTAGTGGGTTTAATTATTTTATTCTTACTAACACGTTTAGCATTTACTATGTCATCCCAATAGCAAGAGTATAGTGTTGGATATTTACTAGAATCATTAGTAGTAGCTCTAATTGTTTTAATCTTAAGTTTTCTATCCTCTATACATCTCGGCACAAGGTTAGTATTCAGCTGTTGCGCAGACTGAAGATATGGAAGCAGATGTTGAGGTCGAGAACCGCGAAACAAGTTCCCACCTGCGCGCTGATCGATAGGACGCTAATTGGATAATGCAGGTGCAAATCAGGGAGGCATCACACTGATGCCCAAACATGCCCCCCATCCTGTAATGCACACGCATAAGCGTACACGCACGAAAACCACAACATCGACTTGCCAAGATACCGGTCTACTCGCAGAAGATCCAGTTCTCACCAACGGAGCGCACAATGGACAATGTGCACGACAAAGGCGACTGGGAACATATATAAGATGAGGCTGGCCCCTAGTAGTACTTTAGAAACATCAGTAATAAAACCTTTTATAAAATCACCCCTAACTTTTACCACTAGACAACTAGTGCTCCTCACACCCCCCTCTTACTATAACACTTGTTTCCATACTTCAACCAACCAAATGCAAGCATGAGAAGCTCAAGGTTTTTTGTTTATATTAAAAAAGTTTGTTTTTGTTTTTGGCGCAATCTATCACAACAATTTTTCACCTTTGCAACTTTCCACCTTTACTTTTACTTTTAATATTTGCCTTTTTCTCAATTCGCACCATTTCGTTCAATTTGTTTTTCTTCACTTTTTATTACTTTTACCATACCTCAGTGCTTATCACACACACACACACACACTCTCTCTCTCTCTCTCTCTCTCTCTCTCTCTCTCTCCCTCTCTCTCCCCTCTCTTTCTATTTCCCTTTCCCTTTCTCTCAATGATGTCTGAGCTAGCTCCTCCGAATAAGACCCCGCCGAATCAAATAGGCGTAAGTACTTCAATATAAACGGATCGTTATGATATTGATGAATTGTTTGTTGTTGTTTATTCTGTGTGCATATAAAACTAATTCGGTCACATTTAAAACATTTTGTATTATTTTTTATTAGAACAGCAAGACAGGCGGTACTATCCAAACACCCTCAAAAAATCAAAAAAAGGAGGAACTGCCACCCGGGGAATCGGAACCCCCCGAAGTACGCGATAAGCGCCGTCAGCGGCTGCTGAAATGCCTTGGCGATAACATAGAACACAACTATTTGTTCAATGCCTTTGTTGAATCTCTGGGTGTGAAGGAGCGGTATGAACGGTTCATCAAGGATTGGCCTGATCTCTTCCTCAGCATAGCCAGAGGATCGCCAGTGGCTGATAGCAAAGGCATCGTAGCCAATACAGGTCGCTCGGAAGCCAGACTCAGGGGGTTGCCCTTTACTGACGTTTTCATATCTTACCCGAAGTTGATGGGGTTGACTAAGGAAGCTCGTTTGGTCGAATATTTTATCTTCCTCTTCGACGCAATGGTCAATGCAGTTCGTGTCGCAAATAAAGATATTCCAGCAGGCGGAACTCCAATCCCAGCGTGCAGGCTTAATCTGGATGAACATCAGACTGATGCTATACCAGGCACACCGCACAAGCCAGATATCACGTTTTATCACAACTACATGACATATGACATTCAATCCGTCCATGCTATACTCGAGGCCAAGATGGATTCGAACCCCAAGAGAACCCCAGAGGATACTCGTGGCCAGCTCGCAGATTACGGCTATTTGCTCAATGATCAGCAGGCAACCCGCACGTTTGCGCCTATCTTCTACCTCCATGGGCACCTCCTGACGCTTCACGCATATTATCGTGACAAACTGTACATCGTCGAGCTTGGCCAGCTATGCTTTAATACGGGTCGTTGGACACCTGAACTAGCTGGAAGAATTCAGTCATGCCTCATGCGGCTTTGGTTCCTGCTGACTCTTGAGTCTGACATTTTCGGGCATTTCTGCGATGTCTCAGAGGAATCTGACTCTTTCTTTTTTTCGCAGAAAGTCAATGTGGAGAGCAAGGGCGATTCGAAGATCGAAGTCTTATACTCAGCTTCCAAGCATGTCAAGGATGTCAAGGATGTCAAGGATGTCAAGGATGGCGCTGCTCTGTTTTGTATCAAGGAGACAATAGCGCGTTATTCATACATGATTGGGCGCCATGTCCATTTATTCAGGGGGACTTGCAAAGGTCGTGATGCTGTGCTGAAGCTTTCCTGGACCCCAGTCAATCGTTTGCCCGAGGGCGCCGCATACGCCATCCTCAACAAGAGACCAGTCGAATGTATCCCCAAGATCTTTTCGAGTGGCCTGCTCATCAGCGACCTTAATGGATACCGGCTGGAGTTCGTGCTCATGGAATACTGCGGCCAGTCAATGGCCGAGTACCTGAAAGTCAAGACCAAAAAGGAGATATGCAAGCTAGTTCCTAGCTTTGTCAAGCAGCTGACCCTGTGCCTTGCCCAGGCAAATGACACTGGTGTCCTGCACAGGGACATCTCAGCAGGGAACATGTGCATCAAAAACGACAAGGTGTATGTCATTGACTGGGGCTGTGCCAAGGTCATTGGCTGGGGGACTACTAAGGATGCTGCCAGGGATGCTGCCAGGGATGCTCCTAGGGATGCTGCTGAGGACACTGATGAGGACACTGATGAGGACACTGATGCGGAGACTGATGAGGATGCCACTGAGGATGCTGTTGAGGATCCCACTGAGGACACTGGCCCAACCCAACTTAAACATATTGAGGTTGCCGAACAGTGGGGATTCAATGCAACAACAGTGGGACAAGTGGAGGTGGCCAAAGACCCATTTACAGAGACGCCGCTTTTCATGGGAATTCCCATGCTCAGCAGCAGCCCCATCCGGGGAATCCTTGACGACATGGAGAGTGTTCTCTATGTCGTTATGGACGCAGTGCGTCCAGCTGGTACTAATAGGGATGACGTTCAGGGCTTCAAATTCCTGGACTCTCCATCCCTCGCCATCACAAGGTGGGGTTTGATCCAAGGTGGTGGTATCTTGCTGAAGGGCTTCAGTGTTGATGGTATTAGCCCTAGTCTCAAAAAGCTCATTCGTGCAATGCGCCGGTTCCTTTTTGAACCAGAAAATAAGGTTATGAACCACCGGCTCTGGTCAAACAAGAAATTTGTCCGGCAGGCCAACTGGGATGCTGCTCCTGAGTTTATGCATCCCAAGGCGATTGAGCTCCTCAAAGAGGATAGTGGCCAGCTTAAGCGACCAGCTGAGGACGAGATCAATGCTGGGTCATTCAAGAAGCTAGCACTTTAGGTTTTTTTGTTTTTAATAAATCTTTTTACGACCCAAAAATCAACTGCAAAAGATAAAATATTTACATTTTATTCATTTTTTCTTCACGTTTAATAGAGATTAAAACTCTTGTCTGTCCCTCTTTTATTTACAGATTCACCAACCCACCGATCACCTTTCGCCGATCACTTTAACTGTAAACAACATACTTTTAAACTCGCACATTGGCCAATTTTACTTGAACATGGTTGATTTCATCCATAATTTTTGATTTTTGCTATTTTGCCAAATGATTTCAATTTAACGTTATTCTTTCTTTCTTTATTTTTCCTTTCCTTTCCTTTCCAATTCACATTTCGTAATTAACAAATTACTGTTCTTTTTTACACCCTTTCAATATTCTTTTGCTAGCATAGACGATAGCTGGTACCACCTTGCAATTGGCGTCGGAGCAGCACTCGGCACATACTGGGTACTTTCACATCTTTTAGACCAATCACAGTATGAGTTAGATTTCTGCTGCATACAGCCAAAGACAGCAACAGCGACATGCCTGATATTCCAGGACCAATAATCCCAAAAGGGAGTGTGGACAATGAGGCAGAATTGGACATTCAGACGCTTGAAATGGCTAATCTCTTGGCATAATTGGTGCTGCATTCAGACAACTTTAAGCTGTGGGATATTTCATCTGAGCTGCTGCTCGATACGGCTATGCAGTGAGAGGTGCTGCAGCTGATAGTTGTGCAGGATCAGGGCAATTCAGCAGCAGAGGGGGGACTGGTTGAGGACAGTTGTGTTGCTGCATGTGCTGCTAATGACACTGCAGTGGAATGGCAGGGTAGTTTGGGCTGACAGCACATGCAGCAGGAAGCTGGCGGCAGGCTGCTTGAGGTGCTCAGCAAAACACTTATGCAGTCAGCCAACAGCTCGGCTTGAGGCAGCAGCAAGCAGAGGCAGCAGTCAGACTCTGTGATTGTGTTGGTATGTGCAGCCATGGTAAAGCAGTTTGCGCTGCGTACCGAGTACCACCAGCGGATAATCGACCTGGTATTTCTGTCTGCATTGCTCAGTGTCGCACGCCAGTCAGTGTCTGAGCTTGAGCTTTTGCGCATGCCAGTGGAAAGTCTCGTGTGGCTGTGTACTTTTCTCACAGCATATCGGCTGGCAGCAGCATAAGAAAATGCAATGGAGATGGGAAATCCACAGATGGTGCAGCTGCTGGAGCTGGGCACTGTCGATGTCATCCCCGCGTGTATCTGCAAGGATGACCAGGGCATGTCCCCATGGGGCATTGGGTTTCTGCATGAGTTTGTGTCGCAAAGCCTTGGCAAGGCACAGCTGACAGCAAGTCCTGGGTTGGTGCATTGGCTGTGTTGCAGGCTGGTGATAAGCAAGTATGCATACACCGACTAGCTGATTCTGCGCTCGCTCTGGTGTCTGTGCACATTGCAGGATGCAACTGTGGCACTGGCTGTGCTGGCGAAGGTCATACAGCTAGAGAACTTGTGGCATGTATTGGCGATTTTTGTCTCTGGCACCAGCGCCTAGGCGCACTATTGGAGTATGGTGCTGGTAAGCCATGTGTGTTAAACAATTGATTAATGTCTTGAATAGAATATATATATATATCTTAACTAAGAAAAGATAGCTGAACTAATGACTATTGTTGTAATAAGAATAGTTTATCTATAATATATTTATGATTTAAAATCCACCAAAAGGGAGCTTCTGTAATGCGATTTGGACTAGCTATAATATATATTAATAGAAATGAGACTACGGAAAGAGCTGAAGAGCTCACTATTCAGAATTCGCCATACGCATAAAATATCATAAATGTGACATCAGAAATGGGGGCCGAGTCACGTGACAGCGCAGACGCGTAAAATATGTTTATGATATTTTACGCGTACGGCGAATTCTGAATAGTGAGCTCTTGAGCTCTTCCCGTAGTCTCATTTCTATTAATATATATTATAGCTAGTCCAAATCGCATTACATTTGGTAGCACCTCGACGACACAAGACAGGGCGCTACAGGAGCTACATGCCAGATACACCCAAGTCCTTGATCAGCCGCCCTCCAAACGACCACCACCAGGCGGCCCTGAGATGGAAATCCATGTACATGAGGGCACAGCACCTGTGACCAAGGCACCATACCGCCTGTCACATGCAGAGATGGATGAACTAGACCGACAAGTGACTGACTTACTTGCAAAGGGGTATATCCGCCCGTCATCTTCCCCATGGGGTGCACCAGTCCTCTTTGTCAAGAAAAAGGATGGATCAATGCGCCTGTGTGTTGACTACCGTGGCCTGAACGCAGTGACGATAAAAGATGCATTCCCAATGCCGCGTATAGACGATTTGCTTGACGACACCCGTGGCGCAAAAGTTTTCTCGAAAATCGATTTGGTACAGGCTTACCACCAGGTGCGAATTTGCAATGCAGACATCGCCAAAACTGCCTTCCGCACAAAACAAGGGTCATTTGAATTCACAGTTGTACCTTTCGGGCTGACAAATGCCCCTGCCGTCTTCCAACGTGTCATGAACCATGCGCTGCGCAACCTACTTGGCAAAACGTGCATCGTGTACCTAGACGACATCTTAGTCTTTTCAAAGAATGACGCCGACCATGCAAAAGATCTCGAGGATGTACTCGCCTGCCTCAAGGAGCACAACCTGCACACAAAACCCGAAAAATGTGCATTCTTCAAAGACACAGTCGACTTCCTTGGGTTTGTCATTTCAGGCAAGGGTATTGCGACTGACCCACGCAAAGTAGATGCCGTTAAAGAGTGGCGCACGCCAGAGACAATTACAGACATCCGCGCATTCCTTGGATTAAGCGGCTACTACCGCCGGTTTATTAAAAACTATGCTAGAATAGCACTACCGCTGACCGATTTGCTATGCAATACCGACTTTTCGTGGAACGACCAGGCTGACAGGGCTTTCACCGAGCTGAAGCAGCAACTATCCACAGCACCAATACTCCATCAGTATGATCCAACTTGCGAAACGAGAGTCGAGACAGATGCATCCGGCTCTGCAATTGGCGGTGTCCTACACCAACGACATGACAAGATGTGGTGCCCAGTGGCATTCTATTCGGCAAAGCTGGGACCAGCACAGCGCAACTATGCAGTCCACGAGCAAGAACTTCTTGCAATCATTCGTGCACTGGTCCTCTGGCGGCATTACCTACATGGCATCAAGTTTGAAGTGATTACAGACCACAAATCAATCGAGTTCCTTAAGACGCAAAACAACATATCCCCGCGCCAGGCTCGCTGGCTGGATATCTGGCAGGAATTCGACATGAAAATCATTTACCGCAAGGGCGCTCAAAATGCAGTTGCTGACGGCTTGTCACGCTCACTCGAATCGCAACCCGACAACATAGTATACGCAGCGTCACATTCAGGCAAGGTGCCACACATGGCACTGACGCCACCGACAGGACTGACTGCACCAGCTATACCACTAAATGATGCCCCGCTGAACAACACGAGTAAAAACGATGACGCCGCACACACATCCGTACCTATACCTATGCCCATACCCATGCCCAATATCAAGACAACCACTCCAGCTGCACAGACAACGAATTTTCCGCCAACGCCAGCCGTGGTCGACAGAACATATTTGACTGCCAATGAGCGCAGAGAACTAAACCGTGCTGAATATGTGCGCAAGTCGCTGCACTACAAGAACTACCAACGCGGATGTCGCGCTGAAGCCGAAACAGAAGCCAAACGAACACAAGAGACAGTGGCTGCAGAAACGACGAGTGCAACCATGGAGACTGACCAGCCAAAGGACAATACGCACAACGACGACCTGATAGACCAATTTGAAAAATGGAAACTGTGCGCACTGTTTGTGCCACGCACAACTGCCAACAGCATGGAGGTTCAGCTGCTACACGACGATGCGACGATGCCTTGCAAGGCATATCCAGATGACGCTGGATTTGATGTATACTGTATAACCAAGTTTGTGCTCGAGCCCAAGGCCCAACACCTTGTCCCATTAGGCATCGCCGCCAAGGCGCCAATAGGCACATACCTGCGCATTGCCCCACACAGTAGCCTGGCTGCCAAGGGTGTTGTGGTGCTCGGAGGAATAGTCGACGGGGGCTACCGCGGTGAGATTTCAGTACTCCTGTTCAACACAGGCAATATAGAGATTCCGTTCGCTGCACATGACCGCATAGCACAGTTGATTCCAACCAAGATCGCACACTCACACATCACTGAGGTCAAGTCCTTTGAGGAGACAGCCGGTGGAGCCAACGGGTTCGGCTCTTCAGGAAAAGGGGGGAGGATAGCAGTCCGCATGGCTGCTGTCAAAGCGCTAACGCTGAAGACGAGCGCGAACCCTGAGAACTCCTACAAGGGCGACAGCAAGTTGGAGAAAATTATGGAGAGGATTAGTAGTGGCGAAGAACCAACATCCAGAGCCGAGCGCGACATTACAAACAAATTCCATGCACAGGGTGGTGTCCTGTTCAAGAAAGGACGCCGCTGCGTCGGAACAAAGCAAGACAGATCACTACTGCTGGCCGAGTTCCATGATGCTGCAATACACCCGGGTATAAAAGCAACATACGACAAGCTGAGTGAACTATTCTATTGGCCAGGCATGTATGTGGATTGCGAGAATTATGTCACAACGTGTGACCTGTGCCAAAGAGTCAAAGGCAGCAACAGGCCAAGCGATGGACCGCTACAGCCGCTACAGATCCCGCGACGCAACTGGTCAAGTGTGAGCATGGACTTCATTGTCAGCCTACCTAAGACAAAGGACGGATATGATGCAATCATGGTCGTCGTTGACCGCCTGTCCAAGATGGCACACTTTGTACCAACACACAATGCCGCAACCGCCCAGACAACCGCCGACCTGTATTTCAAGACCATCTACCGCCAACATGGCCTGCCCGAGTCCATAATATCAGACCGTGATCCGAAATTCCGCTCTGCATTCTGGATGGCACTGTGGAAGCAA